CTTATTTTAAAACTGAGAAATAGTTCATCGAGAGGGACACGGCGGCTGTGACGATCACGACTTGTTTGTGCGTTACTGCAAAGCCCAGGCTGCTTTATTTAAAAACAGTGCAAGTTTTGATGGACTTCACAGCCGCACCCCGATACGCCCCCGGTGATCTGCTGTGCTTTGATATGACAAAGGTCACATTCCCCCCTTCACCTCCCCAAAGGCCCATTCTTCTCCGCGCAGTTTGGCACTCGGGCCTTTTAGAAGATGGTGAATCAGGTAAACCCCGCGGAGTGCGGATGTTGCCCATAGTCGGGGCCGCTCCTAATCGCAATATACATTTGTCTCTCCAGATTTCGGACATCGGTGGACGCTTTTGTCTCAGGAGACACCTGATTCCCTGTAAAGAGCAATTTCGCCTGAGCTCAAAGAAAGACACCTGTGACCAGAGGCGAACAGCAGGCATGCTGGGCGGCGAAGGGGAAAGCAGCACCTTCACTTCTGCGAAGGAAGGAGCGCAGGACCGGCGCAAGTCTCCGGCTGTGGATGGGGACGAGTCCGCTGCCGGCGGGAGGTACGCGGAGCACGCGATGGGGGCGGACCGCTCCTACTACATCCCGTCCGCGGGTTCTAAACAGAGCCCGGACACCCCGAACCACTGCTCGTTCATCCCCTACACGCCCAGTGCGACGGTTTACGCCGCGTCCGGCGCCGGCAGGTACCCCTCTTCTCTCCACTTGGGCTCCGTGTTGCCTCCCGCGGGGTTCGCCCCCTCCGCCGCGGGACGGAGTCACTTCAGCCCGGCGTACCAGCTCGGCCAGAGCCCCGGCTGCATCTACCCGGCCTACGGCAGTTCGGGGTCGGCTCTCGGCAACATAGCGGTGCCGGCGGCGGGCCCCGGGATGAAGGCCCAGGTGTACCTCTGCAACCGGCCGCTGTGGCTCAAGTTCCACCGGCACCAGACCGAGATGATAATCACCAAGCAGGGCAGGTGAGAGGATAAGGCCCGGGAAATTTGCTGGACATGGGCACCAAAAACGGGCTTTCTCTGTAAAAAAAAAATGCTTTTTTAAAATTGCTTTATAATTTATTCGATGTTGTTTTTGTGCTTTCAGGCGGATGTTCCCGTTCCTCAGTTTTAACATAGCTGGTCTCAACCTAACAGCGCATTACAACGTCTTCGTGGAGGTGGTGCTGGCGGACCCGAACCACTGGAGGTTCCAAGGTGGCAAGTGGGTCACCTGCGGCAAGGCGGACAACAGCGGCCAAGGTAGTGAAACAGGTCGATAACTTACATTACTAACCAGCGATTTTGTTTGTTTTATTTATTAACTCTCAAAAGTACAAATATTTCGATGCATAATAACACGTGTGTGTCTAGTGCTCTTTAGCACCTGGGGCTAAAGGCGTCGTCTTTATTTCAGGAAACAAAGTGTACATCCACCCAGAGTCTCCGAACACGGGAGCCCACTGGATGAGACAAGAGATTTCTTTTAGCAAACTGAAACTCACGAACAACAAGGGGACCAATCACAATACTACACAGGTATGAAGCACTAAATAACTAAATGAAACGAAATTACAATGTTAACTGATTTTTTCATAGATATATGCAGTTAAATATCAATATAAACCGGAATCGACTTGATTACAACACCATTAATAGTTTAATGTAAATTACAAGATACATATTTTAATAAAGTTTGGATGTAAATTAGTTTGTTTCGTTAAATATAACCACATCTATAAAAAAAAAGGTATACTTGCAGAAATTGGGAATGTGTGGGGAATTATGATAAAATAAACGTTTTGTTTTATTTGATCAGAGGATTTAACGGATTTTACCCTGTTGATTATGCAGATGATTGTCCTGCAGTCGCTGCACAAGTATCAGCCCCGGCTGCACATCGTCGAGGTGATGGAAGACGGGGTGGAGGACATCAGCACTGAGGTTAAGACTCAGAGCTTCACCTTTCCCGAGAACCAGTTCATAGCTGTGACGGCCTACCAGAACACTGATGTAAGCATTTTGGGATAAACTACTCAGACTATCTCTGCCTTATAAGGAACGGCATTCTGTTTTGATCAATTTGTAATCTTTACTCATTCAAAGTTATTCAATGGACATAGGTTTTTAATGTCTTACTATCTGCCATTTCATTGCATTGTTTGACATGTGTAGGTTATTAGGCATGTGACTGCACGATGCTTGTTCTATATCTTCTCATATTAATATAAAATGTATTCTTCCATTTTGCTTTATTCAAGATTACACAACTGAAGATTGACCACAACCCGTTTGCCAAAGGATTCAGAGATAATTATGACTCGTGAGTATTTCATTTCTCACCGACTACAGAGTATTAATATCACATTCTAACAACACAGTAATTCATAAAAGTATTAATATTATCACATATACTGTCGTACTGTTTTGTAAATTATTTTTATTTACCGACTCGAGATTTAGTTTTCACACCATGTTTTTTTTCACCGAGACACTTTTGAACTCAAGTTCATAACTACATGTGTTTTTCAGGATGTACACAGCTCAAGAAAATGACCGCCTAACACCATCTCCGACCGACTCGCCCCGGGCCCACCAGATTGTCCCCGGGGCCCGCTACACCATGCAGCCCCTCTTCCAGGACCAATTTGTCAACAACCTTCCCCAGAATCGCTTCTATAACAGCGAGAGAGCCGTGCCGCAGACCAACAGCCTCCTCTCGCCTCAGACAGAAGACGGAACTTCGCAGAGGTGGTTTGTCACCTCCATGCAGCAAGGGGGGAACGGCACTAGCACCGGCAACAAACTGGACCTGACCCCCTACGAGGGAGAATACTCAAGCTCCCTGCTTCCTTACGGAATCAAATCCCTGTCCATGCAAACATCCCACGCTCTCAGCTACTACCCGGACTCTCCTTTCACCACCATGTCTGCAGGGTGGGGGTCCAGGGCAGCTTACCAGAGAAAGGTCTCTCCCAGCCTGCCTTGGTCTCCCAGGCCCAGTCCCACCACTGGCTTCCCAGAAGACTCAAACAAAGTGAAAGCACAGATTGAAGAGGAGGTGAACAGCAGCGGAAGTCTGATCTCCTCCTGGGCAGACGCACAGTCGTCCGCTCTGTCCTTAGACAAGGCTGATTCTTATTCCACAGCCTGTAAACGAAGGCGTTTGTCACTCAATGGTCCCGGCGCAGAGGACTCATCCTCTGACATCAAGTGTGAGGACTTGGCCTCTGTTTCCATCAACAGTAGCTCCTATAGCAAAGACGCCCCCTCAGCCAAAGGCATGGCGGCTTACTATTCCTTTTACACAAACCCTTGAATGGTTCGTCATCTCTCATTTTGTTTATTCATAGTTTGCCACCAGTGATAAAAGTCATGTTTTACTGTTTTTTAGGGTTCATGTGAACACCCAGAATTTGTCTTGGTGTCAATAAATGTGGTGATCACATATTGTTTTCCGTTTGTGGTCACACAGAAAATATTAAGGACACAAATAATAAATTGTGCCACCAAGGGGCATGTGGCACAATATCAGCATCTGCATTATTGTCACACATTCTATCTATTCTGTTTCAGTCTGTCCATTCTCAACTTTGTATATATTTTTTTCTCCACCCCATTATGTAACTTTGTATTTGAAGTTTTGAAAGTGCAAAAGCATTTGTTAAGATACGCCTTAAAAAAACAACGTGGTCTGTATGTTTTTGTGTGCATACATTAGTCTATCTGCCTTTAAGTGAGGTTATGTGTTTACAGATTATTTATTGAAGGCCTGTTGATATGAAATCTGCACTCATAAATGTGTTGAAGATATGCTATAAATACCTTCATTGCAATGTTCGAATATTTGATAATAAAAGGCTTATGTGTTCTATTGAGTGTCTGATTCTTTATTTATTATCCCTGTTTAAATATACCTTACTGTATATATGATGGACTAATTGGTATATTTAATAGAAGCGTTTGTTGAATTGACCAGTTAAAGTCTGTAATTCCTCACACTGTCCTATTTAATGCTGGTATATATTTTAATTGGTTCATTGCACATTAAGAACTTGAACTTATTGTAAGTCGCTAAGGATAAAAGAGTCAGCTAAATGACAAAAAATAATGTAACGTAACATAGGAACCAGTGCATGCATGCAGGATTGATGGAAGGAAAAGCCACTTAAATCTTATCTGAGTCACCCTTTTGATGTACAACACATAAAGACTGGACGGTTGAAAGGACGCCAAGCGTAACTTCACCTCCATCCAAAAGCACGACGTGCACTATTTGATTCTTTGGTCTCTGTCGCACTCTAGTGTCATTTTATTGTACTAGCAGCTACGAAATGAATCACTCCAGGAGCCTGTTGTTGAAATCACCGGCTCTGTACAGGTTGAGATGAGCGCCATGTGAAATCAATCATATTGTAATATTATCTTATTATTCAATATAATGACCAGAACATGCTAAATCCACAAAACAATCCAATTTTGATGACTTTTTGTATTTTCTGTCCCAGGGAATCTGTACATTTGAATGACACGCTGGTATGTTCGTCACATCGCGGCACGCGTGCTGATCCCGTTACACAGTGGACTTTGAAACCAACATCATACCATAAAAAAACACCCACTTAGTTCAACATTGCATTAGATTAGATTAGATTCAACTGTATTGTCACTGCACAGGGTACAAGTACTGAGGCAACGAAATGCAGTTCAACATCCAACCAGAAGTGCAAAATAGCAAAAAGTGCAGAGTATGTGCATATGTAAAGTGTAATAAGTGAATAAATAGATATGTACAGTAAGAAATAGTTATGCAATATGAACAGTAAGAAATGGATATGTAATCACAGTGCAAATGTTCAGTGGCTGCATACCGTAATTTCAGAATACTGTTACAATAGCGTGTAAAACTAGTTACTACTAATAGTAGCATCAGTGCGTGAGCGTGTTTGGATCTCTCCCTCCGTCTGTTTTGGGGTTTAGATTGCAAACCTGGCAACCCGCGCAGCAGCCAGCAGCCGAGAGTAAACGAGGAGTTTACAGGAATAACGTCGCTGCCTCGGCCAGACGTCGTTTGCGGATTGCCTCGCCAACAAGCTGTCCTCTGTTCGCCGCCGGCGAGTGACAGTCGGTCCTCGAGGTCAGGTCTGCCACCGCGATATGTACCACGCGTGTAAGAATACTTGTCACTCGTCGTTTAAGTTACCAAGAGTTTTTTACTAACTGTGCTAGCTTAGTTGGCTAGCAGCACGGCTGACGCGCTAGCGCGTGCGCTGACGTTAGCTAACGCAGGCACGAGCGTCATGATGTTTAAAAAAAAAATGTTTTTTGAACAACATCAAGCTAACAATGCTGTTGTCCACTATGCGTTGTGATGAACACTGACCCTTTGAACAAACGGAATGATTTGCAGCTAACGCTTCCCGAGGTCTGTTGGCAGGTGAATGCTCTCACGAACCTGACGTTATATTGTAACTAACTCCCAAAACGGACTGTTTATTAACTACACAACACTCAGTCGGGTTCGAGCTAGCGGAAACGGTAAACAGCTGCAGACAACACGGGCAAAGGCCTGCGAGAAGGACTTCACTGACCAACTATTAACGTTGTTTACTGGTGTGTGTGTGTGTGTGTGTGTGTGTGTGTGCGCTTAACTGCCACTGGCAGGTGGGCATGTTTAACTGCATGTCGCCTGATGCCGTCACGGAGGAGTGTTCTTTAAACAATTGCCACACGTGTTGTTAGTTCTACAATTACAGTGTGTCCTTATCGCGGAGTGTGTTATCACCTGTGACATCGTGTGTTTGTGATGACGGTGATTCCCAAGGTGCCCGTCCTCTGTTCTGCAACAACAACAACAACTTTAGTTTACTCGCAGTAAGTGAGCCAAACCTCGACTAATCAAAGTTAACAGAGGTCAGATTTAACCACATCAAAACAACCAGTGCAGCACTATCCACGTCCCGTTTGTTCGGTCATATGCCGTCGTACTGGCCAAACAAACGTTCCATTTAAAAACACCTCCACGCGTGTGATATTCAAATTTACATTTTAAGTGTGAAGTATTTCCAGCAGTCTTAATGTTACTTGTGTGCATGTGTCCCATTAAAAGTATGCCTGAGATGTCTACAACCACCGCCTTAAATGAGCCACTTTTGTATGTATGTTATGTCAATTATGGTAGGAAAAATAAACACATTTCTATAGAGACTACATCATACACACGTACAAGAAATCACAACATTATAACCTTCATGGTGGTGGGATTTATTACAGGACTGTATTAAACAACCTTAGTTTTAGTAGGTCTAAATAATAAAATGGTAGCTGGGTGTATACCTTTGCTTCTGTATGTACACATACATATATACATACATGTAAGAGGTGTGACCCTTCAACTTCAAATTTTTACTTCAGAAATGTGGCTTGACATAAACGTTCCCTAAATTATAGTGGGAATAACTTTTTACTGCCAGAAAGATTACAAAAGCCCTCTGGAATTTGCTTCATTACATAGACACACCGAGTTGCTTTTGTTGTTTAAGCTGACCGCGTGTAAAGCTTAGTCCAGAGAGTCAGGTTCATACACAATTTAGACTGTTTACATGGCTGCCAAAAATAATCAATTGTCCTGCAAATGGAATGTCAACAAAAGTGTCCCACTTCCTTTGTTATTGTTGTGCACTTGCAGCAAGTGATATGCTATGTATTTGTAATGTTTTCAGAAAGCATTTTTTTTCCTTCTATTGTGCACATAAGTTCTGCACACCGAGCTATTACTGTGTACGTTTTTTATGGTCATAAGAATTCAATTTCATGAGCTATATCATGCTGAAGGAGAAGTGTTTTGTTGGTTTGTGCTGGAGCTAAAAAATACATAAAAGCATCACATGGCCCAAACAGTCATTACCATATGGTGCTCTGGTGGGAGCGTAATGCTGACTTGCTGTGTGTTGCTCTTCAGTTGAGGATACCCTGTTTCACATGACTCCTAGCCTCAGTGGGACGGGCAGCATTGGCAAGTTGAGGCGGAAGCTCCTGGTGATGCCAGAGGAAGTCTTGTCCTTCTCTCCCTGTGAGCTTTGTTGGCCCTATGTTTACTTATTTGAAAAAAAAGAGAAACACAGCAAGGTTGTTTACAGTGCAGCGGAGATGCTGACAGAGGGGCTTGTGGCAGAGCGATGGGAGCAACCTTAGAGATGCAACTCTCATCCTTGTGCCTTGCTTGACTTGGACACACCTGCTAAGGAATTAAACGCCTGTTTTTCTTCTTCTTAATGACCTTCAGTATGCTGGCCTATTGGACCTGATCGGGTTGAGGACAACGTCAGCGGCTGTATCAGACAGAGCGTGAACCTACAGTTGGAAAAAGATGGGGAACACGGCGACCAAGTTCCGCAAGGCTCTCGTCAATGGCGACGACGTGCTGGCCTGCCACCTGTATGAGAGCAACCCGCAGTTCAAGGAGGCTCTGGATCCCAACTCTACATACGGAGAGTCCTACCAGCACAACACTCCACTGCACTATGCTTCCCGGCACGCCATGGCCCGCCTTCTCAGGTCAGGATCTGGTTCGAGCAAGCAAACACAAATAACATGGACATTCAGAGGTGCAAGTCTTTGGATTGGTTGCTGTCAGTGGAGAAAACAACTGATTTCGTTGAGAGATGTTGCACTCATTTTGTTGTGCTCAAGATTTTCAATATGCTGCTGTTTATTTATTCAATATATTATCATTTGTCATTCTTTTGCAGCACCGCTTATGATCTTAAGTGTCCTTTGAGCAATCTGTTTGCTGATCAGCTGGTCACTCGTATTATTGTATTGCTGCATCGTAAGATTCATTTTTCCATGGTTTGTCTCTATATGTCTCTGCCCCATCTGTCTCTCCACATAGCCATCTGTTAGCAGCTCTCAGGAATGCAACATGCTGGGATGGAGTAGGATGGGGCTCCAAGAGCTTCCCACCCCAAGAGCTATCAACCGTGCATGTGTTTATCTTTACTTTAAAAACACTAGTTTGAAAAAAAAAAAAAAAATATGCAGAAAACCACAAGTCAAGTTCACACATAATATGCGACTTTACGGACAGATAGATGGATAGAGATGATTCTAGTTTCCTCATGAAGCACCGAACCATAGACTAATAATTACTCTACTCGATTCTATTTCAAATATTTGTGAAGCACTACTCAAAATGCTGTAGAATATTCTGTTACACCAATCTAGAATTCATAAAGTACAACAAAAGTATGTGATATTTGTTGTTGGCACCTTTTTGGGGTTTGTCAGAGGAGAAAATTCCTTTTGCGATATTTTCTGTACTGCCAAACAAGCTTGTTAGGGGGCTACAATAGGCTCTCAAAAACAAAACAAGATTACTTTGCTAAGTAAGATATTAGTATAACTGTTAATCCGGTCTCTGTCTTGTTATTTTAGGTCTTTCCTTTTCGGAAAAGATGGGAATCCTAATAAACGTAATGTGCACAATGAGACATCTCTGCACCTTCTCTGCATGGGGCCGCAGATCCTCACCTCTGAGGGGGCCCTGCAACCTCGGATCTCACGCCCATATGAAGACAAACAGCGTCGGGCCGAATCCCTGCAAATCATCCTGGCGTGGACCGGAGCAAAGCTGGACCATGGAGAATACGAGAGCGCCGATATCAATGCCACTGACAACAAGAAAAACACCTGCCTCCACTATGCGGCTGCGTCAGGCATGAAGACGTGTGTGGAGGTGAGCTTCCAAAGTCCTGTGGACATTTTACAGTTGGCCCTTATTCATAATATTCTCATTTTAGGTATAGGTATAGAAAGGGGCCTGAGCTACCCCAATTGCTAACCCAAAAGATTCAGTATCTGCCCTATAGTACTATGACTATTTGTAGAGGAGTGGCGGATGGGGGGTGTGGTGCTCACATCCATTATGTTAAGTCTGATCAAACCGCTCCCTTGTGCATTTTGGGAAGATGTGGTACACTGCATCTTTTAAGAATCCGGGGGGCAGGATGCTTCACGTACAAAAGTCACATTAATGAATCAAGCTATCCTTGTGGGTCTCTCTAAGCCTTGATTGGTAAAGACCTAGTTTTTAAACATATTTTGTTCCCATGACTCGTAATTAGGGAATTTTGCACTGTTTATGTTTGCCTTTTTATTCACCCTGAGGACCATACAGTGGCATATATATATAGCTAAATGTAACTTGCACCACTTGCAAAACCAAATGTTTAAGTCTGGCACATGCAGGCCTGGTGTAATAGAGAGAAACCAGCATAGAACTTATAAAACATTAGCAAAAAGCCACGTGGAAATGTCTGGGAAGCTGAAATTAAATATTGTTAATGAACGGAACAAAGTGTCTCTCGGCCTAGGCATTGGGGAAAAAACACTTATTGTACTACTAAGATCAACCAACGCTAGGTTCTGAAACTAAGTAATAATTATGATCACAATATAGATTCAAATAAGTGGAATACGCATTTTAACCACATTTGTGTAGCCTCCCCATCAACTACCTCCATAGAGGTCAAATCCAGTGTATTTGTCATGAAAGGTGTTTCCAACTACACGCCATTAAGCCCCTTAATGTAGCAAATGCCCAATCAATCAGAAATGCATGTCTGTCTCGTTTTCCTTCTTTAGTTCCTGTTGCAGAGAGGAGCGGACCTGTTTGCCGAGAATGAAGATCGCGAGACTCCATGTGACTGTGCAGAGAAGCAGCACCACAAGGAGCTGGCCCTCTGCCTGGAGTCGCAGATGGTCTTCTCGCTTGCCCCCGAGGCAGAGGGTATAGAGGCAGAGTACGCAGCCCTTGACCGAAGAGAGGTACAGAATAACATGGCAAGAGCCAGAGGACATGCAGCTGATGGTTTGTCACCCTCAACTGGTGTCCCTCACAACATTACAAACAACCTAGACTAAACGTCTATGCAGTCCGGTTGAGAGACAGTTCATTGCAGTTTCAGTAAGGCGCCTTTTGAGTCAGATGCCCTGGATATCTTAACCTTTCCAAAGCCACGTAGGGGTAGGAACTGAAAGCTCTCTAGCCATAGTCTGTGTCGGTCTGCCGTGGCCTCTTAAAACTAGGCTCAATTTGTTTATGATCCATTCGGAGGTGAAATTCACCTTGCCAGGCCCACACATTGTGGATGCTCTGGTTGGGCACACACACACACACACACACAATGGTCACACAAACAGCCTGCTATAAGGCATGTGACTCCCATTACCGTTGCTCTGTTAGCTCACTAGTCCTAACTTAGTAGGGCATCAATGATAGTCTTTATTTGATTTGCTTTACACCCCTCTACTTCCCTTTGCCCTGTCTTTCCTTTTTCTTCATTCCTTCCCTTGCCCTCCCTCTTTCTTTTACCCTGATTCTTCTGTTGCTCCCTCTATTCTTTTATTACATTTCTCCACCGACCCACCTCATTCTTTTTTCACTCTAAACCTTGTGTCATGCTGCCTTTGCATGATCTCCTCTCTTGCCTCTTTCCTTTCCTCTCCCCTGCCCTCCTCTCTAGCTGTATGAAGGCCTGCGGCCTCAGGATCTACGGAGGCTGAAGGACATGCTGATAGTGGAGACAGCCGACATGCTGCAGGCCCCTCTCTTCACTGCAGAGGCACTGCTACGTGCCCATGGTACTATCAACCCCACACACGTGCACACACCTAGAGTATCCGCCTGTCCTTGAAATGGCTGGCACGGACATACCTGGTAGCGTGTTAAACCTTATACCTAAAAAAATCCCATGCCTGATTCTGGTCAGGGAGCATTGTTGAATGTCATGTTTGTTTCTCTGCTGCCCTATCTACAGCGGCACTATCTGAAAAGGAACGGTAAACCGGGAAGAACAAAAGGTCCTCAGTATTAAAATTGAAAACAATACACACATATGCTCTCAAAAATTACCTAACTTGTTTTTAAAAAATCTTGTTACAAAAACCTTTGGTAAATGTGTCCCATACTTTATCTTCACTGGGATTAGAGGGGCTGTATACCATACAAACACCATTCTACGCTCCAGGGATTTTCGAGCACTGAAAGGGGCAAGATATGAACAGCCTTTGTTATCTTAAAAGAATTTCCCTCGTATTGCCCTCACTGGAGTGTGTCATTGTCTCCTACGCTGGATGCTATTTTAGTGAGCTTTTCCTTTTCCTCCAAATATGTGAAAACACTGTTACATTAAAAAATGAGGGTAATTCCACAGTGGACACTTAGCATACAGAAACTTTTCTGATAATAACACAAAGGTCTGATTTTTTGCTTATGCTGTATTTGCAAACAAAACCATGGGAGAGAGCTGAGTCCTACATATTTGACTGAGAAAATAGTTGTGTGCAGTGGAATGTACATTTCCTGTTTACTCATACTTCTAAATAGGTCGCTTGAATTCTCTGTCACAAACAAGTAGTAGCAGGCTGACATTGAGGTTAAGTAGAGTTAGAGTTAAAGTAAAATGTTAGTAAAGTAGAGCAGTAATGGCTAACAGACAGTTTGTCTTTGCAGTGTAGATTTAATAGCCCAGGAAGGGTGAAAAGAAACGTTATGGTCTGGAGTGACACTGGATGTACAATTTGAGTAGCCTTATTAAATCTATTGGTGGGTGAAGTAATGTTTGGTGAAGTAAGCCAACACAGTGGCCTTCACAAACAACCGTTATGTAAACGTCCACACAGGTCCGCTCTTATGAAATCCAGTACAAATGATTCAGTATTAAGTATCAATGTGTTGCCTAAACACACGTGCATCTTCCATAAAAAATAATGTTCCCTGTAGGCTGTATAGGTGAAAGCCTTTCATCTGCAGAGGGGGAATTCTTCATTTTGCAACATTCCTCGTGAACAAAGACCTTTTCTTTGAATTTCCTCTTGCAGTTTCGGTTTAGCCGAGTGGTGTCCCAGGAGTCAGTTTAGCCGAGTGGTGTCCCAGTTTTGATTTGAAGCCTCTAGCCACCGAGTCTCAAGCGTCCCTTAACCTAGCTGAGATAATGTCTACGAAGAGCTTTAAATGTTTTAAACAAAGTTATTTCATTAGAAGCCTTTGAAACGCAGTATTTCATTTAGCTGCTGGAAGACTTGAAAGAAGTGTCACGGTTTTGGGTGAATATTTAGTCTTTAAATACCCTCTTCTCGAATTCAGTTGGCTCAGTGGCTGCGGTGCGGTGTGTTCTACATATTAGACATATTTTTGGGAGATTAAAGGGGTGAGCCCAAGATTAGGGCTAGATTTATTCACCTCTACCCTGGGATTGCAGTTTGTCTGTTTAATAGGGATGGAAAATGTCAACGTTTCTGTTAATCTCAAGGAAAAGGATTTGGGGATTCATCCATCATTACTTCCTCGTAAAACCTCATCGCATTAACACTTCCGGAGTCAGTCTTTTTCAGTCCTCTTATCACAATTCCTGGTGTTTTCCTGCTGAGCTGCCAGCCTGTCGATCTGTCTGCCTTCGACCAATTCCATTTCCAAGTAAAACGTCTTTATATTCAAGACTAAGTGTGAAGACTTTTAATTTCAGACTCCAGTTAATGACCATAGGCTGAAAGATTGCGTCATGCTCATTGATGAGTTTTAATTGAATGGATATTGGGGAAATAGTTGCAATATTCATTATCTTAACAAGGCCATTTAGAGTCCAAGACTTTAGATTGGATGCGAAACGTGTCTCGAGGTTGATTAAGGCCTAATTGCAAAGTTGACCGGGTCGTGCTCCTTATTTAAGGAGAATTTCTTTACGGCAGAAAGAACTCGGGGTCATTTAATATTCAAACTGGAAAGTTCCCCAACCTGGTCTTTTGTTAATGGGAGATGGAAGAGCTATTCTAAAACCGAAAACCAGATGGCAGCAGGTCTATGTTGTTGTGTTTGACAGACTGAGGTGTAGTGTGTCTACTGGAGAGGAATTTGTGTGGGCTTTGGTGAATTTAGTGTTTTGCATACTAATTAACATCCCATACCAAAAAAACAGCTACTTGGATTAAACCCTATCCTTCTCTGTTTGGTTTTATGCATTTGTGTTTTGCTCTTTATTTCTTTTGCATCAGATTGGGACAGGGAGAAGCTCCTCGAGGCCTGGATGAGCAACGCAGTGGAATGCTGCCAACGCTCGGGGGTGCAGATGCCCAACCCGCCCCCAAGCGGTTACAACGCCTGGGACACCTTGCCCTCACCCCGGACGCCACGCATCACCCGCTCCTCCATCACTTCTCCTGACCAAATCAGCCTGACGCCTGCCGAAGAGGAGTCCTCTCTGGTAAGAGTTGTCTGCGGCTTCCCTTTCCCCAAAAATAACGTTTCACAGTCAGAATCAAACTCAGCGATCGATCTTCTGAAAACAGTGGTTTTCACATGTGTCATGAATGGTTCATGCTCTATGAACGAGAGCAGCCATAGAAACAGAAACAGTCTGCTGAGTGCAACGATTGGGCAGCAACCTCCGGTTCTTCAAAGTGGACGTGGCGACGCAGCAGTGTCTTGCATTCTCTTAACTGACCAGCAGTGGCCTTTTCCCGCCAGCCTCCTGGCCTCCGTAAAGACAACTCTTTCAAAGAAGCCTATGCTTAAAGTGATTGACAGGTTGCTGCTCCAACCAGAGATGTATATTGCATTTATATGTCATTCCAACGCATTCATTCAGTCCACTGGGTGATTTCACAATGCTTTGTCTGTGTCAAGGATGGCTATATCTAGAGTCCATGGCATAAGTGTATCACAGCCTCCTGTGGCGGCCGAAGGGTGGGGACATTTTTGTGGACCGACCGAGTGAGATTTGGAGCAGTTTTTCAAAAGTTATAGAAAACTTTAATTGAGAGTTGCAGATGTGATCAATGAGAACCCCAGTTGAATGGATTCTATCATTTAACCGTAGTTCTCAGTGAAGAGCCATGCGATAAAATGTAATCACAAAACAAGTGGCTCCAGGGAGCCAAAATCGCCATGCTCACGTCGAAGCGCACAGACCAGTAGTTACTGGCAGTCTACTCAAAAACTCTACACAAGTGTTTATTAGGATCCTCGCCACGACTAGTCGTAGAGGAACCTATTGTATTTCAAGGAATTATTATTATTCTTTTCTCTAAGGAATTTTCCCCTTTTGAGGCCTTTATCATATTCAAAAAGTTGTTAAATTTGGCGCGCATATCAGAACTGGTGAAAAATTAGATATTTTTGAGGTCTCGCATTTGGGTACGAAGAAATGTCTCCATAGCGCCCCCTAGAAAGGTAAAAAAGTACCTCACTAGGCCAGTTCCCCCCCCGCCCCCACCGATGTGCTATGCAATGAAATTTGGCACACATGTGCTCTTGGACATGCTCTACAAAAAAGTCAATCATGGTATGCAAATGTGCCTAACTAGATTTTCCGCCATTTTGAATTTGATGAAAAACACGTTTTTGGCCATTTCTCCTAAACGCTATGTCCGATTGTCATGAAATTTCCTGTGGGTCATTATTGGGTCAATGTCCCCCTGCCCTACCGATATCTTGTTGATATCTTCTTGTTCTGAGAAGATATGGGCTAATGAACTTTGCAAGGGGTGTGGCTTAATCTTGCAAGAGTCATAACCTCCAATCTATTTTGCCTGCCCTCACTAAACTTGTTCCACATGTGGACATTGAATCCCTGAACACACCCTGATTTTTTGAGAATATTTGAAGAATAGGGGGCGCTGCAATTAATCGTTGAAAATCTGCCCTTTTTGGCCTATTTTTGGCCTATTTTCCTGATTTCCTAGAGTTTGTAAAAGACCGAACTCCTCCCAGGGATTAAACCTGATTCTTTTCAAATTCGCGCAGTGTGATCTTGAGGACCTAGGCTCTAAGAATTGCATTTTGCCGGGAAGAAATTCTGAACTATGTGTGTAGGGAGCATTTTTGAAAAACCACCATTTGGCATGAAAATTGAAGCTGTTTTAACTTGACCATACTTTATCTAATCTGCTCCATATTTCTCATATAGCATGAACTTCTCACGCTGTAGACATCCATAAGATCATTTTTAACCTTAGTCATAGCGCCACCTGGTGAAAACAGGAAGTTGATTGTTTTTTTATTTTACACCCTGCTCCTCACAGGTTATGCTCCTCATAGGTTAATCTGATCCCTCTCAAAAATTCATAGCAGAGAGGTAAGACCGTAACAATGCTTCACTGTGAAAATTATAAGAATCCGATAATCGGTGGCGAGAAGGTGCATCGGCAAAGCTGATCCTTCGCCAAGAACAACTAAACTCTACTGGACAACATTGGATTCTTCCTAATTTACACATGTTTGATGAGTTCAGGCCTGACTAAAGTTGAATCAAGTCATAGCGCCACTTACTGGTAACTTGAAGTCACATTTTCTAGTATCCAGTAAAAAACGAAGGTGGTATTTAGAGAGGCTTTTATTTTGTAATAGTACATCATAATGTCCTGGTTATTGCTGAATACCATCTTGGGGATGTGTACTCTATGCCTGCAGTGGAAATACTGTGTAACTATTGATTTATTCGTTTTAAATCTGATCTGAAATTGACCAGATGTAGTTTTGTGATTGATATTATGGCTCATGTATGTTATTTTGGGAGGCTTTCATTTTGGAATAGTACATCAGAATGTCCTGCTTATCCCTCGGTGACACCTTGGGGATGTATACTATTAGTCGGAAGTGAAATCATCACGTAACTATTGATAGTTTCCTTTTAATCCTAACCTGAATTTGAACAAAAGTAGTCTCTCGATGTAGAATTTAAAGGAAATTGGCTCATGTATGGTATTTTGAGAGGCTTTCAATTTGGAATGGTAGATTAGAATGTCCTGATTAACCCTTCCTGACATCTTGGGGATGTTTTCTATCTGCCTGAAGTCAAATGATCGTTTTACTATTGATAGTTTCCTTTTCAATCTAATCTGAAATTGACCAGATGTAGTCCCGTGATGGAGAATTTGAAGGAAATTGGCTCATGTAAGGTATTTTGAGAGGCTTTAATTTTGGAATTGTAGATCGGAATGTCTTGCTCATCCCTGCGTGACACCTTGGGGATGTGTACTATCAGGCTGAAGTGAAATTATCATGTAACTATTGATAGTTTCCTTTTAGTTCTAACCTGAAGTTGACCAAAAGTAGTCTTGTGATGGAAATCGGCTCATGTATGGTATTTTGAGAGGCTTTAATATTGGAATAGTAAATCAGAATATCCTGTTTATCCCAAGGTGACACCTTGGGGATGTGTATTATTATTCTGAAGTGAAATAATCATGTAACTATTGATAGTTTCCTTTTAATTGTAATCTTATATTGACCTGAAGTAGTCTCGTGAATTAGACTTTGGAATGGTACATCAGAATGTCCTGGTTATCGCTGAGTGTCACCTTGGGGATGGGTCCTATCCGTCTGAAGTAAAATGATCATGTAACTATTGATAGTTTCCTTTTAATTCTAACCTAAAATTGACCGGAGGTTGGCTGGGGAGTTGCCTAAGACCTTAATAATGTTAAAGACGAAATTTGCGAAGCAGGATTCTTGGCGTCGTGCGGAGTTGCGAGGACTTCTAACGCTGCTCGCAGCTTTAATTTAAATTGAGTCCCTCCGGTGTCCTGAAGTGTTTGTGTTGAATTCTTTACATTCTCAAAGCCGCACCTGTCTTTCTGCATAATGTTGCCTAATTTCCCAGCATTAGGTTGCAGGCAAGCATTCGCATTCATGCCAGTGGTCTCCCCTGCCAACATAAACACAAGCAGTACTTCCTCTGCTGCGAAGAGAACAAAGGGGTCTGTTAATTAGAATGTGAGCTCTGAACTCGACAGAATATTGAAGTACTTTCTAAAATAATGTTATTGGTGTATATCCTTCTACTGTCCCATAAAAATAGGGAGTACTCCATAGCGGACATCTGCTTCTTTGTAGAGCAACAGGGAATTCACAATCAAATTGAAGAGACACCCAGATGTTGGGTGGAATTGCCATGCTGTCTGCTTAATTTTACTCTACACCCGACATAAACAGGTATCAAGCACTGCCTGCAAGGTCAAACATAAGCAACAGCATAAGTATTTGGTGAGTATCTGTATTTGAGTATCTTGCATAACGACTGCTCATGCAAGATCTTTATTGAGCCTTATTGACTCTTCTGCTGCCTGTTCAATTGCCCACCCATCATCCCAATCTGTTGTTTCCTGATAACTATCAAACATGTAGACATTTTCCTCTGTAATCTTCTTTGTCAGCAGTTATGTGTTAAAGCGTCCTGTATAGCGGTTTAATTCTGCAAGATCCTTACAAAACAAGCTTTTTCAACATGCCAAATGTGAGCAAAGAATATTCCTCCCGGTTGTGATGTGTTTGCAGTTGATATTGTTGTCCATATGAATTTAATATAAAGCATACTTCTTCCTGTGGGGAAAATCCATCATTCTTTTCTGATGGATGATGATTAGCGTTTCAGACATGCACTTTTGATGGAGGAGAGCATTTCCTCATGAGCAATTCCTCATTCACTTTTTTTGCGAGATTCCAGGTTGGGTTTGTATATTTTGTTGTGACTCTGTGGCCTCAAACTGCACTGTGCCAATTGACCAGGTCCACTGAGGGGCCCGATTAAATGTTGCAGTTGATTATATCGCATTCTTCTCCTTCACAAATCAATACTTCATTGTTGAAGTACACTGCCTCCTTTATGTCTTTGGTCAGTGTTTCACTTAACAAGGCCTGTGTGTGTTTGTCCCGGTTTGTCTGTAATCCTTGAACCACATGCTAATGACAGTTTATCATCTAGGCCTGAGCTGGCTTTTAGTGCTGTGTTTTTATACAAATCAAGGGTTACCTACGTAACATCAGCTGGTATTCTGAGAACATGGCCCAGTCTCAAGATTGGTGAATTTCGGTCCAATTTCTCACCGACTTGAAGGTCGTGTGGGTTTTAATTCAAAGGGTGATGTAATGACACATGAATTGTGCTGGAGGGCCTTTTGAAATTGCACTACAGAGATGTAAGGATTGCTCAGAAAATAATCTTTTATGGTTATGTTTTTCCCCAAATACACGTAAACAAATTGTACCATGAACAATTTTCTTCTTCACAGTGTGGCATCTGCATGTCTTCCATTTCTGTCTTCGAGGAACCTGTTGAAATGTCCTGTGGCCATGAGTTTTGCAGACCATGCTGGGAAGGGTAAGTCACATCTGGGTTAAGCCTGCAGGTGATACAAACAGGCCCATGATGTACCAACTTAACTTACTATGTTTTTCATTGCAAACCTCATTCCTGCCTGCAATGGGTGTAATACTTCTCCAGGTTTCTAAATCTAAAGATTCAAGAGGGGGAAGCCCACAACATCTTCTGCCCGGCCTTTGACTGCTACCAGCTAGTGCCTGTGGAAGTTATTGAGAGTGTGGTGTCTAGAGAGATGGATAGGCGCTACCTCCAGTTTGACATCAAGGTAACCACATTAAAATACAGAGACTAAACACATTACACATGGCATTGAAAGGATAACGCGTGCAGGGATAAGCACATGACGCCCGCAGTTCACTTTAACGTTAAGAATCCAGTTGACTGACGAGGTCACAAATGGGCAAGTATTAACAGAGTAGAGCTATATTTTGAGAGCTTTACATGTTTAATCAGCTTAATTCTGGATCTTTTCTGACTTTAAAGCCCTTTTTAAAAGTCAATTAACACCAAGCGGAAAAGGATTGTTTCACTGAACAGAGGCGGATGAGGTTATGTTAGAAATGAGTGTCCTACAGTCACCGTCACTAAAACACTTTTAATCTACTTTGTTCTGTCGACAGGCATTTGTGGAGAACAATCCGGCAATCCGCTGGTGTCCTGAGGCCGGGTGTGAAATGGCGGTGAGACTGAGCACGCAGGGTCCTGGGACCTCCACCTCAGACTCTCTTAGCTTTCCCCTCCTTCGGGCTCCAGCCGTGGACTGTGGCAAAGGTCACCTCTTCTGCTGGTGAGTAATCACTACCACGCTGTATGAAAACATTTCTGTAGTTATTTGTCTCAATATGACATTAACAGAGATTATTGTGAAGCAGTCCGCTACAATATACGTATATGTCCTTGTCTGACAGAAAAGCGTCAGTAACATTAGAAGTGTGTTTCTATATATATATATATATATGTGTGTGTGGAGTTGGTTGCCATTCATTTGCATACATCCTCAAGGTTTTCAATTGCGAAAAAGTTAAAAGTATGTTGAGCTTAACACTTGATACCCCATTGATATCATACTTATTAAGTGTATTTCCCAAAATATTGAACTACCCCTTTAACTTGTGATGGACAAAACAATCTGCTGTTGTTGTCTTTCACAAGTGAGTAAACTGAATTTATTCTTTTACGTTTTGTTGACTGCCATGCCCAAGGACAGAGGGGCCCTGATGCCGCGTTGTCCTCCACCTACTGTCTTTGAATTATATTATCATCATAACACGACCTCCACCCCAACCAATACCTGCCACCTCGCTGCACTTCACCTCACTAAAGGATTTGTGTCAGGTTCACCTGTGTTGTTTACTCACTTTGACGTAATCTGTTTTGGCAATGGAACTGTATGTAACACACGTCCGGCTTTGATGGTTCCCTTGACACGAGGAAGGCATTGGGTTTACAAAGCCAATTGGTGGGGGTCGACCGGCAGTGTGCGTCTTAATTCAATGTGTGGTTCAAGGACATACTGTCTGCTTTCAATAAATCTCTTTAGCTGCTTGCATTACCTTAATGTATATCTATAACTAATGTATATTCCAGGGAGTGTCAAGGTGAGGCCCATGAGCCCTGTGACTGTGAGACCTGGAAGCTGTGGCTCCAGAAAGTCACCGAGATGAGACCGGAGGCATGTGAGTATTCACATGGATCTACTTGTTGTGCAAAACACATTAGTCAGACAGGACAATTTCCACTCAGTGCAGTGGTCTGATTGGATGCTGTGGTAATTCTCATCTTGCCTTTATTTCTTTGCCCCTCCCCCCTCTCAAAGTGGCTGGTGTGAGTGAAGCTTATGAGGATGCAGCCAACTGCTTGTGGCTGCTGTCGAACTCCAAATCCTGCACCAATTGCAAGTCTCCGATTCAGAAAAATGAGGGCTGCAACCACATGCAGTGTGCTAAGGTAAGTTTCACATTTAATCGCAGTATGTCATCATGTCCGTTAAATCTCGGGTGCGATTTGGCCCAATATCTCTGCAGTTTCTAATCAGTAGACTTGTTTTTATTTGATAGAATTAAAGGCCCATTTAAACCTTCGGCCTTAGAGATCTGTTCGTAGTTAGCTTCAAGCTTTGGGCCTTTGCACTTTGTTATTGTTCGCACTCTATGCATATTTGGTCGATCACTTGTGATGACCTCATGGTGTCTGTGGTTAGAAGTTGATCTCCACTCATTCAGGCGAGATGCAGGTAGAGTCTTACAGTGGGACTGGAAATATTCAGCTGGTGTCAGGATAAAAGGTTGAGAGAGAATTGATTTGCGCATGCTGGTTTTAAATCTTAAAAGCTTTAGCAGAGGTTTAGGTTTAAATTAGTTAAGCATGAGAAATGAAGTCGAAAGCTCTGTAACAGCACTGGAAGCATCATCATTTTGGAAGCATACATTTTGTCCACTAAGAAGCCCTAATCAAAAGACAGCTCTGGTAAGGAGCTCTACTCCGGGGAAGGTAATTGTTGTATTAACGTTGTAATGCAATTATGAAGTTTAACACGAGTAATCACATTCAAGCGGCAGCTCGCGATACTGATCACAAACAATCCATAAGGCATCTGTCGAGTTCCATAGTCGGACTGAGGAAAAGAAGAAAGAAGAAAGACAGCCAGGTAGAGTGAGTTAGACTGATAGTCACTGTTACTGCTGCCGGAGGGCCGGCCATGGACGTGGCACTGTACAGCCATGGAGACGGGCTCTGTTAGTTCCTGTGACAGCCCTCACATGTCTCCGCCGTGGTTAAAGAGGCGGACTAGTGATGGAGATCAGTTGGAGAGAAATGGAGCAGCTCTCACAAGCTCAGAGGCCACGGAGGGCTCAGCCTCTCGACCCATTATTACCTCGCAAGAAATGGTTTTGCCCCCGTTGCTTAGAAACAAGGGACTCGTGTTGAAAAGAACAATTCCTTTGTGTCTTCACTGCCATTTCTTTCCATCAGGTCCGGCTGAACAGTTTATTTCTCACCATTTCACAAACTATCTTTTTGTGCCTCTCAGTGCTTCAGGTTAACCACCCTCCCACGTTTGGTATTGATTGTTCTGAAGTGTCTTGTAAGCAAGCTGTTTCCAGGACAACAGAAATCTCCGCCTTTTGGGTTACGTGTTGCTCTGGCCAACTTGTCACCTGCAGAAGTACTTGTGGCACGGTGAAAGGAATCGCTTCCACTCTGACGTGATGGGCAGATTTAAGTGACCGCAGCGTTTTGTAGTTTTAGGAGAGCCAGCTAGAAATCTCAAATGTTGTCTTGAGTGCCTTCCAGGGGCAGCAGGCTACATCGCTGTTCAAACAAAAGCATGTGTCCATTAAACTAATTTATGATGGAAAAAATAATGGATTGGGACAGACGGCTGAGACAATGATGTGAGTGATCTCATTCCTTATTTAGTATTATTCGGATTCTCAGAGCAGAAAAGGGGATTTGGATTTTTAATGACATTGTAATTTATTGTATCCTCAGAGATGCATACTTGATAATGTTACTTTAACAGAGTCAGGAAGTATTTTTCAGGGAGAAATAAACATAACTTGTGTATTAAATTCATGACATATAAATGACCCCAGTATTGTTATTTAGCGATCTGGTTTTATGATTTGACAGCTGATTTTTCTCCCCATAGTGTAAGTATGACTTCTGTTGGATCTGTCTGGAGGAGTGGAAAAAGCATAGCTCATCAACAGGAGGCTACTATCGTTGCACTCGCTACGAAGTTATCCAGCAGGTGGAGGAGCAGTCAAAGGAGATGACTGAAGAGGTAAACACAGACATTACATTCCTGCTAAAAACTTAAGAGGCAGATTTGCCCAGGTTGATTTAACATTTTAACTAACAATTCATTAAGACTCCACAGCGAGACAAAGTTGACAGTACTGGACTCTTTTCATTATGTCCACAGGTTGTGACTTTAAATATCTTTCTGGGAGCAGAACTTTGTTGTCTATTTTTTTGCAGGTGAGGCGGCTTGGCGCTCAGACCTACGTAGATCTAATTGATAGGCTTTGAGTGTGATCATATCAGAACTGACCTACTTCAATAAGTTTAGTCTTATAATTAGTCTTCCTTTTCAACAGCTTCAACTGCTTGTTTTATTTTCATAAATCTATGAATAAGAGCAGGCTGCTGTTGTCCTCCAAGCAAAAAGTGATTAGATTGAAAATAATTTAATAGCCGCAAATAGCTTTTGTGCTTTATTTACCATTTCTTTTGGTAAGTCGCACTGTGACGCCTGTCGAATGTCCCATCGCAACACACATGTAGCGTGTTTGCGAATCTCCGCCCTCGCTGAAACAGATCAGAGAGAAACACATTAAGGACTCCCACAAACCTGAAATTAAACCAACCTCATTAGGTTTCATCAGCTGATGGATGCAGAATCTCTGATGTCCCCTTGGCGATGCATCTATTCTGACTCAAATTTCAACCGATCATTTTGGATGATTACAGAGTTACACAGAAATGCATCGCTTAGCTTTCTGTGCAAACTGTGTAAGCTTACACAGTGACCAAGTACGGATAAGTACCCAACACAACTCCGCGTCCCACTATCCCTTTTCAGTTGAAGGTGCCTGTGTGGAGCCAAGAACAGTACCTGTGTTTCTGTAAGATGGAAAAACCTCACACACTAGCTTTTATGTCTGGAGTCTACCGTAATCAAGTGTGCCCCGAAGTTAAAAACAAGTTAGTTCTTGAGTGTTTGCTTTCCTGCCATCACAGGTGGTCCTACTCACTGTCTTTGACCGACAGTATCTACACTCCTCTGAGGGGGGGGGGAACAACATGCTCGTGGGTTTATTGACTGTGACCGGTGTCTCATCACACTTTTGCAGGTAGAAAAGAAGCACAAGAGCTTTCAGGAACTTGACCGTTTTATGCACTACTACACACGCTTCAAGAACCACGAGCACAGCTATCAGGTAAGCGCGTCAGCGATGTCCACAAACAGTCACCTATGGTATGGTAATTCTGTATTCAGTACATTTACAACATCAACAGTGTCTGTCCTACCTTTTCAATGATGTGGCAAACATAATTGATTAATTGCCAAGTTATTAAACTTTATACAGTGATATTCTTTCTAAAACCTGACATTGTCTGTCTTCCTCAAAATAGCTGGAGCAGCGCCTGTTAAAAACAGCCAAAGAGAAGATGGAGCAGCTCAGTCGAGCCCTGAGTGGAAGTGAGTGTGCGGTCTGTCTTTGTAACCATTAAGAGAATAAAACCACACACCTGGTGAACTCAAATTTCAACAATGAAGACAGGCTTGATTGACATGTAATACACTTTTCTTTTAATATAGAACAACATCAATTTTAATACCTTAATTGCTACAACATATGCTTTGTCTCAGCATTAATCATTGTGTGTTCTGATCGACTGACGTGTAAATCATTTAGGCTGAAATAAGGCTGCACTGTACACATGAGCAGATTCTTTCTTTCTAATCCATCTCTCTACTTCTCTTCTGCAGTGGAAGAAAACCCACCTGACACTACGTTCATTGAAGATGCAGTCCTAGAACTACTAAAGACACGCCGCATCCTCAAGTGCTCTTATCCTTATGGGTTCTTTCTTGAGCCCAAATGCACAAAGAAGGAGATCTACGAGCTTATGCAGGTTTCAGTCCTACTTATTCAGAAGGAAGACAAACGTTCACAGCAGATGATTTTATATGAGCCATTAGAGATTTGGGACTAAAGCTTTTTACCACATGATCTTCACAGACTGCTCCAGTTATACCTGCCCATCTCAGCTTTTAGAATTATATAATTTATGATGAAAGACAAGAAAAGTACTTACCTGATGTCTTTAATATTGTGGCCTCTTCAATACACTAAAGCGAATGAGCAAAGTACACATAAGTCCCCCAGTACGGCCTCTTAAAGGCTTGTAAAAATACATTTTTAAAAATACACACAAAGTAGCCCTGAAAGTACTTCTAATATTTCGTCCTTGAATGTTCCACTTTGGGAACAGATTATGAAGTCAATCATGAAATTGTATATTCACGCACTCACTCAAAAAACCCAGCCGGCTCTTTTTCTGCCCTCAGACGGACTTGGAGATGGTGACGGAGGACCTGGCTCAAAAGGTTAACCGGCCTTATCTAAGGACGCCGCGCCACAAAATCATCCGTGCAGCATGTCTCGTTCAGCAGAAGAGGCAGGAGTTTCTAGCCTCAGTAGCCAGGGGAGTGGCCCCCAATGACTCTCCTGAGGCCCCCAGGCGCAGGTGAAATCCAGACATGCGGCTCAAAGAATTGTCTTATTTGTACAATGAAAAACAGCACTGTATTTCAAAATAACTACGGTTTGATATGATAAAAAGTCACTAATTAGCTATATAGATTCAGCCATTAATCACAATGTTACCGTGCCTAATATTTCCTCTGCCTCTCTCCTCACTTGTAGTTTTGCTGGCGGAACGTGGGACTGGGAATATTTAGGCTTTGCATCACCTGAGGTAACAAGCCTACATTGCTTTTCATTCCTCTGTGCTGCTTGAATACATTATGTGTGTATAGTTGTAGGTACTTATCATTTGTGATCCCAAATATATTTCTTATTTTAATAAGAATATATAAGTTTAATTGCACTTGTTAAGACACAACATGTTATAGACAGTCATATGAATTGATAAACCGACATTTTAAATACCTTAATAAACATGAAATCAGTTCAAAGACTTTCTATGTGGAGATTTCTCCTGAAAGAAGTGGACCAAATATCTATTATGCCACCACAGCCAGAAGCCAAATGAAGGGATTAATCCCAACACAAGATGCATTTATATGATTTATATTGTGTAGCAATCACAGCCTCCGTGGATAATCAGTGTGCTTGAGACCAATAATACTTGATTTGAAGCAGTTATTCACACGTCTCTCTTAATATCATACCTGATCAGGTTTAATCCATTGCAAAAAAATGATTACAATGTAATCAAATGTTACAGCCCTACATCAAACATAAAAAAAAGGTTGGCATAAATAAAGTCTGTATGTATCAGCACTAACAACCCACAGTGACCCAGAGATCGCTGTTGTTCTACACGGTGGAGCGAGCCAGATGGTTCAGCGTTCCACTGTGCACCCAGTTGGAATGATTGAACGAGCAGCACTCTGGCAAACATCTTAGCAGGTTGCTCCCGCTCATTGCACATTAGTAACAGGCATTTGTAGCTGACTTTTTACAGTCATTAAACTGCCAACCACATAACGGTTTGATTATTGAGCTGCCTGTTTTCTGTGCTGCTTTAAATATCCTCTCAATCGTGGTGCATCAGACAATACGGAGGAGTAACTTTTCTAAGCTTCTATTGTAGAATTATAGTCATAGTTTTTAAACATTCTCTCGGCTCAACAGCTTTCTTTTGGACTGGACAACACAAGAACAGTTTATTTAGGGAGCTGGTTAAAAATTAATTTGGAATCTCCCTGTCCTCTGCCTGCTCAGCGCCATGCAGTGAGGCATCGGCAATAGCTTTGTAAAGCTTTTGTTTACTCAAGGATTACTGAGTAAAAGGTCACCACCTCTGCCAAGCATGTTGGCATAGATTTTTTGTCCATAAGATGTTGATCTTAACAAGGTAACATGATCTTGGTATGTTACCTCGGAAGTCCACAGTATGTTGCCACCAGATGTTGAACACTAAGCTTTTCTTAATAATTAATGTTTTTTTCTAAAGCTGGATGGGGGGGGTGTTTTTCCCCCTAATTAAGAGCTTCCGTCTCTCAGCTGCAGTAGTTAATGTGAACACCATAGTAATAGTAATAATCAAGGCCTGATGACTGCTTCACAGGCCCTATTACAGATGGTTCGCTCCAGGCTCCTCTCAAAGCCTGCAGCTTCATACGGGGCTATTTTTAGAGCGGGGGAAACGTGAAAGACAGTGTTTGGCTGATAGGCCTTTGATAATATGAATGTGACTCTAGGTCTCAAAGGGTTTGATTATTTCCCGCGTTACTGATATGCAGATCAACGATGCCACTGTATATGTAACCTTTGCATGTTGGTCAACAACCAAAACTTACCATCTGGTTGAAGCAATATTCTTTGTGGAGATGAAAAGACACCAGTTTGATATTCTATGCGTGTTATATATGCCTAAATGAACAGGAGCTATCATCTCATGCGGGTATATGTACTTTTGTGATATAATTTAGACCTGCTGTGTTAACTCATACAAACCCACCGGATAATAACATGCTGGAAACATCAGGACTTGATTGTTGTTGTTTGTCAGAATGGTAAAAGAAATGCAGAGAACATAGATTATTGTAAGGCTCGCTGATGTTGGGATTTTACATTATTACATCCATATTATAACTGAACTCCTTCTAGTGAGTGAGGGTGTCTTTCTCTCAGACGTCTACACTGGAGCCTAATGATTGGAGGCCCAGTTTGGAGATGAAAGGGTTTGAATGATCTCTCAGATCATTGATCTTCCCTGGAACAGAACACTCAGACCACACTTGAAGAGGACTGCATCACTACTTGTTACAGTTTAAATGTTTATAACAAAGAAGCCTCTGTAGGAATCGAGGAAGAAAATGTGCAAATCCGTAGCTGGCGTCCTGTTACCTGCTACCACGCATTGCAGAATGCCCGTGTTGATGAGGAGAGTCAGGCACGTTGTGACGCGCAGGATCAAAGCATCTGTAAACTAAGCGTTGATTAACATTTGTTCTTGTCATTTTAAGGAGTACGCAGAGTTCCAGTACAGACGGAGGCACAGACAGCGGAGGCGAGGTGACATGTCCAGTCTCCGTAGCAACACACCCGACCCTGATGATTCCGGCAACAGCATTTTAGGTACTGCAGTGGACATACAGGGCGGTCCCAGTGTTGGACATTGTCCTCATATGCCAGCCTTCATTTTTTGTGGTGATTTGGGACGGTTGGTTATTTGCAAACTGAAATTGATTTGTACAGAACACAAATGAGGTTACTGGTCCAAACTTTGGAACATCAAAACTGTCAACTAATCATTTTGGGCACTTGGGGAAATTGGAAATGGGTTAAATTAGCGATTCAGGTGGAGCTGTAAACATTCAGTTTAGTGACTGGGGGTTTTGTCCATTTCTTTTTCTACAAAGACACACAGGCGGTCAGAGGCGGGCGTAGACATCATCAGATGGTGAGTGCACAGTTACCATTTTTATCTAGGCTCAAGTCTTTCAGATAATGTCAAGGGTCGGCATTAATCTAGCCAAATGTTTTCAGAATAGCTTCAAAATTGGGCCCTTAAACGCAAGCTGTGTCTGCTGGTGGGATTGTGCTCATCGGGGGGAGAAATCTAACACATGTGAGGGGGTTGGGCAACCCCCCATGTATTGGTACTGGAAACACTGGACAGTTTGTTTGAATTGAGCATGGTGTCAGTAATGCCGTGTGATTTCAGAGATGAACTAATTCAAACTCTCCTACAATTTAGATGTGAGCTCCACTGTCTCTTTATCACAATGCACGTGGCTTTACTTGTGCAGCAGTAAATAATTCCCTACAAATACATCATATACTCTCACTGACATTTGGTAAAATCTACAATTCCGAGCTAGGTATATATATATTTTTTTAGTAATTTACGAGAGGGACTGACCGCCACAGGCTGTTTGTGCAAGTTGCAACGCTGTGAGACAATCTAAATCACGGTTATTTACAAAAGTGTACATTTAAATACACGTTATCGCCATATCGTAAGCAGATTACACCAGTTTACCTGCATCACTCACTGTGTCCTGGATGTCCTTGCAGAGTCTAGGTTCTCTGGATGATGATGATCCAAACATTCTACTGGCCATTCAGCTGTCCCTCCAGGACTCTGCGATGGCAGAGATTGGGTCCAACCATGACGCGCTCGGCACCTCGCTGCCTTCTAGGCTCGAGCAGCACGCTCCGGGCGTAGAGGTCCTTTCCAGAGCTTCTCTAAGCAGCTCAGAACTGCTGGAGCTGGGAGATAACTTTGCCAGACTTGGCAACATCGGCACCAGCAGGCAGCACTCGGCCGCAACCGGTGTCTCCGCCTCTGTGCAGCACTGTGACAGACACCCTAGGGCCTTCGGGGCTTCACTGCCGACACCAGTGGGTCCACGAGGCAGCGACTCATCGACGGGCCTCTTCTCGTCTTCCAGCGACACGTTGGACTTGACCACATGCGGCAGCCACGACCCCTCCACGTCCTCCGCAGCAAACGCCAATTTGCTGGGCAACATCGTGGCCTGGTTCCACGACATGAATCCCCAAGGTATCACCCTGGTCCCCTCCACCTCCTCTGACACCGACTCAAACCTCGGCACACTCTGCTCCGCCGGTGAAGGGGAGCGCCCGCAGGAGGACGAGAAAGGCGGGGGGGTCCCGCCTGACTGCAGGAGACCTCGGGAAGTGGGTTTCTTCTCCCAGCGACTAGGCGACACGGAGGAGTGTGCCGTCGCTCAGAGGCCGACGCAGTTGGATCTGGTGGGGCTGGACACCATGGCGCTGCCCTACGCGGCCACCCTCAACACAGGCGGGGACCACGGCCAACGGAGGGGCTCAAAGGTCTGCCGCGTCGACACTCCGCAGTGTGACTCGGTCTCCGACCATCTGCCCAGCAGCAGCTCCTCTGAGTGGGAGGACCAAGTGCACTTGGTGTGAACTTGACCGGAGGAGATGGGAAGACGCTTTTTCTGAGCGGCCAAAAAACACTTTAGATTGCAGAAAAGAGTAGTTGAGAAATAATTTATACAGAGTGAAGAATGTGTCCCTGGTTGGGAAGAAGTATCAAGACTCCAGCATTGAAGGCAGATCGGTTTCCCGCACTAACTGTACTGCCAGTCCCCAACAATCAGCACTCATTGAAGGAGACATTAGTTTTAATAAAATTTTGAAATAATATATTACCTGAAAATGAGTCCACTGGAGCAAAAGCCTGCTGCGTATGTCTGAGGGAGGTTTTTCAACTGTACATATGAGCAGGCTAATATCTTATTGCATTTCGGTGCAAGCTTGGGGATCTTTCTTGCTCCTGACCTCGCCTACTCTATCGGTGCCAAACACTGACCGCCACCAAGTGGATCCTTCAAAACAAAATGTGCCTGCTTATTGCAATCGCAGCAACTCGGCTGATCTGAAATGCTAGAACCATATTTGTATTCGAGATTGCGCCTGTGTGATATTTTCAAATGTCACCATCTAAAAGCTACAGTGAGTTGTGTAAATCTGCAGTTTAAGACCACGCTGGTTGTGTGCTTTATGTTGTGAAACATTCACACAAAACCATTTAGATTCATCAGCCAAAAAAGAAAAAAAAGGCAGGGGGCCTCATTAAAAAACATTTCAAAACTGACCTGACAATGCTATTCGTCTCAAAGCCTCAATCCCAACACACTTTCAAGTGAGAAAACAAACGCTGACAGCACCCGAGGCCACTGAGTGTCAGTCAGTTCACTTTATGTTGACTTCTATTGTAGTTTGTTTCAGTGGTGCAGCTGAGCGTGACGGACTAAGCAGACAGCGAGTCGTCGGGTTTGTGTACTGCAGGAAAGGCCAGTGAGAAATATAATCAGGCAATCTCATTCAGCCTTTGGTGAATGAATGAATCACGCCCAAGTCACCGTAATTAATCCCCGGTCCCGCTAAGTGTAATCCTCACCAGAACACATGTAGCGGGGTAACGCGAATGTGTGTTTGCATCACAGACACACACGTCTTCCTCCTCAGTGCCTTTATGTCAATCGCTGTTGGTTCCTTCACACGTGTCCTGAGTGCTACTTACACAGTATAAACTGTGTAACCACCAATTTGACCTTAAAGTTATTTCTCTCACATGAAGTTTATAGTGCGCAAACGTGAGATCTTGATTTCCATTTTGGTCATCGGAATATTTGTAGCATGAGGCTTTTTAGGTGGTTCCAGTAGTGTTTTCTTAATGGAAAACTGATTTTATATTATTTTGTATCATGGGTAACAGTTAATGTCGTACTTTCAAATCTTGTTCCCAAATATTTTGTGCGGAAGGTCTTTCTAAAAACCACTGTATTGACATACTGTATGTTTATCATGTATCTTACCTAAAGACACTAAAACGGAGCAAAGTTGCAATATAAGGTGGATATTTATTTGCAATCTGTTAAAGAAAATGGATTATGAATAACCAATCTGACGCGTTGAGCATTGTTTTACCTTTAAGGCTTGTCTGTGTACAGACTAATGTCTGACTGCATTACCTTCATCGGTATAGAGCCACATGCAAACTGAAGATCATAAGACTCTTGAGCTCGTGGAGCTGTGAGTGCCGTATGCTCAATGGAGCTTTGTGTGTAACAGTATGCTGTGCATGAAGTGGGTTTGAGTTTAAATGGAACTTGTACTTCCTTTGTATTTCACGTCTAACGTTCAGGTGATTTATTTTAAACTGACATAACATTTTGTAACTGAGATTTTCTATTGTCAAGCAACTAATCCTTGAAATTCTATTTGCACTTTCATAGTCTATACTTGATACATTCCCTCTTTATATGAAAACATGTTTGTGTGATGCCAATAAATATGTGGTGAGTTTTAATTATTCATTTAAATGCCTCCCTTTTTAATCAAACATATTTTGGACGGGAGGAAAAAAAAATCACAGAACCCACAATGTTTCATGGGAGTGTAAACACTGACAGATTCTGTCCTTTAATGGAGTCACTTTGGTTTCTTTAAGCTCCACTCAAACTACAGAATAGTTACACATTTCCATGTGTGCATTACTGCATCCACAGACTCAGCGGCAGAGGCCGATGAGCTGCAGCAGGAGGAGGAACAGGGAGACAATGTCCAAATAGAGGTTGAGCGCAGCAAACACGTACTCCTCAGGAGACACTTGATACTTCCTGTGTTTCCCGCCCAGGATGAGCTGCGTGTCAAACACCAAGTACTGCGGAGAGACGGACAGAGATGAGAGACGCTACCGAGGCCGACGTCTGAAGGCAGCGCGTTTCTGTGATGAAAGAGACAGCGAGCCGGTCGGGTCCGAGGGGGGGAAAACACGGCCGGCGTTGCTTATCTTTGAGAGCAGCGACTGTGATGATAAACACGCCGTGTAAAGGACCGTGTCGGCTGAGCGTGCGCTGACAGCAGTTTGTTCCACCAGCCGACGGGACGGGTCACAACATTTGCTGTTAACGCCAAAGGCACGCAGGGAGCCGGCTGTGAGAATGAAGTCTGCTGCTGTTAGACGTGCGATAATTGAAATTAAAGGGCACGAGGACGTCAAAGTCGCTCTCTTTGCACCAACGGGTATGACAAGACTGGCCGGCTGGCGTCAGAGCTCACATCGCACAAACTCCTTTGACATCAAGCCTTCACGGTTGTTTCCTCTGCTGCGTTCAAAACACGTTCCATCATTCAACTTTCAATGTACTTACCAAAGAAAACAGCAAGGTTCCCAGGCAGGCGTATAAGATGTAGAGATACTGTTGAAAGGATCAGACACAAATTCAGCAAAGGCATTTAGCAATGCGTGTTTAAAAATTAAATGTGTTTTATTCTCCATTTGAGTAAAATGACACATTGTGCTCGTCCCAATAATTCCAGCTCATCCTGTAAAAGTGAGCCTTCTTCGTTTGATAATGCATGCACACAATACGCGTTACAAAAGCAGTGATTATTGTCCGTTCCCATTCATTTGTTGTCATGTAAAAATAGCAGCGGGAAATCAAACGAATGATAATCTGTGAATTTGCTGTTTGAGGCTGAGACACTTACAGCCAGCCCATCAAACAGCGCTGTAGATTTAAATGCATCAGTTTGAGAGCGCACGCTCTGAAGACTGCCACTCGTTTAAGATCACATGAACACAACGTCTCTTTGAGCTACCTGCGATCGGAGGATTCCACACAGCAACGCAAAGGAAAAGAGGGTCCACATCAACACCCACAGGCTCCCGTTCAGTCCGGTGAAGTCCCACTGATGCCAGAAAGTGGGGAGAAGAGAGGCGACACTGAACGACGAGCCTCACAAAACACAAGACAGTGGACAGAACATCATTTATATAAGCCGAGATGCTCAAGGTGTCCCGCATCCAAGCTGCGATCCGTCATGCCGCTGATCGCTAAATGATGAAGACGTATTGTAGTTCAATACACAAGATTTCAATGATTCCGCGTGTCATTACTCTGGATAATTAATCAACGAGCTGCGGGGGAGGGGAGGTGGCGTTTTGGCCTGCGTGCCCTTTTCAGATGGAAGAAAGATGGCGGTTACAAGAGGAGAATGACTAACACTGATCACCTGAGGAGCTACGGGCGGACCATGCAAAGGGAGTCTGCGTGACATTTACATCACCGGGACGGAGACAAAAAGAAAAGGCTCTGGAACTGAACTGACTGCAGAGCAAGATGAACGTGATGTCATAAGGAGAAATAAACAGAGTAAAGTGCAAGTGTTTGCAGGAGTGAACGCGCGCAGAAAGATAAACTCCTTTACGGGGTTAGGAAGCAGCGTGCTGTTGATGTCACAGTTTCCCCCTCTACACGCAGGCTATTTACAGCCGATGTACATGCCTCTCTCCACAGATTACTAATGACAGAGCATTTAGGAACAGATTTATTCTAAGTATCGTCATTACACACCTGCGTGTTGGTTTTTGTAAGCAGTTGAAATAAGTGTCTGTAGCTACTTCAGATGCAATAAGTAGTAAAATGTGCGAAATGCCAAACTATATTCAGATGGCAATTAAGAAGGACTCTAAACGCAATTTAAATTATTTGCTCCACTGCCTATATGATGACTTTTGTCCTGAAACATCATGCCACACTATAAATAAAGGTATCCACACTTGTGCATGTTGACTACTGCTAACAAAGCAAGACCACTTGTTATAAACTTCACTCATGCAAGCTGCATGTTTGCCATGAGTTGTTGTATTGTATGTATTACTTTTATTTCAGATACTAATGGGGAGAGATCATGATCGCCATTGTATAAAATATGTGCCTGGAGCAGCATCATGGATCATACACTTCCGAACTCAAGATCCAGCCAGTGTGTCTTCTGTCCCACCACTGGACATAAAGAATAGACATGACTTGAAAAAACACCCTGATATCAGTAATAATCAATGTTTTGCCTGGACAGCAAAGCGGTCAAAGCAGAGTTCTGGACCCATGACTGGATATAGCAAACACTGCAAGAGGCAGTCTGGCCGTTTAACACATTTCCTTTGACTGCACAGGACCCACAGCATATGGACATTTACCACTGACTGCGTGGCAACGCTACACTTTATGAAAATGCAAACTGAGTCCAATGTCCTTGTGACTGACCTTTGACTGCACAGCAAACAGAGTCAAGGCAAAGGACACGAGCGCTGTTGCGCCCACAGCCCACAGAACAGCTTCTGCATCAAAGCGTCTGCACACAGAAGCAGATGTGCAAAGAGAAGCTCCCTATGATGTCATGTGAAACCATTCAGCACGCAGAGTGGATTCACAAACGGAAACGCAGTCTTCTTTCATTTCATAGCCTGTATCATGGGTGTCTGAACTAGGACCCACTTTGGACAACTATATCACAATGTATTACGTTCACTTCATATCAGTTAGAGCTTCAGTTATTGATAGTCAGGCAGCTATAAATATTACACAGTGCTAAAATACAAAATGTCTCAGATCAAAGAGGAAACGTGTTTGTACACAAGCGGTGTTTTGGAACACTGTTTTGGAACTGTTTGTGAAGGTTCCAATTTATCATGTTCTGTAAATCCGATCCCATGTGCTTTTTAATTTGTTGAACCAGGTCTGATAACGTCTTCATTGCGCTTGATGTGATCAGATGTCATTTCTTGTGTGATTGAGACAGCATGAGTGGGGAACAAATACTCACACTGTAGCAGCGCCGAGCATCAGGCCCTCTGCAAAGGTCTGAGACACACAGAGTAAATACACGACATGATCAAAACTGTGAAATAGAGCAGGTGTGGTGGGGGTTTGATGTGATGCCCGGCTGGTACTGCGTCTACTCACAAACAGGCCCAGGGAGATGAAATTGAGGGGGACTTGACGACGGAGGTTGTCACAGCAGGACAAGGCCACAATGAGCACAATCACCAGCGCTCTATTTCACAGGGAATATAGAGTGCATCGTAAATGGCAAATAAAAAAAAGCCTATAAACAGCGGGAAAAACCACTATGTTCTATATGTGAATCCACAAAGTGCATTATTCATGCAGCGTAGCTGGCAGTGTCCCGGATTGAAAGCCAGACTCTGGGGACAGTTTGTGATTTACCTCTATGGATTTCCTTTGTCACATTTTCATTTAGGTGACTCCCCAACAGGATATTTGTTGTTGGTTTAAACTGGTTGATATAAGAAAGTTTGCGGCGTACAGACGATTGAACGGAGGGTTTCGGATGGCTTACATGGTGGTGAAGGAGAACCACGAGTTGGCCCGGGTCCATTTCCTGAGAGCCTCCCTGTTATTCCAGCAGCGCAGGGGAGAGAGGGAGAGCGGAGCGTTTAATAGCGGCTCCATTCATTTGATGGCGCAGTGGAGTGATTTTGTTAAATATTAACAGAGGACAGAGCATTGTGCACATGGGAGCAGGTTACTATTCATGAAAAGAAATGACCGTAGCAGCATTCTACCACATCTATTATACAAAACATACAATATTTGATACAGTGGCGATTTTGCAGGTTTTCCCACATAGAAGGAATAGGAGTCTATTTATCACAGGTACTCTGTGAGGGACAGAATCTAAAACAAAAATCCACAAAATCACATTGTATGCTTTAAAATATATATTCAGCAGTTTATTGGATAACATAAGTATTTGATACATCAGAAAAGCCAAACTTAATATTTGGTACAGAAACCATACGTTTCCTGTAGTTCTTGACCGGGTTTGCACGCTGCAGCGGGGATTTCAGCCAGTTCCTCCACACAGACCATCTCCAGATCCTTCAGCTTTCGGGGCTGTCGCTGGGCAACTCGGACTTTCGGCTCCCTCCAAAGACTTTCTATTGGGTTCAGGTCTGCAGACGGGCGAGGCCACTCCGGGACCTTGAGATGCTGCTTACGGAGCCACTCCTTAGCGGCCCTGGCTGTGTGTTTCAGGTCGTCGTCATGCTGGAAGACCGAGCCACGACCCCTCTTCAATGCTCTCACTGAGGGAAGGAGGTTGTTGGCCAAGATCTCACGATATACGGCCCCGTCCATCCTCAACGCTCAACACGGGGCAGTCGGCCGGTCCCCTTTGCAGGAAGGCATCCCCAAAGAATGATGTTTCCACCGCCACGCCTCACGGTTGGGATGGTGTTCTCGGGGTTGTGCTCATCCTTCTTCCTCCAAACACGGCGAGTGGAGTTTTAGATTTTCATAAGCATATCCTATTCGGAACAGTGCGGCACGATAGCGGTTCATAAACATACACAATCTCTCGTTACACAATACAGTAAACATCAAAACAAAAATAACGACACATGCTAATCTGACCTCCGCCCAGACTTAGCCTTACTGTGCCTTGATGGGGTTTTCTGGGTGTCCGCGCGGTCCTTTGTTGTGGGGATCATAAGGACTGTCGGTTTTTTTGGTGGCACAAAAGCTGTCGGTGCTCTTGGAACACGCAAGTTGTATCCAAGGGGGTAGAAGAGGCTTTCCTTCTTGGTGAGCTGCTCGGGCCGGAAGTGAAGACTGGGGCAGCCGGACGTCTCTGGAGCTCTTTAACCTCACACAGACCTGAGGTCAGTCCGGAGAGTTTGAAGAGATTTACTAGATGTTTCGCCTTGAAGTCGATTGGGAAAGATGTGGATTTGAAAGAGGCTGGTTTAACCTTGCGCTGGCAAAGGCCAGTTCGGAAAGAAAGTTTGAGAGAGGAACTCACAGAACATAGAAGAGGGACCCCCTGTGTTGTCTGTGGCTTGGCCAATCAGATCTCAGGGCTGTTTCACCAAGAGAGAGAAATCGCACCTTGGTGTGAAGGCACATTCCTTGTTTATGTCCCGCAGCAGAAATGCATTAAAAAGTCAGCCTTACGCTACGGTGGGAGTACCTATGATAGAAATGACAGACCCCTACATGCTTTGTAAGTGGGAAAACCTGCAAAATCGGCAGTGTATCCAAGACTTCCCACTGCATAAACTTCTCAAACTACCGCAAGCAACAAATATGTGGCAGATGCCCTTTAATTCTCCCCCATCTCGTCTCACCTCACATATCCATGATGATAATAGCAGCGTTGAACTGCATGCTCAAAGTTGTTGTGTGCACAAATACTGTAGGTGTGCTCCTGTGTGATGTCGGAGGCTGTCAGAAGCGACACTAAATGAGGATTGATGGATGGGGGCCTGACATGGTTTCATTTCTTTTCGGAAGGAACTCCTTCTGTGCAACGGTGCCTCACCAGTAAAGAAACGCACAGATGATTCCGACAGTCACAAGCAGCTGAAGCATCAAGGTCAAGTAGACTTTCCTTATGAAACCTGTTCAGAGGGAAACACACCGACACATTCTGAGGCGGATAGACAGGAAGAGAGACTCATAGACAGCAGCATGAAATAAAATCCGCCAGTTCAAAGCAGACAGGCAGGTAGCTTTGTTTATGTGGCAAAACATGGGAGAAATTGTTTACACTAAACAGCCTCTTATTTAATAATTGCTGTGTTGCGTGGGCGGTGAAGAGATGAGCCGAGATCAGGAAATCGTTTTCAATTTCAAATCTATTTCAAGAAAACCTTGCATGGCCGGTGAGGGAGTACGTGTTGTACGTGCTTATTCTGCTCTCACTATGCAAACACAAGCCCACTGGTTCCTTTCTCTCCCTTCTTTTTCTGGCCCTCACCTCTTCGTACGGCAGAGTCACTGAAGCTGCTATCCTCCAGGCCCTGACAGTAGTCAGGCGGCGCTTGATCGAACTCCCGGTCGCCTGCAGCGGCTGCCATGTCCTCCGGATGGGCCGTGTTATCGTAGGCGCCAGGAGGGGAGACCACTGCAACGTTCCCCTTCCCCACCTGACTCACCCAGACCAACAACAACAATATCACACTTTCAAAGCCAAAATCATGAATAACTAATGTGAATGCTCACCTGATAGCTCATCCCTGAGTAGGAACTCTGCCCGTAGTCCTGGGGGTTGTACGGAGGGGGGAGAGGTGGATAATTTCCATTTCCACTGGCATTAGTCCGGTCCATTCCACCAAAGGTTTCCACCAACTGAGGGACGATGAATCCACATTGGAGACACAGGAAGGTTACGGTTCTCGTGCTCAGCAGCGAGGTGAGGTTGAGTTGCCAAATGGGGCGATGACAGAGTGGAACAAATAAATGACGCACACAAACACAAGAGCAATCCGTGACTAACGTAGGTAATTAGGGCCTTAAGCATTCGTTTAATAGCGCTGCATGTGTATTTAATGGCCAAATGGGTTGTGGTTAATTGCTCGCAGACGAGATTCAGTTGTCGTCAAGGACGGACAGTAATCAGCCATTCTATTTTATATATAGTTTGTGAAGACACACAGTAGCCGCTGAAGTCCCTGGTTTCGCATTAGTCATTAAAGACTTCACTCTAATTAGTTACACAATAACCAGTGCTGTTGGATATAAACTTCCAGGAAAGCTGCTAATCAGTAACAATATCCACTTCCTGCATCAGTTATTATCAATGACGCTTGAACTAATGGCAGCAATAAATCAAACGGCACATAAAAGCACATTTGGAATACTTTAGCTTGACTAAACTCAACTCCTCAAACCAACAGCTGTGATGAATAGGACACCGTGGATACGTATTTCGACTTATTCAAAAATATTTGCATGGCCTGAAGTGGACTTTGTTTTCGGGTTCGCTTCTTCAGCCCAAAAGGCTGGTATGTCGCGAGAGATGACGAATGAAGCGTTGAAAAGTGCTCACTATGTTTCTAAAGTCTTCAACAAGTGATTTGCTGTCCGACTCCACAAAGAAATCAATGAACTGCAGCTCTAATCCATTCTAAAGTGTCTTACCTCCGCTGTGACGACCGGGTCTCTCTGCTGTAGTGTTGGTTCGCCTTCGGGGGCAAAGTCTACCTGCTATCAGCCGGTTCCCACAGAGACGGGAACCGGCTTTGGAGGGAAAGATGTATCCTTCATTAGGCTCGACGGGATACTCGGCTGAAGTTCTTAAAACGCCATTAAGCCGACAGGGCTGGTGCTTTGTCAGAGCAAATCATCTCTATACCTTTTTCCTTCAGCGACGCCGATCCGCACAGGCTTTCAGAACGCAGCCATGCACCTGCTTCCACACGTTAACAAAGGTCTCTTTCATACATCTAGTTCCTGTTATTGGCGGAGCATTAATTGTATTGACAAAAGGCAAATGCAGAACCGCAGCAGCCCGAGTGATCCCTTCACAAAACCTTCCTGGCTCTTTTGGTCACACGTCGATAACAACCTGCCCGTCTAGCGATGGAGAGACCGTTGTATGATGAACGCCATCAATCCAACCTCGACGGAAGGATTGTGGATATTGTTTCACAGCGAGGGAGAATAGCAAAATACATACTGTAAGCCAAGAATACATGAAGTAATGTAGGTCAATACTGTCTTAGTGCTTCTCTGTGGAGACTCACCACTTAAAAGGGATACAATGAAGACCTCCGTGAATGAGAAACTAGTCCAGGATGACACCTTTTCATCTATCTATGAAAAAAGGCTGCTCAACGAAATAGTAATTTCCACTTATTAGCATTCATCCAATTCGATTACACTAAACATTGAGTGTTTTAACATGAAATTCATTCATCATGTCAGTCATTATGCCCACGATACACACTCACTTACTACTGGAAAGTTACTAAGTATCTAATCTTTCCACCAAAGGGCCACTTTCCCTCCAAAATCTGACATTTTACTTTCAAGTGCTGTTTCAGGAAGAAAGAGCTCAAATGGTCCAAAATCCCCCATCAATCATCTCACGACCCCTGAGATTTATCTTGTGACACTTTGAAGTGATCCAAGACTTTACTTCCTGTACTGTTGACAAATAAGTTAAAACTTCTTTCACCTCCAGCTTTTAATAGACTTGGCATCACAAACACCAATATAATAACGGCATATACCAGTCACTTGCAGAGGAGGTACTTACACATTTTAAGTATTTATGTATCTTTACTTACGCCTGGTTTTGGGTCCTGGATTTTATTTGTAAAGGAGTATTACTTCATGGTATTGGTCCTTAAGCGGTGGATCTGATAACAAAATTGGCTTCTTAACCCCTAGATGGCATCCAAAGAGTCTCAAAAACGTCCTGCTCCATGTACAAACCTGCAATCTCAGTTTTGAAAAGGCAATTCAACTGTAGAGGACACATACAAATGACTCACAAATGATGGAATCTGCAGTAAAAAGCTTCATTGTATGCCAGGGCCATCATCTAAATGTCTTCAGCATTCATTGGACAAATGTTCATCACCAAAAACAAATCCTGAGAAACGCTATAACATTCCAGCAGCACACGGGCAGTAATCATATATCAGACCAACACTTGGGGGCACTAGTCTCCTGTGCTTCCTCTACTAATTGCAGTGATTGTGACTTCTATCCTGCAACATCCTCCAACCATCCAGCAGCAGCCAGATCCTCCAGAGCTCCCTTTGAACCAGCTGCCTTCTTCATTTCAACTGCTGGATAGAACCCTTCATGTTGCTAAAACAAAAATAAACATTGTTTGTCCTGTTGAGACAGCAACACACAGAGAATCAATTAAAACAATGGAACAAAACGAAGACTTAAGATTTGAAGAAACAGACAGCGAATACAAAAATCCACATTTCTCACTCTGTTCTGTGCTGATTGGCGTGTCGGTAAACACGGGCTGGATGCACACTGCCTGCTCAAATGCGATGAGCTTGCTCTCACCTGCTCACGAGATCCATGCAGATTTGAACGGACGGTGCAAACAATGTGACATTTGAGCAGGCGGTTGAACTCCGGCCTGTGTTAACAGAAATCAGTGTGAAGCCCAGTGTGAGGCTGCATTTAACACAGATCTAATTGTCTCGTGCTGTCCAAACACAAAAGCACATGAGGCTGAAGCCAGATGGTGCAGAGCGTGTGCAGAGCACAGAGCTGTCCAGGCCGCGAGAGGATGGAGGGATGAAAGGGAGGAGGAAGTCAAGTCCATCTTATTGCTTCAAGGTGCTTCACAATCAGTTCAGCATTCTGAAGAAAGTGTGGACAGAAAGGGATGAATGGAAGAATGAGGGAGATGGATGGATGCGAGATGGATTGAAAGACTGAAAGATAGAGAGGAGAGAGAGAGAGAGACTGTTCTCAGTGCAGACATGAATGTGACAGCTCTGTTTTGTCAGGTTGCTACGATGCTCTTTGGGGCTTTTGGGACTGAACATCGCAGCGGGGAATGTTCCGGTGTCACTGGAGGAGGAGAGATGTAGCCGTCACGAGTCTCTCTTTCTCCGGAATGCATTTCTTGAATTACCACTTCCCGGCCGGTCAGGCCACAGAAGGATTTATTTGGAGAATTGAAATAGTTGGTTTGTGTGGTTCCACAGAGAGCCCCAGTGCTGCTATGGAGGTCTGTATCACAACATGCCTCCTTATTTCTAATTCACAGCTCTCCTGAAGATGCTAATGCAGAGCTTCAGCAGGGTTTACGGGTGATGTCTGAAACGGCTCACACTGCATATTGGGCATGTGTTTCTGGAAATAATGAGACGGACTGCACTGTGTTCCATTTAATATCAGCTAGACCAGCTGCGTCAAGAAACGGATCATATCTCACTGAGATTAACAATCCTGGCATTTTGACCCACTATTAGGGCTACAAAATTGTTGCATTGGTTTTAGAACACTATTCCGTTTAGCCAATAAGCACAGCTGTAGTCAAAGCACACGATTACGTGAATAAATTAGTTATCCATAGTTGATTTAATAAATTACACGACTGTAGCAGAGAGCACAACACTGCAGAGAATTTATCCTTATTAGAGTTGGAGTTCACAGCGGCGTGCGTCTACGATGAGTACTCCATTGCTGAATTATAAATAATCTCCAAGAAACTTCCGTTTAACGAGGAGCTTTGTTGATTGGATATCATCAGCATGCAGTGTTGCAGAAATATCTAAAAAAATCATCAATAGTCAATAATCAATAGTCCATGGTCTCATTTTGTCTTCAAAATATGAAGTCTCCTCCGACATCAGTTTGATTATGTTAGAGAAATAAAGTCAGAGATCCTGATTTAAATAATAATATTACAGTGAGACATCCAATGCAGCAATGTAACACAGTACAGTTTTTTATGATTTCAATATTTAATGATGTACTTCCTATAAAACCACTACGGCAATTATGACTTTAGCCTTATTACTCATTAGCTTATGAGTAGCACGTGGAAGCTGTCAAAGGCCAAACTAATCTTTACTGGCTCTCAAGGCTAATTAGTTAAACTGTCCTCAGTCCAGAGCCGACACTTCAGTCCCCAGTCCCCAGGCACCGGTTGCTGCGGATGCTGGACTGACTGGCTTCATCGCAGGGTTTTATTCAGCGAGTCTGGCTCGTCTCCAACAGTGGAGTTTCTCCCGAGCTGGAATACATTGGTTCTGCTTCATCCAGCACGCTAACATCACAGGGAGCCTGTGGTCGCCTCACTGCCAAAGTCCCGTCAGAGCCGGCTCACCCAACATTAATTGCATTTCCCTCTTTTCTTTAGCACATTAGCTAATAGATTAATGATGCACCTGAACCGTAAAGTCAGAATGTTCACATTCCCATCCTGAAAGTTACTGGAACGCCTCCAAAGGTCAGATTTCCAACTCAAAGAGTTGAACCAAACCCTGCCTCTGAAATCCAAGATGGCTGCTCAACAGTAAAACATCTGTAGTAACATCCTGATTAATGGCGCTTCTGTCACATTGTGTCTCATAAATTTAGTTCAAAATACTGGCTACTACGTAGACAACAATGACTACTTGTTGTACTGGAATGCAGTCAACTCACTCCCAGCAAAGCTACCTGCCACCATAGAGAAGGAAGACACCAACTGTTTTTATATTCACAGTCCGACATTTATGAAAGACCATTAAAAAAAATAGATTGAAGTAGACATCCAAGTAGTTTAAAATCGGCCCTACAATTAAACGTCAATCATTATATATCGTGCCAGATTCATCAAATTAACTTTTTTATTTTTCAGAAAATGAATTTTATCTGTTGCTTGAAAAGAACTGTAAATGTTTTGAAATGTGATACTTCAGAACAGCTGAATTAATTAAGTAAATTTCAAAGACCTCCTGTTTGGGTGATCATTTTGACTTTACCGGCTGTGTTTATGAAGCTTTTGGTTTTATCATCCTTTTTTGTGTTCAAACATGAAAAATATGTTGTTGCGTTTTACAGCAGTCAGTATACGGATATTTTTCTGACTACTTATTTTTCTGACAAAGTTAGAATTTGGGGTGTTTTATGCTGTCGGAGTGAGTGTCATGGTGCCAGGAAGAAGAGAAAATGTCTTCAAAGCCTTGGCAGTGTCTGGCAGTCTGTGCGCATGCTGCCAGGTCAAATAGAAGCGGGAGCTCTATGAAATCCTATGAGGTCAAAAGCAAGGGTCAATATGAAAAAAATGTCCTCACATATTCCTCCATCAGCCATCGCTAGCAATGATGTTTTAAATGACTGAGTAAGGATGGGATGAACTGTTTATTAACTTGGGAAATGCTTTGTCTAACGATCAAATAGTAGTTCAAGCGTAGTTGCACTATAGAAATCAACATGGATTTAGCACAAAATGAAAGAGTAAGTAATTGTAAACTAGTGTTAAGAAAATGAAGCCATCGAGAAAGACAGCAGGCGGTCCGAAGGACAGATGGACGTCTCATCCTCCAGGGGCCATGTAGTCATTTGCTGTCAGATGCTCTCTGTCAAAAAGTGGGCAGACCAGATTTGAGTCAGGGCCTTTTCTTCCCTGACAGAATGTATTCAAACAGAGACAATGGATTTCACATAAGCCATGACAACCACGGAACAGTAACTGACGGGGCATCTCACTGCTGGTAAGGCGCTGACAAGAAAAATCACCGCTATCGTCTGGTGGTCAAATGTTAATCTGTTCCTCTTTCGCCTTTAGGACACGGACTACATAGTTAAAAATATGGAAGGGACCATAAAACAACTGGAGCTTCTTCTTCAAGTTTCATTAAACATCAGGCCGGTGGCCGATTGACAAACGAAAGGAAGCAATACGAAAACACAAGCTCCTTGGCGGAGGAAACACTCCTCTTGGAACTCCATGGCAACCTGGCCAAGTGCTGCGCATGGACACAGCGGAGCAGCCTACAATTCCTGTCAACTACGTGCAGCTGATGAGCTTTTCTTTGGTTGGATTGGAGTGCAGCATCCAGACAGGGAGGACAGCAAAGATAAATGAACTGATGACACCAACGGTCCGTAGCAGAGCAGAGGATGGAGGCGAGTGCACGGACAGAACAACGGCTCTCACTCGCTCTTTTGTCCCGAAGGTCATGTGCCAACTGTGAAGGAACAAAAGCAATGGAAGGATTGTGTTTTAAAATGTCTTGTGTGTTATAATACATCTCCTCCAGGGTGATATAAAAAAATAAAACAGCATATGCTCACACATGCATATTCCAGTAGCTTACATGCCACATTGTATTAATTATGATATGTACACACATATTCAAGTCGACATATTCTTGTCTGCAGGTTGACAACATATCGCTTGCTTAGCACGGCTGGTTTCTTTGCCAAGCCTTTTTTTTTTTAGCTTAAACATCTGAGCAGATATGTTCTTTTCTCACATTTCACACTTAATTGTGAAAACGTACTGCATTATGCAACTATTGCATTTTCTCGCACACTCAATACATCCTTTACACGCAATCTGGCAAACTGTAGCTCACGAGAGGAACCTGTTGTTCCTGCTGTATTTATTAGTAGTTACACAACAATATAATAATTTAAAGGGAGGCTGTTAAAGGCCGTACTACAATTCAGCAGCAGTAAGAAACTTTGTAGATTACAATTATAACATATGACTTTACAAGTTATTTTTACATGACCTCCATTATAGAGCTTCAATCGTGCAAGTCAATGATAAATGGTGCAAATCCAGACAATGCCATGAAGCTCAGGATTGAACTCTGTCTTGGTGCCACATGCAGGAAGAAGGAAGAAAGCGTAAAGGGACCGACGTTAGTCATAGTCATCCAAATCGCTCTTTCCTTTAGAAAACAACTGACTCCGATAAATGTGTGAGTTCTGTATAGGAAGGCGACAAAAGACTTCCAGTGAAACCAACGTGCTTGTGTGGGATTTGAACGACTGCCATAGGTCAAGAAATGGTGGCCTCGGCGATATTGGATTGGGCGGAGCTAAAATGTGCTCCTCCAGTGTTGCTCTGTTCAAAACAGACCGCTGACCCGATTCAGCAAAGCGCCAAACAGAAGTTGCAGTACAGTGCAGGGACAGTTTGGGTCATCCATCAAACCGCCTCAGACATCTGAGGGGACTGTTGCCGCCTCCACACTCCCACCGTCCAGCACCTCGTGCATACACTCGCCATAAACCCGCCATTATGTGCCGCCAACAGCTGAAGTGAAAAATGCTGTCTGATGTCTTTTTTTCTTCTTTTATTCCACGAGGGATTTAGCTTTATCTACTCACAGATCAAATCTGCAGAATCATCGGCGATTAAGGAAACCGATGTGCTCTTGAATTCCAGAATGCCTTTGCGTTTCTGACGTAGCCTGAGGAGTAGAAAACACAAAACACACAAACCCAGTGATCCTCGGCACCATAATAATAACCATTTGCCCGTAATTGCTACTTATACATCACATCTCCTGCTTCTCCACCCACAGGCGCAGTTGGCGGCTAGTCACTAAAGACACTGAATGGTGTTCTAGAGAAAAAGTAAAATAACTAACCAAATACTTAAATGAAATAAATAAACCTGCGCTTAGATTTTCCGGCTAGTTGACACAATTCCTGCAGCCTCGACTTCTCCCCGCGCTCCTCGTAATGGATAAACTTAAGATGTCCTCTTTGAGAAGACGCTGCGGGGGCTTCTGTGGCACATTAACATCAGCAGAAGAAACATGTTATTATTCCTCGCAGGACAAACCCGCTCAATCATATGCTTAGATAGCATCACGCCGTTTCCCCTCCTGTTGGGTTTTATGCTGAAATGATTTCCACTTCCTGCAAAGCATGCATGATAACAAACCCAAATGTCAATGTCGTATGATTCATAACGAAGTCCTTAACTCAGAGGTTGTACCAGATTAAATGTCACATATTATTATTCATGGTTCATAACTGCAGATTTTTTTACCCACCTGAGTCCCTCAAAATGTTACAGTATAAAGAGTCTGATTAGTGACCATGTTTATTTCAAAATAAGTCCTTGTGTGCAAAATACTTCATACAGATGGACTCTATTATCTGATGTTCAATGACATGAACTTATTTTTGTCTTTGTTCATGTGAGAACACAGGAGGGTAAATCCCTGGTTCAATGCATCACGTCCGCGTGAATAAAGATGAAAGCTTTTTATTTTGCGTCTGCTGTGATGTTCCTGGTTTCTAGATGCAGACTGTACCACTGTGCAAATGTATTTTATGCAAAATAAAAATGTACACTTTTCAAAGTATTTTTTTTTGTCTGCCATTCGATACCACTGTTCCACATGAAGCCAGTGAGATTTTTCTTTTGGTTTCTTCTCCCTGGGGGAGAGTGGGAGTGTTTTAATGACTGCTGTGATGGAGGCTTTGAGAGCTGATCAAATTAAAATAATGCAGCATATGTCTTTAAAACTGCACTCATGTCCCCCGTGACGCTCATCCTCCGTGTACATTACCAGCATCAAATCGATGTCTTAAGGATCTGCCTCGTGGGGGGAGCGATGTTACCCAGTGAATAATGTGTATATGAGGCGAGTCACCGGTCCAAAGCATTTTTCTCCCTTTTTTTAATCTTTCGTACATCAAACTGGATCTGCTGGCTTCAGAAGTGCGTCAGAAGGCACTGGGACATTTCCACAATCTAATTGCTAAGGACATGGTGGCTATTAAGACGGACACCCAGTGAGGTATTACATCGAAACTGTCATGTGTGAAGAAGAGCTTAAGTTTGCCCAGTGTAGTCCATGTGGTTTTTTAGATATTATTTAGGAGGCTGTAATGTGTATTTACTCAGCAATAAATCTGCAGTCCTGTAAAATAAATAAATAAATGAAAAGTACATACTATACTAAAGTAGGTTCATTGTTGGGAACAGTGATTGTTTCTGATTGTGATTGTGGGTTGATGCACACAACCCAGCCTAACCCTCTCTGCATTGACAGCCTCGCCTGCCATCCAGTCACCATTGATGGTAAGTATAGTATGTTTGAAGATTTAAACATGGTCATTTATCTTTATGTAGTTCTCTAACCACTAGCAGAGTCACAATACAGGGAACAAACAAACGTGTTAGCTGAAGTGGAGGAGCTTTGAGACAGCCGAAAGAAATGGTTCAAATCCAATTCTCCCAGAATCAGAAAATTTTAAATACTTTAACATTTGGAGAGGATAAGCTTATTTCCTTTCTTCCAGGAGGAAGATCGATACAACTGTTGGTTAAATATAACACGCCGGCAGCCGATTATCTTAGCGGGAAGACTGAAGAGAGAGAGAGAAACAGCAACTCTGGGCAATGTACCATCTAATTGGACCTCTGAAGCTCACTAACTACCAAAGCACACACTGTTCTGTCATTTTCTATTTACTACTCCTTGCAAAGTACAGTTACTTCTTGGTGTCTCTGGCTTCCCATCCAACTCACAGCAACTAAAGGAACTACGTACAAGACTGGAACCTGGCGCCGTGGCTGCCGTTGTCTTTTAAATGAAACCTTTGTTGGACGATCGTGCCAGGAAACCTCAACCGTTAAATCTGCATCCTCCAAGAACAATGGGATCGGCCAGACAGGCTGCCCATCGAGTTCAGATCCAACGCCACATGGACACAATCCAGACGGTTTATCAAACGTATGTGCCGCTGTGTAGATAGTGTGTGTGGATACTGTATAAATTGAAATGAAAACACTTCAGCGCACGCACACACACACACACACACACACACACACACACACACACACACACACTCACTCACTCACTCTTCTGGCCCCTGATGATAGTAGCCGTTGACCTCAGTTGAACATCCTTCTATTCAAATTAAAAAAACTGAGAGGTTTCTGATCTACTGGACTGAAGGCTATTTCCCAGTGCTTACCTGTGCTTTAAAAATGTGTAATATCAAGTTCCAGATTCAGGACATGCATTTCTTAGTTATAAGCAGTGAAAATACTGCTAAATTTAGTATACAAGTCATTAGGAATGTGTTACCGTAGAAGTCTGACAGAGCGAAATGGATTAGGAAAAGACAGTATATTTCATAATGCTGAGAAAAACCTAATTCAGATCATTTTACCTGCATTTAAGTGTCTCAAAAATTGGATTTGTACTAGGCGGGGGTTTCCATTCTCACCATTTTCCCCATCTGCATCAAGAACATGCAGCAGCCTGAGGACAAATGACTAATGAGAGCAGAGTGGTTGAAAATGGCTCATTAGTGAAAAACTGAGATTTACAGGGAGAGAAAGAAGCTAGTTAGTCGACTGACAATCCTGCACATTAGAGACAGAAAAACCAATGATAGCCGACACAACTCATTATGCTTTGACACGCATAGGAGAGGAAAACCAACAACTTCCCAACTTCGGCTTCCCTCAGTAAACAGAAAACATTGTGCCATACAGGATATAAGGAGTGAAAATATTTCAACGATTGTCATTCAGATCAATAAGAGTCACAGTTGTTTTCTGCTGGTCTGGAGCACAAAACGTTATTTACAAACGCGCGAGTTCTTCTATCCATCACGCACTGTGTCGAAATTGTGTGGTACGATTTCACAGCACAGGTACAGCCCCTGGATGAGAGAGGGGGGGTTGGTGGGGGGGCACCACGGGGTATCTGAACATCAGAGGCAGCCAGGAACATCCCTACATTGCCCTGGGGCAGATGCTCCTGCAGATTGATTTTCTCCAGCAGGCTCATGCCGTCGCCAGCAGGCCCCAAAACGTCTCCACGAACAGGACAGTGAGACCAGCTTACCGCACTAACCTGCAGCCGAGGGTTTCTCCGTCGCAGACACCAGCACTCTAATTCATTTATGCCTCATTCTGAGAGGGCGACGGGGTCGTTAAGGTCAGCGTCTAAAAGGTGCTGATATTAGTGCATTACTCTGAGCAAACACCCATGCTGAACAAACAAACGGAGCCCGTTTGACATCTCAGCCTAGCACCAGCTTACATAACGCCGCCACCCTTTGGGGGGAAATCTGCTTGACGAAGCTTCAGAGCAACTTCAATGGAAAATCCCACTGGCAAATATTTCTAATCCATACACAAATCCCAGACTCAGCCTTTAAAGTATATGCTTAACCCAAGTCTGAAATGAAATCTGCTCCTGCCACTCAACAGCATGTTTGATCTTCATAGGTCCTCTTCTTACTTTCTTTATCGAGCGTGCTGTGATCTCAGTCACACTGCTGATCCGCTCTACTTGGGATCACTGCAATTAGCTTCATCTCGGTCAGTTACATAATGTCCTGACAAATTACCCACCTTCTTCAATCCAGTCTGTCTCAAAGAGATTTTATGAACCAAATTATTTGACTGTTTCTAGATTGTCTGATACTCTACTTGTATGTTTGAATTTAAATAATCTAACTGCGATAAAAACTCTTCAGACTTACTGCAGTTTTCCATATTTATAGTTTCCGTCATGAATGGTAAATTTGTGTGTAGTGAATGAGGGGATGTTAAGCTTTGTACCATTTTCCTGGTAAAATGTGTTTTAAAGGTTGAGACCAGATTTGTGCTCACACCAGGTGCTACCAGGGATTATTGGCCACCATGCATTGCTACGTCTTAAATGCTCTGAAGACCTTGGACAGACATAATGTTGGTACTCATTTTGGTTAAACTGGGCTGTGGTCAGCAAATGGAAAACTCATTTAAAATCCATAAAGTCACAAAGTAGGGAGGCAGCAAACTGAATGATAAAAGCTCCCTGATTGGTGCACACTAACATCATTTTAAGCTACAAATACTGTCGCAGAGCTTTATAATGGTGGCATCTCCACCAATGAAAGAAACTAGATTGAGCTTCATTACTTTATATATATATATAAAAATTAAGGATTTGTACATTGCTGATGAAGAAAAAATACAAAACATGTTTGATATATCATGACATTTACAAGTGCAATTTTACACAACATATTCAATAACTTACAAATGCTTTATTTTTGCATAAAAAATATATCTCTTTACAAAACGTTTGTAATATTTACATATTCATATACACAGGTTTTTTTAATGGGATAACATTTGTGTTGTACATTTAAAAGCATTCCAGTCACGTGATGTCCGTCACACTGCCGCATCATGTTTTTACCAGGTGCACCAGGTTCTCTCACCAATATCAAATGTGACCTTGCAAAATATATTACATGTTGATTACATAAGACATCCTGTCCAAAGAATGCCATCAAGTATCAAAACTGTATAAATGTACAAAATGTACGAGCAATGACAGGAATCAACGTAGTGGTACAAAGTACTATAGCAGCAATCGCTATACCGGATACATGAACAGGTATGAAACTATGAGCTGCTTTTCAAAGACACCTCTGCTTAGACAAACCATGAGGGTGGACATCACTCATCTAAATCGTTGCAAACTGTGCAGATACATTACACCTATAACAGTTTTATCAATGCAATACATGTTATGTCTTCCTTAGAAACATATGCCCATACAGTATTCAAGGCACTGCAATGATGTAGAAATGTGATGAGTCTCAAATTCATTCTTCACTTGTACAACTTTGATGGACTTAGATGGTAGTAAAATACTGACAGTGGCTAATGTTCAAGTGTGCAAATTTGTTCATGTATACTGTACATTTGTTGGCAGAAGCTGATGGTTCAGTAAGACATTGAAACAACCATTTGTATCGGTGTGTTTCAATAAAATAGACCAAGTCCGTATGTTCATCGCATGTCTCACAGTAGGAGTATGGATCAAGAATGCCGGTCCAAAGCAAGGTTTCCCCAAAGAATGATTGAAACGCTTTTTAGATTAGGTATAAAGGAATAAAGTAAAAGCTGTTGTTTTTTCCACAACATTAAAGAACAAACTGTATCTGACATCAGGCTGCCCACTGACATGTCTTTGCACGTTGACTTACTGACATCGCAGCTTAAATAAACTTCTAGGTTCTGTGTGCTGTAGCTATTCTGTGTTCTTATAAAACCTTGAATGACTCATCAAGGTGCTCCTACTTTGAAATTCTACACTTATACAGGCTCTAGGATTTGGTTAATTCCCACCTAATTCATTTTGTATGGGACACAGACTGTAAAAGGTCATATAAATAAGAGAAGAGGTTACATGGGATGGATGAGGGCCACATTACCGATATACTGAGAGGTACAGTTTGCCTTGACTAGACTCTCATATTTAAACAACATTTCTGTCAGAGACAAATTCATAGCACACATATTGATGATAAACCCAAATGTTAACTATAAATCTTTTAAAGAAAATGTTCGGTGTTGCTGGCAGAGAGCGTTCACCGTAACAATAAAAGCGTTTTGTTTTTTTACTGCACTTCAGTAATTAAATCCCCTTCCATATATTTCATCAGTGGGAGGTTGGATCCAATTAAGATGTATAATTGAGCATATAACTTTGAACAAACTATACACTAAACACATTATTTCCTCTCTAGACAACAGATTAGGTTGACTGAATCCCAGGTAAGAGGCTTCTCACCTCCATAAGAAGAACATTAGGATGAATAAGGGTGAGACCAAAAAGCATCTCTGGCCTTTTCTTCAAAAGCAAAAGGTTTAAAATTTTAATTTGGCATTGTTAAAGTAACCCCTTTTTATTAATACTACAGAGCATACAATACTCTATTTTATCTATATGCCAGAGGCTTTTTATAATCATAAAGCCAACACTCACAGAGTGTAAAGAACACTTCTCCTCACCCAAACTCTGGGAAGATCCCCAATGGTGTGGGACCTCCACTTCATCCCTCTTCAAACTTTGACCTTTTGTATATGATTGCTGAAGTGTCGCTGAAAGTGTGCTTTATATATCTGAGCTGTTCTGCCTTTGATGTATGTGATCCGAAACAAGAAAAATAGAAATATGCCCATCTATATTCACGTTAGGCAAACAAGGAGAAGTTGTATTCTCCCTCTCCCTTTGTCCTTCGCTCGTACTCGGGTATCAAACCATGGTGCAGATGGTGTTGAGATTGGGATCGAAGCGGACGACTTTTCCCTCGGCGGCTTTTGTGTTTGTGTTGTACATGGGATTCTCAAAAGTGGCCTGTCCATTGTTGTTCTCGTGGACAGAACATCCTGTGTACTGCGCTTTATCAGTTTTCCTTAAAAAAAGAAAAGAATGAAAGAAAAGGAAGATGCACATTAGTTGAGAGACAGTATCTTAATCATCTACCCTCCTTCCAATCCCATCAACATGTCTCCAATATCTTGCTGTAGACAGCCGCAGTAGGTAAATGAGGCAAAATGGTAATTATTGTTAAACACATCAGTCAGAGCGGCCCTATGCCTGTTCACTAGTAACTAACATAATGAGTGAGGAATTTGCATGTCACAGGTTTTTCCTGTATTCATTATTCAAAAGCAGATCAAATCCACGCTGCCGTACACAGTGCATACATCCCACATCGTCCTGGAGGTGCTCTCATTAACCACGTCTGACGTATACCACTGCGTAACGAGCTCTGGGTGGCGGGACTTTGACTGATATTACATCACGCTTTGAAGCCTCAGACGAGGAAGCTCCTGCATCTAGCGGGGGACCTTTCTGCAGTCGAGCAGGCGGTGGGAGTGGGCCGCAGGGCGCCATCCACCTCATCGCGCTTTGCATTTCCTTTGAATGCCATCGTAAGAACATCTACATAAAGCAGGGGTTTACAAAAGTTTTTTTTTAATTTTTTTTTTAACATCCGTCTGGAAATCTGAAATCCCCTGAAACACGGGAGGCCGACGCACAAAGACGTGCTCTCGTCTTTCTTTGTCCCGCGGGAACAAATAAGATATCGACTACAGGAGCCACCGCATTTGGGTTGGAAGCCAGAGGGGAAGGCACGAGTTTACACCACCTACCGCTGTTTGTAGAGATAAAATCCGAGGCCTGCGAAGATGAGGGCAAAGAAAGGCACGAGGATAGCGACCGCAACAGAACTGCTGTTCGTGGAGCCATTTGTTTCAGGGTCAGTGAGAGTAACATTCTCTCTCACACTCAAACCTGCAAGAAAAACATCGCGTCACACAAAGGAACACGCAATGAATGTATTATGCTGAATTTGTGAAGGAAGAGCGTCTAAAATATTACGATTGACTAAATAGTGCAACAAATGGAATAAAAGAAACGTACGTATCATCTGCTGGTGATAATGATGATGATGATGATGATGATGATGAAGAGGGGGAACGCAGAGGAAGAGGATCTAAATGATGACACGTCCGAGACGCAGCAGCCGGCCTTAATGATCCGACCGATAACGATCACTGAGACTGTGATAATCGCGTTGAAGACAATTATGAGGTGATGGCAACAGAAATGTTGAGCACAAAAGAATTGAAGGACAATGAGGTGGAAGGCAGACTCACTGTAACGGCTGTCAGTTACAGAGCAAATATTATGGAGCTGTATTGTTTGAAAAAGAGGTGTTTTTTGTGAGCCAATTAACCCAGAATTAACAACACATAATATCCCCTAGTAAGCCTCTCAGTAGTCTGTATTTCTCTACATTTGCAAAACATTTCATATATATTTTACTATAAAAATATTGCAGCGCAATTGCAGTGTATTAGTCTTTATCCAATTTGCATAAAGACCTCTTGCATGGTCTCCATGCTGTGCAGATAAATTATCCTCCTGATTTTGCAGCCAAAGACAAAACACAAAGATGTTGGATTGTTCATTTGTGATGGAATTTTTACTTCTCCACAAATGGCAGATTCACACAGGATTTGAGGTCACAGACCACCATCGCATTTTTCAAAGCTACTCCAAGTCCAGAAGTGACATTAGTCCCATGCAAACAGGTTTCATGACCTCTTCTGGATTTGAAGTAGTTTTTAAAACGTGCTTTAAAGTTTAAATGTTTTAAATGACCCTCATCTGAAAATTCCGTTCTCAGCGTTTGTGTGCTGAAAGTTTTATGGTTCCACATCACACTCGGCTGCATTTTTGAACGAGTAGTGATGTCACAAATCATGTTTATATGTATGAGTCTCCTGAACTCGCACTTAAGGTCAGCACAGAGGAACTCTGCTCCTTCAGAAAGGTCAACGTGAAAATAGACCTGGAACGTGGAACGCTACTGTTGCATCATTCATTCCAGGCCATCGGAATTAATATCACCTCTGTTTGCTTTTGCTGTGGAAATGAAAGATGAGTGGCCATTGGAAATGGGATTAATTGAATTGAAACAACACATACCAAGTCTTTGTAGTCCAAACCGCCCAAAGTCTTTACCCTGTATGAAGCCCTGGAACACGTAGCTGCCGCCCTCAGGCTCAGCTGAAACCTTGCAGGAGAAAAACAATACAAAGCTTGAGGAACGGTGGGTTTTGTTTCCATTGAATTAATAACATTTTTCATGGCAAGTGAGAGCGTATATTCCATTTCACATCAAATGCGACATTTAATAAGAACGCCCACGCACTCTGTCATGCTGGATTCAAAAATAGCCCCTTTGTCTTTGTAAACGGCTCTGAAGTGTGCGGCGTGCTATCAATAGCTTAGCGCTGCGCAGTCAGCTGTCACACGTTCTTATTAAGGGGACCCCGAGGTTCATTTTAAAAGACAAGCGTCTACTCCACAAACAAAAATTGGTGTCGTTTGCTGCCCCTCAGGTGTTGAGTGTGTGTCAGAGCTCTTTCAGCAAATTGTCAGTTGTAAAATGGTTTATATAGAGTCACTGGCTCCTCTGATGTACAGTGCAAATACTGTATGTGTAAAGAAATACCCTCCAAAAAAACACCAACATAACTATTCTACTTGTTATCACAGCTCTGTTTTAGTGACGTTTTTCCCCCGGCCCATTTATTATTATAAAGTAATAGTGATTAAACATTTGCTTTAAAAAGTCCAAGAAAGGCTTTTGGATGTGACATTCCACTTGATTTGTCAGAATTAACGAAAAGAAGATGAATGAAGATAGACAGCCACAGCTCCTGTTTGTTTTTCAGATGACTGTGTATACTCACAAACCCGTCCATCGCCCAGGTCTCATCAGTAATCCTGCTCAAGGAGCTGTGGGCCAGAGCTCTCATCTGGTGGAGCAGAAGCATTAACCGGGCCTCCTGGCGCTTGTACACTCCTACAGGTTGAGTTAAGACAAGAGGCAGCACGGGAATTGATGTGAAAAAAAGAAGGGATGAAGCAATATGAGTGCGGTGGAAAAGATAAGAGGTAGAAAAAAGAGGCAAGACGGAAGTTAAGGAGAGAACGGAAAGAAAAGTTGCAGCGACGTGAGGAGACGAGTGACTCTTCGGTGGGCAGTGAGTCAGTCAGCGGAGGCTAATACATCCTCCTTTACAGCCAATAGTTAATTTCCACTCGCATGCATGAGATCATTTGGTGATTGACTGATTGACATGAGGCATCCTCAAAATAAATTGAAGTGACACACAGAGGTAGTGAGAGCAGGAAGCAGCAGACGTATGATTTATAGATGACTCACCAGAGAGTAGAAACTCCATGCTGCTGTCTGTTAGAGTAACATTGACTTTTCCCGTCGTGGCATTAAAGCTCCGGACTGTCAAAGTCATTGGCTGTTTCTGGCCCTTGTAATCATAGGAACCCTTCCACACGAAATCAGAGGCAAAGACGTTGTCGGGAACTTGAGAAAGAGAAATAAAACTCATTAAATAAGGTCATCGAATTAGCTTCCCTACACAAGATCCAATCAATGTTAATACGAGCTGAACACTTGCACCCACGGTGTAAAATGGTAATCAGATATGCATCGGAACCAACATAACAGCTGATAAATGTCTTTTTCCTTCAGCTTGAATAATATCATGTTCCTTATATGCTTTGACAATCTAAATGTAGGATAATTAAATACATTGGGAAAGAGATACTAACTCACTCTGTGAACTTGGCAAAGGTTTAATAGTTCTTTTGTTAGGAATTATTTACAAGGGAATAATAAGTTAACCATCTTGACAGAGGTGAATGCTTGTCAACATTATGATAGTCTGAATAATTATCCTTGGCAAAGAATGAAGAGGTGGAAAGCGGACTAATTTAATTATAACTGACGCTGCTAATAGCATATTGCCTTGCATGCTACCGACTAAGCAATGTGAAATCTATAAAGGGAAGAAAGGTAAAGAAACTTTAAACTATTTATGAAGACAGTGAAACCTTGATGATGTTGACAAAGATTTTAGCCACACCCCACTAATACTGTATTATATCTGTGGCTTCCATTAAAGACTTTGAGCCATTCAAAACTCACCATGTATCTTTGGGCTCGGTGTCCCCGGTACGGGTTTGACAGTTTTCTCATGTGATTTGGAACCGACTGCAGAAGAACACAGATATTTATTTCACATAGATGAGCACAGCAGGGCTTAACAGCATGGAGGAGGGGGGGGGGGGGGATGTTGGAAGAGTTACAATAAACTCTTCCACACATTGGCATTAAGATTTCTGGAAGCTCTTTGCAACCAAAACCTTTAGAATCAACTTAACGTTAAAGTTGAATAGGAACCAGAACATGCCTTATATAACTGGTTGAGTTCAGAGCTACTAAGCCTATACACCAGTATCCAATTCACCCCTCCATAGTGCACCACCTCCACCTTTATGCACTTTCACAATCCTCCCACAATGCAACGGCCTCCTCCGCCCCATCCTCTCCATCGACTGCCCTCGTGGACCTCCGCCAACCACGTACCTCTGCACACGGGCACCTTGCCAGTCCAGCTGCCGTCAGAGCGGCAGACTCGGTGCTCCGACCCCCCAGAGAGGAAATAACCTGACTGACAGGTGTACACCAGGGTGTAACCGTAGGAAGGAAGGTCCAGACCCACGACGTCGGCGTTGGCCGGGCTCCTCGGCTGCTTGCAGGAGTGAGCTGGTGGGCGAGCAGAAGGCAGAAGCGTGTTAGTACACACACACACGCACAAGTCAGGCCAGATACACACAGTCATGCACATGCACTTCAGTCAAAAAGTCAAATACAGTAACTGTGTGAATTGTTGGAAATGTAACGATAGACATAGAAGCAGTACAACAGAGAGGCTTGGCCGACTCATTATCATTCAGCAACAGCTGGGGAAAAACAAAACTGATTTAAAGTTGTTTTTGTGTTTCTGGAACTAATCGAAATGTTCAAGGGCGAGACCAGAGAAGGCCGAGCTCATCAGTGTCCTTGCGAAGTTATTGTACATCTTGCAAAGTTATTTTTTCCCTATTACCAGGACGGGCATGTAGGCTGCAAGGTCACAAACACTGAGTTACTCTGAAAAGAAAGAACTGACGTCTGGAAATCAGAAGATAATAGAAGGCTAATAAGTGCATTCTGGAAGGCAGAACTGTCCAACTTTATATACTAAATACACAGACATGACTTATTAAAGCCTGCAAATAAGGTTAGACTCTACTGATTCGGACTCTCAACCTATTTAACTATTCTGTCTCGAAAAGCTCACAGGTGTTGATTTAACATTGCTTGGAAAAGCTTAGTTTAGAAGAAACCAAGGAAAAAGGCGGTTACCGGTGAGCTGCAGAGACACTTTTCATTGACCATGAGCGGATTGAGAATAACTAAAAAACAAAATCCCTACAAAAGAAGAACGTATGCATACGTCACTGCACCACCAAAACCACTGAAGGGTTGAACATTCGGATTCAACAATAACGTGTAGATAGCGAAATCATTTTGCAGCTTGTGAGTGGAAGAACACGCTGGCTGCTGGCGGATGAGAGGCAGCCGCAAGTGAGTCCCAGTACCAAATCGGCCCTTCATGGCGTCTTAGTGACATTAGTGGCAATTGGGTGTGGAAGGTATCTCTGCTTTATGGAAGACAAGCAGGCTGCAGGAAATCCCTCTTGTTGGATATTAGTTTGCTGGTGTTTGATCCAGGAATAATAAATGTGTGTGTGCTTGTCCGAATACATACAGCTCTCGATGCTCTACATCTTTAAACAGGCGCATCCAAGCAGTGTCCCGAAATCCAGTAGATTACTTCTGTTATTCACAGCTACACGGGGGCTACGACGATTTAGTGTACACCAAGAAAGACGGATGAAGAAAGCACAAGGACAAGTGTGTAAGTCACCCAGACGCACCACCCAATGAGTTGATAAATCTGCCTCTGGGGAATTTAGTGTGGTATTTATATGAGCTGCGAGTACAAAGAAAAACGGCATCCCGCTGTTAGTTGAAGATATCAACTCCGAAGACCTAAATAAATAAATTGATTTATAATCAAATAAACATCCCTCTTGCCGTTTCCAAAATCCATTTAAACCCACCGCTCAGCACAGGTCCAGTGGATGCAATGAGTACTGAAGACACTTACAGGTCAGACGAAGTATTGTATCAAAGGCCCGTCACGTTGCCTTGTTTATTCACACAACAGCACAGCGGGCTTTAATTCAGAGGTTACATGATGCGTCAAGAGACACGTTCAGTGTTCAAAGTTGGTTTCTCTGATGGAGCCCGTTAGTCAGGAGACACAAACAGCTCTGCTGATATTCTGTTCTGTTCCATCCAAGGAGGTCGGCCAGTCGCAGACCACAATTTACTTTTACTGCTGTAGAAAGGAATCTTTTATGTAAATGTTGATTTTTTTTCATTTCTAAAAACATCGCCGTGGGCAGTGAAACGAATTCTGAGATGTGGGCGGATAGAAAGGTATGATGCTTAAGATCCAGCGATACAAAACCAATTGTGTCCTTTGCATCGTTGTGTCGATAATCCCTCCAAATTTTTGCTTTTGTCAGCAGGACAAGATTAGTTGGCATCCCTTTTTAAATCCATCAAAGTGTCCTCACAGTAACAAAAGAGCATTTACCGAGATCACAGAGAAAGGAATTTTGGAGGATTTAACGCCGTTTTGACCGAGGGTCAACACGGCGTGTCGGACCCGTACAAAAGCACCTGTACTGAAATACATGACCACAGCTTTCCCCCAATGCTTTATGGGCTATAGAGCCCCCTCGTGTGCATGTTCACCCTTGGGGCTGCACGAGTGAAAAAGAAACCACGCGATCCATCAGCAGACTAAAATGAATGTATATAGACATATCAAAGCAGGATAACCGTGAACTTTTGCTTTGTGTTTTAGGATGTCCACTGATGTGAGGACTACATTCTTAAATCAATCCACAATCAGATAAATAATACTTGTGAAGGGTTTTTAATGACTTAGTATTTCAGAGAGACAGATGTCATGCTGCCAGAACCTGAGTAACACATTGTTACACGTGTTCAGACCCCTAAAACGATAAAATAATAATATAAGACATCAAATCTAAAGTCTTTTAATTATATCATTCTGAAAATACAGCCGAAGAACATCTGTGTGTTTCTCCACTGGCTATTTTCTGAGCTAATTTGTTGCAAAGGCAGATGGCAAATTAACTTCCTTAAAAGGAAATATTATGGAAATCTGCCAGGTTCCACCTTATCAATTGTCGCCACTTTACAGTTTATTTAAGCGAATTAATATATTGTGACAATAAGGTTACATTTTCCCTCAGTCACACATGCTTTTGCGAAATGATTCATAAAGGTGTGGGGTGCTAGAATGTGGTGAGCGTCAGAGACACATTTTCTCTATCCAGCAGTAACAATGACAGGACGATGCCGGACAAAAATAGATGCATTTTTCAAGCCACCAGCGGCAATGAAGCAGGGCCAGCGAGCGGCTGCTGACATACTGCAACCTCAGCAGACACAGACAAAGTGCACCTGCTAAACAGAGGGACTCAGAAGAGTTAAGAGCCTCAGCGCATGATGCTTCTGAATGAAATCCAAATAGGTTATCAGTGGCTTTACAAAACATCATGGGTAAACAAAAAGGACATCGAATGTATCCTTTCATATTTACCCCCGTGGAAGTCAATGGGGCTGCTGGGATGATTTGTATACAAATCCCCAAAAGAAAGAAAGCACCCAGAGGGGCATCCACTGGGGTTCGATGTACCACCAGAATCAAATTCAAATGATGCACGAGCATCTCAAATATCCGTATCTAAAGTTGAAATGTTTTATAACAATGTGTGAAACGTTGCTTAATTTAGATGAAGTTTGGAAATGCACCACTATTGAGCTCAATGTTTATATTCATGTTGAGTGAATTATTGTTGTTTCTCGCCAACATCCCTAATTTATCGCTTCATTGACAAAGTGGCATCCATTAACCCTAAATCGGGAACGATTATTACGTTTAAACACAAAGAGAGTTAAATATCAACACTTGTCAAATAGGAGTGGAGAACCAAGCAATTAACTCCTCAGCTTGTGCATCGCTCAGCATTAGAACGCTAAGTTGTACATCAGTAGACCTTACACAATAATAATTACATTATTTTATATTTAAGACAATAAAGACAATTTGAGTCGACAGTGATTTTCAGAAGACATAGAAGACCTTTAGAAGACCGGTTTATCTTCCATTTTTGTTTAATTACTATGAGCATTGTTCTTTTCAGATTCCCTCAAAAGCTCACAGGGCCATAACATCTCAACCTTTCAAAGAGCACCACAGCACCGCAAGCTGCAGCCTCCACAGCGGCCATCAAGGAGAATCAGCATCCCTCTAAAACATTTGACACAGAACATGATAACCCTCCTGACAGAAGGACTTAATGAAGTGATGGCGTATTAGACTTCATGCGTTTCAGCTAGGTGTATCTAATTATCTGGCAGCTAGGTGTTTACACATTAAAGAGGCCACTTGCACATATTCAAGGATTCACAATCCCTCTAAAACGTCCCATCTTCCCACTAAAACACACACCACGCGCAGCATACAGCACACACACGCCTACACACAAAGCTGTGCTGCATAGTAGATCAGCAGACTGACGGCTAAGTATTACGATGTTTCTCCTCCCTCAGCAGAAATGTCTCTGGCAAATTCAAGTGGGTGTTACATGTTGGGGGAGATAATGTATCAAGATCATAATATTCCTTTATCATTACACAGAAGTGTTAAGGAAGTGCAGAGGAAAAGGCAGACTACAGGACGACTTGCGGGGGAAATTTCTGTACTATAAATACCGGATTACATCAAACTTTAGAAAAGCCCTTGGCAAAGCGACTTGGCCGAACTGCAAACGCTTGGTGTTGGTCAACAGTCCAGGTAGTCCAAACAGAATGACCGTGACGCTGGCGCAACGCCCCACTCTCAGATTGACCGGGACGGCAGGTAGACTGAGGCTGAAGGTGAGATCTGCCAGGAGGTGAAAGGACTGAGCAAACCAACAGAGGGAGAAGGTGTATTGAGGCACGGTCTGAATACCCTGCGACGCTTCTGAACAGTGACAAGATGCCAGAGGGGGAAGCGAAAAAACCAAAGACAGGGAGAGGGATACGAGGATACTGTGGAGAGCGTGAGAAACGGAGCACTCACGGATGCAGCGGGGCTGGATGCCGGTCCAGGTGAGATCCGGCAAACAGAGGCGGGTGGTGGAACCCTGCAGTAGGTGTCCCTGTTGGCACTGGAAGTCTACTCTGCTGCCCACCTGGCCACAAACAGACAGCGCACAAAGTGGAGAGTCAATAAACGAATACAAATGCCAATAGGCTCCCAGTATAAAATCTAAAGAGCTTGTAAAAATACTGCACACTAAGTTTTTTTCCTTTTGTTATTGATTATGTGTAGCGTGGAGGCAGATGGAGACTATTCCAGGAGGCGATGGCCCAGGTTTGTGTTCACAACTGATGCAGAAGTAAGAAAGTGATTGAAAAAAATAGACAGGAACGGTTTACCCGTTATCTTTTTTTCTTGCATTAAAATAATGGCAAAAGACAACACTGACACACTCACATACAAACCGTAAGACAATCTCCAGCAACACTAACCTTTGCTTTTTGCCATCAATAAATTATGCATTTTCAGAAATGCTGAAAAACAGCATTGACACAGGACTTTCTCATTGGCTGGTGTCAAGATGCTGGTAACGTCGGTCTTCAATGCAGAAAAGGAGCGAGAGTACAATACAAGCAGCCATCCGAATAATAAGCTGCTCCTTCTGCTTTCACACGGGACAAATTTCATATCAGATACTCAGCTGAATGTTGCGGAGAAATATTTTGCACTTAACTTGTAAGTGACGCTCTAAGAGTATCAGTGCAGAAATAAAATGAAACACACTGGCTGAAAGCATCTCAGGGGAGCGACTGTGCACACACCAGTGGTCATGATGTGGGGTTTTTTTGTGGTTAAGTTTTTTTGACTATGATGTATTTGAGTGTTGTCCATGTTCTCCACGGACGGTCAAGCTGCATGCAGTACACATTATTATAGATCCAGACCAAGCCTGTATACATGCACAGCGGTAGAGAAAGACAGGGTTTTTCTTCAGTGAATCCCCTTGGGATGGATACGGCATGCATCACTGCTTCATACTTGCACCTACATGACATCATCCAAAGGAATAAATGATGATTTGACATGGAACATCTATCGGAAACTTCCCGTTTGAAATAGGACTGAGTGCAGGTAACACATTTGAATGGTATAGTCGCCTCCCGTGCTTCGAACAGTGCTTAAAATAGCGATCATATGGAGATCTGTTGTCTAGCTGAATTAGGAGAGCGCATAGCGACTCTTGCTGTGCTAGCTGAATAATCACCATGTATTTTAAAGATGCACGTCTGTTCTATAAACCTGCCTCCAACTAGGAATGTACTGTTTTGAAAAACATTTTCTAATGGAAATGCACCTGAAATTTAAAAAGCATTTCTTTAGAAAACATATGCATTACAGGTTTAGCTCATCTTACCTTAAAGCCTGTTGTGTAATTCATGAAGCCGTGCTCAGGTGTCCCTGGATTTTCACAGGTAGTTCTAGTGGGCTCTGGAACGAGAAATCGTTGTCCTGATGAGGTGTATTGCAGAAGCGCAAAAACGAGAGTATGACAGAGGGGCAATCATCGATAATGACGAAGCAATTTCTCTCTGGTGTACCGTGTACTAGAGCACAATTACTGGTATAGCGCGGTAACATAAGCAGAATTAATCTGCCATCTCTAGTCCCTTTGACTGTCAATTATCGGGATTTCATTTTAAGTCTCAGGAATATTAGACCCCCGAGATCATTGTAGATTCAAATGAAGACACGTCCATTTAATACATCCAGCCAGAATGGGGAACAAATATACTTTCTGAGGTAAAAATCGATATAATACAATTCACTCTTTAATCAACAATGTAATTAAATGGTCAATAAGATAAATAATAATCTGTACCTATACAGCGTGGCTGAGAGCCGCTCCACATGCCGTCTTCCTGGCACACGCGCGTTGTTGATCCCACCAGAAAATAGAGGGTGTTGCAGCTGAACGTCACCTCGGACTTGAAGATGAAACTGCGCCCTTCTCTCCGTCCTCTGGCAGGCACACCGGGGTCTCCGCAGAACTTGGCTGGGGAAGCAGGAATGTGGAATATTGCTGATGCGATCAATTTGAGGGCCAAAAAATCCAACAGAGATGTTACACATTTTTCTGCAAGTGATCCTTCGGTCTGGTTCATGTCAATGTGGACGCCCGGTCCCTCGAGACCCGTTTCATGACTCGAACGTCCATCAGTTTCTGACCTAATTATTAATAAGGAACACTAGAGCAGCTGGTCAATTGAATGAAGCATTGGGTAGACCATGAAGCATTTAATTCAGATATAACGAGATGAGTGGACTGCTGCGGCACACACCCAAGATGAGGAGGGCCTTTGGTGGTTTCTACTGCTACTGTGAGCGTTTTATTATATTATATTTTTTCAAGTAGCTGACTTATACAAATATCGTCTTACCTTATGATTTGAAAAGTCTTCATGGAGTGAATTATTCAAATTGCATTGACGTTATGCGTGTAACATAAATTCGTGTGGCTATTTGCTCACGGCGTGTGGGCAGATGCCTTGGCGTCTCCGTCTCGGGGTGAATTGTTCAATCTCAACATTTTGTTTTGTTTACAGACATTCAACCTTCCTGTTGAGTGTTTCCAGTAGGAATGTGAATATTTATCTTGACAGCAAAGGGGGGGACGAAGGAGGTCATGGCGCTCAATTTTAGATCAACATAATTAGCATGTGAAATATTAATTTCTCTGACAGGGCCCCGAGGTTAACACAACCGGAGCCATCTGCCGCCGCTGTTGCTCCCAGAGCCTCTGCCACAATATCGCCTTCATAATGGGACTCTCACCGGCGCCTCAGCAGATGAAGCCCGTCGGATAATCCCGGCTGCTCCTTTTCATGCGTTGCTCATAGACATCTAATGAGTAGTAGGTGGCTTGAATGGCATTTTCTATGTCTGCCCATGTATGGTTCTATCCATCTTGTTCTACCGCGTGTATATTAAATATATATATATATATGACGCATCGATCAGCTATATGTCGCTTGTTAGCTGTAGGAGGGAGAGGGATGCTCAGCGTGTGAGAGAGCAGAGGCGAGGACAAGAGTCACAGCATTCAGTCACGCAGCCGGAGCGCTGTGGGATCAGGCCAATAATAAGGCAGACTGCGTCTCCAGACCTGACATGTGCCGCTGCGTGGAGGTCTGGAGGCAGAGATAAGTTCTCCCTCACTCTCTTTTTCTAGAAGTCAGTAACTAACAGCGGCTTCCCACAACCAATCCCTGACATAATAGATATCTAGTAAAAAGAAAAGGCGATTATTATCCAGCCGTTGCAAGAATGGCTGAATACAGCCATTACTGAATATATTGTTATCTCTGGAAACAAATCCTCGTATTCCGAGACATATCTTCACCCTAAAAAAGATGCCTGTGTTGTGAGTCCCCCCTCCTTTGCCCAATAGTTAGTTTCACTATGTTTGATATGTCAACAGATAAAGCTGCGATTGTCTGCCGGGATCTGAAACGATGAATCCCACTATTCAAGAAACAGGATGACTTTTTTCTTCTTGGGGGGGGGGGGGGGGGGGGGGGGGTATTTTTTGACAATACAGGCCAAACCAGTGACATGCACATCAGTTATAGGATTCAAGCTGCAGGGAAATATGCTGTTTTATGGATGTATTAAAGAAATGGCCGTCGGCCAAACTCAGCTCAGCATATTTAATATACGTGTGTTAGTGTTTGTAGGAGAGTGACTCTCTCTCTCTCTCTCTCTCTCTCTCTCTCTCTCTCAGCTTCTCCCGTTCCTTGATGAATTATCAATGCTTTGAAGTAATCAGTATGCAGAGGCCAGATTCGAAGTTGGGATCACAGTCTCATCCCTGCAGACACATGAACTAGCAAGCTCAGACACTGAATTTTGCTGCTTGCTCTCCATTTCCCTTGTGTTGTGGTGGGGAACATGAATATGCATCTTAATCCTGTTTGGCTGAAAGTGTCAACAGAAGTGCCGATTTAAAATAAAGCACAGGTTTTCTCTGCAGATGCGTGGCATCTGCTGCAGGTTTTGCTGAGCTGTATTTCAACTATAAGTGCTGAGTGTGAACTGCAATAATATTTCTAAAGAATACAGCAATGCAAATATTGCTAATATTCAGGAAGACATGCTGTGAAATATGATGTGTATGATAATGATAATTCTTCCTACTCGGCTCATGATTTTATTGGTAAATATACTCCGTCTATGAGTGAATATAATGTGCTTGGGGTGAAAGCACACTGACACAAAAACAATTACTGCCTATGAGAATATTCACAGCTTTTTATGACAAACGTTTGTGTTTATAGAGTAATGCAGAGCATATAGTGGTTCTTCTTGTGAATACGCTTTAAGCATTGACACTAATTAACAATTTGCGCCTTACGGACGACTTGGCGACTTATAGGGACCAGCAGATGAGAATGATGTAGATTGTGCTGACATTTTAATACATGAATAATAATCTTTTCTATACCAAATGCAATCAGCACTTTCTTCCCTGTTTCGTCCCCATTTTCCAGACTCATTTATTTCTCTCTGTAAACTCCAGTGATTTATCACAGACTTTCACTTACACTTACAGTCCTCCAGCAGGAGGCCAGCTATAACAACATTTTAGCAGAGCCAAGTTATTTACGGTCACTGGTTATTGATCACACTGAATGCAATTTATAGTGTATGGCTCTCAATTTGGGTCAATTTTGCATGAGCATTGGCTCTCTATTGCAAGTCATAAATAATGGAACTATTAGATATAATTACTACATCAAAAACAATTCTCATCTGGGACGAAATAAGCAACAAAATAGCATCACGGAAAATAAAAGTTACTCGCTCACAGAGCTTCGAGGGGTAGTTTTGGGGTCGCTGAGGTGGACAAATGTTTGGAGCTTGTGGAGGGACGACGCTGCTCAACATAATTGTGGTAGACAGTAAGTAGACATGGTACACTTACCAAGTGGAACCGTATGCATTTTATGTCCAGATGACCGTTTTTTCTTAGCCATCATAACAACTCAGCCATCGGTTTAAAGTGTAATGTAAGTCGCTTTGGATAAAAGCGTCTGCTAAATGACCTGCAATGTAATGTAACTCAGGTCCACAACACAGACATACGATTGCACTTCAATAAAACAGGGATGCTCACTTAGTGCATATCTGTATGGAAAAAACCTTTACAGTTACGCAAGCTATTATTCAGACAGCACATTGCTGTGCACATTGACCTACACAAATTACAAATAAACAACAACAATCTGGCCATTTGGATAAGCAAATGTCTCTATGAGGCACTGTGCTTCCGTTTGCATGGTCACAAACACTTGCAGTCTGTCAGCTGCATCTCAGATGTTAAATACTCAAATGGGACCATGTTCGGCTCACTGAATACAGCCACAAGCACCAACATGCCGTCATTAGCATCAATTACAAAAGGACACAGCAGTGAAAGAAGTTCTTTTTAAATGGGCGCAGGGGTCTCCAACATGTTACTGAAATAGAAGCCATTTAACTTCTCCCTAGATCATAAACTCCTGCCTAAAGTCAACACCAGTGTCGATACAGTTTGCATTATTATGATATGAAACAATGTGATAACAGCAATTCTTTGAAAAAGAAGGCTGGATTAATTCATCCGTATGAAGCAAAATGGGACATTTCAGCAGTTCAGGTGGAGATGCTTTTAGCTGTCCGAAAAAAAACTTTCAGCTTTTGTGCGTGAATATTTTTTATGGCGTTCGCTGCACTTCAGAGCAACAGACAGCGAGTCATTCATCCTTGTTGATATTTTATTTCTGACCGATTGATTTATAGCAAGAATTATTGGGATGACAGCGAGATTATCTTTATCATTATGTTTGCAAAGATGATTGATGGACCTAACGTAGTAAAGAGCACCAAGCACCCACGAGTGGTTACACGCTAATCATCACCTTCATCATCAACATTAGCGCTTGACTTTGGAACTTTAGGTTATTTCACTTCTTGTGTTTAAAATAAAGCACAGGTTTTCTCTGCAGATGCGTGGCATCTGCTGCAGGTTTTGCTGAGCTGTATTTCAACCATAAGTGCTGAGTGTGAACTGCAATAATATTTCTAAAGAATACAGTAATGCAATAGGTCTAATATTCAGGAAGACATGCTGTGAAATATGATGTGTATAAGTGGTTACACGCTAATCATCACTTTCATCATCAACATTAGCCTTGACTTTGGAACTTCAGGTTATTTCACTGTCATTTGGGGTGTTAAACGTTTATGCAAGAATTTTGAAATATTAATTTTTCGTTCATGGACAGGTAGAATTAAATCTTTTTTGCATGCTCGGCATTTTTTTAAATTTCATTTAAAAAATGGTTACCACTGAAGGGGACTCCAGGATTTAGGTATAACTGAGTCTTTATGAAATAAAAAAAAAAAGTTACTTGAAAGACTAATAATCCCAGTTCTGCTTTATTGGAGCGCTGTTTAATTATTATCTGTAGCACTTCATTCTTTCCATCTCGGCCCTGATGTTATGTTTCATGACTTATTCATGACTTCCATTAATTTCATTCATTTGAGATAACCTCTAAAGGGGAAAGCAGCAAAGTGGCAGAATGCGCTTAACACTAAGAATCAAGAAGTCCAAGTACAAAATGGTGACTCACGCAAGCACTGAGGCAGGTCTCCGCTCCATGTCCCATTCCCTGCGCAGGTGAGCACAGCGGGGAAGGACAGTTCGTAGCCAGGTAGACAGCTATAGCTCACGCTGGTACCCCACTCCAGGACCGAGCCCTCCAGGAGGCCGTTGGGTACGAGTCGCGGTGTGGGACACGTCACCACTGAGGAGACAGTGAGGATGCGGTCAGAGTCGAGACCAGGATCCAACGGGAGCTCGAGACAAAGCCGGACACACGCATCCGAGCAGCTCCAGACCTACTCAAGAGCAAGAAGTGAGAGCTTAAAAACTAAAGATGAAAAAACATTTTTTCAGTTGAATTCACCAAAAATCAATGAACATCTAGTAAAATTCATGATATCCTAAAATACGTAATAAATATTGCAATTCTAGCAAAAATACAAAGTAGTAAAATGACGGCATATAGACATTTTAATATTGAATGTTTAATCAGAAATGGTCTATGATGCAAACACAGAGTTGGAGTGCAGGATACAAGATAAATCCGTGGTAGTTTTAGGGTACCATGCATATACTGTATCATGTACAGATATCTGCTGTGATGAGAGGAAAGACAAATTGGAAAATATTTTTGTTTTTACAATCCTGGACACAGAAAACATCCTTTAAACTGGAATTTATCACCTTCTGGTTCTATGCCTCTGCCAGCCAGTCATGTTTCAGTTTACATCCATTGCTGTTCAAAACGCCCCAAATTCAGGATTTCAGAATCTTCACTAGCTAGCTATACGGGGGGGGGGTTCACGGGGCGACTGTGGGTGAGTGGGGAGCACGGTCGTCCTCCAATCAGAGGGTTGTGGGTTTGATTCGTATGAATGTTAGTTACTGATGGGCAGGTTTCCCTGTGTGTGGTTCTCCTGTCATCAGTGTGTGAATGGGTGTGAATGGGTGAATGATGCCATGTGTTAAAGCGCTTTGAGTGGTCGGAAGACTAGCACAGTCCTATACGAGTACCGAGCCTTTACCATTCACACGCACTAACACACTAATGCCGATTCAGGGTTAAGTATCTTGCCAACAAACTGGATATCAAACCGCTGACCTGCCAAACCACTGTACTTAGATAAACTATGGGCAGACAAGCCCAAAACATTACACTGGCTGTTGCTGGCACAGAGCCATTTGGTACAATAGCAAAAAGCTACAGATATTTGGTGTAACTCGAGAATAACAGACAAATAAAAGGTTGGGGATGTTTACGAGTAGTCAGTTTTAATAGATGGAGGTCACTGATTATGGGGACAGGCAGAGTGGTTTTAAAATGCGTTAAACATTGTAATGAACCCTTTATCTGATAAATTGTCATTCTAACAGGTTTCATCTCTCACATCTAAATCCAGTTGGAAAAACAAACACTAATTTGTCCAGTTGTATTGATGCACTACATGCTTCCAATGACGGTGGGTGACTGGACGGAGTTTTCTGCAGTTTGTGTTTGGGGTATACTAAAGAATTTCTGTAAGAAATAAGAGGACATCTTGTTGTTGTGTAAGCCCTAAACTTGATGCTTAACAAATGTAATTAGTATGCAAAATAAAGCTCAGAGTTTGTTCTGACACACTTTGAGCTGAACCCGTGGGGGTGCAAATGGGATATGGGCTTTGGGCATGTGAATAAATTATAGCGGTTGTTTTAAACCATTACTATCCCCATTTCTGTCTGTTTAGACATGCTCACGCATGCCGAAACACTGCAAAGACAACAAAGATCTACAATGTGGAGTTGGGCTCTGGCCAAGTCTTGAAACCGTCTGGCAAGATTAGATGTTTAGTTTACAAATCCAATTACTTAAGACTGTTATGTGGACACTTTGGCTTTAAAGTTAAGGTTTGGTATTTGAGTAGAAACCTTTTCTTTTACAAAGTACACAACACAAATTCTGATGCAGCTTTGTGAAGGCAGCGTAAAAATGTCTGGTTCAAAGTGTTTTATGGCGGCATACACAATTCCATTTTATTTACACACATCAGAAAGCCTCGCCCACCCGTTTAAAGTTTGTTTTACATCCTGTCAAGGTAAAATGAAATTGAATATGTTTCCTATGATATGCAGTTGTGAGGTGGCCACATGATGGACAACTTTTTATGCCTGTCAAACTTTTTCCACACAATTTCCAGTAAATGTGGAGCAAGCCACTGTGGGATATTCACAGCCTCTCTCTCCGAGGTGGAACCATCTTCTGTTGTTGCTTGGCAGCAGATCCAAAAACAGGTCCATATGGACATGTTGCAGCAGTATAGAGTATGTATGCTTCAGATGTATGCTATATTTGGGAAAATATTTAGGCCATCATTAAACAACTTGAAGACAAAACCATACCATCTTTTGTATGTATATCAAGTTTTGTTTAGTGATTTTCTTTCTCACGTTCACAAGGAGGAACAGGTTCCCTTGTAATTCCCTCTCTTTGATGTCAATGAATTAGTAAAGTGCACCTTCGATTTGGGAATTCCATTTGATGCTGCTGCCTTGGGATAAAAAGGCAGTTCATTCTGAGATAGCGCTCTAAAATGCCCGGCTGGAAGTTGTACGGTAGAAAGTTGGCTTGTGTCTGTACGTGTGTCTGTGTGAGAGAAAGGCAGGGAGAGGAATGACCGATGGGAGAATTTGTGAACACACATGTGCCGGAGGGCAAATTACGCTGATTAGAGGGGGAAGGCCCACTAATCCCATAAGAGCTGCATCAGAAATTACTAAAATGAAAAAAATAAAATGCTAGGCACGGGTGGCAGGCAGAAACTGAATGGGAAGTGTCCCCATTTTCCTAAGTAGTTCTAAGTAGCATTAGTGCCTCTTAGCTGAACACGCCAAACCTGGGATTCAAGCGGAATCCGCGCCGGGCGAAGCTTAGAACGTGCCATCGGCGGGGTGTTTATGCACAGCGCACAGAAACGGCGTGGCCATCCCCGACACACACACACGCACACACACACACACACAGAGGTTTAAACAGAGTCTGCATACATAAAAGCCCTGTCTCTTTCAGAATCAAACTGTCCCCCCCTCCCCCCTTTCCTCTCTCGCCCTCTGCCCCTCCCTCCCTGGAATATCGGCTCATATCCTTGTGGAACATCATTCAATTCTATGACAAGGCGGATGCCCCCGATTTCAAACGCTCAGCCCGACTCGACCAACTTCAACTTGAACCCAATCCTGAAATAGAAAGGCAACAGATTTCATTGGATGCATTGTTTTCAGTTTCAAGAAGCAATAAGTAAAGAATTATACTTTTAGACCTCTTGCTGCTTGGGCTGTCAGCGAGAGAGGATAAAAAGCCGTGACTGCTGGCAAGCTGCTGTAATGCTCGTCCTAGATAGTTTTAGAAGGGACCAAAGGAGTGAAAGGGAGAAACGGATTTTTTTTTTAAATGAAGCTTTGTAACATCTATTCTGCTATTTAATATCCCATACGCACTGAGGAATCACAAAGATGAATATAGCGCACATCCTTAGTAATCAAACTCCTCGTTCCTGCCTCCCATTTTAAAATATTCCCCATGGTAGAAGTAAGTACTGCGGCGAGAAGAGAAGGCAAGGGGGGCCGCGTGGCTCGCTGACAGGTCGGCAAACGCGTGGAAGCATTTGTGCGCACAAAAATACTGCCTTGCGATGGCATTGGTGTGAATCCGATGAGGACGGCCGGGCGCCGGCATCAAGCTTAGCAGTACCGGGACGCAGTGCCCGGGTTAGAGCTTTGAGGTCAGGAACTTTTGCACGCACGCACGCACGCGTGTGTATGCACCCATGGTGTTTCGCTCTCGGTTTGAAACTGCCTCGGGTAACAGAGGTGCGACAGTGGGTCCATCAGCCTCAATGTACCACAGAACACGGAGCATTAATAATGAAACACACCCATGAAATATTACAATTCAGTGTCAGTTTGGATGTTGTAAACATCCAGCCACGGTCCTGCGGGGAGCCCGAGAAGGAAAAGAATTGAGTGACTTGAAATCAAAACAGCTCAGGAAAGGTGACGGCGACTTCCGGTCAATAATGGCATTTGAAATCTTGAAATCCAGAATTTTGACAAAAACTGCTTTTCTCAGGATCATAAATGGCTGCAATTTTGCTCTATACTGGTGTACCTCGACTTCAGCGGAGCCTTTAAATTCCATTGATCATGTTACGCTGTTAAGAAGACTCAGCATTGGGTTTGCATTCATAGAAAGACTGACGTGTTTATCCACCCGTCTGTCAAATTGAACATTTGATGTCTCAATACATTCATTCATCCTCTCAACTGCAGCGACAACACGTGGTTCAGTTGAGGAGAGCTACCTCAAGATCTACTCTTTGACCACATACTTTCTCTATGTACGTACTTCCTTTAGGGCATATCATTGAGTACCATAACATCTAATAACAGTAATTCAGACCCTACACAGTTATTACTCGCCTAACACTAGAGCTGCAATCCTGGAAATCATTTAAAAAAGTATATACACATGTTAAAAGCGCCCATGTTTCCACCAACAGGAAAACATTTTAGCAATATGGAGAAAATTATCCAGTATTTTACCATTTCATATTTAAAATAAAACCCATTAATTATATGATATACTTTACATCCAGCGGAAAGAAAAGAAGGAACAAAATCACCATTGTGAAGTAAAAAGGATTTTTTCTCCCTGATCCCTCATTCACTTATCAGCTCGCCTTCCTGGAACGTGTCGGTGCGTATTCCTCCCACACGTTACGTTTTTTTCTTGTGCATGTCCGTTGCACCCGCTGCCTCTTAATTTGTCCTTTCCCATTTCTCAAGGGGCCAATTCCACCCCAGCTTTCTTCTCTGTAGCCGATACATTTGCCTGGGATCAGTTCCTTAGCAACAGTAAGCCACCATTTGCCTGCTAGGCTTCCTTTTCTCCGGTGTACTTTTGAACCAGTTGCTGCATAAATTAATCCTCCCTGCAATACTTACTCTTGGCTGTTGATGGTGGACACGCTAATCTATGCCTCCACTCGGGCGTCAAGAATCATCAAGTGATGTAGTGCTGATGGGTGTACAACAACTAAGTCCTCTGTGTGGAATTTCTTTTAACTTTGATGTTAATCAAGGCTAGAGAGAGCGCACATACTTTTAGAGAGAGGAGCCAGTGATTAACAGTTGGAGTGCAATCACAGGGATCCTTGTTGCAATGAAGAGGACTTGTTCGATGTTCCATCATCGCGTGTCAGAGGGAGTTTCAGCCTCTGTGCCATCACAGGTGCAACTGTACTGGAGATGCAGGTGTGGGTTGAACCCATTTTGTTGATAAGAGACGCTGTCCTTGACGAGACAAAAAGTACCACTAATATGTACTCGACATAATATAGAAAACCGGATTCTAAATTTGCGTGTAGTGTTTTTTTAAGGGAAAAGTCCATAATTATGCAAATATATCCGCCTTCGCCTTCCGCCACGTGCATTCGAGGGCGTGTGGGTTTGTTTGTTATTCAACCGTGCGTATTGTTTGAGTCACCTTTATCTGCACACTGAAGTGAACAATATGACACTATCCGACCACACGGGAAGTTCTCGGTCACCTTGTCGGCTAATCGCATGTACTTTGAATCGCACGTGACGGTACGCTGGCGTGTCAAGGTTGCTACATCACGGATGGTTATCAAGGTTGACCGTCTACAGCGTCACGCATACAATGCGGTGTGTGTGTGTGTGTGTGCATTTGTGGGTGGTGCTTACCTTTGCATGCTGGCATGGTGCCACTCCAGGTGCCATTGTTGGTGCAGGTCCTTGTGACAGCACTGTCCGCTCCGGTCATCACGTACCCCAGCTGACACATGAACGTCACATTCTGCCCCACTGTGATCTCCTCACCAAATCTAAGTCCGTTTGCTGGAATGCCAGGCTCCCCACAGGTGATCACTGCAATTACAATAGCAAAAGACAGTCAGATTAGTCCATCCATCCATTTTCAACGCTTATCCGGGGTCGGGTCGCGGGGGCAACAGCTCCAGCAGGGGGCCCCAAACTTCCCTTTCCCGGGCCAGTTGCATTAGTAATCATTCTAAATGTTGTTGTTGTTGTTATACAATGATTAAAACATACTGAACTTCAAGACTGTTAATTATAAGAATGTATCCAACGGGTTTATGTCCCTAAGCATTCTGAATCAAAATGACATAGTGGTTATTAAGTTAGCACAGAGAAGGTCCTGCTCCTGTTAAGTTGAGGTTTTGAACAACTGTGCCAAGGTATAAATAGAGGAACTCCCAATCCTTCACCATCAGTTCTCATTCATTACGTCAATAACGTGCTCAACAGCACAGTGTGAATTACTGACGCTACAACAAGTTTGTGTAAGTTTGTCACCAATTACAGTAGGAGTCACTGGCGTGTTCATCAGAAACTGAGGGTTAATAGTTTGTTTCATCTGATATGGTTTGAACGGTCCTCAACAGTTGCAAGTTGTATGTTTTAATTCTTTATCCTTGTACGGTTTACTTTAACCTGCTCAGACAACTCTAAAATGTAAAAATCAATCCCATGTGCCATTAATGTGCCATCATAGGAAAGCATCGTTGCAGTGATTTACACAATAATGTTCTCCAAAAAAATTGTTCGACAATTATAGCCTTGTTTGTTAAAGTGCATCAGGCTAAGGCCTGAATGTTTTAATCTATACAAACTTGTCAATCTCGAGATTAGACCATTGTCTATGGAAAACAATGGTTTTCCATAGACAATACTGCATAGACATCTACTAACAAAGGCACACAAGTTATTGTGTAGCTGCATTGTCTTTGTTGTGCATGATTTTATCCAGATAACCACAATAAATCACTGTGCATAAATGCTTCCATGTAGCATTTTTCCAATGAGATTTCCAGTGTCTCTGCACTCACACGGAGCTGACATAAAACATAACCAGACGATGGTTGTGTGGAGATATGAAATATGGACAGAAGTCAATGGTATATTTGGAGCCATCAGTGTTTGATCGAGCAATGGGATCGTCACGCACCATCTGTAGTGTTGATGATATTGATGAAGCAATATTAAATAAAGAAATCCTGACAGCAATTTCTATGTTTCATTTACGTATTGCTTTTCAAAATGTACCGTAATAATGATTCGATTTTTTTTAGATCCAATTCAAGGGGAGAACCCAATGAATATTGTAATGTCATTTTTGCTGAGTCTTTCATATTTCTATTCTTCTCCTCCAAAAGGAACAGATGGCAGAGTGTTGGCCCACTACATTGTCAGGTCTTAACATAGTGCCATTTTTTGGGGTATAATTGTAAGTGCCTCCATTTGATCTCTTTTTTCAAAGCCCTTGTTTAATCTTGTAGCCTAAATTTGTTACTATTACAAAATCATTCCTGACTTGTTCACCCAAGTGTTGGATGCCATTTTGATGCATTTGGCTGTCACTGCTAACGCCCCCACCCTTAAATTAATTCCCGTTTGATTATGTTGCTGCCAAGGACCTCAACACTCAAGACATATTTATTGTCGATGGTTGAGACCAACTTTGCCTGCTGACAAGAACCATCAGCAAGCTGCCAGCTGAAGACACAGAGTGGGATCTTGTGTAATAAATACACTGACCTGTCAGACTGATTTTTGACTTACTTGGTTCTGTCGGTTAATACAGCGACATTTTCTGATACTCAAACCTAATGTGGCATCTATTTGTGCAGATAGCAAATGCTGAAAGGTTAAATGGGAAACAATATCGTCGTTGGTACAGTTGGTACCGTCCCCGTATCCAGTTAAGTTGAACGCAAACAACAAATGATGTTTCTCTGGAAAGTAAATTATCCTCACATATTCACCAATATTAGTTTTGAATACATCTTTATAAAATAAAAGCAATGGAGTAAGAAGATCACTTTATTGAAGTAGGAAGTTTGCAATAGATACTTAAATATCCTAAATAAAAGTACAATCATTGAAATGTATTTATCGTACTAAAAAGTACTCAATGCATCATTATTAATTAATACAAAAGAAAACTGGTTCTGCTGAGGGGAAACTCATTTTTGAAGTAGTTTCGATGGTGCTAAACCCGTGCTTATCTTTGTTATAGATCAATCAGCTGTTTTTTCTCTCCATCAATCACTTGATTTCTTTGATATGTAAAACAGTGAGAAAGGAAATCACCATGTGCTGTACTTAGTAATTTTTATCCAGAATATTACACATCTATCTTTGGGTAACGAGTGTTTTTCTTTGCCAAATGATAAGTTGCTACGAAACCCCCACTGAAAAACATTAACTTGAATTAAGCATGATACGTTTCTCCAAATATAAGCCAGAAGCAGCTGGCATGAATAAAACACAGCTGATACAACTTTAAATTGCTATCAACTAGAAAAACATCACGTGGGTGTTGAAAAGTGTTCCACACGGGCACAGACAAAGGTGTGTGTGGAAAGATGCATGTGCCGGTCTATCTGAGTGGAAAACAGTCAGTCTGTGCAATGCAGAGAATCTGCAGGCTGATTTCGATAACTTAATGCCTTTTTCACTTAGCAAATTGACTTGCTCCCGAGAAAACCAGTTTGTGGGAGGATTCATGATATGGCAGGAAAGGTTTATCTGCAATGCGAAAACCTGATCCCAGTAAAACCTGCATCATAATGTAGTTGGTCAGTAATCAGATCTGTCTGTCACCAACAGTATTGTGCTGGTGAATCATGCTGACGTGTTTCAGGGGCGTTCGTAATCTGATTCAGTATTTGCAGATATTCTTTTTTCCGTCACAACACCGGAGCACTTACATCTCAAAGAAGGAAAGGATGCTTAGTGTGGAAAACATGTTTTATTGTGGATCCTAGGACACCAGTACAACTTCTGGTGCGGTTAACTCATTTAAATGATGTGCAAGAATCCTATGGTTTGGTTACTTGTTGTATTTGTACGCCTTGTGCTTTATCTCTGTGCTTTATCTAAATGTATGCATCCCACTGCTGCATAACCACCCGCCCCACTGGGGACAAATACAGTTATTGATTGATACTGCAGTAATCTGACTGTTCACGGTTAATTGCACTAATAGGTATTTTGTGATGCCATCATTTAATCCTACCCCCACATCCACTTACCTCCCCCCCCCATTCACAACAAATGTGTCAGCCTTTCAACTACGAGAGACAGGAACGGAGGAGAGGAGCAGTAGCGGTATGTTGATGCATGTACTGCCTCAATTACTTTTTCTACCCCTCTTTCACGTACTAATGCTTTTGCGCCCACTTCAAGCGTATTTGTTTGGCAACGCGCACGTAAAAGCACGGCTCGGTTTGTACAAACAAGCCTCACTGAGGCAAAAGAGCAGACTGCCTATCGCGGACACTGAAAAAGGCAAATTGCGCTTTCCGTCTCATACATGTGCGTTCACGGGATGCTCAAGGGCAAAGTGGGAGTTTCCCATAAAGAGATGGGAGGGGATGGTAAAGTTTGCCTAATTATGGATTCATCGATGTGTATAGAAACCGCCCGTGGACGCGTGTCTCCGTTTTGCAGTGAAAATTCTCCGCTTCTTAAAAGCAGGCGTTTCCTCACGTATGCCTCCTGGTGAAAGGGCAGCAGTGATACGAGCCAGACGGCGACATAGAAGGTGATCACGCGTTGCAGATTAGGCAGCCATGCAACATTACAGTTACTGGAAGACATCAAAGATGACATCGCATCTCAGACTCAGCGTTCACACTCCATTCCAACAGTTGTTGAACTCCTCGCTACATTACAATTATTGGCATCAGGATCATTTCAAGGCGCTGATTACCTGATGAGCTGCAGGTTTCGTAAATACGACGCAGACGTCAAGTATCACAGGTTGCAGGTTGGCTGTGGCGCTGATAACGCTACGTTTGCCAATGTACGTGCATGAGGGCCTCAGTCGCTTTCCTAACACATTTTCAATAATTAGGTAATTCTCTATAACATGCTCTATAAATTTAATTCATCAAACATTAAGTGTTCAGAAAAAAAAAATCAGAAACAAGAACTCCCTCCCCTTGAGAATGTTGTGTGACTTTGATCTGCTAACCTACATGATCAATTACCCATGAACCGTGAAAATGATTGCCTCCTTAATGGAGGCACATTGAGCCAGTCTTGGCATCTTGTTGATGGCGTGTTGATGTCCCTGAGCTGACCACTAAAATCTCATGTGTAGTGATGGCATACAGGATGACAACAGCAATACGTTTAGTGATGAGCCGGCTGAAAAGTTGGAAAAAGAGGGGGAAAAAAAAGCTATTTCCCCCTTTGTGCATGTTTGATCATCATCATCCTATTTTCAATCTTTCTTTCCGTCTCCCTCCTTCTCTCACTCCAGAGACTCATTTCATTCCAAAATTGAAAATTATGCCCATACCATTTATCTTTTCTTGTGATTCAATAAAGATGCAAAAGGAAGGAGGAAGGAGGAATGTGGTGATTTTCAGAGAGAAGAACAATGTGTAATTTTGTTTGATAGTCGCCCTGGTGAAAATTGAATATAGATTGGCATACTTCTTAATTACTGCAAGGCTCATTTGCTGAGTACCAGACAATAAAAACTGGCTGACAGTTCTGAGGCTTTGCAGGGAGAGAAGGCTCAAAGAGATTTATGGGCTATTGGAAATCTCAAACCCCATTTCAGCAACACTGTGGATCAATCAGAGCGCCTCCTTTTTGCAGACACGGAGAGCAATATCATCTGCACTCTCGTCATTCTTAATTCTTAAATTGCTTCACAGTATGCATGGCATGCTTAATTTGTTCAAATAGCATCACTGTGCACTCATGTGACGGACTAGGACATATGTCATCGGTCAGCAATGCACTGCACGAAACGGGAGCGTTCCCATCTTTTATATTTATACTACATTTTAAAAGTGACTTTTTTTCCATCGTATTCTGTACGTATAAAACTCACTTGTGCAGTTGGGATTCGTTCCCGACCATGTGCCATTTGCCAGACACTGGCGTGTGGGTGAGCCAGTAAGGAAGTATCCCTCCATACAAGAAAACACGATGGAGTGGGAGAAGGTGGTGCCATCCACACGGGAAATACGCCCGTGAGCCGGTGTAGCTGGGTTCCCACACTGTACGGCTGCAATGCAGAGGAGAAAGAGAGAAGGTGGTGGTCAGAAGTGTAACATAGTAATGGTTTGTCTATTTCATCTGTGATTCACAGCTGGGAGTCTCCAAGGTTGCGGAAAGATTACTTCGAAAAAAAGGTCTTGAGGAGATTAAATCGCTGTGTAAAAATTCCTCCCACATTGTGTCAATATTCATATTTATTTATACAATAATTGCCGTTTTGCTTTTGAGCTGATATAATATTTGTAGTTTATTGACTCATTCAGATAAGTACTCAGGGGGAACAATCTGAAATGGTCAGATAGAAATCGTTGGCTAATGTCAGAGTTCCTTCTTATGTGTTTGTGCCTCACGTCAGGAAGTTGTTAACCAAACAAGTAAAGAACCACTAATCCATACTGCGTCCGCGCTTTATTAAGAGACGCTAATGAGCTGAGCTGGTGCAGAAGTACACCCCCCCCATCACCTGTGTGTTGTCAGGTCTCATGGTAATAAGATTTAGTGCTGTCTATCAACTGGATCGGGGCAGTAATGTAGAAGTGCCCTGTGGTGGTAAAATGAGGAATTTAGTTTTATCAAATATTCGTATTCAATTTAGTTTAGATTTATTTTGCAAACCGCAACACATTATAGGAAAACAATCAAGGAAAACCAATAAAAAGAACAGTAAACATATACAGCATATTTTAAAGAGATTTAAATAATTAAAAATGTAGAACTATTTATAATACATGAAATATCACCGCTGGCAATAAGCAGATTGTAAAGTAAGACAGGACATTCCATGGTGTCTTGTGTCCGTTGATGAAGAAATGAACACTTTTGTGAACTGAAACAAGCATCTAGCAACAACATGTATCCTAGAAAAGCAAGGGGTAGACTTGATTTCTCAATTACTGGGCAAACACAAATCACTCACAACACAACCCATTAATGTACTGTACGTGTGCACACAAGCTTATGCGCGCGCACACACACACACACACACACACACACACACACACACACACACACACACACACACACACACACACACACACACACACACACACACACACACACAAAGACAGACCATGACGGACACACAAAACAGGCCACGATAGTATTGTGAGATGGATGTTAAGTTGGAATATCCCCAGTGACTGTTCTCTAGAGACTGTGAGAGGTGGTGGCTCGTGGATTGATGAGTTTTAACACTAGACAGGGCTTTAGATCACAGACGGGCTCCAGCGAGTTTCTGCCCCCTCCATCTTCAGATGAAGGGATCGCTAAAACAATCTTTAAATCGGGAGTTCAGCCGAGAGATAGAGAGACGGAGTGGAAGCGAGAAGAGGGGAGTGAGGGTACGGTTGAGCAATAGAGAAAAAGAGACTGAGGAGGGACAGATAGAGTAGTGGACAGGGACAAAGAGACAGCAAGGCAATGGGATTAAGACAGAGTGTAATCAGGGCTGACAGAAAGAGAAACAAAGGACACAGAGAGTAACTGGCAGGAAAAGAGCGTTGGGATGAAACAGATACAGGGTCTACTTCAGAGAGCTTATTAGAATAAAATGACACTAGCACTAGCCAACCTGAAGGACAGTAAATTGTAGAAAGCAGAAGCAGTCAAACACTGGCTTCCATATCCGGTTGACCCCTGGGGGTAATTTATGCAAGATGTAGGGTTGTCGTTCACGGAACTAATATCTTCAAAATCCACAATGACTCATTTATCACAATCCCAAAAGAACTTGGCTTTAGGCGTCTAGAATTAATGAATTTTTTGGTTGCAATCTGGAAGCTAGTCACAGCACCATGTGCTGGCAGGAAACACCAGACTGCAGCACAGACATACTTATTCATCTGGAGCAGTACTGTTTGGGAGCCTTTGCAATTATTCGTGGACGCAGGTGTGGGTGCACATGAGCACCTACAGTATCCGATGCACATTCATTCTTGCATGCAGTCCATGTGTTGCAAACAGTGTCTTTGTGTGTAAGTGCATGTTTCGGTTGGAAAATGTTTGATACCATAGCCGATGGAGAGTGAGATCAGAACAAATGTAACGTAGTGAACACATCAAATCCATCGGTAGTTTGTTTTAAAATTGGATGGGGACCTAAGATGAACTAGTGGACTGAAGTTTAGGTTAAACCAGTGAAAACTTGGATCCACCATTCACACAATGCAACATGTAAACATGTACGAAAATGCACATGTATTGAACGCTACACGCCCCTAGTTTGAAACAAAGAAATCAGGAAATATCAGCTTGTAGACTAATAACTATAGAAAAGGAATCTTTTCTTTTGACGTTGAAACGTTGTTAATATGCAGTGCAGTCAGTGCAGGAAAGTCCTGAGGTTTGATACTCTACCCTGGTGCACCTCTGTGCAACTCTTTGAGTTTCCTGGCGTCTCTGGATCTGCATGTGAATAAGTGTGGATGACTAAGTGCGCGTGTATCATCTCTCTGCTACGCTCGCCGCTACAACTGCTTCGTGCGTAACACCACCGAGACATCTGACACATCCAGCTTACGTTTGCAGAACGGCTGTCGACCCGACCAGGTCCCGTTGGGGAAGCAGATCCTCTCTGCCGACCCGTACAACGTATGTCCCACTGCGCAGGTGAAGCGCACCTTGCTGCGCACTTTGAAGTTCCCTGCCTCCCTGGTGGCATGGACGGGTGTGCCAGGATCCCCACAGGTGTCTGCCGAGTCACCTGCAACGGGAGATCATCGAAGGTAAGGCGAGGTAATCGAAACACACTCGAGACGCCATCCTCTACAACTTTATTTGATTTACAGACGAGCCCATTGAAGGTGGTATGGCAGTGAATTACAGCACAATGTTCCTGTCAAGTAAAAGGGACACAGGTAGGACATTGACCCAAAGCGTACATCTTTTTAGTCCTCCGTCAAGCAGCTAATAACACACAATGCACCAATGCGCAGCGGTCGCCGCGCCAACAACCCGCGGGACCAATACCTTTCACGGCTTTGACACCAGGAGTTTTCTGCCCATAAAAACAGCAGAGTCAGCTTTAAAAGGCAACCAGCTGTGGTTACGTGGAATGATGAATGCAGTTTGACCTACGGTTCATTATCCTGAATTATCTCTCCTTTGTTTAGTTCTGTGGAGTACAGAACAAGTGTATTGCACCATCTTGTATAAAAAAAAAAGATGCTGTGGCTCTTATAAATGCTCTTCTGGCGACATCAAGGCCCATGGGCAAAAAAAACCAAATAGAGAGAAAGATAATGGTGTGGAGTAAGTGTGGTGCCATAACTATAGATTATTTGATGTTGTCATGTACAGAGTGTTTTGTGGGTCAGGATGGAGTTCAGGTTTTTTTTGTTTTATCGACAGGACAAAAGAAATGGAGCCTATTACACACATGATCACCAACCAGCCATCCAACTGCTGCCACATCTCAGAGAAATTGGCCCATATTAGAGGCAAAAAACCCCCGGCAATTCTTGGTGTCAGAAGACAGGATATGCCTGAATGAGATATACTGTATATAAGGAACGGACGACAGACGGGAAGATATATAGATCATTGTGGTTGTACAGTGTACTATGAATTGTCTCTTTGTGATGGATCTGTGCTTTATTGGCTGCGAGATCCTGTTCCATGAGCTGTGCACACACCCCGAGCATCGCTCCCTGTGGGCTGGCTGCTTCTCTCAGTCTTCTCAGGTGCAATCAGCTGCAATAATCCTGGACTTGTTGACACAATCTTACTGCACAAACACCAGGCTCGTATTTTCTACATGCATCCCGCTGCTCACACGTGCACAAACTGGATTTATCAGGTCAGGGGCTCGCAGCTCGAGATGATTAGTCTGTGTGCGGCTGTAGTAACCAGTGTGTGGGAAAATAAGTGCACCGTTGCTAAAGCTTTGTTCTGCACATGTCCATCCGAACGTGTACTTGTTTAATGTGTGGTTCAGTCGCCCTCTCTCACTGTGCATGTACATTTTTAGACACCTGCACATCCAACTGTGTGTGCGTTTATGTGTGCGTAGATCTCACAGCAGCGGCCTCTACTTCATTAGTCTCCTTAGGTTAGGTGGCAGCCCGGCTCTGCATGTACTGTGACAGCTATAATCTCTCTAATTGGCATGTAGGTGGATTTGGTTTGAATCAGAGTTAATGTCTGTTCACCAGGCTCCCTTTGTGAGGAAATAATAAGGCCTTCAACTGTGCCACGCAATAGACAAAAGGGGAATGGCCTCGCAAGCAGATTTGAGCCTCCTCTGACTAATTAACAAAGAGGCACAGATGAGACGAAGCAAAGACGCATGGATGGAGCTGTTGGGGAGGCAGACCTTGACTTCTGAGGAATTCATAGCCCAAATTTAAGGCATTGCTATTGGTAATGATTACAAATGTGCCGTTTAAATAATTTCTGATCAAGTCGTCTATATACTTAGCAAACTTTCTGTTTGTGAAAAAGTGCTGTTGTTTTGCTACATTAATCATTTGCATTATTATCAAATTCCTCGTTATCTGGAATGGTTCACCTAAGCATATGCTTTTTCTCTTTAGCTTGGCAAGTCACGCTAACCAAGCACAATTTATTATGACAGAAATCCTCTGGTCACTGACCCCAATTTCACTGCACAAATTCCGCCACAGGGATTTACTTTCTAAACAGCATTTGCTCTTTGATCATTTAAATACGTGGGAACAGATTAATCTAGACTTATCTCACTTATCTCAGTAAGTAATGGATTGATGTAGATTTTGTTTAAGCTAAAGGAAATGCACTCAATGTAGTTGGGTATTAAATGTTTTCCCTATTAAAGTATAGTTTATTGGCCATTTGTATTTAAAACAAACATTGCAGTAGAGCTTATGTTGGTGATGCACATCTCAGAGTGGGAGATGCAATTAAATATAATTAAACGTTTCACTTTCCATAAGGCTTGTTTTGGCGTAACAGGAGGATGTTGAAAAAATAATTTGTCTACCTTTTAACACTATTCATTTTGAATGCAATATTAGAATCCAAAGGCCATAATTCAAAGGCTATAATTTTGCTTTTAAATAGTGAGATCACGATGTAGGTGCCAAAAAAGTGAATAGTCCACCGCGCCTTGTCACTTTTTCCCCTCTGCAAAGATGGGAACAAAAAATGTCATCTCCTTAATATCCTTGGAGCTTCTCGTCTGTCTAGCTGCTTTGTCGGTCTCAGTAAATAGAAAATATTGAAGGTGAGTGGCGAGTTCGCGCTCCCATTCAAAGAAGAGAAAAACACACTGTCATACAAGTGTGCTTACAAACATTCATTTTGGTTCAGCGAATTGAACAAACCGAGTGAACACTGCGTAAGGGGAATACACTAAAATGGTCAGGAATGCTTCGGTGAGGTGGGAATGAGGAGGACAGAGGAGGATGTTTGTAGTTCTTTAGACATGAACTCAACTTTTTTTTTTAGGTTTTCAGAAAAGCGCCTGCAACCAAATGTGCTGAAAACTGGATACAGAAAAATTCTGAAAAGAGAGGTGACATCTCTCACTGTAGGAAGTAACATTTGCTTCTACCCTTTCTTTGACTGAGGAGTGTCATAACTGCCTAACTCCCCATCACTGAATAAAAGAAGAATGGCAGGAAAGCATTATTTTGTACTAATTTACTTTAAGAGTTGTCAGATAAATCCTCTGTCCTGAAAATGTAAATGCTGCAACTGCTTTGAGTAGACGGGGAATCTGTGGAGATGTTTTGTTATATATCCTGTGCTAGTTTTGTCTTTACACAGGCTCTAGCCAAATATCGCATCAATTACATTTAAATAATTCAAATGCAACTTGCCTCACTAGATGGTTTTTCCTGGATAGTATATTTACCCACAGAGAGTTTCTTAACGCTTTCAACTTACTGACAAAGAGATAGCCCTTATGAGAATTATTGACAGTGTTCTCTGGAGTATTAAAGCTTTTTTCCCCCTAAAAAACAATGTTGCTGCTGAGAGTAATCTTTTACTGCAGTGAACTACCAACATGTAATGCCATTAAACTCCATTAAATTAGGGGGGATGACAGAAATCTCAGACAAAGATATCTCAAAGCCTGGGCAAACAGAACTAATAATATCTGTGGCTTACTGTGACTAGAGGTAAGTGAAAAAATAGGTTTTAACTAGTGTTGGGCAGTGTGGTGGAAGTTTGCGGATAATCTTGTGAGAAATCAAAAGTATCTTAAACTCCTTTGTGAGTATTTATTACAGATTAACGTATGGGAAATCATAAAAAATAAAAGTCAAACATGAGCCATAAGCACGGACAGAATTCATGGCCCAGTTCAGCTCAAAGATTTTCCTTCTCCTCGAGATGAGAACTAAGTAGGAAGCACTGACTAAGTTAAAATAAAGCAATACTCTTTTTGACAAATCAAACCCCCAACAGTCGCTAATACGACACTGACGAAAGGAAGGAACCAACGAGAAAGACCTTTGTTTGGCCGCGCGTAAGCACGCAGGAATGCTCGTGCACCACCAGGTTCGGGTACCTGAGCAGTGGGGCAGCGGTCCGCTCCAGTGTCCGTTCAGCTGACAGGTGAGTGATGAGTCTCCTATGAGCTGGCGGTCTCCAGAGCAGGAATAGCGCACCGTGGAGCCCACGGTAAACATCTCCCCGCTCATCACTCCGTGGGGCGGCGTACCTGGGTGGCCGCAGTCCACCTCTGCATGACAGAGCGAACACAGAATATGCACTGAAATCCACACTCGCGATGACACTGGTGAGACAACCCGCTGTTTGCTAAGATCATCCTGGTCGCACGTTGAGCAGCAAAGCAGTGAACTCTGTGTGTGTACAAGCAGCTTAGAGGAACTTGTGTGGAGGGAACCATGTGAGGAGACTACTGTGCTATCACAACCCAAACCATGTCTATTTGATCTAATATTGTACAGCACCAATCAAAGCTCTGGGCACACATTCTCATTCTATTAAATGAGAAAGTGTGTTCAGACCTTCGACTGGTGCTGTGTTTCCACTTAATTAAACCCTCACCCAAGTGTTTTCAGGACTAAAATCACTCATTTTGTACATCTCTTTCTGTGCTACTTTATTGTTCCTTTCATCTTTGCATATGTCCTTGGATACTGTCACTTGATCAGCTTAGCGTCGTAAAGCAAACAAAAAAATTCTGCTAATCTAATTCCTAACAAAGAGTCAACGAAGCCTGGAGATGTAAATAAACATTTCAGACGGACACTCCCGTGTTTCTCTTTAATTAAAATTCCGCTTGATGAACTAAATGAGCGTCATCGCTCTTCCGTGACATGAAGGGCTTTCCGAGCCGGTTTGTAAAACTCTCGATCATTTCCCTGGAAATAGGTCATTACTGTTGTAGAGTAGTCGAGACCATGAAGAGCCAGGTGTTTGAGAGCCACATTAGAACTTCAGATAACCCTTACAGTCCATAGACGCTTGTTTTAGAATTTCAGCGTTTAGTTTTGAGGGAACATTTACAATAGCCGGAACAACTGGCCCTATGACAGCTTCTACATTTCTCCATTAAGCGCCGTGCCACATAAGCATGAGCCACCGGGGCTTCTAACATTGCACAGATGCTCTCAGCCACGGCATTGAGCCACCATTTAAACTCTCAAATAAAATGAGGACACGGACAAGGTTGTGGAAACTCTTGCACCTCTTGCTTTCTCCATTACTTAACTAATGCAATTATGTAGATAAGTGGCTGATGCACTGAACAATGTACAAGAAAAAGACAGGAAAACAATGTTAATAGCTTAATGAGCCACGGTAATATAGAAAGCAGCCACTGTACCAATGCACTCCGGTAGAGGTTTGTCCCAGTGGCCCACCGGCTGGCAGGTGAGCACGGAGGAGCCGAACAGGTAATATCCCGGGTTGCAGTCGTAGAAGACCACGCTGCCGAATGTAAAGATTCCGTGTTCAATCTTACTCTCCCGGATAGAATTAGCAGGGATTCCCGGATCGGTGCAGTTTACCACTAAAGGAAAAAGAAAAAAGTTATCAAGTTATTCAATTAGTTCAATCATAATGGGACAAATAATGACGGCGGCAATCAACTTCATTTTTATTACTGCATTGATGTTTCAGGCTAGACTGAGGCTTTAACTTCTTTTTCAGGCAATTTAGTGGTGAAGCTGCATACTTGAACAAAATGTTGTGGAAAATAGCCAATATTCCTGTGACCCTGAATGGAGTCTTATCTGAGCTCTTTACCCAAATGTTGCTACATAGAGTAAAAAACACAAGACGGCAAATATATTAACAAGCGTGTGGCAATCTGCCCGATTAACTGCATCCAGCATCTTTACTGGCGATCTGACTTTTCTTTCCTGGAAGCGTCTCTTTGGTTTGGAGCCTCAGTCAGCATGTTCCCACAGTGAGTTAATAATAGAACTGTTGATGTAACCTAATCAGGGGCCCCTTCTGTTTATTCTTCAGGCTATATTTAAGCACCGTCAATGATAATATCACCTATCGCTTCCTCTTGAAACATTTTTTTTAGGGTTAATTTAATTTAAATTAAATCTATAATGCTAACATGTGGAAAAGCTGTGAGAACATTTGAGTGGAAAAAAAACATTTTGACAAATGGAGTCAAAGCAGTTTTACTCTTTTGAAGTCTTACCGAGTTTGTCTCTATGATGCCATTCATAGTAATGGAAAATATGTCTCCTCACATCTGACTGCCAAAAGAAACTGAGGAGGCATATTTTTAAATGGGCAAAGTCTGGCTCATCTGGTCGACAAGAACCAGAGGTAGCAGCCCAATTAAAGACCATGCATATTTTAATAGTGTTTCTAGACTACTTTCTGTTCTACCTTGTCTTAAAGAATGTTTAAACTAGTTGAGATCACATATACCTACATTTACACTGCAACAAATATCTGTAAAGCTAGATGCACTTTCAAAAGGCAAATAGGAAACTGCACTTTTTCCCCCAAGAACTGTTCAAATAATTGCTTCCATCATTTTTTCAAGAAATGGCGAATGTCAATTTTCCATTTTATTTGGAGTCATAGAAAAATTTAGGAAAATACTTTTAGCAAAAAGAATCAAAAGCATCAAACTGTTCAAATTAAAAAAAATTCTGGGGTGCTGCTGATGAGCTGTACCCCCGATATTTGCCGTTAGGCACCACTAATGAGCCTTACCTGAGGTAAACTAAAACACAGCCACCATCTGACACTCCCCATAAGATGTCTTCCAGTTAATGCACTCTGAGCTTTCTGCCATCAAAGTAAAGTCTCCCTGCAGCAAGCCTTTTGGTAACTGGCAGTGAAACCGTAGAAACAATTCCCCATTTTCTCTCCCCTTTCCATATAAGCTCGTTATTGCAGTCTCCCTGCTTCTGCTCCCAGACAAGGGCTCCAGATGTTGTTGCCTAATGCTTTACTCAGAAAAATGAAACGGATAGTGACTTTTCTCATTCAAATCAATAGACACGTGCACACCACCTCCATCCATTCTGCTTCCGTATCTTTGCCCGAGCCAGCTGGCGGTCCCTGGCTGCTGATTCCTGAATGATCACCATGCATCTGCTGGCTAATGAATTATTCTGGTCTAGCTTCCGATTCCTGAACCGTCACAAAGCCATTTTAGTTCAGTTCCAACACTTTGGTTGGCCCCTTCGTCTGCTTGCTAGCAGCTAACTGCTCCACTGTTGGCTGAACTGCTTCACATCAGCAGAAGTAGATATAAGTGGCATCTGTTGTACATAAAAACACCTTCAGTTGTAGTGATACACTGACAGGTACCCTCGTCAGAAATGCTTAATAGCAAGTGGTTAATGAGACGCATATGGATGTATGACAAAGTGTAGTTATTCTTGTCTTTTTTTCCTCCTCGCTGTCTGTCTCGCGTCCTCAGGTAATGTCTGTCGTGCCCCTCGGCTTAACACGCTGGCAGACGCAAGCAGCTTCTTACTTGTCAACATCCATCTGCATCCATCTGACTTTTACTCAGTTAAGCTGCCAATCACTTATCCACTCTGAAGGGGCACCGACCTCTGCACGTCGGTGGCTGCTGGCTCCACTGGCGGTCGGCCTGGCACTGGGCGGTGGAGGGTCCTTCCAGGGTGTAGCCCTTGTTGCAGGAGAAGCGCACCAGGTCATTGTAGTTGAAGCCATCGCCCGTGGTGCGGCCATAGATGGGGCTGCCGGGATGGCCACACGTGATAGCTGGAGGTGACACGCGTCACCCGGGGACGTGTCAGAGAGGGGAAGGGGGGGGGGGTTCAGCGGAGGATGGAAGATGGAAACCAGCCACAAACAGGTGCAAAGGGAAGATGAAGGGGAGGGGGGTGAGAAAGATGGAGTGTGTGAAAAGAGAGGGGAAAATCGATAATTATGATCAATATCTGATGTACAGTGACACCCATCATAGGAATTTCATTATCATATTATTAACCTTAAAGGACACCAGGGTAATTAGGAAACAAGACATGATCTCGATTTAGCAAAGGGTGAATAGGACATTTCAAATTGCATCCTATCAATAGGGGACTACGAGATCATTATTTATTTATTATACGAGATGTGAACTATTGATCTCAGTGGTCCTGTAACTGAAGGAGCTAAAGATAAAACAAATGTATTTCTCTAACAATGGAATCAAATTATCACTTTGATTAACCCTTTTTTTGTGTTTAAGGCTCCCTTGTAAAATTATCTTAACTAAAACGAAAAAAGAAAAGAGTACAAAAAACACAACCATCTCCATCAGCCCTTTTCTCATCTGATCAATGAGGCAGTGACAATCGGTGTTGGAGTACTTACAGATACAAACTGGGAGCTGTCCGGACCAGTTGTGGTCCTGCTGGCAGATCCGCACTGAGGAGCCAATGAGCCTGAATCCAGGGTTGCATTGGTAAACTACGGTGTCTCTATAACCAAAGTTTTCCCCGATCACTTGGCCATTCACGATCTGCTCCGGAAGGCCGCAGTGACCGGCTGCAGGAAAGGACACATAGGTGTGCGAGAAAGTTTTACGGTGTCATTTTCTTAATGTTTAGGGCACTTTCTCTACACGACCATGGATTTCTTCGGTAAAAGGAAACCATGAAGGCCATGTTGCAGCTAATGTAGTGCACAGCATGCAATGCACTTTGCATTAGAAATCCTAATTGAATTATTGCAGCCAATATTCCATGTGTTTCAATACTTAAGCTTGCTAGTGTTGGAGGACAGTAACTTGCAGTGGCTTCCACTGAACTAACGCAGGATAGTTGCAGGGTAGAAACACAGTTTTTGTTGATGATTGTCCTATCACATTTGAATAACTTTGCATTTTGACAACTGTATTATAAGATGAAATGAGGAAACTGGGAACTTAAAAAAGTCTCAGAGTTATAATAAATGGTAAACAAAATTAGTTTATTCATGAAACATATTGGATTTTTCAGCTCATTATCTCTGTATTATCATTTCTAAATTTCTTGTCTTGAGCTTCTCTGGTGGCGATTACTCCGCTTTTCTTCCACACAGTAGACAGTCGGACGCATGTGCAATCTGCTAATGCACATAATCATATTACGTTCAGCAACAAAAAATGCCTTTCAGAGAGAAGCAATCTTGCAGAGATTTGCGCTGACACTTAAAACCTGGGAAATTGCCACTGACTGCGAGTCTGATTTCCCTAATTCACTCACGCATCCAAAAACTCAGCCGAGCATTTTATTATCACACTCCGGTTGAGAGCAGCCAGATTCTATGAAGATGGTGCTGAAGTAGGCGACTATACCGAGAGCACGCTGGCTGCGTTAACCCTGTCAGCCACATTACTAATCAAGAGAGGTGCCCGTCTTTTAACTTAATGAACTGAACCAATCGGGGCACTGGAGCAACGGCGCTGACAAACGGGCCGCTGCAGCTGCGAGGGAAACCGTCACACTCTGCTGCAGTGTGGGTTTCAATGCGGCTCAAATAATCACGTATGTCTAGTTTTCTTCCACAGTTCGAGGCGAGACGAGCTGTTGTAAGCTGAGCTGTAACATCTTTTCTCTTTTCTATATCTTGACAACGGCTCAAAATGTGCCGGTACAGCAAGTGTCCCGCAGATTCAGGCCAACCGTCGCCGTATATGTGTACCAATAAATCGCACTGACTCGGGGGCTCTGCTGTACAGCGCCGTGCTCCAATCAGTTAAAGTTCTCTACAGCGTTGGACACAGTCTGAAGCAGTCTGAGCTGTGCCAGCCAAAAGGACAGGAAAATGTAAAGTGGCAGCGTCGAGTAGCAGCATGTCAGAACCAAACGACTTAACAACTGACATCTTTCTAAATATTTGTGGTAATTGGCCATACGCACTTGGCAACAGAACCAATTACAGCCACCCTCTGCTTCCCCATCTGGTTCTCTGCTGGCGTGCCGGCGCAACCAACTTCTACCCGTCTGAGCAGATCGACGGCGGTGGTCGCGGATGGTTACAAAGAAAACATTAAGACCCCGCTTACCCAGGCAGTGAGTCTCCGTCCCACTCCACAGGCCGGAGAGGAGACACTCTCTCACTGTAGATCCCGTCAAAACATAGCCAAGGTCACAGCTGAAAATGGCCGATGCACCGAAGGTTGTTTGGGTCCCAATTCTCTTCCCATTAGATGGAGTAGGTACATCCCCACAGGAAATGACTGCAAAAAGATGAATAGGAGAGTAAGAGGAGGATGGAGATGGAGGAGGCACAGAATGAAAGATTTAGGGACCAGGAGAGTGAGTGAGAGCGAGAGTTTGACGAGATAGAAGTTGGCTTACATCTTCAGAGTCGATCGGAGAGTGCACTCATTTACACCCACATTTCCGACCTTAATGCAATAAACCAGGGACCTGTACTACATCACAGGGAGGATAATGATAGTGTTTGCCATTTAAACAACATATTTCATCATGCTGGTTGGTGACTCCTCTTGCCATTTCAGATGCTTTACTATATTGCTAAAACAAAAGCTTTTACTTCTCACTGCTGCAATAAACTACATCTTGACCAGGCCAGAAGGTGTTGACTATAAAGCACATAATTGAGCTGTCAATTAAGTAAGCTGTGAATAAGGAGGTTATTTTATTAAGTCCTGCCACATCATAATCCATGAATCTAGTGTTCCTGGGTGGAATTAAAAAAAAACAGTTTAAATTCTTTCTTTTCCATCTTTGCTGTGAAACTGATGAATCCCATCTATAGCGTGTTGGTGGAAATACAGGCGACATGTGCGCATTAACCAGTTTTTTTTTTTTTTCATGCATCTTAATGGAAAAAACAGAGATAAAGGACAATTAATTAAATTCAATGTTATCCTCCTGGCTGGTCACTGGATTTCGTGTCGTTTTACTGAGTCCATGTGTTGTTGTGACTCACTTCTACAACGAGGCCTTTCGTTTCTCCAGCTCCAGACCCCATTAGCCAGGCACTGGATGCGAGCGGGGCCGGCGCGGTAATAGCCAGGGTTGCAGGTGAAGATGATTTTGGTTCCGTACTCATAGTGTGAACCGTTGACGATCCTCCATTTGCCGTGCTCCAGGGAGAAGGAGCTGAGACTGGGGCACGTGAGGACTGAGCCAGAGAGAAGAAGACAGTGGGGACGTCGGGAGTTATACAAATGGACTGACATCTGGTTCAGTTTGTGTCTCTCGTCCCTCGCTCACGCACTGCTCAGTCAGAAATCTGTAAACATGTGTAGCAACCCAGCAGTGTAGAAAGAAATAAAAATGGCTGAAAAGGAATAAGTGAATCAAAATTTTGATTTTAAATCAGTTGAATAGACAAATCCATGTCAAATTAAACTTTTCTGTTGTTACTGAATACAAATGTTTTCCCACAATAAAGCAGTTTATGGATTTGTATCCTCTGAAAATCCATTTTTGCTGTGAGACAGAAACACAACAGGGAATAAACATTGGTCTCAATAGTATAAAATTGTTGTCGATCTCTTGTTAAAGTGACTTCAAACTTGGAGGCGTTACACTGGCATGTAAAACATTCACCCCGGTGCCAGCTGCAGATTTCCTTTCAACTATTCTTCCCTTTCATCCATCCATCTCATCACTACAACACGTTGGTGTTTTTGTAATGAAACCAGAACGCGTAGTCCTTTTGGGAGTGCAATCCATATTCCATGACACCTTCCGTTACAGAGCAGCGGGCTTTTTTTTCCTTCTTTTCTTTTTTACACTGTTTGATATTCCACAACTTCTCCAGAGAATTGTTTAAACCTTCACTTTTTTTTTTTCTCTCTCAAACACGGCTGTCAAAATTTCTAATCGGTGTCTTCTCCGTAACTTTGTTCTCTCCTCAGTTCCCAACTTCCTGTTTCCACTGCTCATCCCGCGCGGCCGCGTTTGCCAGTTAGCCCGTCTGTCCAACTGGCTGTGCCCCAGCATCCTCTACTCACCGATGCATCGGGGTATCTTATTGTAGGATGCTCCAGGTGCCGTCTGGCTGGCAGACCGTGGTCGTCAGCTCTTTGGAGGACAGCCGGTAGCCGCTGTTGCAGAAGTAGGTCACCCGCGTGCCGACCGAGTAATCGGTGGCGAGCACACCTCCGTTCGCTGGCGCGCTGGGCACGCCGCACGACACAGCTGCAGGCGGCAGGAGGACGGTCGTCAACACAAATGTTTGTGACAGATTTAGAAAACAGTACAACGGTACATAAATTGCCACATATTTGTGTTAAATACACATGCATGTACTGCGTGCACACTACCATAAGCGTTGGGAGAGTGCAACCGCAATCAATGCCAACTGTTGGTTATAGAACTGCCACGAGGAGGGACGTGTAACTTTGTTATTATCATTCGAAAGGGTGACAATTTAAAAAAAATAATTGCTCGAAATTGAACGCCCCCGCAGAATTGCGACAACAGACCACTCTCTGCACAGACACTTTGACAGGTCACAGCAGGTGTTAATAACAATGAATGATGACTGCATTCAATTTAGTTGGACCAGTGCCACATCTCTGGGTCTGTGCGTGCTCGTTTCCTGGACCGCTTAATGGAGCTGAGCCATCGTTAACAAAATGAGTGGCACCCGTGTGCTTTCCCTGCTGCGACAAGGTAAATAAAGGTCACAGCTTAAATCTGACATGTGCCAAAATTCAAAACAGTACGCCTACCACCATTTACAAAAAAACACAAGTATGTACACCCACCGAATACACGTATAACAAATGATGCTGGCATGCTTGAGTAATGTCAACACTTGCACTGCATTTCATGTACAAAGGTCAGCTATTTTACAAATATCTCATCAACCCAGTTGATAAAATAAAATATATATCTCGATAGTTTGAATTTGTCAGTGGGTCATTTGAAAACCGTGGGTTGAGAGCCAAGTCAGACAGAGAGAGTGGAGCGGGGAAACCAACATCTGCAGGGCCAGACTAAACAAGAACAGTTATGCAAACACACACGTGATAAAATGCCACAGCCCTGATATAGCTGCATATTGAGAAATATCAGAAAGGTAGGAATATGCCGAAATGGCCTGAAGCCAAGACGTTGCCCCTCAGCACCCCATGAGAGAATCAATCAACATTAATTTGAGAGCACCGCTAAGTCACAATCTAACAGATGTTAATCATGAGCAGTTAACACCTTTCCACAGTGCAGACGAAGGTTTCGATGTTAGACGGGTGAATTTCTCTCCATATGTGTGCATATACATATGTGTGTACATTGGAAAAGCTTTGTGCAAACAGCAAAATAGCAGAATTAATCACAGGTGTGAAATGTTTTTAAATCACTTCTTAGTAAATTACATACATATTTTGATTTCAGTGCACCACGCTGAAATGCAATTGAGCAAACCATCTGTTGCTTTTTGTTGTTCTGTGTGTGTGTGTGTGTGTGTGTGTGTGTGTGTGTGTGTATGCAATCATGCAACGTAAATGCACACATCCCACATGTGCGCATCAAAGAACCCAATTAGTTGAGTGAGACCCAACAGCGGCAGACGCCGCATGCTAATGGTGAGTTAGCCAAAGCAATTTGAAGAAGGGGAAATTGACAGACGAAGGAAGTATTGATTTCGGTTTCCTTTCCACCTGACGGGGTAGTGGCTATCAGTCAGGAAGGACTCAGTTCAGCAACACCGGAACAGAGCTTGGGATGAGACACTCCCGATACCTGCATTTTACACCAACTGAGCCCTGGGACGGACGGACGCAGGCTCGAGTTGGTAAGAAGAGGCTGCCTGGGTGGATATGCTCACCTTGACACGCCGGTACCGGGGCATCCCATGCATAGTAGCCATAGGTGGTCTTCTTGCACACGGCAGAACCCTTCCCGATCAGCTTGTAGCCCCTGTCGCAGGCCCAGCGCACCATGCTGTTAAGATGACCCCCGGTCTGGCTCACCACAAAGCCGTGTTGAGGGGAGTCCGGGGTGCTGCAGTACATCGCTACAGTAGATGTTTACAGCGGAAAAAGAGGGAGAAACAGGCAGAGAGAAGGATGAGAGGCATTAACCGAGCTCCTCTAAAGAAAGACTGAGATCAACATTTCAGTCGGAGGCTCCGTTTTAAATGGAGAAAGATAATGAGAGAAGATGCCCGGGGAGCGTCACATCTATTTAGCAGGCGGGCCGATGTGCCACTCAGCGAAGGAAGTCCTCAAAATCACATTATTGCTATTCCCCTCCTGGACTATGGCAACAGACATATTTCATTTGATTCAACACATGCAATTCTGGTGCAGCCTTCCTTACCCTCATTGAACAGCCTATCCAAACACAGAAAAGGTAAATTAGATTTCCAGAATATGAGCACGGAAACGCCGACGGGACAGAGAAATCCTAGGGAGGGCTGTGCACTTCACAAAAGCTGTCAAACATTCCTTCAAATCAGCAGGACTGGGAGATAGCTTGTGATGGAACACGGCGGGGTTTGAGGCAGCTCCTGTTCAAGTCACTCAAGTCAAGGAGGAGTTTTCTCTACAAAATTCATCACACCAACTTGCTTTTGAATCAACACTAGTATATTTAATATAATGCGAGGACACGACATGAAAAATAAATGTCTTTTGTGCTTTTCCATAATCATTGATGCATTTGAGATGGAAGAAGAACCACTATGATACTCTTGCTTAGCATCACTTGCTTTATTAAAGACACAATTAAGAATTTAAAACCATTATGGAGTGCAAAACAGCATGGAAGTGACTTTCCTTCTGCCTCATGGATTTTGTGAGTGAAAACATCTCCTATTGTGATCCATTAGCACTTTTGCGGAAATTGCAGGTATTTTTGTAAATAACCTGATAAGTGAACTGAATAAAATAAAAAAGCACACATAAAATAAAAATCATGGGGTTACATCGTATCTGCAGTAATATGCAGTAGCTGCAGCAGAGAATGTTTAACGAGTCTTTGCCCCTACTGTAGCGTTAACACTCCTTCAAATAAAGTGTCTCTACACAGTGCTTACAATGAGTTGCAAACCCATGACTTTTATGACTATTCCGTAGTTTAGAGACTTAATATATTCACTAATAAAAAGGGAATATGATTATAAGCTGGATACATACTTTGATACTCACCCACGTATCTGATGTGGAAGCCGTGTCGGTTGGTGCCGTGATCAGAGGACCAGCGCAGCAGGAGCTGGTGGCCGGTGGTGGTCAGGCTGAAGGGCGTTTCAATGTCACCGCTAAGTGATGCCAGACTCTGGCTGTAGATGTTGGGACCTTAACACACAAAGACACACAGACACTACATTTCCAAGTAAGAGCCATCTCCGACAAAGAAAAGCTGTATTGTTGGAGGACATGAAAGTGCAATTATAATTTCTTATCAATAAATAGCGATAATTACTGATAAGCTACAAAACACCAGACTCAATATCCATCACTGATATTTAAATGACAATCATGGCATGAACAAAAGATCTCAAAATCTGGTGTAAGATGCCACATTCAAAACCACTGAATGCAGTTGTGCATCAAAAACAACCGTATTACTGAAAGGCACAGTTCTTAACAAGAAAGACACCAATAATTTAGGCAAAGTAGCATTTTTGGGAGCTTTACCACAGACCACACAATTCCAGCAGAACCCACCATCAAATATTTCCAAGATGTCAAACTCCTTCTCCGTCTGGAAGAGTTCAAAGTGCAGAGTCATGTTGTAGCCCTTCTCCACGTTGATCAGCCAGGAGCACATCTGGAGATTGGGGTAGTTATCAGGGTAGCCTGGACTCAAGATCACCCCCGTTGAGTCGAAACGCACCTCGTGTGCTGGACATTGGACTGTGAGAAGAAAGGACAGAGTTTAAAAGAGGGAGACAGTGGAGGCAGAATACAGAGGGGAAAAATGCTATAATAAAGGGGACGGAAGGCACAATAAGAGAGAAGGCCAGATGAACTGAGGGGAGGAAAGACAGGAATGCTCCACTGTGACAGGAGAAATTACACCAAAAAAAATAACGAGCTGGAACAATTACATTTCAGCCAGACCGATATTGCACCTAAAGGCTGAGCTGGGTCTGCTTTTGTCACCCACCCCCCTGATATCCATCTATCAAACAATAATACTCAGTAAGGGAGACAGCCAACTTTGTATGGAAAAGTGTGTGTGTGTGTGTGTGTCGGCTCAGAGCATTCCCTTCATTTCCTGTATGCCGGCATGTCTGAAATAATGACAGTTCTGTTTCTTTCCTTTCCTGCCGCTAACCGAAGTCTCTCTTCTGGGCCACAAGTGAAGAAACATGGCGCGTGCAAAAGGTTAATGCGAACAACTGTTCCAGATGGAAAGGTCACTGGAAACAATCGGGTATATTTCAAGAAAAAAAGCTATAGGCAAAAAAGATCGTACAATAGGGCAGTATGCATAATGCCGGTGGCGAGTCACTGCTGAGGTTTCAACCTGGATAGTTTTTTTCCTTAAAGATAGCAAGAAGATTTGATCTTCAGAAACTTTTCCAAATAAAAATGCATTTCTTAAATCCCAAAATACACCAGGCCTTCTGTGGGAACAGGGGTCAATAAAAATGTCTCATAAAATAATCTCAAACAAAGGAAATAAAATTGCTCAGTGGGAGACATAATCAATATTATCCTGTGCATATTTGATTAAAGCACCTCGAGATTTTCAGTCTATATTTATAGTATTTCTGAAAGCAACATTTTTTTACTTCCATCACTATGTTCTCTGAGACGGGCATATGCCGAAAAGGATGTGCAAGTTGATTTTATTCACAAATGTACACTTTTGATACAATGACTTAAATGCATATTCATCCCAGGCCACAAGGCCATTTTGTCATATTGTGAACACTGATGTCAGACAGGTAGACTGCAGAGAAGTGGGTGATAAGACAGGACAGCGGTCTAACCGTCATTTCAAGCTTGTTACATTTCACATTTTACAGTTACGGCAACGGTTAGAAATTCAAACTCTTAATTCCACACTTTGCAAATAGAGGAGTCGGAGTGCTTTTCTACACGGTTGAGGGACTTCATTTAGCATTTAAGCACTTAACTGTGAATAAGGCGTAGCGCTGAATACCAGCGGGAGAGGTTTGACTCACTGGCGATACGATGGAGCTCACAATGGCACATTGGTGCAGTTACATCAACGGCAAATATGTCAAATAAAAAAAGAAATTGCTACCAAAAATGTAATACCCATACAATTTTCATACATACATATTGCAGACGTTGGTAACCTAAAGGGGGAAAAAAGGTTTTATACCGTACAAATTCGAAATTCCCTGTGGCTCTTTACCTTATTGGAAGGCTTTGAGATGTACATGAAATTGACTCACTTGATAGGATCTTCAGCAGCGCACTTAGTACAGTCCGGCAAGACCTCTCTCTCTTTTTTAATTGAGCCCCCCCACGCTCATTTAATAGGCTAATGTTGCCAGGCAACAAACATCACTTTATCCAGAATGCACAGTTTGGGCTTAAACTGCTTTGCCTCAAACTTTAGGTGCAGGGCTTTAAAACATGAATCAAGAAGAGGTTTAAAACTCTGAGGCACCTCAATAGTGCTACTTAATATAATGGGCTTTTAGGGAGGATGCTACTCTCAAAGAAGAGAGGAGCTTACAATGTATTCGTATGGGGATTTGGCTAATATACAAATGCAGACGGCTGTTCCTTAGTGTCCCAAAAATACTGTTATTATACTACTGGCTCAAATACTGTAACATTATAAATAAAAAAGTATTAGGCAGATCAATTTAATAAACTACAAAAAATCTATATAAAAAAACATTTAAATATATATGAATATCAAGAATCACATTTTGAACAATGTAAACTTAACAAATTCTATTCTAAAATTAAATAAAATGTTATCTTGCAAATGCAATGCACAACCATTCTGTGCTAGTGAATTACATTCTGGTAACTATGAAACTACTGATATCATTCAGTGTCTCTAAAGACTCACTTACTGTCTAGTGTTGTGATATTATTTGCAATTGTGTGTACGCTAAAATGATGCGTTTGAAGAGACAGCATTAGCGTTTGTCAAATCTTGCAAACATTGCATGACGAGTCTAATTCCTTATGTAAACCACCAATCGTTTATTATTTTCCTAAAGCACAATGTGCGTATGGAATGGCAAAGCCATGGCAACGATTGGTGAATATAAAATAGCTCACAAAAGTACAATGAAAAAGAAAGACATTTTCATTCGATTTTCTGTTACATGAAAACCGATGAGAATGTGAAGCCCAACATGACAACATTAAATGGATTATACTCTACATCAATGTGGCAGATGGTTTACCGAGCAAATACAGCAGTCAAGAAAACTGGCTTCATTCTTGATCGAAGCTATTGTATAACCTTCATCATAGGAGGACACAGCCTGGGGAAATGTGGTAAAACCAGGGGTGTTTGGGGGTGAAATTGGATAGCCGAGCAAGGACATTTTCAGTGTTGTCTTATATGCATAAAATGTCAATTAACAGAAGGGTTGACAGAAAACAAAAGCGCAATCGGAAAACACAGGAGAATTAGTTTTCCTGCTCTGTCGGCAAGTTGCCGGCAGGAAACGGCCCCTTTACAAGCTTACGGTAGCAGTCTCTAGGATGTGAATAGCAGGTCAACTCAAATTAAGTTCAATTTTACATCTCCCAAGGAGAGCAATTAGTTTGGTGCTAGAGGTGGCACAAGGACAAAACATATCCATGACAAGAAAATGTAATGAATTCTAAACTACAATAATGAGGTGATGCATGAAAATGTCAAACAACAAATTTCTAACCCGGACGTACAACAATAGTACCAACCACGTCTATTCAATGAAGATATATGATATACTCATCATCTTGTTCATCATCACAACGAATGATGGTGATAAGGACCACAGTCGCTCAATCAGTGGTCGGTACAGATCCTCCCTCGTGGGTTTGCTGCGCAAATGACCTGCCAACTTTAGCTTCAACATCACAATGTGAGATAAAAGTTTTACTGAGAACTGTTATCCGCCTGTATTCAGTAGAATGGGTGATCAGGACATCGGCATTCATGCTTTACTAGTCGCCAATCTCTGATCATGTTACATTGTGAAAAGTAGTAGGGTTGGGTGAAGGTAGATAATAAAGTTCACATGTAATATTTTTAAAAGTAATTCTGTTGAAAACTCAGGAATTCAGTAGGATGAAGGCAATGTTTTCGCAGCAGCATAAAATAGACACATAGATTGTTCCTTTTTTACACTAAGCTGCTTGTAACGCATCATTAAAACTACTGACAAGATTTGTTTTATTTGATAAAACCCCAATTATTTCTTTCCTTTTTATGAGAAAAAAAATAAAAATTCTAAAGGAATTTAGATTTCTTTTGGTTAATAGACTTCACAGGGCTGCAAATGATTCTATCTGATCTGTGACACACACAGAACTCGGGAGTTATGATTCGTTGCATCACAAACGGAAAGCAGGCTTACTAAATTTACCGTAATGTACTGGCTCATTTCGCTGCGGACTTTAACAATTTCAAACTCTTGTCTTTTCTCACGTGACCGTTTTAAAAACCTTATTTAATTTCCTGTGTGCTATCCGTATACAGCCTAACACGAATAACAGGGCCCGGTCATTTAGCAGTGCGCAGCACAATTTACTCTGATGTGCGAGAGCCTGTGCTGTCCCGACATCAGATTGTGCCGTCTGACCGATTGCTTTGCACAACACAGACAAACTGAAAAACAATGTTATGCTCTTCCAGATTAGTCCCAACATGCTTTACCCCTTTGACTTTGGCAAGCTCATCAAATTAAAGCTTGTAACATGATTTCAAGTAGAGTGTGCACGTTTTAGCAGAGAGGAGCTGGTTGGTCTTGGCAGAGCTTTGTGTAATGGTAACACATGAGAAGGTGGGCTGGCAAAACCAATATGAGAACAGAGCTTGAATATTTCAAACCAGCAGTCTCAAGTGAATGGCTGCCCTCACTTGGCAGAGAACAAACAGAGCAAATCACTTTTTAACTATTTCTATTGTTATTCCTAAACTGAGTTACCATAGCAAGAGGAAACTGTAAAAAGAAACATTGAAAAAAAAATGTCGCAGCAATTGCATTACGGTCAGGCTCAACATGACTCTGTATGCCAGAGAAGCATAATGTGGTCTGCAGGTATGCATTGAAGTTATTTTTCTTCTCTTTATTCTGCACCGTCTAACTAGCAAACACAATGGCACAGGACTTAATTCCCCTTGTGCTTTCATGAATGATACATTAAGATTGTTTATAAAACGCCCAAAGCCTAAAAAGTAAAGATATGCCGTGTTCTTTACGATACTCACACGTATGCACCTACATCGATCAAACATGCATGGAAGTACAAGGTTTTGGTCTGACATTTGCACATGCACTAATATCATGACTGGCAGTACTGTAGCCTTCATGAATAAAGCAGTTCAATATCTTCAAGGGTCTGGATCACAGATCAGATAACTCAACTCAAGCTGGGCCGTTACTATTTCAGGGGCCCCACGCTTTCCTAGAGAACCTTTTCCAGGGTGTTTTTTTTTCCAGGTAGAGAGCCATCGTGTCCTACACTATTCCCATCTGTGCAATATGCAATATGATAGATATGCAGTCTTGCACAGATGCTATGAAATCAGATCTTATATGATTAGAAATTTTGAAAAATCCATCACAGAATAAAGCAACCACAACCTACAGTTTCATTCATTTCATTTCATGCCATGTTTTGGTCCATTCGACTGTAGGAATGTAGCATTTATATCTTCAGATACAATGCTGGAAAGGTAAAAAGTATCATTACATTTGTACGCCAGTGTTAAACTGGTATTTTGGGCTCCCATTTACTGTTCTTACCCCTGCTTCTGTTTCTCTGTAATACAAGTCTTTCAACAATGTCCAACAGTACGACCATTGCTACAATCCAGCATTGAATCATAAAACACAAAACTTTTCCAGTTGAAAAACGCAAGCAAGCATGACAACTTAAGCAACGGAGCCAAACCAAGAGCAGCCTATTCAAAATAATCTGGTCCATAAACTCGTTTGACAGTTAATATGATGCCGACAATTTCTTGGCACTTTTAGATGGCAGTAACATCCATATTTTGGAGAGCTCTGAAAGATAAAATAGCTTTTTTAATCATGGTGAAATAAAAGTAGAGGAATGCTGAAATAGTTTTTATTGACAAGACAAGATTCCTTTTGGGACATTTGACTTTTTCTCTCATTTTCCAGGATGAGTGGAAAACCCTGCATTTGCTTCTCTCCAAATTGCATGTCCCTTTAGTAAAATTAAATCAGGTACATCTTACTCGTAAGAGCAAAACAATGTTGGCCGCAAAAACACTACATTTTAAGAACCGGGATGTCATGTTATTTATTAAATAATACAAATCAGGGATGAGCAAATAGGTTCCCAATGAATAGTCTTATTCCAAGATGCTTTATGCATAAAGGCTGTGTGTCTGAATGTCCAACGCGATTACTCTTAGTTTCTAGAAATAGAAAGACAAATGCTCATCAACTCAAGACTAGACAAAGGGCCTTCAAACAATGTCTATCCATGGGGAATACGAGGTTTCAGAGCGCTGTGTTGTCTGCGTCAGAGATGCATCGCTATGACAGGCACGGTTTTGGTCTAAACAAAATCTGTGATGCAGACAACCCTGACATTTATTCTCCTTTGCGTCGGTTTGAAAAATCCATGTCCCTTAAAAAGAATAGAAAACTTGCCAAGGAAGACCTGAAACATCATTGTATCCAGTGGGCCATTTGAGGAAGGATTAAAGGGGTACAATATAAACTCAGTCTCCTGTGGGAAACGAGCAGCATAGACTGGCGCCATCTCCCTTTTTACAAAAAAAAAACACTTGTCGATGAAAACTGCTGATCTGTAATCGGTTTCACACTAATCCTCCACAGTCAAGGGCCACTTCTGGGGGAGCATCGGTCCATGATTTGGGGTCAGAGTCTAACCATGGCAAAGTGGTGTCAAGAACACCGGAGGGGGGGGGCGTACATACCTGAATATGCACGAGTAGAAACCTGTTTCACACCTGTTTGAACACACATTGGAAGGAACACAACATTTATAAAGCCACGCAAAAAATATAGACTCCCATATTGGATAAACCAACCTTGACAGACTGGTGGGGGTCCATCCATCTGCAGCCTCTCTCCAAGTCGACACGTCAGAATCTCACTGCCCACTAAAGTGAAGCCTGGCAGGCACGAGTACCGAATGATGTCCCCTGAGAAGCCGTTTACACCCACAATCATACAAACACACACAGGCCGAGCGGTAGTGGATATGATCAGCCCACCCAGCCGCAACCCAACACACACAGACACACATCCCCAACACAAATTGTTAGCAAAAGCCTCTTCACTACGAGCACTTGAAACAGTAATCAACAACACATTTTTTAATGAAGATTGACGCGCCCTTAGAGAGGCGGAGTGCTGCAGGCACTTCATTACAATACAGCAACACAATTGTTCACACACACACACACAAAATTCCAAATGTTCCAAGTTAGGCTGACACTGGTAATATGATACTAATTTCATACTGACTTCTGAAAACTGATGATATTTAGACTGTGCCCTCTAACTATTTGCAAAATGTATGAATAGATGGAAAATCCTGAGACGGTGGAGAAAAAGGGCACATTGCAACTCGAGAGATGGTGAAAGTTGACAATTATCTATATATCATACATTGATATGCATACAAATATAATGCAAATGTACAATTTAATATGAACCACAGCAAAAGGTGTTTCAAATTGTAAAATGAATACATGGAGCAATATTTTGACAAAAATAATGAGAAAAAAATAACCATTCAAACAATAATGTCAATGGAAAACGCAAGATGCCGCTTACAGGGGAAAGGATTTAGTAATTGATAGCTAAAACATTTCATACATATATTCCTGTTTCCTGGGTTCATGGCTGTCCAAGCAAATTCCCGTACGTCTGGTGCGAATTTGTTTTATTACACACTGTCCCCGGCCAGTCATCGAGAAAAATGAGATAAGACAAACCTATTTCAAACTCCTCATCATCGGTTAGGATAGTAGCGTTTGCAACCGGAGGGGGTGGCTGACATGCTCTTAGCTGGTATGCTGTTGGGAAAAGAAAGAAGGCTGAAATCTGCAACATCGCGTGTTGTGTGAACTCAAGCGTGCGTGAGTGTGAGAACAATGCATTTCTTTTTTGTTCTACCTACAGCGCATTCTTTACTACTGCATCACGCTGAAACTTCATTAGATGGTAAATTGCCATCTATTACTCTTCATAATCCTCAATAAAAACATCACTAATTTAGCTGGGATGGGGTACATTTCATCAATCAACTTATTTTCAAAGGGGGGTTAAATAGTGCAGGCATTACAAGGAACATCATTTATCATGACATAGAAGTGCCATGTACCGAAATGATAAAAGCTAAATAACGGCTCATGACAGAGGGAACGTGAAAGGAGATCCTCGTACATATAAATGCCAGGACAATTTCCCTCTGTTCTTTTGAGGTCTTCATTACCACTGTAGGGTTCCAGCAAAGTGGAAAAGTAAAGCTCAAGAGATTAGCCGTCATTACAGCAGTGCGGGACAAGGGCTCTACATAGCTGCTATCAGAGGGTTTACCGTAATAATGCAGCACGAAGAAGCCGCTGGTGCTGAAGTCACTGTGGAATTTGATGAGGACCTGATTGGCGGTGGTGGACACGCCTTCCTGAACAGAGTTGCCGCTGAACTGACCGATTTGAGGGGCGGCCTGGTCAGGTCCGTCCCTGAATGCAAAGAGGGGGAGGGAGTTGAGGTTAAGAGGGGGCTAAAAGAGAGAGATGGAAAGAGTGAAGGGAGGAGGCAGACGGAGGGCCTATGTATGTACATTTGCAAACGTAGCGTTTTCAGCGCCACAGACAACCCGCAGAAAGCGCTCGCTGTGATACTTTACGTCGGTGTTGTATTTACGAAAGCTACAGCTCGCCAGGTAATCAGCGCCTCTCTCCACCCACTGACCCGCTTACACTGTAAGTGAAAAGACCTCCTTCTCTTTCTATCATGGATCCGCCAAAGTCAAAACAGTGAAAACAAAAATTCTGTGACAATGAAGTTGATGGGTTTTTTGGGCATCAGTGGCGGGGAAGTGTATGTATTGACTAGGTACAAACCTCGCCGTGCTTTTACGTGCACGTTGCCAAACAAATACGGCTAAAGGCATTAGATAGATGGATACTTTATCGATCCCTCAAGAGGGACATTTTGGTATCACAGCAGCATGTACAGGGAAGAAAATACAATAAAAAGATACACATTATATACAATGTAATAAGATAAAAAGATAAGTAAGAAGAAAAATGTGCAAAATCCACAGTCACGTTTGAGGCTTATTTTTTCCTCGACGCACTCCTTTAAATTAGTTTTGTTAAAATCCTGTACATGCGTGTACATAATCAGGGTTTCTGGTTATCACTGTGCTTCAGACCCCTGGAAGGAAGAAATGCTTAGAAAAGGAATCTATGAAGAATATAAAATCCCAAAGCTGTAAATAACATTATATACTATTAACGGAACTGTAGCACTTGGAAGGGAAATGTAATTGAATCATAATGACCTCTCTGACTTTCACTCTTTTATAAGCGAACGTGGTTATCTGTAAAGGCTGACATGTCTATGGGAGTGTACCACATGACATATAAACTGAATTTCATTGACCACCAACATCATAATGTGTTTAAGACGTGACAAATAGTACGTTTCTAGAGATGGAAGCAAGTAACAACGCCTTAAGGAAGGTACCATACAGCAGAACAAACGACAAGAGGATAGGGCCGTAAAAGTCACTGAAATAGTTATTGGCACGTTGCCAGTGGTGGATGAGACGCTGAAGGGCCTCAATGTCATGAGCCTGTCATGCCTGACTCATCTCCCGGACAGCACCCACCTATGGCAGTTGAAGTGAAAGACTTGAAGTATCAAGGGTGCTTGATCCCAAATGAGGGTACGATGTAGTGTGAAATGTCATGTTGAAAATGCGAGTTAAGCCTGAAGGTGAAGTTCTCAATTTACGGATACAAAGAGCTGAAATGGGCTGCCTGTGCAGTTTGGGGGTCACACAATGAGAAGACGGATATATATGGGGGGGGGGGGAGGGGGCTCGAAGTGGACCTTTACTGCTCCTCCTAAAGAGAGCTAGTTGGGGTGGCTCAGACATCTAATGCAGACGCCTCTGGGATGCCTCCCTGTGGAGCTTTATCCTGCAGGTCGGAATGGGACGGGAACCAGCGGGTCTGATCCAGAGTATGCTTATAGATTCTAGCTCAACTGGACCTTAGACTCCTCCCCAGGCGAAGCCAGGGGGAAGTGGCAGAAAAAAAAAGAGGAGTGGAAGAGGGGGCAGTCATCATAGCAAAATACATTGTTTGAGATGGTTGAGAGATTTGCCAACCTCTAGAAATTCCACATACTGTTTCTACTGAGGTAAAAATGTTATTATCTTTAGCTCTGTTGGGTGATTGAAAGCAGTGTTGCATGAGCAGAACAAAACATGGCAGAATTGCTTTCAAATGATTCCTATATATGCATAAGTGATGATGTACCTTGATTTATCATGTCACTTGGTATGGTGGTAAATCATTACATAATGACATGTCTCCCTATCGCAATGGAGAATTACATTTACAGAGAATATTTCTCCATATCTCCGTCCCAAGGTGAATAGATAGGTGGATGGCTGTGGGGTGAAGATAGAACTTGTCATTTGCCATAAAGCCATTTATGAGAGGCGAATTAGCTGCTGACAGCAGAGAACACAGAAGCACCTCCACTAATGACAGCAGGGAAGAGCTTTCAAACCCTCTACTGCCGTGATTTGTGTTCAGGAATAAGCTCCCTAAATAAGTTGAATACAGTTTTTGGGGATGTGATGCACCGTGGTCTTCTTTTCCCAGAGAATAATAAGAGTCATGCGAGAACACAGTGCTTTTCCAATATATATATGAATGCCATTTTTGTACAAGAGGACAGTACTTCATTACAGGCACTTTCAGGTGGCTCGAGAGAATGATGCATATTAAATGTTTTTTTTTTATGTACGTGTTCCTTTAATATATTGCATATTAAAAAAAAAGAGCCTTAGCGCAATTTCAGCAAAATGGGAGACGGCAGTCAGGCAGGGAAATGAAATGTTGCCATCGGGGAACAGATTGTCTGTGTGCTTTTTCATTGGAAAACAGTAGCGCCAGTAGCCCCCCACACCCCCCCCCATGCTATGCTGAAAGGCATTTCCGTCCTCTAGCACCCATGAGGTGAGGTCCATGACTGCCCGAGGCCACCCGTCCTACAGAAAGGCTTTCAGAAAGGTAGAGCAGAGGGGGGGATACGGCGGGTGAGGCAGCCGCTGGACTGATAACAGACGTGTAGTACAACAAAGCTTACTGCCGTACAATTATCTGGCAAGAGAAAAAGGTCTGTACGTACTAACAACTCAGAGCTGCACACATTTCTGTCGTTTTGCATAAAACTCACTGGAGAGGAGGGACAAACGGTGGGACAGCGTTCAACTTCAGTCCCTCTGGTTTTATCACGTACCAGAATTGTACTATTTTGTTTTAGCAAGGGGGCTGTCACAATGAAAATGAATCCGCAGATTACCAGAGAAGAATCAACATATTTGGATTTCTTGTGGCTCATCTAGTACAGGTGTCACACTAAGAGCTTTGAGCAAAACTTGTCCAGCTTGCCGATCGCATTACAAACTGCAAAATTCCTTTCATTGTTTCCACACAGCTCTCGGAATGGGACATTCTTCAACTAGAAGGTATTTGGCCTCATATGCTCTGCAGCAACAACAGTCTGTACTCTAGTTATGTACTTGTGTATAGTCTGTGTTGTGTCCTCTGTCACCCCTTTGTTATTTATGCTTGATCCTTGTTGTCGGTGTTTGATTGCTCTTTGTAAGAAAATGCTCTATGGAGGAAAATACAGATTGAATCGGAATCCGTATAAAGTACAGTATAAAAAAAACTCCTATACTGTGCAGTTTTTCCTTAAGCAAAAATATAAATAAAAACCTTAGTTTGTAGCTGTAAACACTGTGTTTGATGTTTGCCATAAGCAGATGAAAAATGTCATGCAGAGAGGGAAATGAAAATTTACCACACAGTGATGTAGTCATAGATTGGCTCTGTATTGATAACAGAGAAGTTGATGTAGATGCCATAGCCAGGGGGCACTCGGACAGTCCACATGCAGTCCTGGAAGTGTGGATACTCGGCTGGGTGTCCAGGAGAGTAAATCGTGCCATTCATGGATGTTACATTACCACCGCAGAGAGCTAGAGAGAGAGAGAAAATCAGAGAGGCTTGATTCACCGTGTATCATAAAACTCGCTTTCATGACAATATCGGCACTTAACTGTTGATAAAACCAAATCATACGTGTGTGTCACTGGGTTATCACCGAAGTACGGATGCACATTTTAGACACAACTGCAGGGGATGGCAACTCTTTGCTCTGAACCTGATGGACCGGAGTAGTTCAGACACTAAAACTCGCCCGTCATATCACTTCAGAGGGTGTGTTAAGATTTGACTTTGAACTGGGAGTCAAAGCAAAAGCGCTGCCTTGGGGATCCCAAAAAAAGAACTGCAAATTTGACAAACTGAACATAAAACCCCCACTATTTTTACCACTTTCTCGGACAAATACTAAACTCTGGTTGTGGACTTTAAACCCACGTTACTGCTTGAATTAACTGATGGGAGAAAAGCCATAATTTATTATAGCGGAGCAACATCTGAGCGGTGTCCTTGAAATTTACAACGCAGACCGGTGTCATCAGCTTTGTAATAAAGACCAGCAAATTCTCCATTCATCATTATATCGGGCTGTGTCACTTTACTCACTTTGTTCAGTAAAGGAGTGGTGAAAGTGAGTTGGCTGCTTTCATGTGCGACAATAAGGGACAGGACTCTAAGGCAGACAGAAGAACCTACTTTCTTGTTTTCAAAATAACTTCAAAAACTGTATTTTCAGCAGGTAATGGTGATGGAAAAGCATTTCCGTCTGCACTTCAGTCAGCATCTTAGAGAAAAGCACGTATTACTTTCCCAAAGATTTGTTCGCGCATTTGCGAAAACTGACAAAAAATATCAAATAAAAACATTTAATGCATATAGTTTGTTGACACTGTAAACGTATGCTATTTGGAGGAAGAATTGAGGTATTCTCGTTAAAACAGTGCTGCTCTTTTTCCCTCCACTTGTTGTTTGGTAAATAAACATCGCTAGCTAGAAAACCAGTGTTGTGTTCATAAGAGGTACGAGTGAGGCACCTTCGCAGCGAGGTACGGGGTGGTTCCAGTTTCTGCTGACTCCATGCAGACATGTAAGGGACGGCTCCCCGAGCAGCGTGTAACCTTGGAGGCACTCAAAGGAAATGGTCATCCCCACACTGTAGTCCTGACCGATTACTATGCCGCTACTGAAAGGCCGCGGGTCCGGACACCTCTGAAGCTCATATGCTGGAAAAACAGACCAAAAAAAGCAACAACACACTGATAAGAAGCGAATTATCAAACACCATCACTGCAATTATATCTACATATGTCACATTCCTTCATCAGTACAGTATATGCTTTTGCATTGAAAAACATCAGTCTATTTTTTGCCACTATAATTAATATCCAAATGTCGTGTACTTGCGTGTTGTTACTATTCTTCTAGGTTTTAATTGATGTTATTATCTTCAGAAGACACCCACACACAAACATTACATTTTCACCAATTTGACACTATTTAACCTATATATTTAACACCCACACACACTCCAGAGAAACAAACCTCCCTCCTACTGGTGGTTGAAGCCCACCCAGGTCATATTTCTTTTTTCTGAACGTCGACATTTTGAAAAACAGAAAACTTGTAAAAGACTTCACTTCAAAATATTGTCATGAAGTAAATGGATAAATAATTCCAAACCGGCTTCAGCACATGAAATACCCCACTGGTGTAGCCAGCGTAACCATCATTCAATAATGTGATATTGGATGCCTCCGCTGAGCTCAGCATTGATTTACTTTTGCCTTTTGGAATCGTACAACCGTAGTGAAGGCCTTTGGCCTTGCAGGACTAATCCATGTCTGTATCCAACCCGACTTGTGCTCTTTTAGGTGCTCTGTTACAGCGGCTGCTATGCCGACAGCCCGTTTTAACTCGCCGCTAGGACCGAAGCTTGTGCCTTACCCTGGTAGACGATGTGGAAGCCAGGCTTGTTCTGGGAGTAGTCGCTGTGGAAGAAGAGAGTGGTCTCATGGGTGGTGCTGAAGAGAGAGTTGGGCACAACGGGGCCACTGAAACGATCGATCACGGTTGCCGTCTCCAGGTTTCCGCTGCGCACTTCTAGATAGTCATGAACAGGCTCAGTGGAGAAGTTCAGAAACTGCAGATGGATCCCTAAAAAGCAAAATGAGAAGGAATATAGGAATAAAGTATAAGTGAATAAATGTGTATAGCATTTTCAGGTACTGGGTATGATGTTACATGATAGACATGCATACAACGAGCAGGTTATTTTTTTAAACACAATAACAAGTTGAGAGGGGTTAACAGAACAAGCCAGAGGGAAGCAGCAGAGAGGAACATTAGAGCAAGCACAACAAAGAAAGAGCCAGAAAAGGCCGAAGGGGGGGGATGACAGACCAAAACCAATGGGGAGTTGAACTCTCCAGTTGCAGTCCAGGCTGCTCTGATAGTTCCCTGCGAAGCCTGGGCTGAGGATGACGCCGCTGAAGTCTGTCATGGCGCCGCCACATTGAGCTGTGAGAGACCAACAGAGGAGAAAGAACATGTCACTTCTGCACAGAACGCCTCCGTGGGAAAACAAAGAAAAAACAATGACGGGGGGGGAATATGGCGGCAGGGCAAAGAACAGACATAATTCTTGTGCGTATGTGCAATAGAGGGGGACGAGTAGCAGTGCGGTTTATTTCCTGCATTTTGCTACAAGTGCTCAAAAGGTGTGTGTGTGTGTGTGTTATATGCTCATGTATTATACGCAGACTGCAACAGCTTGTGTGGGCAAGAGAGAAAATGAAGTGCTGCGAGTGTGCTTTATGAGCTTAGGATTGGGGAAGCAGATGTGCGGGTGGGTGGGTGGATGGAGTCGTACATCGCTACGCTCTGTAAGGGCCGCCGTGAAATGATAACTGACTCGGGCACATCCATGTTGGATGGCGATTTAAATTAAAATAATCAAGTCACTTCCACACAATATAGGGTCACAGTTCTGTTCAGCGGTGGCGGTGAGCACCTCTATCTCCCCTTGCAACATATTTTTTATGTTGACTGTGTTGGAGAAAACACGCTCATCCACCTCTAGTGAGGCTCGTATCCTAGTCTGTCCATAAAGACCCAGGTTTAATACAGTGTGACCCACCAGACGTAAGTAAATGTGTAGTCTTTTTCCCAAATCCCGAACCACACAGGCCAATTTTTTGTGGAAAAGGTTTGGGAACACAAACATTCTTGCTGCCATTTCTTTGAATAATATCCACCAAGGGCAGAATGAGCCTTGGCTAGACGATCAAGATTCAATCGCGCTGCGGGTGGGAAAACAAGCTTGACCTGTTCTTGTTTGAAATGAAAGAGAAGATAAGAGGCACTCAGGAGGATGTTACGCGGCCCGTGTTGGGTGCAGGCGGCCACTTTGATGCAGGTTCATCAGCAACAGAGAGAATGCAGATCCTGGGCTTTTGGAGTGGGCGTGTGTACAGTAAACGAGCAAGGAGTAGCGCTAACGAGCTAATACAGGCGTCCATGAACAGGCCTTTCAACAGTAAAGCTGGGATTTATGTCTGCAGTGAACTGTGAAAACCACAGGGACAGAAAATTTACACCAAGGAGGCAAGTAAGCGTGTGCTTGCATGCACAATCTTTTGTGTGTTGAAAATACTCTGTAAGCCATTGTTCCGGCTAATGTGTGTTTGTGTACATGTGTAATTGGGGGCAACAGAACTGAGAGGTGTCAAAAGAGACGCTTCTGCACCTCCTCAGTAATCTCTGCAATCTATCACCGTGACAATCAACTCTAGAGCAAGCGTTTGGGGAGAGTGGAGACTCATGAGCGGTATCAGAAATCAAACAACACACTGAGATGCTGCAAAGTCTTATTGATTTTGAACTGAGGTGGAAAAAAGAAAATTCATAATCTCCCACTCGAGCCTACACGCCCACCCATCACGCAGTCCCCTGGTCTTACAATGGGAGTGGTTGCTTTCCGTTAAACAATAAGTTCTATGTGAGGGCATTGATCCATTGTGTGGCTGTGTATCAGTGTCAATTATTGCATTAGAAGACATAAAACAGAACATCAATCAGAGAAGGGCAAAGGGCAAAAGACAAAAGAAACTGACAATCCGCGTTTTATGCCACAAAAATGGATTTGTCGTGCAATATAACATCATCGAAACCCTGCATACTGGCAATGTCAGACTGGATGAAATGATACATTACCTAAACATAGAGGTGCGGGGTAATTCCACCTTCTGACGGGGCCAGGCATGCAGGTAATATATGCATTACCCTGTTGAGGAAAACAAACAAAAACAATATCTTCACCAGCTCCAAAATACAGGGCAATAAAAAAACAAGTAAAAGCAGGATATAAAACAGACATGTCTTCTGCAGGCAGATTTGATCACTGTGGATCTTTAGAATTGGTTAACAATCAGATTTGGGGATTTTTTCAAAATCCTCTTGAGATCTGTGCGTGTAAACATTTGATGGTTTTTAAGAGAAGGACCGATTACTGCTGGTTGGGAGTAGCACGTGGGGTCTGACTATAGAGAAGAACTGTTGAATAAAGAATAATAATATTAATGTGTTGGATACTGCAGGTTAATCATCTGTAAAATATTCAACGCTATGTTGTTTTAATCCTCTCAAAATTCTGTGCATTCCAGAAACTCCTGTTAGATACATTCATAACTTTACATCCTGCAGCCATCTCACACACGCGAATGCTGAACCTGAAGATATCTACCCGAGGCGCGTTTGTAGTAGACAGTTGTACTACACACATGCGCGAGGACACACGGAATACACCTGAACCCAGAAGACTCAGCCACACATGCGGTTTGGTTTCTACACTGGCCTCTGGTCTGTTCCAGGTTTTCAGAAACACAGCCTGAAGACGTGTCTTAGAAGTTGCTGGTTGGTCTGGAGAGAATGTGAAAAGATGTGTATGCCTGAGCCGGGATGAAAAATCGGTGCGGGATTAGTGAGGCGACGGTTAACACAATCAGTCGCCCGTGGCATCGGGGGCTTCGACAGCTCATAACGCCATGGCTACAGTATCTACACGAGGAAGATTGTAGCAAGTGAAAGCTGCAGAGTAATCGACCCACACTCTCACAAGAACATCCAAATAGTGAAGAATGAAAGCAAAGCACACACAACAAGGCTGGAGGCTTATATACAAGGACAGTCAACCACCCTGTGCACTCACGGATGTATTTTAATGGACACTGTTCCACGTGCTCGCTCGCACACACACACACACACACACACACACACACACACACACACACAAATTCCGTGGAATAAGTATTTTCTAACGATGCCTTGACAGATTCGTCCTTTGAGGTATTCCTTTGAAAGTGTCACTCCAGGCAGTTGGATATTATTCACTTACAACCGTGAGAGAGCTGGATATCTGCTTTGGCAGCACTGTGTGCTTTCACCTACCTGTAACGAGAAGCCTTGATCGCACTGGAAGGACACCATGTCCCCCACAGTGTAGCGGTCGCCCACTCTCTGGCCGTTACTGGGAGGCAGCGGCTCTGGGCACGAATCCAAACCTATTGCTTGGGACAGAGTCACAACACACAAGTGTGGACAGCAATCATTCTTCTGCACAATATGGGAACAATCGAAACACATCAGGTATTGTTTCATTGTTGAACACTGCATTTACATGGGATCATCTGAATAAAACCAAATATTAAACACTTAATCACAGAGCAGCTAATTTTAATGGGCTTTTAAATGCATGATAATTGGATGAGTCATCATTTCGCTGTCCTGTCATATCATTTGGAAACTCAAAAAAAAAGCTTTTCTATTGGTGGCTGTAATCGCAAAATCCGTCCGACTGTTATCTGAAGCCATCATAGGGAAATTAAAAAACCATCCCCAAAGTATTATTTGACAGAGAAATGTGACTCCATTTGAACAAAGTGATGCAGACTCACTTGCCGTGCCTTTTAATAATGGTTTGAAGGCCGTGGTTGATACAAACTATGACCTTCATTAATGCAAGAAATTTGGCAGTTTTCCATTGAAAAGGAAGGAACTATAATACACGGGAATGTATATCGTAGGCAGAGCAACAAATATCTTTGTTCTGTATTGTTGATACACAAATTGCAATCTTAGTTTGATCAAATACCTTTGATCAAACTAAGATTGAGTTGTGTCATTTGCAAGCTAATTTTGTAAGCTTGCAAATAAATTCCTAAGATGAACTTTAACTACACCTCCAATTCTGACGTACCAATTACAATTTTCACTCAAAAAACGTTCTAACCACCAGCCCAAAAAACTATTTCAATTTACTCAGTATAAACCCCTTTACTTTACTTTTGTCATCTATAGTAGTTTTTATGTTATTATGATCTGCCTAAAACCTGTGTGAAGAAGGCAAACAGGAAGTAATCTGCTCCGTTATATCTGTTTTACATTGCTATGAAAATGTTTCTTTCAAAACGCTGCTATTTATTTAAGTTGCTCCCCAAAAACTACATTTTAAAAGATTCTAATTGACATTCGCTACTATCTTTTTTACCATTGAACGCAATTCAACAATAAGACAGAATGCAAATCAATGATACCGGTGTAAGCGTTAGCTCCGTTGTACGTCTAAATATAATCGAATTTAGGAAACTGGGAGCCAAGTGATTGGAACACCTAGATCGGCTGCTTACTGCAGCAGCATTAATACATAGGAAGGCAAGAAAGCACAACAAAGCAATAACTTTTTGAAGGCATATATACATAATGCAGAACTTTTGTCTTAGTAAGCAAACCGTAAGGTCAGGGTTCGTGGGTATGAAAATATATAAATCCCCGTCAAAAAATATAGATAACACATACAGACAACCCTCGAAAAAGGAAAACCCACAAACGTACACATGCTGACACAGAATCCCACTCAAAGAGCTAACAGGTCCAAGTAGGTGGGTGGATGAACGTAAACACGGCAGACCGCCAAAAAAGATTCAAAAAAACTCCTGAAGGCAGTGAAGCAGGAGTGGCTAGAGAGGATATTTGGGTAGAAGTATAAAGTAACCAGAGAGGCATCGTGACAGAAAACCAGAGATACAATTAAAAAGAGCTATTTTACAAAGGCAGTGGGAGGATCCTTAACATTTTCTCATATGTGGGTTTAAACGAAAGTATTACTTTAACCAAGTATAATGACTTTGGAATAGATTCAAGGAGATGTGGAGCAAGAATCCATTAAAGCAGTGTTTGCTGCATTGTTGGAGGGCTGCCATAAGGTAGGTTTGACATTAAAGCACAATACAGCCTTTAAAAATAAAACTGTTGCATGATAATACACAGAGCCCTAAACAGCCTTCCCCCGGGTTGTCCTAAAGCAGTGCATTCTCACTTAAATTGAAGTGGGATAAGTGGAATATGCTTTAAAATAAACAGGACCAAAGAAGAGTATGCGTGTCAGCATACAACACTTAATCATACAGGATCCTCAGGAAACACATCTGAGCTTTAACACTACGCGGGAAAGCACAGCCTGCATTTACATTTTCAAAGTATGTATATTTTTTCGTATTCACACAGCCAGAGGCCCTGCTCCCTTAAACCCTTAAACCTTAAGGGAGCAGGGGTATAAACCTCCCTTATACCTTGACTGGTCACGAACTAACCACTGTGCTCTGGCCAGCCTGAGAGTGGGTTCCCAGTAACAGACGGCACCGGTTCCTGGTGAGCTCCAGATGGTTTTCAGTCACATTTTGGCAGGACTGTTGTCGCCCTGCTGTGCGAAGGCACCCACTGTTATAGTGAACGTCTGGAGGGAGTCCCGTCCTTATCAAGCGGGCATCACATTTTCAACAGGTCGGCCGACTGATTGTACCTTGCAGGGGAAAGTTATCGCTTCGTATCCCACCTTATACTAGCTAAGGGTAACTGAGCGCTCTACCTGCTGCAATTAATTGTGAGAATTCACATAAATGTATACATTTTAATTATACATGAATATACCAAGACATTAAAAGCCATTCTGCAGAGAGAAGCTATACGCAGGTCACTCGATGGAGAATAGTTCACTGGGTGATAAAAGATGCCTCTTTGTAAATACAACCGCAAGCTGAGGGATTTGTGCTTACAAAGCACCGTACTGTGGTTATGCACGGTGAACAGCACAGGCAACGGAGAGTTTAAGATAAAAGACATCCTTTAGGTGGGATGTGCAGTAGGAAAGAGTGAAACAGAGCAGAGAACTCCACTAAAAGCATGTTTCTGCTTGACCAAGGCGACTCTATTCTTCATGCACAGTTTCCGTGAGACTGGCGCACACAAACCGACTGGTCCAACTCACTGTCAATGAACACATCCCCGGTCCTCGTCCTCATGAGCATTGTTGAGTTTTTATTCACTGGTCACGACGCATTGCTTTTGTAAACTATTCACAGTATATTAGTTGACACTCATCCCCTTATATCTGGAAGGGTAGTGCTGTAAGCTCATTCATAATACATGTAATATTGTTAGAATGCCTGAGCGGCCATGGGGCGAATGCATAAAGCGGAGGCCTGCCTCTCTACCGGCGGCCTTTCCTCAAACGTGTGTGCTCCTTATATACAGCTGCGTCTAATCAGCAACTAATTGACTACAATCAGTCACTGCAGTGTTTCATACATATAAACACCTTTTCCTAAGTTTACTAAGTATGTTGCATGCAGCATGCATTCAATTGGGACCCGCTTGCTCACACATCCACTGTGCAGGTTCAAAAATACCTAGAAGAGCACGCTGGCTTGTGTACTGCAAAATGAGACCATCCTGGTATTTTTTGGCAATACTAAATAGTCCAACACTGAGATGGTTTGCTGCTGCTCTTATTAAATACATTTTAATAATAAGATACAAATTAGAGCCTAAAATAGTCATGGGTGTAACATACAACATCAATCTTGAATGTAAATATTAAATATCAAATAAAGGAATCTTATTTTGAAAATAGAGCAATGCCTCTTATTTAAATCGTTACACTAATTTCCAACACAATCAATATTCCTGATTTTGCCATCGTGACATTTATACTCCACATCAAACATAATTAGAAAACAGGGCCTCAAATTTGCTGAAACTATACACAGATACAGTTGCTGGGCTAAACAATGAATACACTGTTTCTACAGGTGGAGTCATTGAGATTCAATAATCCTAAATCACATCAGCTTCAACCCTAAATTCCATCTCCAAATTCCTTTTTTTTTTTTTCAAACAGTGAAAGGAGGAGAGATATGTCTGAATCAAGAATGCGTCTCGAGGATGTCTGCTGGAGTTGAGTGTGTACAGAAATAGAAGGGTCCCGATGCTAAATGTCAGGGTTTTCCAGCAAAATTAAAAGGGTTACACAACTCTCTAGTGCCCCATGCTTTATTCATCAACCGTTTCCTGCCATCTTGTTTTGGTTCGTGGTTACCATGACTCTTAACCAATCAATGGGTGGAAGACTATTTTCTTGTTTTCCAATACAAATAATAAAAAAAAGAAAAAAAGAAAGTGACCCGTCTGGTGGCTTTGAACTAGCAACTAGTTGTGTTGGAAACCGTGACTAATAAATAAGGGAAAGACCATTGCACAGTCATTTCGAATTGAAGCCTACATTCCTGCAACACCATTTACATTATGGATGACTGCAGGACCACTAATGTTTGAAACTTAATTGCAAGAAAGCAAATATGGTTATATATGTAATATGATTTCTGTTCTTTGGCTTTAATGAGACTCCGCCATGGCCAGAATTGTTCAAAAACTTGTATAAAACTTGTGAAAAACCTGAAATAAGTAAGAAGTATATGTTGTATGCTCAGCATTCAAAGAACACTACAATTACTACAAGTATCACCATAATGTCCTTTGAGTGGAGGGACTGAAGGTAGAAGTGTAGCAAAAAAGGTAAATGGTAAAAGGAAATAATGCACGCCTGTGCAGACTCCAGGGATTGAAGCCGCGTTAGGGTTTAGTTCATTCTGGATGCCTACTTCTGTATTGTGAGTCGAAAGAAAACTATAGCATGCTGTCCGCCGAGAGCTGGTTAAAAGCTTGCCTCTTAAGAAGTTGTAGTGATGGGTGATATACAAGATTCTAGTCTCAATGGACTGCAACAATTCCCCAAAGGAAACATTTGAAAACAGATGGTTGCCTGGCTCGCTTTCTTCCCAGTGGTTCAAACACACCGAAAACGCTTGGAAAAGGGCACCAAGAGGAGCGCAGATCTCCGCCATAGAATGTCTGCAACAAATACTGCTCTGCCATTTGATTAAATAAATACAAAACACTATTGACTAACCTCCACTCCAGACCGCTAGTGTATCCTGCCACAGATGCACCAATTGAAGACACGAGTTCAGTTGCTCGACACAGGAGTAAGTTGGTCTTACTCCTTGCAGGGTTGTAGAGGAGCCCGAGGAAGTGCTGACTGCCGACCTGTTAAGAACCACTCCCTGCGCAGTGACTCTGATGCTGCCCGAGAGAGCGTCGTGGACTTGTTTATATAATAGTGAGTGCAAATTGGACACAGCACTCCCTTAGGTCCCCGACAAATACAATCGCTAACTGCGAAGTAGATCGGAAGAGCGGTCCTTGAGGTACGATGTGAAATACATACCCATAGACAACGACGACTTTGCTTTACAGTCTTCTGCAGCGGGCTGCGTGCAGGCATTGTGTATCACCATGACATCATTTACTGGCATTAGACAACTTTGCTGCTGACCTTTCCCTAACAAGCAAGACCCGACATCTGTCTCAATCTCTCTTTCTCTGCCACCCACCCACACACTAAGCACTAAGCACCGCCCCATGGAGTCACAATCATGTGCGTGCGTTAATGGGAAATTAGATGAGGTATACCGCTGGGCCAGCGTTTGCAGCCAAACTAGGAATGGATATCTGACTGCAGCAGTTGTTGAAACTTGCAGCACCTACCGGTCATTTAAGAGGAGTCAGCTAAAGATCGGCTGTGAACACACAGATGCACACATGCGCACACCACTAACGTACAGTGCATCCGGAAAGTATTCACAGCGCTTTACCACATTTTGTTATGTCACAGCCTTATTCCAAAATGGGTTAAATTCATTATTTTCCTCAACATTCTACACACAACAACCCATAATGACAAAGTGAAAAACGTTTTTTGCTCATTTTTGCAAATCTGTTCAAAATAAAGAACAAAAACATAACATGTAAATAAGTATTCACAGCCTTTGCCATGACACTCAGAATTTAGCTCAGGTGCATCCTGTTTCCACTGATCATCCTTGAGATGTTTCTACAACTCGACTGGAGTCCACCTGTGCTAAATTCAGTTGATTGGACATGATTGAGAAAGGCACACACCGGTCTATATAAGGTCACAGTTGACAGTGCACATCAGAGCATAAACCAAGCCATGAAGTCCAAGGAATTATCTGTAGACCTCCGAGACAGAATTGTATGGAGGCACATGGGAGAAACTCCCCAGAAATAGGTGTTCCACGCTTGTGGAATCCTACCCAAGAAGACTTGAGGCTGTAATTGCTGCCAAAGGTGCTTCAACAAAGTATTGAGCAAAGGCTGTGAATACTTATGTACATGTGATGTTTTCGTATGTCTTTATTTTTTAACAGATTTTCAAAAAAACAGTTTTCACTTTTTCATTATGGGTTGTTGTGTGTGGAATGTTGAGGAAAATAATGAATTTAATCCATTTTGGAATAAGGCTGTAACATAATAAAATGTGGAAAAAGTGAAGCACTGTGAATACTTTTCGGATGCACTGTATAAAATATACAAAAATGCAACCTAACAGAGGAATAATTCACAGATTGTTGACATTTCACCAAATAATACAGTATCTGAACTCCGATATAAGGAGTAGATTATTGCAAAATGGGAAACAACAGACCACAAAACTAATACTTGATGAACCGTTCTATGGAGAAGCAACTTGGCTTTATCACACATAGTAATTAAGCCAATAGGCTTAACTGGCCAAACACTGCAGAGCCATCAGCTGGGCCAGCAAACAGACAAGAGGGAAAGTAGAAACAAGTTTGACTGTAGCTGAGTTTACACGAAGCACCAAGGAATGCACTTTGCACGGGCAGCAGAGACAACGTGTAAGACAGACATACCGGAAAGAGACAACTGTGAGACATGGCACCGAAGTGACTCTCGGCAGAAGGGGAGGGCGGGGGGAGGAGCCCACAGAGACACACTGCTACGGAGTGCTTCCAGGAAAGAGCAGGGTGTTGTGGAAACGAAGTGCCGACTGCGAGAGACACGACTGTGAAGTCGTTCTCAGCAGTGGTATAATGCTCGAAGACTGACAGCCGGGACAGGCGCGGTGACAGCAATGTCTTTTTCATGCTGCTTTTGTTTTGTAACACATTTGTGGGAACTAAGTTGGAGTGGGGAAAGATTTTTACTCCAAACCACTTTAGTCTTTGGTTGAGTTGTGTATGGGATCTTATAGTGCGTTACATAAGCAGGGCTCTTATCTATCAGGGGCCGTTTAGGACTCAATCTCCCACATACTGACAAAACACTCTTACGTTCACTATTGAAACGCTATCAGACTCACTACTGAATCACTCACACATACAAACAGGCACTGTAAAGCTATGCACGCGCATATATGAAACATAACATATGCATACTCGTCTGAAACACCCGTACATACAAGAAACACACATGCATACATATATACTGTGTCATATACACATATGAAATGCTCACATGCATACAAGTTGAACATTTATACGTATATCTATCTGAAGCACTCATGCATGCACATATGAAAAGTTGTGTATAAATATATATATATATATATATATTTGAACACTTATGATACATTCATAACGCAGTCTCTTACATACGATTACAAAGATATGAAAAGTTTAGATACAAGTGCAAGTGTTTCGTGTACATTTGTATAAATATTTAAAATGTGTATGTATGCTCTAACATGGGGTTTGTGTGAGCTTTTCGCTGTTCAAAACATGCCATCCGGTGTAACTGAGGTAACTTCTGTACGCTAGAGAGATTTCATTTATACATACTACTGAAACGTTGTTACAGCCAACGCTCTCACGGTCACTACTGAAATTACTTGTATGAATACATGTGAAACGCGTGCACATCCTCCTTAGTAACCAGCTAGTATAAAGAAAATTGTCAGTGAGAGAGAAAGTACCAAATGAAGTTAAAGCCTTGAAGTAACAAAAAAAGAAGAAAATTGTCCTGACATTAAAAGACGACTGAAAAAGAAGAAAATGTTGATAGGAAAATTGGTCACCAACATTTATATTTGCACAATTTTCTGACAGGAAACCAGTCGATCCAGAAGTGAATTTTCTGAAGCTCTTTTGCAAATATGCCCCTACGTGAACAGCCCAGAGAAGAGTAATTCTACTCCTTAGAAAAAAGAAGCTATTTCTAGTAGCTTGTAGCAATGAGAGGACAAAAAAAACATTGCCCACTCACTCTTAAACTTTCTATGTCCAACTGTAACACCCGGACCAGCTGTCCCTCTTATTTCTTTTTTTTTTTTTTTTAACTGTGCAGTAGCTGGAAGGTGGTGGCAGATGGACACATTGAAACAAAGTGACAACAGACAAAATGACAAGCAGGCAGAGAAGCTGTCTCTCCTCATACCTGTGTACTCCAGGTGGAAGCCAGCGGCGGAAACACTGATGTCAGACTGGAAGGTTAAGTACAGGTTGTTGGATGTACTGTTCAGCAGTTGAGGAATTGTTGTACCTGTATTTTGGGTAGAAAAGATACAAAAGACAGTTAGGACCATGTCCTCCCCATATTCCACAATTAGGACCAACAAAAACACGCATGCATGACATGAATATTTATTGTACATTGGCTATATGCGGTGTAGATAATTCAAACTTTCTATATTCCACTTTATTACTTTACACTGAGCCAAATTCTGCAATTTGACCATTCTTATAATCAGCAGGTACAAATGAAATGGAGTAACACAGTAACCCAAATAATACAATAATTCAGAGACAATTCCATATAAAGAAACACAATCAAGTGTATGCATTTTGGATTATATATAGTCTATATTAGGCTTTAACCAGAACATAAAGCATTACAGAAGTCAATGTGCAGTGATTTTAAGACTATTTTTTTAATTCATCTGCGTGAGTCACACAAGCGGACTCCGTTATGCATTCTGAGGAGTAAATGATGCCCCATGCATCCATTGGACCCGGAAATCAAATCCACAAAATGAACAAGTACGATCTACAATTGTAAATTAAAATTTGGACTGGAAAATATTATCTGTGTTGCAACAATGAGGTCGTATTCCTCAGATTCAGGTCCATATTCTCTATTCCAGGCGTATGTCTTCAGCAATCTGCATTGAGACATTTACATGTATTCATAATCACCTCCAACAGTTAAGCCCGAGATAAAATTGATTGCCAGCCATTTAAAATCCCTTAGCCTTTTCACACCGCACGCTGTCTTGCAAAGTGAGAGCTGTACTGTGAAGCTATTACAATACCTAAAGAGTTTTGCTCCAAAACGAGATATCCACCTCTTGAGATATTTGACACCTAGTCACATAAAATTGATATAATACTCTGAAGTAATTATGCTACACCAGTCCCTCTGATTCCCCCCTCCAGCTTTTAAAATGATGTGGTGGCCTGTTTCTAGTAGGTTACTATGTGGCAAGGGCTCCAATTTCAGTGAGCCCTAAGGCAAACTCAAGTATAAAACAGGACCAACATTACAAAGATCTTAAATGAAGGGACAGAAATGCGTGAAGGAGGGGGACATTTCCTTCATCTTTGACTTATTTATTAAGACAGAATTCTCAACAGGACATGCCAAATGTCATCCGCTCCACCACATGTCTGCTGCTGGGTCCCAGTGACATCTCATCTGATTGAAATTCAAGCGGGAACTGGCAACTGACATCCAGTTGTGTCCGCTTTACCTGAGTAGCTACCAAGCCTTGGAGCATTGCCATCAACCCCGTCAAAGAAATCCAGCGAATCCCAGTTGTGTTCCGTGGCGAAGGTCACAACTTGAATCTGAAAGACAAAGACACCTCAGTAGAAAGGCCTTGCTTGCGAGTCAACTTGCGGGGTTTCCTCCACGTCTGTCCAAAACGCCATCACTTCATCGCGTTATTACACAATGGCCCAGACCTTATCAATAGATTCACATGAAAATATATTTTAACCTCTCATCGAACATTACAACACTCACTTGGATGCCGGCTCCCTCGGGAACAGAGATCTTCCAGGCACAGTTGAGATAGTTTGTGTACAGCTCTGGGTATCCGGGAGAGAGGATGGTGCCTCTGCGGTGAGTCAACACGCCACCGCAGGGAACTAGACGGAGGGAGAACAGTTTGAAAAAGAGAAAAAAAGTTAACCGGGGTTAATGAAATCAAACCACGTCAGATGATATAATTCGACGGACTCCAATGGGAGGCAGTTATGATAATGACAGGTTCTGCTTGGTATGTCATGTGAAGGAGCTTTATTTTATGACTAGATGATGATATTGTCATTTTAATGTCTCTGTGGAGTTTTGAATGGCAGCACACTCGCCCCTCGGTCTATTCAGACATAAACGGAGGAGCCCTGATGTTGTTTTATCCCTTGCAGGCCGCACAAATCACATCTAGCAGTTGCCAAAGCGATTCCTCTCACAGTGTACACCTCGTTTCCACCGCTCCCACAAGTACCGTATTTATGAAGGCACTTTTGGCGCTCAGGTGAACGTTACATTCCAGTCACTGGCCAGGTTGTGCTGACGCTGTCAAACACCCTGATGTATTTGAGTGTGGGTTAAAAAAATGTAAATGAAAAAGGGGCCATAACGGTTACAATTTCTTTATTGCTTTTCAGATGCAGCCAATTGGCTTTGTAGCCGGCCAGCAGCCTTCTACACAGTGTTTGGCTTCCTTTTTTGTCCATTAAGGATGGTGGTAGCCCAACCCTGCCGACTAGGGTACTGTGGATTAGAAACACACGACAAAATGAATTTCCTTCCTCCTAAAATGTCGTCTTGCTGGCTAATAGAGAAACAAGCGACCTAAAGCGTTGATGGAATGTTTGCTCGGAAAAATGTTTTACACTATCACAACGAAGAGACGTCCAAGTGTATTTGCCTTTCCAATGTTTCTTTCCTCTGTGAGATCTGTCGTTAACAGCTGGAATAAATCTCCTCGACATCTGTTAAGGCATCACATGTATTACAGCAAATGTATGACAAATTCCGTATACCCTAAAAAAGAAAACGCTATTCATTTCTGTCCTCCCTCCTGAGGAGAAGCAGGTGTTAATAGAGCACGTAGCATTTTATTTTGGCAGCTTCTATAGAGGGCCATGAGCAAAGCGGTCACCTGGGAGGACGAGGTCCTTCATAAACTCTCACAATGAAGAGCCAGCTGTTATATGTCAAGGACAAGGATTCTACCCTGTACAGGTGAACAATAATCACCGTTTTCCATATCCAACAGTCACTGCAAGGTTGGATGTCGAAGACAATGGGAGAGACGGAAAATAAGAAAGAAAATATGCTGCTCATCACAAAGAAAAACGTGCGTCAGTAAAAGCAGAAAAGAGCATCTTTCAGCTCTAAGCTTGCAACAATTTAAAACGCATCAATATTTTACAGACGACATCTTCCTGATAGAATTGTTCCAAAGTAACAACTCCTGTTCCTTTAGCTCAAAGTAACCCGTCACGGTTAATGCTTCTATACCACAACACGCAGCAATAAAACCTTCATACGATCACTGCCACATCATCTTCAGCTAATGCATGTCGCATGTCACGCATTCACCATAGATTAACTATTGTGTCAAGACGGAAGACAATGCAATGGTTTAATTGTGTTTTGCGAAATTAAATATGAGAATCAATGCAGATGAAATCTGACAGATGTTTATGGTCCAGCATTTACCAGCAAAACAAAAAACACAGAAATAAACAAAACCATTTTAAAACAATGACACACTATAGGCGGTTTTGTTCCGGTTTATAGAACTTTAATTATTCTTGCATGACGCCACTTTTTTTGACAACCAACAGACTCATTCCAAAGGAGCAGTATTTTCAGTATAAATTAAAAGCTCCTTTGAGTCCCCCGAGCTGTCAGTTAATGTAATTGGATGAGCAAGATTAGAAATCACGACATCAATGCTCCACACACACCCTTCTGAATGTGGGTTAGGCTCATACGTCAGTTACTGCAGGTAGACTACACTCATTGTCAGGCACCATTTAACACCATCTGATATGCAGCAACTTCTAATTACGTCTATTATTCAAGATATCAAAAAGACTCCGCACAACGTGTGTCGCGTATAGTTATTTCACATCACGTGCACTACTTAAATGTGATAGTACTGTAAAGTATTACCATAAAGAGAGAAAAGGGGAAAACTGGTTTAACATTTTGCAGGGATTAGCGTCGGGTTTTTTTTTTTTCTTCATATGTTGTTATATGTACAATCTTTAATGCATGCCATCATGCTAAAAAAAACTGTTTTATTAATAAACAGTCCCACAGGCAGTCAATTACATTGTCATTATAGAAACTTTAATAAGGCGCTGTGACCTTTACCACACACCCAGACTGACACACTTTAATTGGTCTGGAGAGGCTATTTCAGAAGAAGCATCCAGTGTTACAAAACAAGCTCGGTTCAAAAATGTTTACTTGTTGACACCTTCGAAAAACGTTTGTCAACACTGAAATCCAACAGGTGGGCATTCGGAGTATGAATCCCGGCAATCGTTGAGCCGATGTAATAGCTGGCAGTCCTTTGTGTGTCACATTCAGCTGCCTAGCCTTCAGCTGTGCGGGGAACAGAATGGTGCTCATCAGCACTATTTACCCATACTTTTCTTTATTGAGACCTGTAAAGGCACTTTTCATTTCCAGAATCTATTGGTGATGGAATAGATGTTTGAATAAAGCCAATAATCAACAGATGACAAAATGACTAAAATGTTTTAAAGCTCACAGTAAAGTACTTCAACCCAAGATCCACCACAAAAGAAACCAAAACTGATTTTTCTTCATTTTCTCTGTAAACTACCCTCTATAAAAGTCAACAAAGGCCTCCGGTTCGGCTAATTAAATCCCCATAGAATGTTGTGCTGGTCAATCAGAACAGGTAGGAGCTGGAAATGTATCTTCTGAAACAACTACTTCACATGTCTGACGCCCTCATTTCCCATAAAGGGGGCTTGATTAATTGAGCATTGTGTTTTTGTTGCAGCTTTCATAAAACTATATCCATTAATCTGGACGACCTCGCTGACGCTGGGGGAGATGCTGCAGCCAGATTCAATCTTCAGATAAAAACCACTGTTTTTAAAATGGAACCGCGCGTGCCACTGCTATTCCCTGGACACTTGGCAGTAAAACTGGGATGAACTTTGGCTTGAAATCTTCCGCACTCACCGGCTCGGACTGTTTGCCGGCTGGCACGAGGCCTAGCTGCAACGGATTTCTCTCTTCATCTGCAGTTCCTCATATTCGCACGGTAGACACGTGGGTGTCTTGGTGAGACCGAGCGTGTGTCCTTGTTCATGTGTACGGTATGTGTTTGGGTAAAAGCCTGTCTAGAAAACGCATGTAAATCTGGTCATGTGTATGAAGTTGAGATGAGTGCATGTCCATATGCATATTTAGCAGGTACATATCTACTGCTTGGCTTTGTGTAAGCCAGCCTAAGGACTGTGTAGCGTGAGATTCTGATCCCTTCAGTAAATGGTCCACACCGTGCATGGAAGTGCTGCTGGATGGTCACCAGGTGCTTGTGTTTTTTTTATCTATGTCCAAAATTAAACAGATATGGCTCTTGTTGTTTGGATTGTCAAGCGGTGCAATATGTCTGGCCGTATCGTTTTGAATAAAACATTCAAAAGATGGATTTTATCAACACAATGCAAAGCAATTACAATGATGATGTTATGTAAAAGACGTCCACGTATGATGCAGAAACATCTATTGTAATGAAACAATCATGCTAACCAGCTAGCCCACCTTCTCATGTAAAGTCACCTAAACCTCCACAGGCGAAGTGAAGACCCCATTCAACATCTGTTATTGTGAGGGAAATTGCTAGGATTGTTCATAAATCTGTCACCGATATGGCAGATATTCATTTTAAGTGACTGCGATACTTAAATCCAGGGTAATTTACTTTTTTGTCCACCACCATTATATATATATGAGAAATATATTATATTGCACGTCTGAGGTGCTGAATTGCATTTGATAATAAACTGTTACCGGGATGTACGTGGTGCATGAGTGATGTGGGCTGCATAGAAAAAGTTACCTGAAGCGTGGGCTCTTTGACACATTCACATTACTCTATTCATTTTACCCATTAGTTTGTCGAGGCACCGCACCAGAAATCCCTCATATGGGAGGAAGATGTATGTTACATTTTGTTGCATTGTTTGTCCTTTTGCTTTATTCTTGCCTGAACTATCAAGACCAGAGGCGGCTGGAGGCTTTGCAATGGGTGACAGACATTAAGATAAAGGAATGACTAGGGGGTGGGAGGGAGACACCAACCATTTTGCTGCACCTGCTCCATTTTTGTGTGTGTGTGTGTGTGTGCGCGCGCAAAAGATGAGTGAGCTTACCAACACATGTGGGCACAGTGCCGTTCCACTGGGCCAGGGCGTTGGGCACGGCCTCACACCTGATGGCGTTGGAGCCGTGCAGATTGTAGCCTGGACTGCATTCAAACAGCACCACCATGCCGATGCCAAAGTCGTTCCCTATCCGCCTCCCGAACCGGGGCTCAGGGACCGAGCTACACTGAGAGGCGCTCGTCCGCGGGACAGCTAGGGATGAGAGGGAAGAAAGAACAGAGCGTGGGCAGATGTGGTGGAGAGAACGATGAGGAGGAGGAGGAAGAGGCGTGATCACAAGGAAAAGGAGGCATGTCATTAGTCGCTCGTCTGCTGTGCCAGAATAGGCTGGTTGACTCCACATCGTCTTGCTCCACCCAGAGCCACTCTGCTGGAAGGCCCATTACGTGTTTTGTTGTTAAAGAAGCAGAGGACACTCAATGCAAACAAATGAGGTTCCACATCAGAATTCTGGGAATGCATCAGGAAAAGCAGCCTTACCTTGGTAAACAAAGTGAAATCCTTTAGCCGTTTCGGTTCCGTTTGTGGTGAATTTGAGTGTTATTTTGTTTCCTGAACTCAAAGGCAGTGTTTCGCCTAAGTTACAAAATTAAAAAGACGTCATTATATCATCTGTTTACACGATGCGGTTTACACACGTCCACAGAGAACACATACACAAAATGAAAAATAATGAAGGCAGAATATGAACTCAGTTCTGTGCAGCGTGTTGATTACAGTTGCTGATCTACTGGTATTGCTGGAAATAGATCCGATTCATTTGTATGACAATTACAACAGCTGGTTGGCTTGTGAGATTTTCATTTGGGATCTCAGGTGTTTATTGTAATCGGAATCATAATGTTTTATGTATCATTGGGTTTCATAACACCATAAAACAAATGAACGGAAGTGTGGGGAGGGGGTCTTTATCCTTTGCATAATTAAGCTTGTCGGATTTGAGATTTGTAATATGTCTGGGAAAAATAATTAATGATCAGAATTAAACCAAGATAGATTTGCTTTCTTGCAATGGTAAATTATGTCAAATCGAACTAGTCATAACTATGAGCATAAACCTAGAAGGATAAACATGAATACAACAATCGATTTAAATGTCCTGGTGTCATGCGTTTTACCTGAGTGTGATCCGTATATAGAGGAGAGAAGAGCTGAATCTGGAGAAGAGCCGTCGTGGATCTCGACCACATCACTGGTCAAAGTTTGGAAAACCACAAACTGTCCAAACAGCACTGTGAAAAAGAGAAAAATGACATAACATTAAGCCAAGTTCACTGGGATATTTATAGTGTCATAAGTATAGTTTCGGGAAAACATTAATCAGGTAAACTGGTGAGAACAGAAATCATTCAGGCTGCAGCTGACACCTTGAACGATAAACAAGGAGGTTGATGTTCTTTTGAGTGGAATACTCCCAGTTATCTTCGTTGTCTGTTACATGCATACATGAGATTCAACCTCAGCAACTAATCCATCCGAAGCATGAGGAGCACTGGGCCGCTGTACTGAAACTACTGAAAACATGATAATTAACATGGGATTGTCTCAATAATGTCGTGCATGAATATTTCCAAATGAGCATTCCTGATTATTTGTGTACACGGCTCTGAAAAATAATACAATCTTTCTCTGAGCAAATTAATAGACAGTGCTCTACTGGATCACTACTTCTGTGTGTTTGCGTCTATGCGCACACCACAGGGCTGAGCTCATTAGCATGCTCCCTGTGTTTTTCCCAAACGGCAGCTTATATCCATCAAAAGACAGGCAACAACAGCCACAGTGTTGGTGGTTAATTGAGGCGATGCACATGACAGGCTCTAACTACGGTTTAGGTGAACCCCCAACATGCCACCGGGGTAAGCGGCATCCTGCACTGAAATCCTTGTCATATGTAAAAGTACTGGCTCTGTCCATGCAACACACCCTCCTGGGCCGGAGATGCTTGTGTTAAGCCAAAAGCCACAAGCCACATAAGGAAATTTGAATTGTGAGGAGGAAATAAATGAAAAAAACACAGATATTTAACCTTTCCAGGTAAATTATTTCCCAACTGTCTCACTAAGTTTAATGGTCTTGTGTTTTGAAAACACATTTCATTCAAAAGAATAATAGTTAGTATGATCTTAACTCTTGCACAAAGAGATTAGTGTGAAATACCATCCTCTATTTGACAAGAGGGTTTCTACATGCAGGTTAACTTCAACTGGGTAACACTGACTTCTAAATTCTGAATCTTCTAACTGAAACGTTTGGTCAATAAGATGTTTTTGGTCAGTAAGAGCAGCATACAGAGACTAAACACGACTAATACAGTGGTTTGGACTGACCACAAACAAACCAACCAAGCCGGGGTGGGGGGCAAAGATGCGGATGGAGGAAATGTGGGGATTTGGGTACATTGTGCTCCGTTCCCATGATAAGGGTCCCTTACTTCTTACTCCATGTGGCATGAAACGGATAGACACACACAGCAGCCAAAAAGCTCTAACAAAGTGAATAAAACAAACAACGCGTATGCTCACCTCTATAGGCCACACACAGAAAAGAGTTTACACACAGAGAAGCAAAGGCAGACCGGTTTCTTTATTCACGGAGTAGAGATAATGCCCATGGCTGAACCACCGCCTGAATAAGAGATGATTTTACCCGTAGGGGACGCTCACTGCTGTGGTATTAGCATACCAAAACCGTCCTGTGTTGAATACTCTTAAAAACACAAACACATATACACACACACACATCTCTGCCTCTGCAGATCGACAGCCATCCATGCATGACTCCAACCTGCTCCTTTGCTGTAATCACATCCAGATATCAAGTCAATAGCATCATCGTGGTAAACTTGTTGTCTCATTTATGCAGGACTATGACGAGTCGAGGTTATGACGCTTAATGCACTTGAACAATAGACAACATTTTCATGACTGGATCTTCACGTTGAATTATCCCAAAGCAGTCAAGTTGCTCTAATCAGATACCTCATGGGTATTAGATCATAACTTTAGTGCATTCCAACATCCAATACCGCGATGCCTGCTGGCCTTGAACTATGGAAAGAGCAGCACACTTACAGGTTGATCGTACTCCCATGCGGTGCTAATCCAATTGTCCTTTTGGTAGCAGTCATTTCGAAATAGCCGACAAGCGCCTGTGATGGATCCTGCTACCCTTGGTGGTTTCTGACAGATATTAATGGATTCATTGGACTGTTTAAATCATGATAAAAGCAATCCCGCGTGAGTAGAGTAATGTGGAGAACAAAAGAGTTGTAGAAGAACCCGGTTACGTATACACTTGAGATACACCTAGAGACTTCATCAAAACAGTCTCAATTCTTTCAGGCATGTTTTTAACAAAATGATGGTTCCTGTTCATTCTGGCCCAATACACACAGTTCCTGCAGATATTTGCCAGTGCATTCACCCTGTGAAAATGGTTTTCCCAATGCACCTCAAAGGAGCTCTATTGGGCTGAGATCTGGAAATAGTGAGGGGGACACATCAGGGTGATGAGTGCTTTGTGACAAGGCTTGTTCCCAGGATCTATTTGAAAAGAAATGTGCACAGTGGAAATGAATGGATGCACCCAGTCGGTAACAATGCCAAAGTTTGTAGTGGTGTCCTGATGCTGCTCGAGTTTCTTCTTAAAAACAAAAAAAGAGACGCTATTTTTCAACCTGTAGCTTATTTACTAATCTGTGTGTCTAACGGGCTGCTGGTGACGAATCATCCATTTTGCTAAATTGGTCAATTATTGATGGAGAACGCAACAAATAACACAAGCTTAACTGGGAGCAATATAATTGCTTTAGGCAATTCCTCATTGCAAATGTACATACAATAAAAGTGCTTGTTTTTGCCTCCAACGGGCTCATATTGTCAATGTTATTAGTTTCTCTCAACGTCAGGGAAAAGATACTTCAGAGAACTAAAACATCACACTTAACTTTCGCCTTCTGTTTGTCATTGATTTATGATTTGTTGCCAGAAAAGTCGTTGTTCCCATTATTAGTTTTTGTGTCATTTAGACACAACATGGAGGAAAACAAAAAAAGGTGCCAGGTTGAAAACGTCAAAGTTATCCTTTAAGGGGATTAATGTCTGCAGGTAACATGTATTAAAAGGGTGGGGGCGATTAATGATTAATGATTAATGAAACCCAAAGTGTAAGCGCCTCTGTATGGAGATAACAAGAGGGAACGAGGCCGCGTATCTGAGCGGCTTAACGCAACGGCCACTTCACTCTAAACTTTGTTCTTTTCTGTTTTCATTCTCGATCGTCACAACTTTTGGCATGTGCTGCCGATGTAGGATCATTACAGTACAGCTGTAAGAGAAATGTCAGAATCTTAGAGGCTCTTTTCCGTCTCCGGCTCTCGACCCTCTGCTATTTTTATTTGATCTTCCCTCTACAAAATGAATGAGCACGGCCCCTTGGATCAATTGTGTATTGTGTGCAGATGATGTATTGTCAGAAAACGTGTAGATGTCAGCCACAAAAAGAATTCCACGACGCAGGGCTGACAACCTCCTGTTTGTTTTTATGCGCACACTGGGAGCAAGAGGAAAAAAAGGTCCTTTACACATCAGCCATTCTCACACGTCATAGCAGGCTAAACACAGTTGGAAATGGTGCCGTTCTATTTAGGGTGTCGCAGTTATTCCAGGCATTGACCCACTTTAATAGAACGCACCATAATTAATAGCACGTGGTTACTGTGCAATGACGTGTCAAAATGTCAACACTTATATAGGTTGTGTTATGGAACGCAAAAGGTTGATCTCCAGAGAGTGTTGAAGTTTATCCCATTGAAATGCATTCCAGCTTCAGCATTTTCTTTGGGTTACATTTATCAGTAGCATTTTAACAGCAAAGATTGTCTTCTTTTTTTTATTCACTCAACCGACAAACCCCGCAGAAGGACTTCCAACGGCTGAAATAATAGTTTACGCAGAGAGAGAAACCCTACTGCACACTCTACGGCTTCAAATGCTAACCTGCTAACCAACTTCCTCCATCACTGGCTAACTAACCACCCATGCTAGACGAATGCCAGGTTGCTACACGTGACAAGAATCAGAATCCATTCATGACTGATACAAACCCCTTTTCTCCACTGTCACACATGCAAGTAAACTCTAGATCTCACAAACACATTAAGCAAAGTTAGAAAATGATTGTCAATTGTCAGAACATGTTTATCTCTGCAATCCAACTGAAGCGTCATGCTGAAAACCATCTTGTTTGTCAGAGCATCCGTTATATGACTCACAAGCAACAACAAACAAACTCTTTCTTGTTGAGTACAATTTCTTCATGTCATAAATCAATCCTGCATATTTTGTTCCAGAACAATTGGCCTTGGGATTTTTCTGTGTTCCACTTGCAATGAGAGTCACCATCTTCCGGCACAGCTAGCAGAACAAAACATTGACCATACAAGTACAGAACAGTTTACCTTAAAACACCTTCATGTGACAAGATTCAAGCAAATAATGAGTTGAGCCTGTGAGATCAACCTATCCTGCTGCAAATCAAATATCAAGGTAATATTATTGGTTACAAACACTGGTGGCCATTCCTGTTTAATCCAGTACAGCTGAACCTCCACAAAACCTTGACCGCATATTAGTTCTGAGTGGTGAGCAGGTTTGGTGGAGTATTTATCTGAAAGGGAGTAGAAAAGTGCGATAAGAGGCTCTGGTTCTCAGGTGCCATGTGGAAGTTAGCCAGTGAACCCTGACTGCTTCTGCAAAGCCGCTCTCCCTCCGTTTAAGAGTTGAAGGTATTTTGTCCTGGTTTCTATTTTATTGCTTTTAACACCGCATGTGTTATTATCAATTTTCCCTTTCATCACCAGAATATTAAACAGAATAAAAAAAATGAAAAATGGAGAAAAATTTGGGTCAGTCAAACTACACTGCGGTAAGTTTAATAGATGGAAAACAGGTCCTACTTGCACTGTACAGTCACTGAATTGGGCCATGTGGAGTAAAGCAGTAGTTTAGGATACCACTAAAGTGACTGGAATGTAATGCAAACCCATTCTGCCCACTGCATTTGCTGCATCCGCATAAAAGCAAAACATGCACAATGCTCACTAAAGGCGTTAAAGACCGTCTCAGCAGCAGCAAAAGTCAGTAAAAACGGAGGCATACGTTTGTCCTTCTGGCTATGAATTATGGAGGAGCTACCTGCAGTCTGTGCTCGGTGGCAGCTCAGGCCTCCTGGGATTCTGGACTGTGACAGAATACACAGGCCTCATTTACACAAACCAGACGCATACTATGACTGCAAAGACACATATATTTTTAATGACCCATTATCACAGTGAAATTGCATTAGACCTTTGGCAGGCAGTATGTGGCAGCACCTTGGCACAAGCTGCATCCAGTCCATTAGGCATCTATCTTGGGTTTAAAAAAGAGTCACCTCTTTAGATTCAACGTGGGAAGTGGCTGGTCACCTTGAGAGAGAATATGAAGAAGGGAAAGGGAAAGCATATGTTAATGCTACTTTTCCTTCCATTTCTTTTTTTATTTGATTTGGTCCACAGTTTTACTTGTTAACTTTCAAAACAGCACAATGTTCTCTTCAGGGGCGGATCTGACAACTACCAGACCCCCTCGCACAATGCGTACAAAGAATCTCATCAACTTTAAAACCACAGGTTGTCAAATCCAGTCAATGCAGACACGCAAGAGGGTGCTCGACTGGAGTTATTCCATGTTCCAGCGTTTAATATCCTCTTATCACATATTCAGAGATCCTACAAAGAGGGATTTATGGTCTCACTAATGTGTCTGTCTCAAGAACAAATGTTGAATTCACCCACGTCTATCTCAGAGCCAAAAACAACACCCTCTTTGGTTGTATTTTCTACGGCCACAGTGGCTGAACGGATATCCAACATCCCGATTGCATCCGAAAGTTCCATGTCCTGTTAAGAAATCCTTTTCCAATCCATTAAAATGTTTATTATTTTAAACAAAGACCCTGGAACAATGTTGACCACCTCTTGACACTGGAATTTGACAGACGCACACTTCCATACACGTGAACCTGTGAAAGGCCAATCAGGATGAGGCTGGAGCAGAGTTCATACACATATTGGTATAAACTGAGGGTGGGGTATTCTGTATGCTGATACAGACGGACAAGGTATTAGTGTGGGATGCATCATATCATGAACGGGGGGGAGCAGGCAGAGTCTTACTCCTCAGCGAATATCGCTGATGAGTCAACAATCAGCCCCCAGGGTCAACGTCAACGTCTCCGTTTATCTCCCTTGTTGCCTGTCGCTCATTACGACGCTCATTCCCTAAACGCCGCGGTTTTCTCTTCTTGACTCCTCATGAATTCTCCTAATCATAATTCCTTGTCCCTGTGACGTTTTCCATAGAGGTCAAGAAATAGTGGTTATAAATAATTTCTTTGACACTTTGAATCCAGCCCAAGCATCTGAATGATAAACTTGGTGAATGTCATGTGGGACCAGCAAGTCAGAAATGCAAAACAGAAATTGTATTTGATTGAGCTGAGGCTTCAGGCAGAATTGAACTAGATTACACTGCGGCACATTATGATGTGTATAACTGTTTATTATGTGCATACATTATGTTGTTATAGCCTCTGCAGAATGTGCCATTGCAAACAGGGAGGTTACTTCAATCAGTCAGACAGAAACCACGACGGCTTATTTAGAATACTGTAAATCCATACAAATTACACTGTACCACTGAACTAAATATTTTCCATCTTCTAACACATGTATAAACATACAAAACCTTTTCAGTTGGGGACCCAGTTTCACTGAAGCCTATCAGATAATCTTAAGACCCACAAATAACTTTTTAGGAAAGCTCTAATGACTAAACAAAAAAGACATCTGCAGCATGCACGCAAAGACAGCTGCCTAGTTGCCCCAGGCAACACGATCTGAACTCATATGAACTATTGGATTTGATCTGGTTACACATGTTGACAAATCAGTTTTTTATACAAAAACAAACAATCAAATGTAAAGAACATTTTCCATCCATCCCATATCCCATCCATGTCCACTTCAAACAGGACTTTAATAGGCCTGCCTGTCTGTCATTGTTGACTTTCTTTTGCGTTGTTGGTGACGCCAAACCCCTTTTAGTGAACATTTCATAATGTCAAATAATTCAAACATATCTTTCATGCCAAGAACTAACAGCTGATGGCCGCCCCGGCAGCCGCAGCTCTAATATTCAAATAATTACCATTAAGAGAACAGGATTAATTAGCTGCATTGAAGGAAATGCTTAAAACTCTTAACCTGTTAACTGTAGTGTGCTTGAAACATATTTCAAGTGATCAGAAATCCCAAATCAACATTTGTAGGATTAGACTGGCCTTGACAGCATAAGACGTACATCCACACAATAACGGCCCCCTCCCTCGACCCATGTGTTGAACCCTCAGGTCACTGGGCCAAAGTCAGACATGATATTTCCCACTGACCTTTAAACCAGACAGACATCATATTTCAAAGGCTTATGGCATTCTATCTGTCATATAACGGCTACACTAGGACATGCATTTGAAATCTTCCCTAGGCGGTTACAAATTTCAATTACCTGTATACCAGACACTGAAATGTGATTTCTGCTATCGCTGCCTATAGGCTACGCTGCCAAGCTGCTACAGAGAAAACAGGATTTATCTCCGTACGGTTTTATCTGGAGGTTAGAAACACTAAAATGCTGCACTCTAGCTATATCACACAACCCTTATTTTCAATATCTCAATGAAAATAGACAAATGATGGAAGCCAAAATATGGAGCACTTTAGTAGGACAAGAAACTTGGTTGTTGTACCAAAGTTAAAATTCAGATGCTCTTCAAAAGATAAAGTAAGAAAAGAAAAACTTTCGAGCTTGGCGGTACATGTTACGGCAGCCAGAAGAGCATCCCAGGTACTCTGAAAGATAGAATCCCTAAAATTACATGGATTAAGACCATGTTAAATATGTGATCCATGTATTAATAAATTGCTTTTCAGAATGTCAACCTATAGCATGGACTTTTTAATTCAACGATGTTATGGAGGTACTGTTGATGGCGTGTGTGTATATATATATTTTGTAAAACATGTCAACGGGAAGCTTTGATGTACCCGTGATATGCCATAGGCTCCATCCTAACAGTAAAGCGTGTCAGAGCAGAGCTTGTTTTTCACTACTCTCAATACGTTGTTGCTGCATCATCATCATCATCATCCGTTCTGGCTTCAGCTTTCACATCAAAGACTCGTGTATTACGAGTGCAATGAGGGGTGCACGCTTTAGAAAATTCAAGATGTCTCATTACATCATAGCTAGAGTTGTAGTTCCAACATTTTTAATTTGCTCTACCCGAGCTGTAAATACTCGTTGCTTTGTCACTACCCGAAATATATTTCCACACACAAGCCATGCCACAACAATTTTAATCATCAGCAGTGGGACTCCTCAAAAGCCTCTGTGCCTGCACTCCCTGGAGTACATTTGCAAGGCCAGGTGGGACTGTTGCTCACACACTCCATTAAGCTTTAACATGCAGTTTAAGCAAAGGCTGCAGTTATATGCAATATTTTTTTTTTAGAAGAAAGAAAAAGACCTGCGGGTTCCTGGGTTCTATGAACAGTGGGAGATGGCGACAGAATTTTTAAACTGTCGGGCCGGATCATCACAGGGGATTAATCTGTTTTCGTAAGCACGGGGCTTTGCTGAAAAGAAATCTCTGCCTACGATATTTACAGCTCTTTGAGGCAAACATAGAATATTGAAAAGAAGTGCATCATGGTCTTGGAGTTTTCTGAATTATGTACACACAGAGACACTTGGATAAACCAGTGAATCTGGTGCTCCATCCATTTCCCCCAGCCCTCCGCTGCTTAACCTTCCTCTCGCAACGGAGGGTATTTTGCATATAAACACAACCCATTTTTGCTCTGATATTGTGATACTGCCGTTCTTCAGGTGGTACAACGTCACGTGTAGGAGTGGTTAACAGCTGGCAGCAGTCCCCCAACAGAGTGTTGCATTGATTAAATGTGAGTTCATAAGACGCGCATTTCAGTGAATAGAATCGCAGTGGCCTTCACTGACCTCTGACTGTTCGTAGTGTAACCATTGGCTTGATGCAAAGTCCATTCAGTTGGCAGACATATACAGTGACTGAATAATAATCGAGCGGGAGACAGGCATTTATCCCGAGTGTCAATGGCCGTAATCATCAAACATACCGATCCACACTAACAGAATACTGAAGGGCATGAAAGACAGATGAAGCACTGCAGGGAAATCAGTTACACAAATCTGAGCATTTTTCTGGGCAGCTCTATCACCCACGACCGACTACGAGGGCAAGTCTCAATTCCTTCATAAACTATCCCCTATCCTCATCATTAACAGAAAACTCACAGAAAACAGTTCATTGTTTCCCTTTGTCTTCTCTTCTCGACTCATAATTGAAGTGAAAATAATCCTTGGGACGCCCCACATGGCTATAAGCAGCAGTTGAACAGATTATATCCAACAATTTTGTGCAACTCTGTGGAAATAAAGCTTGGAGATGCTTACCAAAGTCCCCAGGGACGAAGATGTCGTAGACACAGCTCTGGCCTCTGGTGTAATTATGTGGGTAGTTTGGTGAGAGCACAGTTCCCTCTGAACCTGTGAAGTGACCACCGCAGGGAGCTGTGGGGAGAGGAGGGGAAGCAACACAGAAACAGTTTGCAAATGTGAACCTACCAACTCACTACACCTGGGGAAGTGAGGCAAAAACATACAATCAGCAAATCTACCGGAACTGGCAGAAGAGCAGAGGTCATTTGAAATGAAGTCACATTTTTACAACTTTTTGCTGCTGACAAATGTCATTTTTGCTAGAATACCAAAGCTTGAGGCACCTTGGGGACGGAAGAGGAAGTCGGAGGTGTATTTACGGGGTTAAAAGCTACAAGGGGAAAAAGCAGCGAGGAAATGTACTTTTTCCCCTTCAAAATTCCCCAAAACATCATCAATCAACAGGACACAATATCACGGAAGATCCACACGCCTTGACTTTAAATTAGCCAATATTGCACAACAGCATGTCTATAGGAACTTTAATTCAACTGAAACTGACTCACAATCAGTAAGACTAAACACACAAGTCCAGTTGATTCATACAATCTTAATTGATTTGAATACAAGACAAGTTTGTGCTTTCATGTTAGTATGTAGTAATGCATTTTGTTCTACTAGCGCTTCAAACTCTACAGCACCAGAGTGCAGGCACATATTTAACTGCCGACTATGTTCATCGGTATAAGCTCTGGTCTTTCCTGCCCCTGCATCGCATTTCAGTCCTACCTTAAGCCGTTAATGTTGTACCTAATTTGCCAAGAGGCCCTCTAACAAAGTTTGCCTCAGACCTCACGGACCGTGTGCCATCAGGTGGGGGAGCCTCGGAGGTAAGCAAATAGGCACACATTTGTCGGGGGGGGAAGGGGGAAGCTGTCACCAGCTGCTCTGAACCCGCCATGGGCTTCATATTGCACATGTCGCCGCAGTTTTGTCGAGCAGCACACGAGAAGATGAACAAAATTGAACAGAGGCGCTAATGTAGAAAGATGGATCAGCAATTTATCCGCATTTGGTTCTTGGAGTCGCGAGAGGCAGGTAATCAGAAATACAGCATGTGATTATAGAAAGTGGGGCTGGGAGTCAAACTGATTGCTCAGGCAGACTGGGGAATGGTGGGTGGGGAGTTTGAGATTGCTACTGGTGGGAAAGGGGGCACACTGGACACCAACACAGTTTTAGAGATAACGGTAGGGGAAACACAATCTAGCTTTCAAACCAAATGCTCATACGTGTATATGCGCAGTCTTTTTAAAAGCATCATTACAAACGTCAATGTAAAAAATAAGGGAATTGAATAAGTCTGAACTAATAGATTTTTTTTTCCACGGAAAAGAACACGTTGTTTAACCTTCATAAACTTCTAAGAAAATTCATGTATTAAACAAAACTAAAGAAACAATTGGAACTTTTCTTTTGCTGCAAGAGGGGGAAAGTAATGATATTGCATCATCTTTGAAAATGTCAGTTTCATTATGTCATGCTGCTTGTCTCTGAAGTCTCTGAAGTCATCGATACAGTTTGCAAAAGAAAGTTGTTCCGCTCTCCTCACACATTTGCTGAATAGAATACAGTAAAGGGACATTTTTCTGTATAAGAACACATTACATGAATTGCCCCCTTTGGTAAAAGCACAAGCAGTCTTGGTGCAAGCTGCAGAGACATATTAACCTATACCAGATTAGTACATAAGCAAGATTTGAAAAAAAGGGTTGCATCTGATCTGCGATTGGCTGGCGACCAATCCAGGATGTACCCTGTCTATCGCCCGAAGTTGGCTGGGATGGACTCCAGCCCCCCCGCGACCCTGTGTGCAGGATAAGCGGTTTGACGATGGATGGATGGATGGGTTGCGTCTGATTTGAGCCGTGAATGTACTCGCTCTATTACTTCTTGACCAGGACCCCCTTGTAAAATACATTGAAAATCTCAGTGCGCGTAATCAAAAAAAGGTAGTGGTATGTACATACATTTTTTTTTTTAAATCTAACAATTGTAAAACTGTATTGTCCATCGTTTTAAATTAGAAACTTAGAGACTTAATATCCAGTTTAATATAGATTACCTTCCAAGGGTTTCATAAACAAACAGAATACACCTGTAACCTGACCAGAGTGAGTTTCTTCAATGTTTTGTCATGTTTCAAAATACAGATGTAGTTTTGATTGTAGTTTAACCTCCACTGAGTTTCCATTTTGACTCCTTTTTGTTTATTTTTGTTTAGACCTCAAGACGCTGGATTCCCCACATGCCACAGTGATGACTCTCTTATAAAGTCCTGAAATGGAAGTAATCAAATATTGACCATACGGATGGCCCGCAGCTCTCTGCTACTCATGATGTCTGCTAATGTGGAACAGCGTTGCCGCTCACCTTGACAGCTTGGTTTGGCTCGGTCCCACTCTGGTCTCTTGCTGTTGCCCATGACGCAGGTCAGGGTAGAGTAGCCCTGCAGCAGGTAACCGGCCTCACAATGAAATGTCACCATAGATCCCAGCTTGTAGTCTGTACCCATTCTGGAGCCATTCATCACATTCCCTGGATCAAAACACGCCTCCCGCAGTTTTGCTGCCAATGAAAAGAACACAGCTTTTAGAACAATGACGTGAGTTGAAAATGAGTTTCAGATTATTATGGAAAAACAGTTATACAAGCTGTAAGGGTGTTGATTGAACACTTAATAACAAAGTAACATGGTGTTAATGGATCCAGGTAAAAAGCAACTTCCACCGCTTGCAACATTAGAAAAAAAGTAGTTGTGTATAGTAGCAAGCTTCAAACACTTTATTTTGCTGATTCATTTTCATAAATAGCCAACTAAATCCCCAGCTCTAACATTCTGTGAAAAGGCATTTAAATCCCTCTTGCATAGACCTTTAGAGTACCTTTGTATTCCAAATGAAAGCCAGTGTAGCTCACAGAGCCATCGCTGCGAAATGCCAAGTACATGAAGTTGGAAGTGCTCTCAATCTTCTCAGGAAGTTTACTGTCTTGGAAACTGCCAATCAGATGAGTGCTGCTGTCTGAGCCATCGTAGATGTACAAGAAGTCATAGTTGGGCTCGATACTGAAGCTGGAAGAAGTGAAAGAAACACAGAAATTAGATTTTTGCAGATATCATTTTGCTATGTCGTAACCACCAGGTTGTATAGATTGGGTGTGAAAATGAGAATGCTTTGTGATGCAAGCGTGCAACACAGTGCAAGAAGTGAGTCATACCAACCGATTTGTTTTGCATCTCCAGACAAAGAGACAAAAAAAAAATCTCCCCAAAGAGGCGAAAAGAGATTAAATTGTTGTGACACTGTACTGGCACAAAATCTTCCCAGACGGCAATGGCAATGCAGCGTGAGAAGATTGTTTCATATTATAGCGCTTTATATCGAATCACACGCCGCCGTGAGATGGGAGGGAGCAGCATTTGCTTTAGAAAATAATGAGCAGGGTTTATGACAAAAATGTAAATAGCTCGGAGATAATTGCATTTGAGTTGGATGAAGGCAACCCTAATTTAAAATCATAACTCCATCCTTTCATTTGGCATTCCCAAGGGAGAAGCAGCATTGTGTTAAGGCTATTAAGCGGTTGTTTTGAAGGACGAAGTTGAAAAAGAAACATGGCGTCTTTGTCTCCTCCTCAAGATGAGGGAAAGTGGGTGGGAAGTGCAGCAGAGCCAATGCACACACGCCCCTTCTCCAGCCCTTCTTCAAACAACTATATAAAAAAAAAAAAGGAATCTCAGTCAAGAGCAACGCGGCCCATGAAAGGTGCCCTCGGGCCCATTTGTGCATTTGCTCTGCCAGTATTGCTGTTACATAAATTAGATTGCAATTTATAATGTAAAGTTTATGGTCTGAGTATCATTCAGCCTAGGAAACGAGTGGGACTCATCTCTTATTAAATCATATTTCACCACGAAGGAATCCCTGCCTCCTAGGAATTGGTAGAAGTACTTTTGCTTCCCTCCCCTAATCTCCCAACACACCTGGACTCAAACTCAGCTCTTCTGCTTAACACGCATGGCCAACTTTGCTCAATACTATGATGTTATAGCTGGTTCCACTGCAGAAAAAAAGCAATTCCAAAGCACAACCTGAGGCACTGTGCAGCCACCAAGAAGTGACTCCTTTCTGTTTCAGGTAGGTTGCAAACATGCCACAGGTTTGGGGATCATGTACTCAGTGGACAACTGTCGTGTTTTACTGGGGCTACTATGTGAATGAGTGTTTCAAATTAAATCAAATGATGTGATCAAACTGTGTAGGAATGTGAAATCAGACCATTTACAATGTCAGCACAATTTCATTTAATGTGTTTAATGTAACATTGTGTGTTTCTGCTGAATTGAAAGCAACTAAAGTAAGTCAAATGGACATTGTGGCCGCTCGTACCTGATAAAAGCCAAGGAAATGACATAGTCGGAGTGGACTGCAATGAGCCAGTCGCAGTCTTTGCTGTGAGGGTACGGGTGTGGGTAGTTGGGAGAAAGGATAAATCCTGAAGATCCAGTCACATTTCCACCACAAGGCGCTTGAGGCATGAAAGAGAAAAAAGAGATGGATGAAAAAGTGCCACAGTGGTCACAAAGAAAGCCTTGAAATGTGCCAGAACGACTTCAAACATCTTTGGCTTAGCTAAATTCGGGTAAGGGTTGAATCCTTGTAGCTCATTAAATATAATTGACTGAAGTTCCACAACCTTTGTCGACCTTTATCAGCAACAACAGTTGGGTACTCCACAGCCATTAGAAAGACTATGCCATCATTTTCCCACTTACATAATGATTAGAGCTATTTTTCTGACTTCACCGTACCATTGGAATTGGATTTTAACTGATTTCTGGTGTAGCCTATTAGCTTTTTTGTTTGGTGTTAAATAGGTCAACATTTTAAAGAAATGAATGTCTCCCTGCGGAGTTATACTCACATATGTGAGCATAAAATGTGATACATATGGGGAATAAAACTATTAATATAAAAATAATAAAATCATTGAAAGCATTAGAAAAAAATCTACTTCAAATAACATTCAATTGAATGTAACATGACATGTTACTATCCTGATGATGTTGACTACTTTTTATTGATAAGTGACTCTTGGATTCAATTGAGTTACATATCTGCGGCATATATGTAATTCAAAAGGTATATCAGACAAATTAAGGCCCACAGACATTCCTGAAAAAGCATTTGTATCAGCTGATGAGTATGTTAGTCTATGTGATACCACTTACAGAAATGAGTAAAAGGAAAGCTGACATCAGATTTTCACTCCTACGGAGTCCGGCTTACAATGTTATCACATCAATTGGAGTCACGTGATGTTGTGATTGCAATGCTGTGCTTACAAACGCCTGGCCAGGGGAAAAAACTCTGACCTTCTGGCAGAAACCACAAGGCTTCTTTAGACCTACTTAGTGAAATTATTTCTTATTGCATTGTTAAGTAATTATCTGTCAAGCTCTTATAAAACAATAGGTTGGGGAGACCGTAGAGTACAGAGTATTTAGCTGGCTGGGGAAGTGGATTTGTCCACATAAGAGTTGGCAATGACTCCAAAATATCGCAACAGTCTTGTTTATCCTGCACAGTTTCTTAAGACATGCGTGAGAGAGAATTATGGTTGTGTTATACAGCCAGTTAATAAAAAAACTCCCTTGCTCCCTCTTCATTTCTCTTTCAATCTTGTCCCCTAACCCTCCCTCCCTCCCTCCCTGCCTGCCTCCCTACTACAAACCATATGCCTCTATTTGTCTCCCTCTTTCTCACCGATGCAGCTTGGAGGGCTCGGTTGCCAGTAGTATCTATTTTCCACTTGGATACAGGTGATTCTGCTTTCCCCCTGCAATTCATATCCCGGATCACAAGAGAAGGTCACCAAATCACCGGGCTCTGGTCCTTCCCCATTGCGACTGCCGTTCATGGGAATGCCTGGATCTCTGCAAGCAGTCGCAAGCGAACCTGAAGGGCAAATACACCAATACATGAGCACACAGTGAGCGCAAGTCAGTGGAATCAACACGTTCAAGCTACAAAATGTAGGTCCAAAAAACACAGAACAAAAATGCATCAAGAAAAACAAGTAAACAACAACATTGAGGGGCAGAGACGGGCAATGTTTTTGTGCAGATTTGGTGGCGATGTAGATCAGCTGGTTGTCGTCAGCATAGCAGTGGAGGCCGCGATGGCGTATGAAGAGGAGGGGACCAAGTACTGAACCTTGGGGGACACCTTGAGAGAAAGGGGCTGTGTCGGACTTGGATTTTTCGATGCTAGTAAATTGTTCAACAATCAGTTTATCAGAAGGATTCATTCAAATTAAAAAAAGGTTTGTTCTAATTGTACAAAAAACGACTTAAAACCTAGAAATACACTGATATAAATATTCAGGGTACCATCCAGACCAACGCTGTCCCTCAATCAAGGTCAGCAGATGCTCACTCAACTAAACCCGATATTTGGTTCTGAGAACTATTAGCCTGAGGCAAACTGGGTATTTAGGTGCATTGTGCGTCTCCGGAATCGATCCAGCTCCAAAAGCACAAAGTGAATAGCATGTTATTGATTTTTACATTCTACTTGTGTACTACAGAAAATGAAAAAGAAACACGAAGCCACCCCACACAGCATCCATGAGGGGGTTATGGAACCGCTGTGCTCTTGTGCTTGCCTTTGAAACTATTCATCGGAAGAACACAAACTGCATTATTAGACAGGCAGCAGTAGACTGTGAAACACCTGAAACTCTCACTGCTCATTAAGACACAGTTACAGATTTCACCAAGCTGTCCACAGTGAGGACATACTCAAATGAAATGATCGCACTTTAATAATTTTACATAATTTGAGGACGTGCTGCTTAGATTTCAACATTGTGTTAAAACTGTCTACTTGCATGCTGGTTGTGGCCATCACATATATGTAAAAGAGTCACACTGCATCATATTAAGGAACAGAAAATTGAATCAAGTAAAGAAAGGATCGTCACATTATGCATTAACGACAAACTAATTATAGTAAATATCTATTGTACATGAAGTAAGTGGGAGGAATCACTCACTGGAAAAGTCAATGGCAAAGCCCGACTTGGTGATATAAAAGTCAGTCTCAAACTGAATGGTGACGACGTTGAGAGTGGAGTGGATCCCGGCAGGCAACAGCGAACCGCTGACCTCCTGCAGAGACATCTCCTTCTCGGGGGGCCCGTCCCACACCTTCAAGATATCGTGGGACGCCTCCGTGTCAAATGCAAGGAACTGCAGACTGGGAGAAGCGAAAACAAAGAGACGGTTAGTTTGGCTTTAGCTCAATTCATTTAGGTCAAGTCACGCATGTAATCAGACTCAAATTAATTTAGCTATTCTGCGTTCACTTGCACAGTTGTGCCATTAAAAAACAAATGTCAAGAATGCACACAAAACGAGTGCTGAACTTCAAATTCAAAAGAGAGCCCAATTCTGAAACTGTGATCCACCATTTTATTTTATTAAATATTTGGTATGAATCATTTTCTGCCGAAGTACAGAATATATTTAGAATATATAGAACATATACAGAATGTGTGGCTGACCTTATGAAACCATCTCTAGGCCCAAACAGGTTTTATTTCACAGTAATGCAAAGAGCTCTCATCCGCGCCCCCCCCCACAAAAAATGCTTCCTTTTCCTGTGAAAATTCCCACACAGTCACAGTTTCTAAAAGTCCGCCACTACATCAATGCTAATGGAGCTGCTGCAGACTGTTTCTATGATGACATCTGCGTTTGAGAGGAGAATTGTTTATGTTGCAATGACCGAAGGTCCATTTAAATCCCCTCAAAACCCTTTAACTTTGAGATATTATCCTTTGGTAAAACTGCAGTCTCATACTTAACAGACAATCAAATTCCCTATAGTTTTATCAAACTCACTGAGCGGCCCGTTGTTTTTTTTAAACAAATAATTGAACAGCCAATTATGTTTCATGTTTTCATCAACACCATATTTCATGAGTAATGGTGCAAAATTCAATTATCATGTTTTGATGATGATTGCACATCTTAATTCAAATATTAATACTATAATAATTTTTAGTTAAAAATGTATACACACACACACACGCACGCACGCACACACACACACACACACACACACAACTTGAGTCACCTGACGATGTTTCCAGAGTTGACCTCAATTGTCCAAGTGCACCGTAGGTTGTTGTCGTAGGGGAAGGGATACCCCGGAGAGAGGATACGCCCTGTCGACTCACCCTTGAAACTCCCACCACACTCCGCTGTATGCAAACGCACATATGAAGGAACATGAAATACATAAAACCGTTCAAAAATACAAACTCATACACGAGAAAACAGACGCACTCGCCCATACAATGTTGAAACCATATACAGAAGGAGAAGTCTGTCAGAATCCAGGATCACTGAAGCGCAGTCTACAATCAGGACTAATGAGCAACTGATGAAAATTAACTATTTTCTTCTTTCAAAAGGTAATGGAGTGCAATCAGGTATTCCCGCCTGGGCAGAAATAGTCGTTTTTCCTCCAAGTATGCCTTCTTATGATGCCAATAATTACCTTTAAAAAGATTGTGCAGACAAAGTATTGGTTGTGCTTTGCACCTAAGGGAGGAAACTGCTACAAATGTTAATGGCTGAAGGAATATCTCATCATCCAATCTAGGTTGTCTCTCCCCCGGCTATCGTCTTGCCATCTATATTACAGAACAAACGGCACTTAATTAATAGGAAAATTGCATCAGATTGCCGCAGTGGTACGCTATAATCAGTATCATGACACAGGCAAATGTAAAAGTCCTTGACAGGGGCCAGAATGTGGCTCAGGAGGAATTGTTGGAAATCCTATTTCAGACACATAGCGGACTATAAATATTGGCCATGCAGTGATGCAGCCTTGTTAATCAATAGATGGTTTTTGGTGATGGTATTGAACATGCCACATGTCAGATTCAATTATTTTCAAGGAAAAAGGAGCAAACACCCTATGCATTGAAAAGGGCAGTTGAACATGATGAATTTTAAGTGCAATCCTGCACACTTTTTTTTCCACTGCTCACTGCTAGACATCAAGCAACAGACACGTCACAACACCTTCCAGACCAGCGTGCAGGTAAAAGCTTTGGTATTTCTCAGTCTCAGCAGATTTCAAATATGAAAGGACAGCCAGTCATGTGCATGACTCAATCTGGAAAATTGTGATTTTACTTCTTAAAATAAGGGGTGATCAATGGCTTGGGGATCCAATTATCTAAAAAAACAGCGTATCAATTAAACAGTCAGAGCATCACAGTAAACGTTCAATTGCAATTCAGATTGCTTCACTTTAGTGTTCTTAACAACTCTGAAGAGCCATCTTTGTGTCTAGAACAAGCAGGGCGATAAATAATTTCAAATAAAACAGGACAGCATACGGACATAGACAGAAAGGATTACCTATGCATGACGGCAGGTTGTTGTCCCACGCTCTTCTATCCCCAGTCATGCACTTGAGGATGCCCCGGCCGTGCAGGGTGTAGCCTTGGTCGCAGCCGAAGGTGATGGCACTTCCGGCAAAGTGACCCTGGTCGCTGACTTTGAAGCCGAACTGGGGCACACCTGGATCATCACAATGTGACAGCTCAAAGCCTGGACGAGTGCGACGGAGAGGCACAGGAGAAGAGAAAAGGGCGGAGAAGAATATTAGTTGTAGAATGGTATTATACAAAGACCATGACCACACACACAACTGTCCCCATTATTAAACTAAGCCCACTGGAGAGCAACCATTATGTAAACCACTGCCACATTCCCATTAATCTTTATTATAAAAGAGTTACTGATTTAGCTTTGAGGATTAAATTCCATTTGGGGGTTGGACTAACAGTACCGTTTTATTACTTTGCAGTAAAAGATTCCTCTTAAACAGAGAGCACAATTAGATGTTCACAATTAAACGTTCAATTGAGTGTGGGCATTTACCACGACTCAGAGAAAGCCCATCGACTCGTAAGACTGTGGGGTTATACAAAGGATATAAAATTAAACAAACCACAAAACAAGGAAATGTTGTAATAACTATTTACCTCGCAAAGTCTGAACTTGACCCTGCCGTTGTATGTATTCTTCTCTTTTAGGTACTAAATGTAAGTGTTTTTCTATGCAGCAACACATAAACCCGGCACAGCTGATTTATGGTTTCTACTCAGACTGAGGTCCATGCCCATGCCAGATGTTATGGTAGTATTACAAGTGTCATGCCCGGTATAAATCTCCAGCAGTTACTACTCACATTTGGAAAATTACCTTTGCACTTTTGGTAGAATTCGGGTCCATGTTAGAATGAGATTTAAGCTGCCCATATCAAACTCTCTACTTGCCCTTGTGCTGTTCATACATCATTCAAGCCTCAAAAGAGCTATTCATTCAAGTAACCGATCACGTTAAGATCGTATTTCAAGATGGATGGAGTGCTGGTTTACAGCCAAAACCATTTATCTTGCGCACATCCGTGGAAAAATAATAATGAAAAAAAAAATCGAATTAAGTGATATTGATAAGGCAAATTTTGTAACTCAAAAGACACCTTGTAAATGAAACCTATATTTCTTCACCTATAAGTGATTGTGGTAAGATTTAGATGCTCTGGCAATTTTTTAGCTGTTGTAAGTTACTACATAAAACATTTTATTGTTATCTTTGCAGACCGATCAGGTCGCAAAATCAGGAGTAACGCTGAACGGCACTACAGTAAAACTGTTATTTCATGTGAGCCAAGGATAACTGAGTCTGGCACATTTGGTGTTGTTATCACAGACTGATAGTTATCAGCAGAGACCAAGTAACTGCAAGTAAGCTAAAGACTTTTGCTTTTATACTATTCCAGTCAAAACAGCAGCACAAAAAATATTGACAGCGCATTTGCAGGTGAAACACAGAAACACTTTGGATTTGACAGCAAAATGCACCAAATCATTCACCCGTCATAGTAATACATTAGAAACGGTTAGGAACAATACATAGTCAGCAAGCCAGTTAAGGCGAGAAAAAAAGACATTTATTACTGGCAGACTTACAGCAATAATCCAAAGTTTCAATGCACACAACACACACTCATGTATGCTATATGTAGAGGTGCAAACTATATACACAGAACACGCACATATCCAAGCAATCCCAACAATTCACCTGTTTTAACAAGGTACAGTTACGCATTGGCACTAATTGCAGGATTGGAAGGCAATGAAAAAAGAGGGACAAAGGATTCACATAAAAAGAAGCAGAGGGAGCGAGAGGGTCAAAAGAAAAAAAGGTAATTCCCCTGCAGGAATGACACGGAATTACCATGCTGTGTTTAATGGATTCCCTGACAGTGAGAGACACAGAGAAGCTGGGTGAGGTTCAATTAAAATTTCCTTTAAAAATCAGCGACTTGAGAGGCTAAATTCACTCATTTGGAAAAGCTTTAGTACCGCGTCCCCAAGGGAAATGAAATGTGACTCACTGTGGTACAGGAGCCGGAACCCTGCTGCTGTCGCCTCCTGGTCAGAGTAAAACTCAAGCCACAGATAGTTGGAGGTGCTGGTAAGGGACAGACCCTGCATGGACGTGCCCGTGTATGTGCCGAGTAGTAGCGCTGCACCATCTTTACCATCGTACACCTGATCAGACAGAACACATGAAGATAATGGAGGTTACACTGAAGTCACACATCCACAATTATAATAAATCCAATAAATGTTTCAAAGCAGTGTATTCCCTAAATGAAGAGTAAGGTTCTTGCATTGCTTTTCCGGCCTTTTCATTCGTTTGATATAATTGGACTTTCTTCCTAAATCTTTTTTGATCCACGTGCTTAATGGAACCAATTCATTGAAGAAGTCTTTTGAAATACTGCCGCGCCCCCTCTGTCTTGTTTTTCCGTCTTTTTACATTACAGATGTTCACAAAACAACTAAGTACACAAGATTACCGTCTCAACAACTCCAACACTAGAAACATTAGCAATGTGCTACAATGATCTGTTAATTAGAGCATTAGACAAGACATCTGCATCCCAAAAAGAGTACATTCCCGCTGTGAAGTGGAGACGATATTGTAATTTGCTTACCAAAACGGTTAAAACGCCCTTGTGCTAAGAAATGTATGCCTTCCCTCCCAAAGGAAAACTGCTGCTGCTGCTACTAGTACTACTACTATTGTCTCACCTGCACTTTGACTTTCAAGCCAAAACAATTCAGCACTCGGCCAGGAGCTTCCCACAAAACCCTTTTTTCAGTTTTCCCAGGAAGCAGGATATGACACATTAGATAAACAATCACACAAATTGATTTAAACCAAGCAATCGACCAAAGCCCTGCGTTTATTTCTTAGTGATCTATTTCCTGTCAACAAAGACGACCAACTGCGTTATGTCCTTACCTTCAGGATGTCACTCTGTGCAAGCTGAAAGGTGCTGGCGCTGATGTTGATGCCTTTGCCTGTTTGGACCTGGATGGTGTACACACACTCGTGGCTGTTGTCGTAGTTCTTCGGATAGTTTGGTGACAAAATAACTCCCTCGTTGTTGGAGACCGTTGAGCCACACTCGGCTGCAATGAAACAAACAGACAATAAATGTACTTATTTTACTAAAGCTAAACGTGCTCTTATTGTTAAGACTTTCCAGTTCAAAGAAGTCACTACTGATGAGAGCTGGAGAGTGACAGCGGGCGACGCTAATAAATAAAGCGATCGTGTTCCTGCAGCTCCCCTATGGGTGTGCTCGGCCTGACAGAACTTTTTAGAGAATCATATACTTGAGTTTGTTGGCCATTAACATGTAATGAGCCTGACTCACTATCATGGTATAGAAGTTATGCGCTGTTGCTTTTTTCTAAAACATATTTATCCATTACTTGTGTAGGGGGAACCTGATAACTTATGATTACCTTATTTAATGTAAATGTTGTTTCATCACGGATGCAATACAAATATTTATCCCATAATAAAATAGGATTATTTCATGTTTTCAGTGCCACGTTCAAGCTTATGTTGATTATTACCGGGAGAATATTGTGAACTGAATTTATCTTGGATCAGATAATTGAGATAATCCTAAAATGTTCATATTGTCCCATGCTTAGATTAAATTAGTATAAAATATAAAATGTCTCGCTAAGAAATAACTATATCTCTGGAGTCAGCATTTAAATGTGAAAGTAATTTAATTGAGTTTATCTTGGACAATACCTTCTTTTTTTTAAATTTAAATAAAAGATTCGGGACAGTGGACAGTGTCACTGAACTCTGCCTTAACTCGGCCTTGGAGCGGTTGACCTTGGAGCAGTTGATCTTAAAGCAGCCGACCTTGAACCACCCTTCAGCAGAAAACAAGGTATCAAAGGATTTTTAAAAAGGGGCTAAATTTGAAGCACACCTACAGCCTTTTAACGTTGCGAGGGGGGGGAAGCGGCAGCTTGCAGCTAAAGGTGCAAACCGTGCAAACAACGGTCACCCTGAATGTCAGGAGAGCTTTATCTTTACATTGCAAATGCAGTGCAGCTGTATTACGCCTTGAATATTGTTCATATAGCCTCAGTATTTATTACAGGTCTGAGCTTTAACGTGTGGTTTACTTCACTGAATCCATTCCACAGAGTTCTCAGGAAGCTCACATCTCCGTCAAATACATTTAGAACATGACATTGGCCATCAGTAAACAAATCTACAATACAAATAAACAAACAACCAGGAAAGAAGTAATAAAAGCAGTTGACCACGTACCCACACACCTTGGCAGAGGGGCACTCCACATGTGACGGCCACCTCCCAAGCACACTACCGCCCTCGCCCCCTGCAGGCGGTATCCTGTATTGCAGTAGAACGACAGGGAGTCGCCGATGCCAAACCGGGAGCCTGTGTGCCAGCCAAACAGAGGAGTCCCAGGGTCCTGACAGGGTTCCAGATCGTACTCTGGAAACCAGAGAGGAATAAAAAATAAAATACATTCACGCGTTAACTTTTACAACTAATACTCCATTAGAGTGATTTGTTTATTTTACTTGTCATTGAAAATAATTCCCATGGAAATATATTGTCTTTCCTCTTCGCTTAAGTGAATGAAACTCTGGATGCATCGTCATCCAAAGCGGGCAGTATCTGAGCTCACTGGAACTGAGGGCCTTGCTCAAGGACACCTCCGCCGGTTGGGATGCACACCAAGAGCTTGAACCCTGGATAACTGGATGAAGGATCTGTTCACCGCAAACCAGGCCGCCATGCATGGATTATTATTATACACGGGCGGTCACTGGCCTTATCGTTTGAGCTACTCAAGTCGTACGAGAACATCAAGCATTCCTCTCACGCACGAGACTTTGCAGTATGCAAAGTAAAACTATCGATTTCAAAACAGCAAAGCACCTTAGGAAGAGGCCCGACAGCATCGGCACATTTTTAATCTAAGGTCAAGAAATACATTTTAATCAAGAAATCTATAGATGCTAATTGCAGAGCATGCACACACACACACACTTACAAATTAAAGGTCATGAATATTCATGACTGCATAAGTTATGCTTCACTTCAGCAAACAGCAGGCAAACATTTAGCCAGCGTGCTCATGAAGCGGACCCACCCTCTCTTTTCTTTCTGTACTCTACCATCGCTCTCTCTCTCTCTCACACAATCTTTTCCTCTCCCTCCCTCCGATCAACCCTGCTCACTCACGATCACCATCTGTCTCATCTCTTTTCTCTCCCACTATCCACCTCCCTAAGCCTCCCACCTCCACCTCCCTCTTGATTTCTCCATGTCTTGGTCTCCGCATGGGAGGCCCATTATTTCCGCACATCCCCCTACCACCACGTTCCCTCAGCCCCGTGGATGCCGCCCAACACGTTATGCTTTGATGATCATTCTCATCACGGTCAGACGGCCTCCACCTGGCGTAGCCTGTGGCTCGCTCCACCTTAAGCTCGCTCCTATTCTGACCAAAAGAATAACTCCCCAAATGTTACTTCTTGCACGCTTTAGAGAAGCTTAGCACTTTCGATCTCACAATTGAACGAGCCGTCTGTCACTCATGCCTTCTACCTCACATCTCTACCCACCATATTTTCAGCATCCTCTCCACCCCATTCATCTTTTTTCCTCTTTTAAAGCTTGACCCACCCATGTCTTCTACACACATACTAATACCACCCCCCCACCCTCCGCCCTTATGCCGTCATACCCGAGAAGGAGATGTTGAATCCCTGCAGCGATATAGAGAAGTCAGAAATGAAGCGTAGCTGAGCCTTGAAGTTCCCATATAGGCCGGCGTTAACTGGCGAGGGCCTCTCTGACCCGGTGAGTCGAGCCAGTGGCTGGGCAAAGCTTCCGTTTTCTGTTATTAGAAGGTAGTCATGGTGATCCTCCAGGTGGAAGGAGTAAAACGTGAATTGGACACCTAGAGGAGAAAATAAGACAGCCCAGCGTTCAGGAAACCACAAAGAATTTCTAATGTCAGCTATAAAAAAGGATTTGAATAGAATATGTAAAGCATATATTATATGTTTTCATGTCCATACTGACCCATAATGTTAGGACATTGATTTGCTGTTCACAATGTAGGGGACAGCATCGGATGTATAATTTCAAATGTCATTGTCATGAATCAAAATCATTTGTATAAATGTGGGTTCAGCTTGTTGAAATATCCATCTGCAGTATGCATTTTTTATTTATTAAATGAATGCTTTATTGCTTACAGCAGCACCATGAGCATACGGAAATGAATCCTACCACTAAATACTAAAATGAATAGAGGAAAAAAGGAAAACGTGACACCTGAGGGAGTTTAAATTCAAATTTTAAAATGCAAAGTGAATAGCAAAGTTAATGAAAGTTATTTTCACAAATTAAAACCAAGCACGTCCTTTCTTCCAGTTCATGAGCCTTAGTCAGTTTTACTATCTGACTGGCCTAGCTGACCAATTATAGAGCATCCCATTAGATGAGAAAACCTAATCAAAGACAAAAAAACTTCTACAGCAGCAAAGATTCTGAAATTGTGTTCAACATGATTCCCAATGTTATATCAGCACACTAATATTTAACATTTTGGTTGGAAAACCAGATCTAGGTCTGAACACCCGCTTGTATTTTCACACTAACTCAGACCAAAACGCATCTTCATTCCATCCATGATGGCCAGTTGGCTGCTTTTCCATTTTAATGCCATCTGTTGAATCAGTTGGAAAAGGACTCTCTAATGTCCTCCAGTTTTTGGCTCACTTGATAAAGAAAGTTCCAAATGGCCATAAAATAAATAACAAAATGCAATGATTGATTGTGCACAGCAAAACAGTAATTATAGTACTGTGAGCCAAGCAAAATGATCAATTTCCCAAGAGTCATCCAAGTGATCCCTTTTTCATGTTAAAAATGATGGAAACAAGTGTGTTTCTGGGAACTTTGAGCTCAAATTGTGATGCTTGGCGAATTGAGACCCTGCCTCAGTTTAATCAGTTAAAAATGTGCAATAGCTTATTGTCATCACTTACCGTATGTAATGAATCTAATTTGTTTATCATGCTTTAGGGTTTTAGGTGAAGTTGTCTAGATGTCTAATATTTAGCTTCCCAAATGTGCAGTTGTTTTTATCGGTTTGATTTATTAGGTTTGATTGCCAATTGGGGCGGCACGGTGGCGTGGTGGTTAGCACTGTTGCCTCACAGCAAGAAGGTCCTGGGTTCGACTCTGCCCAGTGGCCTTTCTGTGTGAAGTCTGTATGTTCTCCCCGTGTCTGCGTGGGTTCTCTCCAGGTACTCTGGCTTCCTCCCACAGTCCAAAGACATGCTCTGGGGATCAGGTTAATTGGGGACTTTAAATTGCCCGTAGATGTGTGAGTAGATGTGGTTGTATGTCTCTGTGTAGCCCTGCGATTGGCTGGCGACCAATCCAGGGTGTACCCTGTCTATCGCCCGAAGTTGGCTGGGATGGACTCCAGCCCCCCCGCGACCCTGTGTGCAGGATAAGCGGTTTGACAATGGATGGATGGATGGATGGATGTATTGCCAATTGCCCCTTTCTAAGTTAATTTGGCATTTTGAATAACTTAAACCGTATGAGAACATCTAGCGAATTTAATTAGATTTAGTCAATTAGGCAATTTTTATCATTTTGGGTGGCTGTTATCGGTTGTGGATGCACTCAAGCTTAATGCAGATATTGAAAAGGATGAGGCTGTTAATTGGAGAACATTTGAAAGGTTATTGTTATGATCTTTAGAAATGTATAAGACAAGAAAAGAAGAAGCAATACAGTGCAGTTAAAGTAAGCCTGGATTTCTTGGTGAAAATGTTTTGGGGAGGATTGATTGATGCCCTTTGGTATTGCATTCCTACTGTACACACACATTTATAATCAGGTGTGTACAGTAATTATATTAAACCCTTCTTGAATGGCAACAATAATTGACAAGAACACTACTTAAATTCGCTTTTGTTGTGGCAAACAACTCTGAGTGGAGGGACTGCTGATATGTCTTCGTCTGGATTTTGACTATTGAAAGATATAGGGAGTAAAAAGATTGGAAAATATATATATATACACTGTATTTCAAATGGCCTCTCTGTATGTGCAGGGAGAATACGGCTAAGTGCTGCTGAACTCAGATCAAATGACAATGAATAAGAAAGTCTTGGAGAACAGGTTACTGATCACATAACTGAGGGAGCTGTGATAATGGAATTGAACCAATTAAATTGTGAATGGCATGAGAATAAAACTGAGCGGTTTGTCAAATTATAGATAAGAGAGAAAAGAGGAAAAAACATGTTAAATGCTCGTACAGAATGTGTAAGACATGTACTGTACATTATTGGCTCAAATATATGTAATGCGTTGAAAAATTCAAAACATGAGTGTAACATTATCCCTACACATATTCTGGATACTTACCAAAAGAAAAGAACGTCAGGACATTTAAATAATGTTCGCTTGAATTACTTCTCACTTTATAATAATAAATCCATGCAATGTTCTTGGAATCTGTTGAGGGGGCGTCAATTTAATTCATAGCTTTATAATTGGGTCATTGTGAAAACTATTGAATACAAATAAACATGCTGCAACTGAACTGCAGAATGGAAATTATTCATGAAGGTACATGCATGGCATGTATTTCCAAAAAGTTCAGTTTTCCTACCTTTTCCATGGCTGACTTCAACAGTCCACGTGCAGTTCAGAGAGTTTGGATACAACTCCGGAAAGCCAGGTGATAGGATGATCCCTCCTGGTCCCCTGATATCTCCACCGCATGACGCTGAATAGAAAGGGAAGATAATGAATGATAACGCTCGCTGGAGGAAAAAAAAAAAAGTTAAATGAAACAATAAATCCTTCAATTGAAGACAGATGAGCAATTTAAATGAATAATGCATGAGTCATATCACATCCAGTACTACTATTTTTTATGACTACCTGTAACTCTGCCAACATAATATTGTTGTTCTTTTTCCTCTTTAAACCTGCCTCAGTGCCAGGACATAAATTATTCATTAATTCAACTATTCATCCATACTTTTCACTCCACTATGGCATTTTAAACTGAAAAGCTTGTCAGAAAACATGATTATCCATTAAATTATAACAACACAAGCATATTCAGCGGATGAGAGCGTCAAGCGTTATTTTGAATTTCTTACAAGTAGACAACGATGGCAAATAGACCCGTAATGTATAGATGCTTTTCTAGTCTTCCAACCACTCACTGCACGCCATCATTCACCAACTCGCTCACATTCATTCACTGATGACAGCGGCTACCTGCCCATACGGACTCTAACTGCCCGTTCACACTCCACAGTCACAGCCTGCAGGAGCAATTTGGGCTTTAAGTGTCTTGTCCAAAGACACACGGGCAAGGACTAGCGGAGCCGCCGTCCTCTGAATGAAGAGCGACGCCGCTGTACGACTCCGCGCCAGTCACCCCGCTGTGGCCCAGTGCTGCGTCCAGCTCAGTTCTGTGGGAGGATCCATCGGCATCCAACCACGTAGAGCCGTTACAGTGATTGTCGTCTCCAGCAGCAACTTCATTGCCGCCGCAGTATTATGACTCTCGTGGATGTTGACTATTGATTTTACTGACAGAAAGCTCCTTATCTCATCAAAGGAAGTTAATGAGATAAAGCCGTCCCCTCGATGGCTGCCGAGGACCGAGAGGTTAACGCTAGAGCCGATTGAAGGTTAAATGGTCCAATCAGATGTCGTTCAAACCTGCAACTGTTTTGTTGTGCCATCATTGTGTTTCAGCTAAAAAGTCAAATCACATAAAGGATTTTTAATAGCGTTAAATTACATTACAATCTTTGTTTCTTTTTGTTTTAAAGTATGTGTGTTAGTGTGTTCTTTGGCTTAAATGGCGAAAGTGGTGTTCTGAAATATCCAGACGCCTTCTTCATAACAGCAATTGTTGACAAATATTGACAAAAAAGTGGAACTCTTGTGCATGTACATATATCAAGTAATGAATGTCAGATTGTTTATGGAGGATCACAGAGACGCCTCAGGCTCCACAGCTGCACACCCCCCCCCTCTTATCCTCTCTCCTTCCACCCTTGGGCCCTCAACCAAGCACACCACATCAAGGCCTGAATCCTCACCCACCAACAAAATTACATGAAATATTTTATTAATGAGCCAACATTACATAACGTCATTAAAAGTGGATGAGCAGGCTCGGGAAAACGATCTACTTTGGAGGAAGCGCAGGCAAAGAGCCAAGGCATTTGGCACCAGCGCGGCCAACACCTAGGCGAGAAAATGCTGCACGCTATGAAGTGCACACACTGTCGGGCTGAAGCTGCATAAAACATCCTCATATCATACGCACGGTATGGTGCCCCAAACCCTGCCCATGTTCTTTTATTTGTTATATTCTCCCTGCCGAGTGATCCGTGACTTCCAGACAACATTTACGGTTTTTGCACTACAACAATAATCGGCACAATTGTCCTTCAGTGCGCTTCTAAACCCCACAATTAGCAAAACAGTACAAACACAGCTGGGAGAGGGAGATTATGTGAGAGATCACCACTACCAGGACATGCTGAACTTCAAGCTTTGAAGTTAAAGACAATCTGTCTTCAGTATCACATGATGCATCACACCCCAAGTAAGGACTGGGTCCATTTGTTAAGTAAAAAGCACTTTGAGAAGCTTGTTTCCTTAGTCAGACCTGCTGTAGGCCACCCATGGTCCCTTATGTTTGTGTGTAGTTGGGTTGTGTATTTTATTCCGTTTCGTTTAGAGGTTTGAGAATAAAATATATCCATGGTGGGATACCAGTTACCTTTTTTCGAAAACCTTTTAGCAATTACTAATGGCATCATCCCAGGTGGCAAAAGACTCTAGACTATACAGTTAATCCTGTGTAAATAGATGTTTTACACATCTCAAAATTCTCAAATAATGCAAACATCCTAACGAGCTGATGGAAAGCAGTACAAAATACAAATCCGTGCTTGTGGTCAATTATTAATGTCCCCTCAATGATTGTTGATTTACATGTTAGAATGTTTGGGATGAGACAGGAGTCTGAGCTGGAGTGCACTACACTGCAGCTCTTTTGTTTTTAACATTTTGTATGCGTACCATCACAAGTGGGCAGCGGGTGGCTCCAGAAGTGGTTCTTCTCACAAACCAGCGGCTCGTCGTGGCTCAGCCTGTATCCCGGGTCACACTGGAAGGACACCGTGGAGCCGATGGACAAGACATGGCTTAACCGCAAGCCATTCACTGGAATACCGGGATCCATGCAGGAGTACGTGTCCAACGTGACCACTAGAGAAATAGAAGAAAAACAAACCGGTTTCTGAATATAATTCAAAATCTGTTGCATTTCTTTTATTACATTTTTATAGTTCTTTGTTCATAAACTTTATGTAGCGTCTAGTTTGTGCTGGGATTGTGGTCCTCAACTGTGAGTGACTGGCGAGGATAAATACCAAGAAACATTGTTCAGTGACACAACCACACAGTTCAACAGGTCTGTTCTCGCATATGCAATTAAATTATATCGAAGTCAGCATTCATGAAAAATGTCACAGCAATTCTATTTTAGCAGACTTTCCAGACCCCCTTGAAAAAGGTGCAAATAGAATCTTTGATGTTATTACAATCATCACAAAATGATAGGGCTCGGGTTGGATAAATAATAAAGAAAGCAACGTTTCCAAATTAGGCGGTTTACTTTGATTTTTAAATTTCAAAATGAATGCTCGCTCAGACTGTCCCAAAAATGGAGAATATGAGATGACGCTCAAAGGGGACTCTCTAAAAGTTTAATATTTTAGATCGTAGCCAAGGCGGTTCCCTGTTTGTTCCTCTGGCATTAGCAACACGAACAACAGAGTATGGCTATTTTTGATGCACTAAATTATGCGGATTTTAGGCATTGAGTGGCAAAAGTAAGCCAGTAAGATATTTTTGGAAATGTATATCTTTAGAGATATATATTTATATATATATATATATATATATATATTTATATATATATATATATATATATATATATATATATATATATATATATATACACACATACATACACAAGTTAAAGACTGCTAAACCAGAACAGATTCAAACAAAGATGTGGGCTAGTTAACGCCTTTTGTCCTGGTTCTATCCAATCTCCTGTGTTGCAGGAGGTTCATTGTGAGATGTCTGGCATCAGTGGCTGTGAGACCCCTTTTTAAATTTTCGCCAATTTAAAATGTATGTAAATTGCATCAACAACAGAATCAAACAGCGGCAGATCCTCTGAAAAGGTCCAGTGCCTTTTGCAATTATTACTGATTCATTAGTAGAGGTTTAGTGCTACTGCAGGTCAACTAGGTTTTACTTTTGACAACGTGGAACAGTATTATCAACTAGAAATGACCCAGTTAACGGTGTAACTGAGTCATATTATGTGGTTTGCAAGCAATCGCTTACAGGCATGAATAGTATTAACACAGATAACAGCCCATGCCAAATGATAACTCATGTGTGATAACAGGGCTCTTCTTTGTACAGCTAATAGAAAACTGGTATTGAGTAATATATTGATTGTGATCTGGCTCTCAAGGAGAGCCCTGAAAAACACAAATGTTGCCTCAGATATTGCATTCATTGACCATTGACGGTTCTTGCCTCCATGGTGCAGGACTTTGGAGGGAGAAATAGCAAAAATAAAAATGATTTGAATTAGAGATAAAATATATTGATTATAACAGCGTAAATATGACTTGAACATGTTTTAAGTTCTGTGGTTATTCATTACTTACTGTACTAATACAATAGGTATCTACTGTATGTTCCAGTGTCTAAGTTGAGTCACAGCCTTACTTTGCAAGACCCATTTTACAAATGAACAAGGCTGGGTTTCCCCAAAGCATTTCAGCCTTAAGATGTGCACTAAATTGCCATGGAAGAAGCTAATATGATCTTGCTGTTATTGCTTTTCAATAGCCTCATCAAAAAAAGAAAAACACACTTCAGAGTGAAACATAAAGACAAAGGCACTTGTGCTCTGCCTTTATTCAATAATACAGACATGATAAGAAACCCTTATGAAATAATGGCTCTAGTGCAAATAATCATGAAAATAGATCACACTGTGTCCAAAGTATTTTGCTATTTCATTTGGAGGAGACGTAGAGAAAAAAATTGACCATTTGTAGTTTCAGCCATTAATGACATTTACAGTAATCGGCACAGTATTATTTATCAAGCTACATGGTTAAGATGTGCATTCTTTACTTAATCCTGAAGTTTGGCTTTGATTATTTGAGAACTACTTCTACTACTACCCTAAACCTCCCACACAAAATACCTTGGAAACAATAGGGTTTATTGACCTAATGCTCAACCTAAAGTAACTGAAGTACCGTTAACAATAGACCCTTTTCACAGTAGCCAAGTCATTACCCTGCAACAACAGGTCAGTGAAAACGGGGCCCATTAACATTGGTGGTGATAAAAGATAAGAAACTTTATCAAGTGTTTTGACAAAAGAGAGACCAATTCATCCTATGGTTGAAATATCTCATTTAAAAGCAATGAAATGCTATAGAATAATATGAAAAGAACAAAAATGTGAATGATTTGCATTCATAACTGCACGACAGTGCTCACATCAATAGTAACATACACTCACCTTCAAATAATATCTTGAATCCACTGTTTGATCGACTGTTATCGGTGGTGAAGAGCAGATACAGAAAATTGCTGCTACTAAACAGGAACTGAGGGACCTGGGTTCCATTAAACGAGCCAATCAGAGGAGAGAGCAGGTTGGGGCCGTCGTGTACTTCCAGGAAGTCATAGCTGAGCTCAGTTTGAAACCTTTAAAATAAAGAGGGCAGAGAGAGGGGGATGCAAAGCACACAATCGGTTTTAATCAAAACATTACTTCTGCTTTAAGTGATTGGTTTTGTTTGAAGCTTTTTAGCCAGTTTTGTCCACGGGGAAAATCTTTAAAGTATCTACATCATAGAATAAGGGCCAATGCAGTTCCTTTATCAAAATAAAATTCTGAAAATAATCATATCAAATAATTTCAGTAGGAGAAAAGTCACACCTATCATTTGCGTTTTCAAATGCAGCTTAAAAAAAGACAGCTTGCAAAAACTAGGACTTTTCAAAATGCTTGCTTGTTTAAAAGTAGAAAGGAGCCAAGAAAAAAAAAATAGGAGAAGTAGCTCTTTGTTTCTCTACAAAGGAGTGTCAGCTCTGAGAATACTCTGATTATAAACTATGAACGTGTTATTGTTTCGCTGCTTAATGGTGGGAAATAAAGATCTAACAGACCTTTTCACTGCAGCTCTCTAAGGGCGTGAGGGTGAGCCACTGAGCAAAATAAGGAATTACACAAGGCTTTCAATATATTTGAAAAGTAGGTCCGGGACTGTTCCACCTCTTGTGATTTTGTATATCTTCTGTGTCTATGCACATGCACACTACTGCATAAATGGATACTACCCACCGTGTTGTGTATGCATCGTTTTACATGCATTTTTTCATGGATGACTGTCATACAAACCTGTCAAAGCTGATCTTTATGGAGCTTCCCGGCTCGGCCTCAACGACCCACTCACAACTCAGGGAGTCTTTGTAGTAGCCTGGCCAGCCCGGGGAGAGGATGACACCAGAAGGCCCCGAGTAGTGGCCCCCACAAGGAGCTGGAGGAGGAGAGCGATGGCAGAATAGAGGGAGGGAAAAGGATTTGAACTAAATACATAATTAGAGAAAAGAGAAATTGTCCAGTTGTTATGACTCAGTGATCCTTTTGTACACACATGAAAAAAGGCGGAAAAAAAAATAAAGGCTGCGTCACAAACGGATATAGCTGCCTGTTCCACATAAGCCGCTCACTCACTTCCTTCTTCCCACTCAGTAGTTAACACATCTGTCCACCACCCACACAATTATCCGTCATTCCATTTCAGTACCTTCACATTTGGGAATGAGTCCGCTCCACATCCCTTTGCCTTCCTCCAGTTGGCATGTGATGGTGTCAGCCCCCTGCGTCTTGATGAAACCCTCCTCGCAGACCACTGAGATGGAGCTACCCAGTTGGAAACTGTCCCCAAAGCGCCTGGCATTCAGCGGTATGCCAGGGTCAGGGCACTCATTACGCCCGAAAGCTTGTAATGAGAAGAAAGAACATGATCCGGTGACAAATGCTCTTGTGTGAATGAGAAATGGGGTCTTTGATGTGTCAGTAGATAACGCAAATGGATGTAGCTGTCGGTAGGAGGTCTGCTCTGTACACCTGAGGGTGACAATAGCCTCGGTCTAAAGAGCTTGTCGGGCCGTTTCCAGGAGAAACAGAATTACGATGGTGTTGTATTAGGCAATGAGGCAGAAGAGTTAGGAACTCTTCGTTTATTTTTTCATAAAAAGGCACTCACTTCTCTCGGGGAGCAATGTTGTACCATTTCTCCTTACAGCAGAGGCATTCATTTGAAAAATACAAAAGGAGCAGGGTATCCTTTGCAGGTTTATTTGCAGGGAAAACGTGCAAATAAACCCAATTTCATTTTGTTTCTTTGCTTAGCTGTTATCACATTTTTCAAAAGCAACAGAATGGAAAGGCTCAGTCGGCCATTGGCAGAGACATTTCCACTCACTCCCAACCATAACAACAGGAAGCTAGTAGATGCAATTATTGGTTAAAATAATGCTTTACGATTACTTCAACTATACTAATCACACATTCCCTTACTGCTATAAGTGATGTTGAACCCTCGTCCAGACATGGAGTGATCAGCCTGAAACTCCAGCTGCAACACATTGCTGTTGGACGTCAGGTGGGAAGGAACTTCAGCCCCGGAGAAGCGTCCTAGTACTGTGGCTCCTGACTGATCCCCGTCTTTGATGGCCAGGAAGTCGTAGGGGGGCTCCAGGTCAAAGTCATTGAAGGCCAAGTGGATTCTGGAGCCAGGCTCGGAGATAATGAGCCACACGCAGTTAAGGTTGTTTCCGTAGCCCTCCGGGTAGTCAGGAGACAACACTGTCCCCATGGGAGCGGTGAAGTTGGAGAAACAAGGGACTGTGTGATAAATGGGATGAAATATATTAGCAATGCTTGTAGAACTTTCATATCCCAGCACAGCCATTTGTTTGACTGCAACTCTCACTGGTCCCATGCCAATTTCCACTGCGCCACGACAGGGCGGAGCACAAACACCAGTATAGAACAATGACCGTCCTATACAACTAGCTCAGCAATCAGGAGACAGCATCGCTCCCATGGGTGCTGAGCAGTTGGGGAAAAATAAAACTGTAAGGGAAATGGAACAGTTTGTGTACAAAGACATTCAGCCATAATAAGCGCAAATAAATAATGCACGTTGTCCCAATGGAACTAGAGACCAGATTTTTGTTGTGGACTTGGGTTAGAGGAAGCTACACTCACAGGAAGGGTTTAGATTTTCTTTGAAAAGGATGTACAAAATGTTTCCCTTTTCCTTTGCATTTGTATGGCATAACAGTGTGTACCCCGTTTCTTTCCCTTTTAAATATCAAGTCAACCCTAGAAATTTCCCATTCCCCATTATACATGTGGCTGTTTATACACACACACACGCACACAGAGCATGGTTATTTAACAACGTAATTAATCCTCTAATAGCTTAGTGTCATTATGAACTTTCCAAGTGCTTAAGTAATTTCTTAATTTGCTGTCATAGAAAAACGATGCACTCACATATGCAGATTGGGATATTAGCCGACCACTGATTGTTGTTCTGGCAGGTTATCATCCTCTCGCCGATGAGCTCGAATCCGAACTGGCATTCAAAGCGCAGAACATTTCCATTTAGAAAGCCACTGCCCTCTTGGTAACCATACAGAGGAGTACCAGGGTCACCACAACTCTCTTTGTCAATTTCTGTGGGTGAGAGTTGGAGAGCAGGAACGAAGAATGAAAAGGGAGAAAATGGGGAAAAGTAGAGGATTAAGTCAAGCGAAGTACTTTGAGATACTTTTTTTTTTTTTCTTCGAACATGTATCTATAAAAGGTCCATAGGACCAGTCTCACAGCCCGGTTAAGAAAGCTTCTTTAGAAAGCGTTAGAAAGGGCAATCGGGAGACTGGCCGACGGATGGAAAGAAGGACAACTTGACTTGTTGCTTTACTGAAAGAGGCCTGGAAATGATATCAGCACTTAAGTCTGTGGACCTTTATAGTTGATCTTGAAGCCGATCGAGCCCACACTCTCATCAGACTGGAGATGAAGCCACATCTGATGAGACATGCTGACAATCAGGTCTGGAACAAAGCTCCCAGTCAGCCTGCAGACAGGGACACCAAAAAGAAGTCACTGGGGTTTTAGAACAGACTTTAATCTCGTCACACAATACAACAAAAAGAAGTAAGATGTATTAAACATGCTCTCAGTTTTGTTTTTTTGTCATTGTAGGTCAGAAAAAGTTGGGTTCAACAAAGCAAACCATCACCGAAATGGTGCAGTCATATTTACTCTGAGGGTTTTCTGCATATTATAGTTTTGCAATATTATCTAAACAAAAGCAGCCAGCAATGCAGAATATGTATAACAGCATGAGCAATACTACGGTACAAAATACATACAAAGTAGTATTTCATGGGGTACTTACACTTGTATTATTGTTTTAGAATCCCCGACTTCCCCTCCATCTCCAATCGTAAGCGAATCATACCCAATTTCTAGGTCGAACTCTTCGAAGTTGATCTGAATAACCTGGAATGAGATGCAAAAGGCGTTAGCGTGCATTAAAGCCTTTATAGTGTTTAAAACAGACGATTGACGCATCAGTCTTATGTCCATATTGTGTGCTAATAGATAATGTAAATATGTTGACTAGTTAAACAATTTGTTAGTTATCGATATTCTTTTTAATATAGAAACCTTTAGTCTGAAAGCCCCACCATCTGCCATCTTAAGTGATTCCAACAAACAGCTCTACCGACTGACATTGCTGTTCTGAGAGTCTTCTTGTTGGTATTCATTTATATTTTTGTCACCAAACACCACCCCCTAACGTGTTTATATAAGCTCATAACACGGCTCCTCAATTCCAGTGTTCCAGAGACAGCTGAACTGACGGAGGCGAGCCTACCTAACGAAAAGTCGATGTAATGCCTCCAAAGAAAAGGACACCGCAAACATTCTTCAAAGCAAGATAGAAGAGAAATGCTAAAAAACAAATCAACCAAAAATGTGCAATTGCCTGTCCGCCTCTGAGATGAATGGTTTGGCCCCCACTGTTTAAGTTTTTTTTTCCCCTTAGCAATATTAACATAAAAGACGACATCTTCCCTGATCAAACCTGCAGCAGCTGCTTACATTGATAATAATGACGTATAAAGAGTCCTCTGCAGAAATACAGAAAACACAACAAAGCCACACTATCTCAACAAAGACTTATTATTGACAAAAGAAAGGTGGCTGTGATGACGTGATGACAAACATATGATGGCTGCCTCCCTTTCGCAGGCCATTGGGAGGACAATGCCTGAGTAATATTTGTGCATAAAAGCCTCATTGCGTTGCACGCGTAAGCATAATTACTATAATAACACTAAGGGTCCAAGTTTCAGTGCCGAGTCAATGGCTTGTGTGCCTGGGAGAGTGAAAAGCGGCACAAATCTACAGCACTTGCCAATTCTGGTGAGTGAGAGTTGTTTGGTTATTGTTCATTAGCTGGGTAGCATATAGTTGACACTCTTGTGTATAAATCTCAATGGACCCAACAAGCCAGATTTGATCGACTGTGATGGAGCAGTAATGACCATTAGGAAAACAGCGTTGACCTCCTCCCACTGGGGAAAAGCTGATCTCATTCTTGTTCTCCAAGACAAAAAGAAAATTGCTCAACTACCAACAGCAAAGTCTAATGCAAACTGAAATGCAACCCACTACTCTGTACAATAATGAGGGACAGTGAAAGCGAATTGAAAGTGAAGAGGCATACATATTCAACATAACCTTTTCCCACCTTGGAAAGCCCTTGGAAAGAAAAATGCCTGCATAAATGCGTATTCCATTGGGGTTATCTCCGGTCAAATACCATCCACCACAGGTAGGAGGGAGTTTTCACTCCATTGATGGAATACGGGGAAAAAATCAATTTGTGTTTCCTAACGACTAACATAGGACTCCTACACTTGTTTATGAGAAGGAAGAAAAAATAATATATATATATAAAGCAATAAGGTACGAGAGGCTGTACTTTATCGTCTAATAATGTAACAGTTCGGGGTGTTAGGCCCGATGCGCAGCTTTTATAATACGGGTACCAGCGATTATATAAATAGTAAGTAAATTAAAAATAGTAAGTAAATAGCTGCCTTTCAGCACAAAATAGTAATTACCCACCAAACGTTGTGTATCTCATTTCAGTAGACTAGAGAAAAAATAGTCCCCACACGTGCATGCAAACAGCATTGGGTCTCCTTGCAAGATCTCGGATTCACATTCATTCACATCGCTCATGACGTCCACCTTAATTGTCCGGTTGCGAAACCTATTATTTATTATTAGACCATATTACTGATACGGAATACTATCATAAGTTACACCTGGGATTTCATCAAGTGAATGAGAAAATGAAAGGCATTATTTCATCTTTATGTATATATACACAACCATACCAAAGAGAATACCCCAAACTACATTTCACAATTGGTAGCAAAGTGATCCTAACAGTATTGCAGTTAATCTTTTTCTCTCATGTCAGATTATTATCTTGACCACCTTCGATAGGACTGACGGTCCATACCCTGTCTGGCATTCCTCTCTTAAAAAGGTAACTGATTTATTTATGCAGTAAACAAGTACAATACAATGCACGAGTTGGGCTGTACGCTGTTGAACAAACTGACTGACTGTGGGAGGGGAAGAAAAGTAAAGCCAATCACAATACAGCAGTAGCAGTGGGTTTTCATTTGACTTTGGAGAAGAGCAAGAAGAATACAAACTCAAAGAAGAACCCAGAATTTATTGTTTTTTACCTTGTTTGAATCGCTGGCTGCGATGATCCACACACACTGGGAGTTACTCTCATACTGGATGGGGAAGTTAGGGGATGTAAAAGTCCCGGAGGGTCCTTGTAGATTTGACCCACAGGTTTTTACTGCAATAATATACACATGAAGACAGAAAATAAATACAGTATATTAAACACAATACATATCTGTAGACAGAGTAATAACTCCTGCATTGTAATGTGACAGAGGTAATATATTGTAGATACAAGGTCTATTAGGTGCACTTTCATTAATCAAATTCTAAAAAGGTGCTCCAGGTATTCATACACACAGAAAAGTGTTTTGGAATGGAAATGTAGAGTGCTGCATGCAGCAGGGGCTCTCATACATAATTAACAAAAATGAACTTTCTTTTATCTGCATGGAGCCTATATCCAGGGGCACTGCCTTAATCAAACTGTTTTATTAGCTCTTCAGGAGCCTCGCTCACCCTTGCAGACGGGCCTGTGGTCGCTCCAAGCAGCAAATACTTCTGCTACGCGCTGGCAGGTAATCGTTTTGGAACCCTGGAGCACATGGTCTTCATCACAGGTAAATTGAGCAGTTGCTCCGATGCTGAGAAGATAATAAATACTATTAACGCCTGAAAAAGCAACCAATTCTTGAAAAATGACTGATTGAAGTACTGGAATAATTCTTAATGTAATGTCATAATTGGTTTACATTGCAGAGTAAATCAACATTAAATTCAGTAGACACATGACAACATAATCAATTAAATTCTCCATGTCCCATTTCAAATGATAAACTGTGACATCCTTTAATAAAGTCTTCTGCACCTAAACCAATGAACACCCCAATTATGTTATTATATGAAGGCTTGAAGATGAATTACATTGCAAGTTAATAGACTCAAGGGAGGCGTAGTCTTAAGAAACAGAACATATATATTTCTGCCTTTTCCTACAAGGAAACATTCACTCGGGCCTGCAGGGAGCGGTGAGTAGACACAACTGTGGCTAAATCCTATTGTCCAACTGGATCAACACTGACTTGACCTTTGAGCACCAACGCTTCAGCACCGACTGACCTGAAGTTGGAGCCGGTCCGTTTCCCCTTCTCCGGCTCCCCCGGGTCAGGACAGTAATTAGACACCTGTTTGATTCCTCCTTCATTCACTGAGAGAGAAAGAGAAGAACCAAGAGCTCTTTGAGGGAGATACTTTCATTTGCAAAGCTCCGTACTTTCATTTAAAAAAAACACTGCAGAGAAAAGCACTTAAACAGCACGTAACCGTCTGTTTGAATGTTCCGTGTTTATGTTTGGCAACAGAATTTGGTTCCGGGAATCATGTGAGGGTTTCCCGTACATAGATGCATTCATGGCAGCCTACCACAAATTCAACGAGAAAATTGCATTAAAGTCATATCTCGTATATCATTGAGAGTATTTCATTTATTTGCTTATCCCTTCCCTGTCGCTCACTCTCAACAACACACTAACGGCAGACCCGTTTCCCCTTCATGCACATTCATTCAGTTATGCAAAGTTCCCTTTGGAATATAGCTGTTGTTGAGTTTTAGGTCGCACACAGTCACCACCAAAAATAGAATTTTATACTCTTGGCAATAGTGCATGTGACTGTATCTGATATTCATTAATGAGTCATGATTTTGGGCAAAAGTATTCACAACAACAATTGCATCACACTAGATAGAAATACAATTCCAATGCTTGCTGTTCTGTGTTTATTGTGCATTTTTGCCAATTTAATTACACATATAATACAAGCGTACTGTAGGAAGGTGGAGAAAGTCTGTAACAATAGATATCTAAACTCGGGATTTAAGCTCTAGATTACTTGACAATATTGTGGGACTAATGTCTCAATGTCTGATAAACTGCCAGTCATTTGGCAGCGATGAGCGTGTGTACGCGCACACACACACACACACACACACACACACACACACACACACACACACACACACACCTTTTGCAATATGGAGTGACTGCCAAGGGTAAATGCAATTCTCTTACCTGAGCTAGACTAAGTAGAGGGAAATATATCTGGGCCCAACAGGGACTAAGAGGATTAAATAACCTTCAACTATCCAATATACAATAATCACTCAGAGAGACTATACATAATAATAGTTTAAGCCCACCAGATAAAGGCTTTCATATAGAGCAAGTCCTTTACTACGGAGCAAATATAAGGAGGAAATACGACTTAACAATCATTAGTCAAAGACGCACATGCTGCAAATGAAATTCATGATACTTAGTATCATCTCCATTAAGGTTTGTTGAAATATTGGCAACGAGACATCATTACCCCTTCACAAAGACCTTTCCATTTTTCTGTTTTTGCATGCGTTTCTTTGGCTTCATTTAAGGGTGTTCATCACCTTTGAAGTTAATCATTTCTGGTAATAATACAGTTAAGAGTTTAATTATATGTAACGAATCCACACGTTATATGAGGCACGCTTTTAAATGATATACAGTGTTGCCTTGTAGAAAAGATTATAGCTTTCTGCATTATTCATGTCTCCATGCAATGCCAAATCAATGACATAAGGCAATAAAGATTACAACCCGTTATCATTGAAGTGTTTAGCACACTGTGGAGTTAGAGGGAATTGCGTTGCAGATTTATGTTAATGACAAAGCTCCGCAAGCAATTACAATGCATTCATTTTGGTCTGAAGTGTACACAAATCATCTGACAAGGAAGTGGTCACTCAACCTTGTCTACTGCTGTGCGCGTGTGTAGATCACAAAGTGCATGAACATTAGTCGATCTCATGTGCTGCTAAAAGGACAGAATGACACATGAGGGTTTCTGGCTGACAGTAACTGATCAAATGTTGCATTCTGCTGAAATATGACGACTAGGCAGGATCTAGCCGAGTGTCAACAAGATGGGCAGGGGACAACAAGGTAAATAGGTCATCAGAAAGAAAAAGAGGGACTGCTCTTCTGCTAAATCTGGTACTGTAGCTTAATTCCTTCAGCAAATGATGCAGCAAAAAAAGGAGACAAAAAGGAAACAAAGACTCAGAACTCAAACACTACATAAACAAACAATGAAAACAGTTGCATAAGAAAAATAAAAAGACTTACTCAAAGACAGTTTGTTAGTGTTGTCCTTTCCTGGTAATAATTTTACCCCTCTGGATTTAAGCTCTCCAGAGCTTTTCACTGGTTGAGAGCAATAGAAAGAGTTAATCAGGTAAAAGAAGTTACAGAATTCGATGTGAGATGATACAGTTGAAGTGTTTCATTCTCTGGATAATACTTGGCCCTCTGAAGAACATGACAAATGTAATTGCTGCTGATGTGGAGCGCATCCCTTTTCAAAATAAATGCGTGAAACAGCTCTGATGGATTCCTAAGGGTTGTCCAGTCAATCCCATCAAATCTAAATTAGCTTCTCATTTTGTTCATTTTACAAAGACATAACAGACAGTGAACTGGTGAGAATCTAATTAAAACCAACAGCACACAAAAGGGAGTTGATGCGAGTGGTCATCATTTGGAAGCGTCAACACAACAGCCAAAAGCAATGAATGATGTATCACACAAAACAAGGTTTGAATTTGAAAGCATTGAGACGATGCCTCTCGTCTGAACAGCACGCCAGGTTAAAAAACACGCTGCTCAAAAGGCATACTGTGTCTTTGCTTAAACACGGCACAATGATACATGGCATTAGAGGAGAAATGGGATTTGTCATGCAATTGACTTTGTGTCTTTATTTACAAAGAGCTGCCACACATGCGTGTTAGTGAATGTTTCTATTGAGCTGTTTATGGTGAAGTTGCAGGTTTCATTTCTGGCTTGGGACCAGGCAATAAGCCTGTGGGGTATTGTGTATATGCAGCACATACTGTGACTTCATAGTCACGCCATAGTACAATGTCAGGGTAATGGATTATTGAGCTGACGGAGCGGAGTTTTTATAAGAGGAAAGTATATGCATTATCTATCTTACACTTTTTGATTAAAAAGGCCCTTTGAAGTCAGTGGTTTGAAGCAGAAAAGACCTAATGGCCTCTACAGAGGGGTTATTAATCAAACTGTTTAATATTCAGTTAACAAAGATCAAAAACAGTGTTGTAATTGCAGTATGTTTATCTTACGAGGATCCCTTTTCATTCGAGTAGGGGTCCCACTATTACAATGTGCAAATGAAGTAATCCTGTCTTACCTTGATACTGAGCCCTGAAGCCTTTGTGCCGGTGGTTGCTCTCAGTCACAAAATGCAGCCGCAGCCAGTTTTTGTTGCTGATGATTGGTGCCGGAATATTCATTCCGGTTATCCTGAGTGTAAAGAGTCACAAATAAACAAACTCCACAATATCCGTTTTAACTCATTTGACTACGTAGCTTCCCTTGTCAACATTCATATGTGGTACCATACCAAAGGTCAAAAGGTGATGGACACAAAACGAAAAAAAATTAAAAACAAAAAGGAAAACCTTTGAGAAAATGAAACACATTTTAGATTTGAGAAAGAAAATGCCCTGAATAGAAGATAGCAGCCTTGAAAATGAAGAGCAGTTCTAAAAACCTTAGAAGGAAAAAAAAGTCAACCAATAACTAGGGTCTTAATTTGGCTCATGCAGTCATGTACACACGTGTTTTACCAACAACATCTACAGCCACGTACATTTTTTCTTGACTCAAGTGATGTGTTAAGCAGTGCATGGCTGCAGCATGAGGGACCCTCTTTAATTGAGGGGATTTAAAGCTACTAGGGTCATTCTTATTTGTCTGGGTGAGCAGCTCTGGCTTTTTTTATATTGCCTAGCACTCCCTGCACTGCATATTGTCGTATCACAGTCTAGCTATCGAACAGGGCCTTGGAAAAGTTTTTATTCTATTTTTTTAAGCATGGCCAATTGAGACCAAAAGAGTTGTATTGTTATTTTCTATTTGTATGCGGACACCTGTGCATACCTTTTATGTGTTGTGTGTAAAGATGCGCTTATTTGTATTTAGGATTTGTTTTTCTGTAATTTCTTTTGCATTCGCTGCAGAGCAACCAGACGCGCCGGCAGAGAAAATAAAAAAATGTGGCAATGAGAAAGAGTGATGAGGGACAACACAAAGGGGAGAGGCCGAGTTTTTCCCCCTTGGTGGCCATTGCAGATATAGGAAAATGCATTACCAAGTCAACTTGACATTTCATTTCTACTTATTTTGAAGGCGCCACAGGATCCTGCCGCTTAAATTTGAATTGTATTACTTCAGTGAGAAAATAAGATCTGTCAGAGAGATTTAAGGATGGTTCATGTTTTATTTTGAATTACTCAGCAAAATAAATGTTTGATGTGTTTAATGTTTTAATCCAAATTATCCATCACAAAAAGGAGATGATGCAGGCTGCTCCCGATGAGGTAAAAAGGTAATTGATTTTCACACAAGGTTGACCCTTTCTTTCCCTGAGTCATGATAAAATGCTGCACACTACACACATGTAGTGTATGGACAGAATAAAAAACAGCAGCAGTCAGGAAGCTGGACAATTTGGTTTGGTTTTCTGTAGGGGAATCAGAAAATTATTGAAAGACTTGGATTTGGATAGTGACAGTAAAGCTTTACCCATCTAGACGTTGCATGGCTGCTCCAGGCAGAAGAGGAGAGCGCTTACAAATGTAAGACCAGCAGAGGTAAATATAATCACACACCTCCTCGGCTGGAGTCAGAGAAAATATGGAGGAGACCCATGACCTTAAAAATTGATCTATTGCAAGCTAAGATTATTCTTTGCTTCCTTTGATGAATGTCATCTGAAGATTTTCTGTTTTCTGTTCATGTCTAGACTGCAGGAGTTACTTTCTCAGCAGTGACTGCTCAGGAGTTTCCCTTATACAGTTTGTTGTCAGTCTGCCAGCAGATACCGTACAGATCACCATATATCCAGTAGCTCCAAACATTAATGGAATTACTTCCTTTACACCTTTTTTTGTGGTGAAAGTCATTTAAATACTGGTTATATTTTGCCTGGGAAGATCAATGATACATCAATCAATGATAAATCCCGGGAAGAAATTCGATAGAATACACACAGTAATTCAACCAAATGTAACCTATCTGCAGGGAACTTATTGAATCCTTCCTCGGGCGACATTTAGCCACTGGGTAGTTCGTATTAAGCCAAACAAACAGCTAGTCATGCCAGATTGCTCTGCAAAAGATACATCTTTAAAGTCAGAGGAAGATAACATGCGTAGGTAACATGCGTAGGTGACAGTATCCAATCAAAATAAGTCTGCTAAGAGAGCTTGGAAGGTAGGAAATGAGGAAAAGGATAGAGTGAATTTATTTTTTATTTTTTTTAAAGGAACAAATTTGGTTGCATACAAGCCAGAAAAGTTTACAACAAGCACAACGCCTTGTAGGTTCTATGTTCTATTTGAAATAATGAGTGATGTGTAGTCTACACCTTGTTGTTTTAGCCCTTTGTGAACAGGGCTTTACAACCCCATTAAAAAGGTCAGACTAACAAAGAACTGTTTTTATAGGTCGAGTCAGATTCCAATGTTGGTTTCGTCAAAAGATAGATTTGTTTTTGTCTTTTGAGTGATGTTTAGCCACATCTCAACCTTCCCCAGTGTGAAGCCAATGGGATCAATAAACTCGCAGAGATGGGAAACAAATTTCAAAACGGATAAAAGGATGAAAGCTGTTAAGAGCGGTCGGAAAAACATATTTCTGCCCCTATTTTCTTGAATTGTGTATCATTTCAACTATCAGGAATAGTTATTTAGTATTGGTCATACTTGGGACATTTCCAGTAAAAAATGGTGCAGATCATAATAGTTACTAATTATTACATATGTCAGAAGTAAATGCAAATGCAAACATGTTCAGTAATTGCATAAATTATTTATTGAATACATGTATTAATTGATTATTAACTGAATATATTGCTATCTCCTATTCTCCAGTACTGAAGTAGCCTGACAAAGGTTACGATACAAGGTTAAATCTGGCTGACGTTGAGGTTTTAAGCGGTCAACCATCATTAAGCAGCTCTGAACCTAAAGGCTACACTGCAGCTCACCTGTCTGCCTGCAGCTGCTGCTTAATGTTACAACACTGGCAAGTTAAGCTGTCCAGTGGTCTCACACACAGCCAGAGACACCTGAAGAGCGAGCTAGCGAGAGCAATAAACGGTATGTGCATGTGAGAATTGCTCACTCTGAATAGTGTTTGTTTGTTTACCTGGCTGAGGAGAAGGCATCTCTCTAAAATTCTGGTCCCACTGCACTCCCAATAAAATTGTAGTGTTTAAAACAAGAACTCAGGCCTGACAGCCTCTGACATTTGGTGATATCCAATAACATCATCTTTCCGAGCATTCAAGTGATGCACGGTGACCAGTCACCACACGTAAGTAACAACTCCCTCATGTAAAAGAGCTGCTTGCCTGCCCAAATACACACAGGGTCTTTTCATCCTCTCCTGCAAACTAAAACTCGGCTGAAAATGTCACATTTCTCATTGTGGTTATGACTCCATTTAAGTATTTGCCTGATGAACAACCGGAAAAGGTATGGCTTACCTGACCTCTTTCTAATTGCAGGGGCCTTTATATATATGCTAATTAAGAAACAAGTTTAAGAAATCCTGCTGTAGATGGATGTAATAAAGTATATGTATTGCATGTTAGATGCCATTGATTAAAACTCAACATTTGTGTTTCTACTTTATTTCCCGGGTTACATATTACAGTTTAACGATAATGTGAGACGTTTGTTACAGAAGACCTGTACATAGAATCAGCCAGTGAATTATTTGAAATCCATTAATTGTTGCTGCCACTCAGCAACAACAACTGAATTTTTCATGACCAGAGGACTTAAATTTAAATGGTAATCAAATGTATTTATAAAACAAACCACTTGACCCTAAAAACCAGAAGACTAAAAAGTATTTTTTATCAGCATAAGAGTTCATTTAGGATCTTTCAGACATAAAAGAGGATTTCTTGATGGTTTGTCAAAACACATCAGCGGCATTCCATATCAGCTCCCGGTCAAACTCTCTGGAGTCTCGTCAACACGCAATACTTAGCAGGCATTCCACACTCGGAGCTCCTCTCCGGTTGACTCGCTCCGTCTCTCACTGTGACTTGGGATGACAACTCTCAGGGACAACAAGGCTTGTAACTCAGTGATTGATAAGAGCTTCTTTCAGCCTACGATAATTAATGCCCAGCAGGATCACATAAACCTGGCAGATGCTCCCATTCACCCAGGACGTGGACGAGGTGGACAAACTTAGTCTCAAGGTCGGAGGGGTCAAACCCATTTTATACGTCTCAGTTTGTGTGTTGTGATGTTAGGAATGACTGCTACATTAAGCATGCTGAAAGGAGGCTGCTTTTTGGACAAAACTGAATAAGACTTCAAGTGCACTTTAATTTGAATAATATAATAATAATGCTTTTGCAATTAGAACCACAATACACACTTAAAACATTTTCCCGGACACAAAATTGACTTGAAAGGTGCATTTGCATGGCACAAAGCTTTTTCCCTAAAGTTCCCAATGCAAGCGGCTGATACTAAATTAAATATCTTTTAAAATATGACATGGTTCTGCTGCACCATACACACATGTTGTTATCCCAAGAATTAAGGAATAATCCTACGGCAATACAGCCTTGTTTTTCCAAGCCCACACCTCTCTCCGGAATACATTTAGAGCTGCCGATACAGAGGCCACCTTTCCTGCTGTCAATCTAGACTCCATGCTTCTCTATTCTCATGATGTGAAACCTTTTCTTTTTGTTATGATTAAATACACAGTGGAAAAGTCTCTATGCACCACAGAAATTAATCAGAATAAGCAGAGTTTATTATGATGTATTAAATTAATTATCCCATTGTTATAGTTTATTCGAAGCCACAGCCGAGCACCATACGGTAACTACAAACATCAAAAATTAAAAAAAACATTGACCACCGTCCGGTTTGGCATCGATTGTCTCAGCCATTGGGGGTCTTCCCAAACTTTGCGGCCAGTCAGCGGCTGGCTGTGGGACTGTTAGGCCCAATAAAACGATGGACGTGACAATCGGCTGCACAAATCAACATGACGTCACCACGCTATTGGAACTTTAACTTTACAATCAAAACCTTCAGTAGTAGTAGTGCATATCTGTATTAAAGAAATAGGCCATCAATCCCTATAGCACTAAAGATATTTACTTTACTTACTAGGATTTAGTGGACGTTTCAACCAGTTCATGATCAACATCACTTGATCTTCACTTCAACCTCTTTTACCAAACTGGTAACACCGTATCCACATTACACAACACACCTTACAACACACATCGTCATGCACATTTGTTAAAACACCGTCACGCCTCGTCACAGCTCAACTCACCAGATGGTTGTCGGTTCGGAGCCCTCTACTTCCAGATAATCAGACTTCTCCTCCATCTGAAATTCAGTGAACACTAGGGAGATGGTGTCCCCTGGATCTGCCAGGATGGTCCACTTACACTCCCCACTGGTGCCCAGGCCTGCAGCCCCGCCACCAGCAGACTCACTGCTGGGGATATCAAAGCTGGAAATGAGCCCACTGGAGCCCCTCAGGGTGCCGCCACACGTATCCTCCGCTGTCAGTCGCCAAAGAGAAAAGGAGAAGGAAGGAAAAAGGGAAGGCGGGGGGGACATGTGGTCTCTGGGTTATTTCAAAGGGATTACCCAAAGGTCAACATGGGGGGAAAAAGTGGCTTCAGGCATGAAACATCTGTAACTGTCTCCTCAGATAAATGCAAACCAGGGACAGACCAATGATGAAGCTGATGTTGGATACGCTCAGACCATTCAGATACATCTTTTTGTTTTCCAACACATCCACAAGTTGTCCTGCCCCCTATCCAAAGCAGATACATTTATGAGACTGCTGACATCAAATATAACGTCAAAATGTGGCAGTATTCAACAGTGGTAACAGTGGTATCATCAATTCATTTTGAGCCAATTCAGTCCATTTCCTTCAGTACAGTTTATGGGGTTCCTTAATGTCTCTTTCGTGCCATCTCTCGCTTTCTCCCAATCTGGCCTCCTCCTTCCATCCAAGAGTTAGTAATTCATCATTGTGTCCGCCGAGTCCCTTCATGTTTCAGGAAACAAACAAACACGGATAAACACGGCTTGTAATGCTGTGAAATTGTATATTTCGTCTCAAATGTGGGCAGCGTAGCACGTCGGTTGAATGTTAATGCACTCTGCTATAACAGCGCCTTTCTCTCTTTCACTGCACGTCCCTCTCCCCCACCCTTTCTTATATCTCTCCCCCGGTCTCACTTCATTCCTCTCCTCCGATGCCCTCTCAGATTCTTCTGCTATTACTCCCCACACTTTCCTCCACCTCTGTATCCGTTTTTTTTTTCTCCCCAAAAGAATTCTAATGATGGCAGGGCTTTCACAGTTTTCACATCATTTAAGACTAATATGTGACACTCAGCTGTGCCGGCTAAAACCCTTGATGGCTCAGCGCTCCACTCAGTGATGTCAGAGCTGGCAGCCCCGGAACATTCCTGTGTGCTGCGTTACACAATTGGTCAAGGGACAAGGAAGCGGGGGTATGAATTCAAAAGATGATCAAAAATGCGGAAAAGACGGGAGAGCAGGATCTCCTTTGACACATTATCTGCAGCATAGCAACTGATACAAGTCTTCATAGGGAGGGAAGAGATAGCATAACTTTGTGAGACATCAATGGTGTACCCAAAAGATCTTATCAAGGGCAGATTCATCCACAGACTACACCAAGGGCAGGTTTTAATGTGCTAAATACCGTCAGCATTATGACACCCGAAGCCCGTGGAGTCATGTCATTGGTTTGAAATGTATCACCTTAACCTGGGTGGAGTATTGTATTTCTCCTCAACGCATGATGACGTCCCGGCACACGTGCAAAATAATTAGCTATACTGGGAAATTAAATGGATATCAAAGTGCTCCAAGTCATCATTTTTTAACGTTGATGACAGACAGGCGGCAGCTTAAAGTGTCCTCATGTCCGTCAAGGCAAAGAGAGTAAGAGAGTTTGGGGAGTGTAGTGGAGGCCATGGATGAAAATAATCAATAAGTCGAGTGATAAGAGACAAGTGGGCAGCAAATCAAAAGTGAGAGGGAATTAGATAAGGTAAAGAATTGCAGAAAGATTAAAATGTTGCTGGAAGAGGATAACAAATGGAAAACAAATCAAATGTAACAAAAATGACAAAAATTCAGACGAAAAGCCCCAAAACGTCCTTGCAGTCTTTGGCGACTCGTCAAAATGTTTGCAAATGTGCACCTACATCTCCTTGGGATAGTATAAAACACCTCTCCTTTAACCAGGGACCGTAGAAATTCTGACTTAGACCCAAAAATAAATTAACTTTTAAAAAGAATAGTGGGATCCTTTAAAGAAGTAAGAAAGAGTTGTTGGCATCTAGTGGTGAGGTGGCAGATTGCATCAAACTAAACACCACCCGACTTTAGCTTGTCCGTGCTTACCGTAGAAACATGAAACTGCAGAATTCTAGTCCCAGTTAAGAAAAGTGTTGAAATAATGAGTTAATTCTACACTACACTAATAAATGCATGTTTAGGAAGATTATATTCCTGTTCTACCAATATGTATTTTCCTTAACCCCTAGTTATGTTCCTTGAAGTGAAGTTGTGAAAACAGACGCGAGCAGCAAGCCGCACTGCTGGACACAATGTGGCCTGAGATCCGCTGCCTTGTTGAGACTTTGGAAAGCTGCAGCGGCTCCTGCAACAACCTTTTGAATCTGCCCTGAAACTAAAAGAACACCTAAAAATTCAGAATCAATCAGTTTGGTTGTAAATTTGGTGTGTATGCTACACACCAAAACCAAACCTTACCTGTAACTCAGGATGTGTTGGAAGTTAACGGAATTGCCCATTCACCACTAAAAGACACATTAGACCTTGTTCCATATTGTTAAATGTGAAATAAAACAACTAGCACAATTATCCACGAATGTGCAGAGCATCTGCAGGGCCTAGGGGCATGTACAAGGAAACCCTATGTAGAAATCAATCAAACATTAACACACAGCAGTACGCTATTGTGGATTATAAATTAGCCTTTAAAAACGGTGCATTTAGACGGAGAGCAGAAAACACAGACTGCCATTCAGCACTGTTCTAGTTCACGGAGGCCAAAACGTCACCGTCGTGGCAAATCATACCACTGACATCATAGAGCATGTCTAGTTTTTTTCTATTGAAAGAACATGAAAGCCCTTCTTTGTTCCTCAGATCTTCTTTAACACCACAATAGGATGCAGGAACAAATATCCCCTTTATAGCTTTTTCTGAAGTGGTTTCCATGATAATGTCAGGAATCAAGCAACTCAAGTTTATTTTTCACCTGCATTCTTCACACACTGATCCTGTCTCCGTCTTGCTTCAGGCGTCCCCTCCTCATGTCTTCCCGATTGTGTCCACCTGTGTCTCGTTAACTAACCTTGCACGTCTGTGTGTGTGTGTGTGTGTGTGTGTGTGTGTGTGTGTGTGCTTAAGTGGCGCGCTGTATGTGAGTTGCCTTGTCTTGTACCGTTTGTTAAGTTGTTATTGATTAAGTACACTACATCAATACTGTTTTTAGATTCCGTATGCCTGACTTGTACTTTAGTCTCTACAATTTTCTGTGAAGCAAACCTTGTATGTCTTCGACCACATCTGGAAATAGAAATGTGACTTTGACATTGGTTCCCCGAGTCTAGCCGTCGGCCTCTTTGTCAAATAACAGACTTGCTCTTTGATCGTCTTTGAACAGGAACAGGTGATGACAGCATAAGCCAGGTGAAAAAAAGAGATATATAAAGAAAGTACGGTTATGTGTGTGGACGGAGGAAGATAAACGTGGCAATGGAAACTGCCCACTGTCTGGGAGCAACTTTAAAAAGGGGACAAAAAGGGGGCTCATTAGCACTTAAAAGAACAGGCACTCAAAACCGGTCACTGTGGAGGGCTGTTTTAGACGGGGTAAAAAGGGTGCCGTTTTAAATTATCCTTTTGACCAAAGTATGTTGGAGACATTTCATCAAGGCCCCAAGGAACCATATCAACTTGTTGTAAAATGGGCATACGATGAGTCCTTAAAGAGATCATTTAACACTCAGAAAATTAAAATAGCATCAAAAAAAGATTCTCTACGTCAAGATATGAAGGCATAATGTCTACCTGAGCAAGTAAGTGTGTGTGTGTGTGTGTGTGTGTGTGTGCGCATTAAAAAGCTGAGTCATTTTCTGGTTTGTTTGCATCGATTTAGCAGCAACATTTCCGCACACGGCTTTCCCAAAAAGAGGGATGGAATGGATTTCCTCAACAACATTTAATAAGAGTGATCTCATAAGTCATTACCGTGTTTACAGTCATAGCCAATTAAATTGCACAGGAAATGTGGGTGAATGCACGAGGAGCAATTTATTGTTGTACATAAATACTTAAACAGGTTTCTTAGCCCTTTCCATGAAATAAATCAATGCACGTTACTGTAATTCACAAACCAGCAAGCGGCTGTCTGCGACCAAAAAATAAAAATGGCTTTGCAGCTTGAACATTTTAAATGGCTTCCACTGTATAAAGCCGTACCAGTTCCATACATTCACATAGAGCGCTTCAATTGAATGCATGGCAGCGTTTGAGGTACAGTGTGCCAACAAGGTTTAGCGACTTAAAAGAGGCACTGACTGCTGTGCAATATGTTCCCTAGCAAATCATTATAGCATGTTCTGCATTTAAAGGAGGAGGAGGAGGAGGATCCGGCGCATTAAAAAAATGGTGGCAGTGTGAAAGAGAAAAAAGAAAAAAAGATGGCGGTGAGGATTAGGACTGCTTTAGCTGAGCTCATTTACATCCCCAGCATCAGCAATATAATGTTACTTGAGGAGGGATTAAGCCTCTCTCCCCTTGACTTTGATCAGATATACAACACTTGTCTTTCTACTTAAAAGTATTCAGCCCCAAGGAAAGAAGGAATAGAGCTCATGTGAAATTTGACACTACCGTTTTTCCTGCAGTATATATAGATACAAAAGCAGTGACTGCTCGGCTGCAAGTTATGTTAAATCTGTATACGGTAGAGAAAGAAGTAATAAAGATACATATTTTGTTCTATTTAATTGTCATTGCAAAATTAAAATTACAATAAAGGCCAACTCATTCTCACAATGAAAAATGAGGGAAGAGAAGACGATGTAATAAGCAAAATGGCACCACAGCACGAATCACAATGTTACATAAGGGGGGTGGATTTGCTCATTTTTGTAAACTACAAATTATAATATTCAGATATTATCCTCATGGAATCAATGAGTATTGAATATTATGATCACATCACTAACCTAATTCTTAACCCACGCTATGACGGTTGCTTGTTATCAGCCTTGTGAAATTAGCTTGTTTTCATATTTCCATTTGTGTAGCGGAGTTAAAAAAAAAACAACCTTGCTGAGAGAATCGCCCTTGAATCCAGTTGCATTACCAGCTACGGAAACCTTGTATAGGATCAGGGTGTTCTGCGGCCCAATTGTCTTGTCCTGTCAGACAGTGGCCGGCAGCGGAAAGGACGTGGTGTTGATCGACCATATTCTCACTTTACAACGTCCCTCGCTCGCCGTCCCACTGCTTGTCCTAATGAACGTCCAGAGACAAATTAGATGGAACGAATGAAAACGGGCTCCTGGGAGGTGCAGCAGCAGCTCACGAGTAGAATATCCATTCATGCTCCATCTCACTGCCTTTCTGCAAGTTGATGCTGTCAGTTGTTTTTTTATGTCAGTCTTTAAGTCTCTGACTCTACACAATTACAAAATCCCTCGACTTGTATTTACCAACCCTCCTGTTGTCCTGTCAGCCTGTCAAGCTCTATTGTTGCATTAAAGTGGCATGCACAAAGGACAAACACATTTAAGGTTCACCTAAATAGCACAGCACCAGGTGTTGGTTTTGTTGTAACTAAATAATTTTTGGGGGGTATTCCTATAATCTTGACATCCAAACCATCAATTCAATGATTATTAAACATGATGGATATGCGTGGTTTTGTTTTACAAATTAAATCACTAAGTCCATGTCAATTTTCACATTGTGCCTCCCGGGTTAAAAATGGCAGTGACCACTTTTAATTAAATGAATATTGACAACTCTTTCCAGCAAATATACTTTTATTCATTGTCCTGAACTAAACACACTTGTTTTATGGGGAATTTGTATAGCATGTCTCGTCTCATAAAGAGAGACGGTAACACGGGGAGATGACCGGTTGAGACACTGAAGTGTTGGGGGACGGTGGGGGTGGATGGTCGGTTTGGGAGAGATATTGTGTTGCTCTGTGTTTAGTGTGAAACAATGGGTGATGAGCAGAAGGGCAGGATCTCTAAGGAAATGAGATCAAAGGACCATCTGCCCACCTACAGGAGCATGGCTGGATTTAGTCGCTTTAGTAAGAGCGAGCGAGAGACACTCAAGCAGTGCCAGGACTGAAAAGGAGTGACGTTTCTGGCTCGTGGCAAGAGAGGCTAAAACCATCCTTAAATGGAAAGGAACCCTCCATCTGCAACTCCAAGCTTGCCATTTCTCAATTATGCTCTGAGCGGTTTTGTGCACTGTAGAATGAGTGGACACGAGCAGATCTGGTAGTCCACCAGCATCAAAATGGATTAAATTATTTATAAATCGAAAGATTCATTTATTTCCAGATTTTAATCTGGAAACAAGAAAAATCTTCTTAAATTGATAGGCAATTAAAAATACACTACTACCATCACTTACAATGACCTACTGAATAAAAATCTTGCAAGTTGCATTTTTTTTAATGTTGAAAAAGGTTATTTCAGTATAAAGTCAAAACAAAACACAATAGGGTATTATGTGTTAAATTGAATGGTACAATATCAGTATATCGGAATAGCTTAGAATTATTCTTCCTAAGAGCTTCTGGTTAATGTGGGTTTATTTTTCCTTGCAGTAAGTAGACTGTGTTAAGTGGAGGCTGTCTCTTAAAATAACCATCAAGGATTCTTTGCCTAAAAGTGAGACCACAGCAGCACTTCCTGGTGGTTCGGGGTAAAGGGAGGTAGAGTTCCATTACTCCTGAAATTCATAGTCCAGTGACACACAATTTTATCAGTCATCTACTAATTTCTCAACAAAAGAAAACGGCAAGAACCTAATATTTTAAATATTGTGTTTACCATTGATTGTTTATTAGTTTCAGAATGAGGACAGAACCATTTTTGTCGAGTAGGACTAAATTGATTAAAAGAGGGCAGCCCTAAAGGGAGGCAAAACACAGGTAAAGAAAAATAAAGGACTATCTAGTATATGCGTATATCACAGATTTGAGGTTCATCAAAACTGCAATAACTCTTTACTGCTGATATAATGTTTATAATGTTAAATACAGCTCCTTAAACGCAACAGCAGACAACTATTCCATTTCTGTTCACTCCATGTTAAGATGTAGTGTGAACAGAAATGAAGGTTTCTACTTCCTTCGTTCACGTGTGCACGTTATTGCACGTTAGCTCATGGCCACCAGTCTGCAGCGCTCTCATATGGCATTACAGCTCCCAAAGTGCAGCAGCCACACTCCAATCCGCCACCGATAAACCTTCAGCATGTCCCATTACCCACAGCAACGTACCATTTATAATGCCAGAAAAAGATTTAGCATTTGTTTTGTACACCAAAAACAGCATAATTCTCCGGCTATTGTAACCCACAATCCTTTGTGCAGCAGATGAGCGAGCTCCACGTTGAAGTTACCAGGCAGCTACTGTTAGCTTCGTCAGCACTTTCTGTCTTTAATATTTAATGTGACCCGACTGAAACCAGTGATTTCAGGTCGAAAACTATACAATCATAATTACCCGGGTAAGAAAGCACATGCACTATCTACGACAGCCTGTCCTAATTCTAAATCCATCACGCCAAATGATCACACTGGCTTTGCACATAAGTTGTAGTTTCATAGCGTCGGTGTGACGGCGGGTCTCACGTGAGCAGCAATGGATATGAAGAGCCGCAGTCAGTCATTCATCAACCAGCTGTCAGTAAGAAGCCATCATTGCGCTGTAGCGCTCATTCTCTGTTCCTGATGGTTGGGCAAGAAATGAGCTTGCTCTGACGAAGTACCTGTGCGCAGCATCCTTAAGGGTTCAAATCCTGGCTAATAGTAAGCAGAAAATAAACCAAAAACCAGAATGAAGCGAAGTGTTAGAAAATAAAATCTAATCCACCTGAAGCTCTACAGATTCCTGAAAATGGTTGAAATATTTTAATAGTGTAAACTGGTGGTGGCTCTGTCTGTGCTCACACTGTACACGTTGTTCAGATTCGTTGCGTTATTAAATGAGATTTTTCTTTGTGAAACTTCACGCTCATTTCAGAATGAGAACAGAAGAAGAGGACACTACAAAATAATTGATTTGTTCAAGTAATTCGTTTTATATTTGGGTCAATTTTACTGAGGCAGAGAGTAGATTTAATGGTTTAAAATATCTGCGACATGTAGCCGCTTGCCTAATTCCAAAATACTCAACCCAACATGCGAGTGACGAGGCCCACATTCGATATTGCAGTTCTCACAGGTTCCAGGTCCTACTTAACAATGTGGCTTTTGACTCAAAATCCTCCTGTGTCCTCAGGACTGTCCCGTCTCTCTGCTTCAAGTACAGCAAAGTGGCAATGTCAAGATGTAGTAGTAGATGTAGAACCACTCCTGCTAACATAACTAATGTATTTAAGCAACTTGCTCCTTAAGAATACATATTTAATTGACCGTTTGAGCCATGGAGGCTCTAATCAACTTCTACAACGTGATTGAAATATAAAAATATAAAAGCAATCCCTTGCTCATTTGAAATGTCTTAGGGGAAACCTAAAACATGTAACCCTAATATCCCTCAGTTACATTGTACTACTGGGAGACAGTAGGGCAGCAGCAGTAATTGCCTGCAGTTTAAATAATTTATAACTCCTTCTCGGTGTTAAAACATCCTTACCTCTGCAGATGGGCACGGGGAAGTCCCACACGGACACGCCGGCCGCAGTGGTCACACAGGTGAGAAGTGAATGGCCGTCCAGGACGTAGCCGGTGACGCACCGGTAACGGATCTTGCCACCTACGTTGAACTGAGTTCCATTCAGTATGCCTTTGGGTGGAACCCCTGGGTTTCCACAGGAGCTGCTTCTCAGCTCTGGATAACGGAAAGAGAATAAGAGAACCAACACGTTACTGTATAAAACATGTGAGTTTATCTCTTGTGTGTAAAGCTATTTGGTTGTATGGTCATAGTCTTAGCTGCCTAAAGATGTCAATATTATCTTTGAGGTGGGTAGTCATCTGGGCCTTAGTGTTTGCAGAATTTATAGAACGCCGACAACTAGTAAATGTCAGCGCAAGTCTGACATTTATGCTAGGATGCTTACTTATGTCTGAAAAGCTGAAATTACCCCGAGAAGATGACAGAAATGCATTTCCCAGGGGTGTACTCAACTCTTTGTATTAAGAGCTCACTAAATAACAATCATATAACATGGTACGAACAGATTTTGGAGGTAAAGAAGTGAAAATATTACTTGCAGTAAATCACATTTCTTTTATTTTTTTATCACTTGGCAGACACACTTTTGAAGACGACATATTCAAGTTATATCCAGCACAAGAGACAAATTCCAAAGAAATTGAGTATCAATTTTGCACAACTATTGACAAGTAAGTTGTGGCAAACAGGCGTGGGCCCTGCTTCCATCCTGTATTGATTTGCTTGAACACAATCTTCCAATACTTTTTTCTCCACCATTAGACCACCATAACTCAATTGCTGTCAAATTTCCCCAGCTTATAGAGCCTGAACTAAGATTTTATTTAAAGTGGTACAGAAAAATAGCCCATCCTCGGCTTCATTTTGCTTCAGGAGTTACATGTTTACCAAAGCTTTTGTAAATGTACACAATTAGATTAATCTGCAGGTAAATGAGACGGACAGAAGCATAGAGACACTTAGCCTGAAGTTGATTTCAATGAGAGGCTGCACTTTCTATTACAGTAATATTTCCCTGGAATCATTTTTGACATCCAATTACTAATACAATTTACACTGCAGATGCTTACCATCTCTAAATGAATGCAATAGGAATCGTGGACTTTATGACTGACAGCCTCCTGGAGGGAGGTCTTTGTGAGGTGAAAACTGAGGAAAGACGGTGCAGCACTAATGATACCTGACCAATGCAGAGGTGAGCAGTGAGAAGCAGTTGGGAATCCAAACAGGTTGTTCCATCCGAGCAGTGCACGCCAGGGGTGAGGAGTAGCAGCTACGTCTCCTCAGAATTACATTTGCAACTATTATGCATTAGAAACCGTGGAAACGATTAATTTTTGACAAAGCGTGGTCAGGTTTAAGCATCAGTCGGTTACACTCGACACTCAGACATGCAACTTACAAGGTTCCCGTCTCATAGAGAGAATCATGGTGCTGTGAACAAGATATGAGGCACATATCATAGAAAGAGCAGCTCTAAAACACAATCCAAAAATGTGGTTACCATGACTATCAATGGAAGGGGAAAAGCAACACAAGCTGCAAAGGATGTATGCATCCCTACGTAGCACGATGCCTGATAACAAACAGCAAATGAAGTAACTCAGCTTTGGAGTTACAGAAAGCCGGTGGAATTTAAACGGAATTGTTTGAAATATCAAATTTGGGGACGTAAAGTGTGATTGATCACATCAAAGGTAATCCATCTAAACTCAAACCCAAATAACCGGCTAAAGCTTGATGAGAAGAGCAGATGCAATTAGAGCGCACTGCTGAGGTGAAAACATTTGAATCAAAAGCATCTAAACAAGATAGACATTCCTTCGGTCGGGGGACTGACGGTTTGTTTGCTACCAGATGTTATTCAATACTCCAAGACCCAGAACGGTTTACCACAAAGCTTTACATCAAGCCAATAATGTTTTACTGGACATTTACCCTGTAAGGATGATGACCACTGGAGAATACTAAAAGCACACGGCTTCAGCTATTTAACACTGGCAATTAAAAAAAGACTTGATTAGCAGGAGCCTGGCTGCTCAATTAGAATGCCGAGACATTGCTTATTAGTGGAGCTCTGTGCCAATTACATTTAAAAGAATGCAAGGTTAGTTTAAAAGGCATGTGGATGGGTCACAAACTGCAGGTTTCAGATATGAGCTTGGTAAAATAGGTGGGTTGCCAAAATAATCTGGCCTGGTCTTTGTCATTTTAATGTTGGCCCATCGAAAGCTACAGAGACTGTGCCATCAGCAACTATTGACTGTGGAGGGGAAAAACCCAGATACTCCATCTTAAATGGCATGGGATGAGAGAAAAAAGAATTAAGGTTGTCTGTCTAACAAACCACATATACGGGGACGGCAAACGTGTTAATTACTTCTCCAATTGGCTCGGCTGGAAGGCTGAGTGAAGAACTGGCCATCAGAGGGACACTCCCATTTTCAAGAAAGCAGCACAGTGTTGGTTGTACAAACTAAAAGTGTTTCACGCCATGGATAAAACCGTTGTGACTGAGTAAAATCAAGAATTTAAAAGTTTCTGGAGTGTTGAAAAGGTTACCGTGACCGTGATTGGAATTACAATTTCAGCTGGTGGAAGTCTCTGGGACCTCGGACAGATTGCACTAAAAAAATATATAAAAATATGACGACATAAATTATTTTACAGGAGGACACCACATTTTCCATGGAACGTAATGGATTAATAATTTCCCGTGGATTATCTATGCAAGGGAGCGATGCATTTATGGCTAAAGCTAAATCCAAAAAATCCACCCGACTGCTCAGCAAGTTGTTTCCAGTGAACCCACATGGTGTCTGATCCATTCATTTCCTGGTCACATAACATTTAAACTGATATACAGTAACTAAAAAGACATTCCATGTCAAACACATTACTTTTGGAAGCTGTGCCGGTAAAAAAGAAACTGAAAGGAAGGAAGCCTGGTTGCATACTGTACTTATCAACATAAAACACGGCAAGTATCGTTTGTGATGCCAGAGAATGTGAAAATGAGAAACAAAACACATCCCTCTGACCTTTGTAAACTAAAGCGATCTGTTATAAATCTGTGCCAAAATGCAGACGTGACATGAAGCCTGGTAAGCCGACAGAAACAGAGATTCTGACATTATGACGTAACTTTGACCTACAGTTGTGTTCCCAAACAGTGGGAGCGAGAGTGGCTTTCATTATCTCCCCTCACAGTGGCAACGACTGACTTATGTGAACTAGTAAATGAGGTAGTTGGGTGCAAGATTTCTCTGGGGCAAAGCTATTTATCTGGCCTGTATATCTAACGACTCCGCAGCCCTTTGAAGAAGATGGAAGTTTGAAGGAGTGCCGATGCTTTGTGAGCACACAAGCAGCACACTTTCCCAACAGGAGCCGCCTGCAGACCTGTCTGTCTGGCATCCCGGCTGGCTGCTGAGCCGGAGTTTTATGCAGATGGACGGGAAAAAAATAAAAATAAAAGAGTATTGACTGAACTTGTGTTGGATCTCAGGGCAATGCAGCTGGTCAACAACATATGATCATTGTGCAGGCAACCGCAAACGCAAACACACACACACACACACACTTTTCAAACCCCAGTGGTCAATCTGCAACATTGCATATGGACTGGAGCTGAAATAATTTGTGAAGAAAAGAAGAAATTATGTTTCACGGGTCACCTGTCTTTCAAAGACTTTTCCAAAATAAAGGGCAGCTCGAAATGGCACCGCGGCAGGTTTTGGAGAGGAAGGGCAATGTTTTCACAGCCGATACACAACCTTCGACAAAGGGCAGGCAGATAGCGTTACTCCCAGCTCGGTACGTGTACACTGCAGACAGGCAGCCTATCTACGTCCCCTGGGAAGCTGCAAGCACCGATGCCCGTTGTTCGGCTGCGTTGGAGAATAACGCCCCCCCCATATCTATTCTCCTTAATAAATGCAGCTTGACCCTTTCAACGCGTGACAGTGTGTTAAGATTGCGGGATCACACTGAGAGAGAGGCTATTATTGAGGAAAGGTAGGCACTCCAGTAATACAATTCATAGAAAGCTGGTTTGCATTCCAAGATACCCGACTAAAGATTGACAGGTCCCTGAAAAATTTAATTCAAGTCCTTCAGCGTGTCCTTGGTATGCACGCAGACTCAAATCCACTTGATTGCATTCATGATTCAATCATGTCCGAGTGTTTGAAAGCGTCACACACTTTTATTCAAACGAGTAAGCAGCTCGTATGTATTCACACATACGATTTTGCCAACGACATCAGCATAACCAGAAGGAGAGGCATGAAGTGGTGACGGGAAATGCAAATGAATACAGTATAGAGGAGTACATTAAGTATTTCTGTTTCATATGACTCATGCATACAGGCCTCCGATGACAGTCAACACTCGCTTTCAATTCAGATGACATCGCCGATGACACCAAGAAAACCTTTTTGGGGGAAATTCCTCAATAAACTGCCCCAGTATCTACTCAATCTACTGTAGCCCCATCATCATATAAAATAGAGTGGTTTATTCGCCTTGTATGCCATCATTGCATTCCACATCAATACGCCGTTTTAAAATGAATAGCATCATCATACCAAGGATTTTCTAAAAGAGTAAATAATAGCATACATCCTAACATTGTTGTTTTAATATTTATGCTGTGTGGTGCCTTCTAACATGAGGCTATTAAAGGACGAATGATGGTCATAAGAATAAGCTGTACATGTTATGGTCTAAGCAGGTCTGGATATCGCCACTGATTTCCAAAATCTATAGCATTCCGATTCACAAGATCCCAATTCGGATATTTCAGTTACAATATCAATATTGTGTAGATATGATTCATTCTCAGTGAACCGACGCTGTAAATTGAACAGGAAGCTCTAACGCCGCCTATTCCTCGTCTGTTCTTTAACGCAACCTGCCTTTATGCTCGGCGGCAACAGAAAAACTTTACAACCGTGTTCCACATTGCGAACATATGTAGATGAAGAAAAGAACTAAACTAAAGATTTGACGCGCCGTGTCAGATGCTCAATAGGATTACTGCTGTGTAAAAATTGGCTGAGGTCAGGTTTAAGTCTGTTGTTGGTATAAATATATCAGGTGTGCCTCAGAGAGCGGCGGTTTGAGAGACAAGGCGAAGCTTCTAAATCAGATCAATTTACGATCATCCAAACCTGTCCTGCTCTGTCCTCATTACTCATTACATTACAGTATTGATTAATGGGAAATATATCTGCCTCATGCTTAACAAAATGTGATTGACATTAAAATCAACATGGAACTCCGTTGAATATTATTCGAGCAGAACAACGAGATGTAATTCAACCAAGCCTCACACTGGACAGAGAGAGCGACAGAGAGCACAGATGGCCAGATGGAGAGGGAAGAGGTCCTGGGCTGGTCAGGTTTGGCGCATGTGGGGAGATGGAGAGGGAAGAGGTCCTGGGCTGGTCAAGTTTGGCGCATGTGGGGAGATGGAGAGGGAAGAGGTCCTGGGCTGGTCAAGTTTGGCGCAGGTGGGGAGATGAGGAAGGGGGTAAAATGGATAAATAGAGTAACGACACTGCTGAAGAATATTGGGAGTAGAAGGAAATGAAAAGCAGGTCAGCCCAAGAGGCACATGGCCAGAAGCAGAAAGTAAATCGAGTAGAAGCAAAAAGGCGGGACAGTAGATGATGACATGTGGAGGAATGGGAATGAGTTTTGATGGAAAAAAGCACATGAACTTTCATCGGATGGAGAAAGGAAAAAGAGAAACGGAGAAGGATGAGCGTTCACATGAAAGATCAGAACGGAAAAAAGTAGGGGTGAGCGAGATGGTCACAGAATATTTAAACTTTTTTAATTTTCATTCGTATTTAGACAGAACTCCGCTGCAGTCGGCTCTGCCTCAACACAGATAACCCATCAACATCTGCCGTGCATTTCAAATGCACTTCTGAAAAGGTTTAGGAGTTTGGAGGTAGGAAAGCTGTTTTGAAAAACATGAGATTAATTTGAGGTTTGTAATGTTTCCACAACTCAAAATCGACGTCCTGCTGGAAATCAGGCGCGATAATGAGGTCATCTTCTCCTGGCTGATAAGGTCGTCCTTCTAAATGAAGATGTGGTTTAAGAAACTGGGTTGATTTGAGTCTTTGACTTCCATTCCAAAAGGTATTTCATTTTTCAATTTAAAATGGCCATTTCTAATGACAATAGAAGTGAGTGCGGAAAACTGATGATTCTCTTACCTTCATAAGCTACCTTAAATCCATGGGCGCTTACTGCAAAGTCACTGGTAAGCCTCAGTGAAAAAATGGAGCCAGAACTGGTAACAGGCGCAGGGATGGTAAATCCTGTTAACCTGCAGATAAGAGAGAGACCGTCAGTACTGAATATATGATTCAATTCAGATGAACCACATCACTATGACAATCACAATCTAAAGTAGATGGTGAAGGTCTAAGAAGAGCCCCATTAAAAGACAAATGTTTCAATCAAATTCATGTAATGACAGTCCAACAACACCGAAAAAGACGCTGTTGAAAAGTTGTGAGGCAAAACACAGATTTGTTAGACAACTACTATTTTCGTATTTAAACTAGATATCAGATCAGGTGGAAATGACTCTGAAATTCTTGTTGAGAGATGTTGGTGCAAAGATTGAATGATACAAAAACCTGCAGATTAGCGTAATTGCTAATAACACGACCATTCTTTCTCTGAAGCATTTTGTGTGTAACTAACTGCTGAGTGACGCAATCTGCCTGCCAATAACACACAGGGTACAATACAATAAAAACCCAGGCGAGAACATGCCTTATTGTCGGATGGTGTTTGAGGGCTGGCAGCTGCATTGTAACAGACTGCTCCATTACTGCATTTCAAATTAGGTGCAGATCCAAACAAATCCATTTCCTTTCACGGCGTCGTAAACAAGATGTGTGGCTGACCGCTCCTCAGAGGCAGTTGCTGATGTCCTATCGACCATCCACTGCTGTAGGCCCGGCTGTGTCGCATGCATTAAACTTGTGCGTGAAATAAAATGTGTCATTCTCTAGTTTCCTTGTTGTTTTCCATTGCTAGTTTTTCGCGCCGTTTGTGTGTTAGACACTACTATTTGACGATGGCTCCATATTCTCTGTGAATAATGTCCCAGAAGTAGGTGCCTTATTTACAGCTTCAATAGAGTTTCCAATTACAGCAGAGTGAACTTTGCTGGTCTTTGCACTACATAATTAGCCTTTGTCGCAGCATGCCAAGATACTACTGACAATTTTGAATACAATTATGTAGGAAACGGTAACCTTGTTAGAAGCCTAATCGGTCACAAGAGAACTGTAGATAAGTCTAACTAAAGGTAAATCTGGAGAGCTTAATCTAAAACAGCAGGTACATTAAAACAATTGATGTTTGACACAAACAGGTTTTCACTAAAGCCTCATTGAAAGGAGAAATGTGGCCATTGCCTTTCTCTCTGCTCCCCACAGTCTCAAGTGTACATCTCTTCAAAACAATTATTTTCAATGAAAGATAGTTTGAGATCAAGCTGCGATAGTCTTTACAATTAGGCCCCCTACCCAAAGGCTGGTTAGGCGGGGATCTATGGGGGGACTAATTATTTGCTGAGCAGAACATAAACGACAGAACAATCACTGGCGGCAGAATACATGCTGGCGCAAAAGGTCGATGCCTCCCACAAAGACGTGTGCTTTGCAGCTACAAAATGACTCAAAGTCTTGACCTTCAAGGATTTCTGAATGATTGGGATAATGGAAAATTGATGTTTGTCCACGAATCCAAAAGGTGAGCAGTCTTTACTTGGTGGACAGAGTTCACAGAAGACTGGAGAAAGATGTGCTGCTATGGCAACAATGTGATACAGGGAGACAAAAAGGGGAAAGAAAACAAACGCAGTGTTAAGGCAACATTTACAGAGTAACGATAAGTAGTCCTGGTAATTCCTAAAACAAACAATATAACTGAAACAATAAAAGCAAGGTCAATGGAAAAGTATAGAAAAAGATCAGCCCCACTACGCCAAACTGAAACTCGGACTCGTTCGTTCCAATTCTCAACGGGTTAAATCCCCTCGTATATTGCGCTGTTGTCACCACGGTGCGAGAAAAGCAAGGGAATGAGGGCGTAAGTGTACATAAGGGGAGGATATATTTTCGAACGCTGTCAGTTGGACAGATTAGAAGGTGACAGTCGGTGAAAGACTTATTTATGACTCAGGTCATGTCTCATGCCAGAACGGTCAAGATAATGCGGGAACAATTTAAACCCCCCCAAACAAAAAACAACAACTAAGGAACAATCTTGGCCATGAAAGCGTGCAACTGCAGACGAAAACACACGTTAATTAAACCGAGAAAAGAGAAGGTGACACTTTGACACATTTTCTCAAGGAGTCCTCGGTGCAACGCCAGAATATCAAACGTGATAGTTCATTCAAATCAAAGAAGCACACTGTGACATAAGTATCTCCTGAACAAAAAAGGCAGACAAAGAGATCTCCATCACGTGGCGTTCACTGGAGCTTGTTGCTTTGGCAACGGAAGCATCTGGTGAATGGTTGGAAAATGGCATTAAGAAATAAACCCTATGGGGCTTGTTGCCTCCCTTGACAAGGGTCCTGTGGGTGAGAGATCAGATACGAGAAGGATGCTAAATCACACTAGCATTTGAAACTCTTCAAAGACCTAAACGCCCAAATCTGATGTTGCATGGTAGGCGAGACTCACCAGGGAGTTTGATTGCGATGCTTAAAGTACAACAGGTTGTGGTATAGTAAAGATGAATGTTCATCAAGAAAAAAAAAGAGGTACAATAATAGACACATTAATGTTAATCATACGTTTAAATTTAAATCTATTTAGTTTCTTCCGGCTCACTGCGAAAGACCTTGCTGGTTTACTGGAATACAGTTTGAACGGATATTTTAACCACACCAATCATAGACCAGCTATTGTAAGCTTTCTTTTGAAAGGCTTGTAGAGAATTTGCTAGCACAAAAGAGTTATTTTATGTATTTCAATTCCAAAGAAAACAAGGTCATACCATGTGCAGTAGATAATGCAGCGCGGTCCCATTCAAAGCCAATCAGCAACGTTTGTTAGTTTCGAACTTGCATTAGAGGTCGAACAAAAACGAAACCAACTCATTTGTATGAAAGTGCTTTTAGGAATTCAAAAACACACCAAAATGAACTAGTTTATCTGGCACAAAGGACGTAGGATAGCTCATTTACAAAAAAATGTAATAATGAAATACTAGTAAAACTTCATAGCGTTCAACAAAATCAAATTGCCAGTGCTACAAGTGTGTGCCAGAGTAAAACAAAAAGGTTCTAATAAACGCGTATTGTACTCCACCAGGTCAACGAGCAATGCCACTGCGGCTCTCTGGACGCCAGGTGTCCGGACAGCTGTGGCGTCCCCCGTGCACGGATCAAAGCAACATCAGTTGCAGACGCACGGCCATGTGTGCCGGGGAATGTCGTGCCCGGGCCGATGCAGCCCTTTCCTCCTGCCTGAACACACTACATCAGCCCTGAAGGTAGCTGTCAGGACATTCCCACCGCCTGATTAGTGTCTCCGGGTAGCGACGTGCCGTAGCAAGAAGAAAGAGAAGGGAGTGTTATACCTCTCATTGTCTCTCTACCTCCATCTGTCTTCCCGCCTATTACACTTGTTCTTTCTGTCACGCGAGCGTTCTCCTATGTCGGTGCATGAGGCTGCTCATATTCACGGCTCGTCTTGTCTCGATGGTTCACCATGAAGTTGCCTTTTTTTACTCTTTTGTTGCCTCTGTCTCTCCTTATTGCTACACCGCTCTTAAACTGTGTCCCCCGGGGAAAAGGAGGAGGACAAAAAACAGACATGAGGGTGGAAGAGCCCTCAAGTGTTCCGAGTGATCCTACTTATTAAGAAACAATTAAAATGAACCACTTGCCTTTAGTTTATTGTAAGAAATGGAGCAAAATAAGGCATGTTACTTACTAAAGGTGAATAATGGCCTGCTACCTTCCTCCTCAAAACAAAAAACAGCAGCAGGAGATGATTAATAGACTTATGTTGCACTGATTTGGCCTAACTAACTACAGCAGCCCTCAACACTGACATTTGGTTTAATAACTGCAGTAAAAGGTCAAATCATCCCATCAATTATTTTGCAACAGTGAATCCATTAGGAAAAAGGCTTGGGAGATGGTCAGAAAAGTTCATGTCCTCTCTGCGTTTAATAAGCCTTTTTGAATAAGACTGTTTGAGCGCAGAATCAGCTGTTATTTTGTTGTTTGTCTCTATCTTTAAGCAATTCTCCAGATGTAAATTGGAGGGTGTCAAATGCAAAAACAAAAATGGGATAAATATGAGCATTAATCATTTCAACTAAAAAAAAAAAACTAATTAGTTCACGCTGCGAAGACAAAAAGGGTAATTAATCCTCTTCCTTCGAGCTTGCCATCTGCATTGTGGTTCTGGTGTATTTGTGTTAAGATGGGAAGGCGGACTAGGCATAGATTTGATGTAGGTTATCCTGGTTGGAGGTGACAAAGCAGCAGCAGATACGTAGCGAAGCACTTTGCGCCCATTAATCCTGCTTTTATGTTATGAAAACCTTAAGATACTTTCCCTTCTTTGGAAGGGGATTTTTATTAAGTCGTAATGAGTCAAAGTTACCTCACCCATCACGACTGATGATTAGCTTGAGACTGAAGATGTGAAAATTGCTTGGAAGTTACATCATTCATTTACATGCATGCTCCATTGTAGTTTTTCATTTACATTCCACACATAGTCTCACCGCCAGCAACCAAGTCTACTTGTATCGGCTGTGGCCAATTCGATGCAGCGCCTAACAACAAGCCGCTTTCTTCAGAGACTAATTTAACACTGGCCTGCTGCATAATTGCTGTACTTTCTGCACTGTTCTCAACATTAAAATAGACCGTGTAAGACTAAGGCCTTACAATAGTAAGACGGAAACCAATTACAGTTCAATTTTGATGGGATTTTTATTTACTCTGTGGTTGACGCCAGAAAGGCCCAATTCAAATAATATCCTACGTCAGGCCCACATTAGTTTGATTAGAATTAATGGTGTATTTCTGTGTCTACGTCTTTAATGTGGCAGCTGGTGAAGATGGAGATGAAGCTGATTTTAACCACTTTAATTTTGCTATACACACACACAACTTCACGCCAAAGTAGAGACTACTATTCTATAATAATTTATCCTGAGATCTAGTAGACTAGGTGAATAACGTTACACAAATAATGAGAACTCAAATAAAGTAGGACAAATGTATCTAAAAACATTAGTATGTACTTACATTTGACCACAGTGGAACAAGAGTAAAAATAGTTTTCAAGAGCTTGTGTCACGTTGTTCATAGATTCAGCGTCTTCGTCAAATCAGATTAAAACATTGAACTTTAAAATATACTGAATTTAATTCGGACAAAGTTAGTGGGGAAAAAAGAAAGTTTCAACTATTTCACAGCATTTCATCTCTATCGCAATTTGAATTGTCCTTGTGATTTGGAAGTGCATTTTACTGAAATGAAAGCCTAAAGTCTCTCCTCCTGTGGTCCGCTGCAGGACACCCAGCTCACATCACGTTTCCTTTCAAGATGTCTTTATTTCTACATCCAACGCTTACCAACTTACAATGTACAAAGAAATTACAGAAAGCTAAAAAATAGACCTGAGAGAAGATAAAAGATATAAAAATAATACAAAATTGAAGTCTAACTACTTTTCCAATTCTCTTTTTCTTACTTGGTCACAAAACTTTTGAATTTTTACAATGTGTAGTTAAGGGGATCCCAGTGGCCTTTCTGTGTGGAGTCTGCATGTTCTCCCCTGTGTCTGCGTGGGTTCTCTCCAGGTACTCCGGCTTCCTCCCACAGTCCAAAGACATGCTCTGGGGATCAGGTCGATTGGTGACTCTAAATTGCCCGTAGGTGTGTGGATGTGAGTGTGAATGGTTGTGTGTCTCTGTGTAGCCCTGCGATTGGCTGGTGACCAGTCCAGGATGTACCCCGTCTATCGCCCGATGTTTGCTGGGATGGACTCCAGCCCCCTGCGACCCTGTGTGCAGGATAAGCGGTTTGACAATGGATGGATGGATAGTTAACGGGATCACTTGCTCACAGAAAAGGTGGGACTCTTCTGACAAACACATCTAACAAAAAAAAACTAAGCTTAATTAGCATAACATTCATTATGTACTTATAAATAGTAATTGCATTAAGACAGCAGCAGAAAGAAAGAAAAAAACATCACCGTAATGTCGTCTTTTTCTTTTTGCAGAGGGAAACAAAAGGCTTTAATACCCTTCCATCCTTAATATATGATTTCATCACAATAATGATTGCTTCAACTCGCGATTCTCCAGCACCAGGGATTGTGCGTAATGTAAGTGAAGCACCCCAACGAGGGGGGGGGAAGAACTCCACAGAGAGAATACATAGATCAATGAGGAGACACACTAATCAGGTCCATGACGACAACGTTCATTCTTTTCATTTTAAAAATTCTTTGTCGCTTTTGTCGTGTTATGTTCTGAATGTCTGCTTTAATTAACGAAAAGCATTAATAAATCAAAAGGCATATTCAATCTCTATGATGTTTTTTGTAATTGTAAATACCCCAGAAGGGAACAAGCATAAAGAGTTGCCTGTCATTATGTGTCACCTTCTTATTTATTCCAGCTGAAGAAACACACCAACGTACATTTAGGGAAGGGAATGGAAAAGAAAAACTATATTGCCATGGAAACGTAGGATCTTTTAAAATAACTTGCTGGAAAACAAGGTTGGAAAGTTTGTGCTGCATCTTTTCTGATAAACTTATCCAAAAGATGTGAAACAACAAGGTAAGGAAGCTTGTTCTTTTTTTCTTCTGAGTGATTTTGTTTTGCAGTGAATTAATTGTATACGACCAGGCGTACATTTTGGGCCCCAGAGGCACAGCAAAGACTGCGTCATGGAATTTTCTGGCTCCTTACAACACAGTCCCGCATTGTGAGGAAATCCAACACTTGGAAAAAAACAAGTGTGACTAAAACGCAAAGAACAACGTTGCTATTTAGAGGTTTGGACTGGATAAGCAAAAACCCATCACAATTTGAGCCATCTGCTTTTGTCTCATTGCAAGAATTATTTGCGCTTTTCCGTCTCTCTGAATGGCAGGATTAGTTCCATGTGAATTTAGAAAGTCTCAGCAAAATATAATCTCTCTGGTTTCTCGTTTTGAAAATTGTTAACCCTACATTAGGACACGTCTAATCAGCGATGGCTCTTAAAAGCTTGCTCACTAGGAACCTACACTTGTGTCCATCTTGTTAGGTGTGATCCAAAGAAATTACATTACAATTGTCCTCCAAGAAGTCTATGCCGATGATGTTGACTTTGTTAGAAACAAGATAACATTGGATGATGAATCACATCATCTGGCTGTTTACCGTAAGCAATCAAAGTCCCTGTCAAACCCAAGCAGACAATAATAGACAACACGACAAAGTGGTGCACGACTGCTGTCTGTCTACCGACAGTTTTTACACCTGTGCACTTGGAAACAGGTTTATCCCACTAGAAGTGCAGACCCTGAATGCACCTGCAACTGAACCGAAAATAGTGATTTCAACCCTAAAATGTTAACAGGTAAAAAGTATAACACCGCACTTTTACTCAAATTGTGATAGTATCCACAACGTGGAGCACACAGGGCCGAAAAATGGTCGTAAATACAATATATATAATAAATCAACCAAAACCGTAAATGTAGGTACCGCACGAGGTCATGAGATTGCCAGAAATGTAAATTCGCATAAGGTCACGTCACACGTGCTTTTGGGAGAAGTAGTGTTAAATTAGTGAAATATGAATGTCTGAGCACGTGCATTCAGCGTGCCGTTGGGAGTTTGCAGAGCGGCAGTGCAGCTCTTCACGCCATGATGGTATTCATGTCACCATTCAGTCTAGATTTCCTATACTCGTGTTCGACGTTCAGCGCTACAGGAAGATGTGACAGTGGGCTAGTTAGCTGTTATCTAACAAGAACTCGCAAACTTACAAGTAACGTTACTGTGAGCAATTTATTTCATCTAGGTTATTGTAATCATAAAACAAGCCACTTACTAAAGTTCCGCCCGTCAACGTTACGCGCTCCCGCACTTTGAGGCGCGCTCCCTGCGTGCGTGTTTATTTCTGTCACACTGCGGGGATTCTGCGGGTAGTCCGGCAGACACACGGAGCCCTTTGAGAACCCGTCCAGCATCCACCCAGGGGAATTACCCACAAGTCATTGCAATGTGACGTTATGAAAACGGGATAACCAGTGAAAGCATATGGAGGCGTAAACACGTGTGTTCAGACCGTCATAATAAAATTATTCCTACGTTTACACTTAAAAATTACATACATTTAAACATGGAGAAAAAAACACATGAATTCACACGATTTGTATTAATTCATTCATGAAATATTAAATGTTGTCATTGAAGCAATTTTGACAAAAAAAAAACAACGTAAAACATTAAAAATGACCTCTCATTTTGTGAACAGCCTTAAAGGCGATCAAATCATAGAGAAATGTATTAAATAAATACCCTACATTTTTTCATATTTATATTATTTGACGTAGAGATGGTGACGTGACTTCCACACTAAGTCGCTTACAAAGGTGAAGTCAGTTAAATCGCTGAGGGTTCAGGGGGGAGATTGGGATTGGGCTTCTGTCTAATTACAGTTTGCTTTATGTGTTTGTTGGAGTGCAGAAGATGTAGTGTCCTTTGACTATTTTTTAAAACTATCACTATGAATGCATATGCGGCTAATTGGGATTTGGGATTAAAGATGTGCAGATTTATCAAAATCACATGAACGTGAATGACAGTGTTACTGAATTTCAATACATTACCTCAGCATATGAAGTAGCAACAATAACGCTTGTGTGATCGCAGAACACATAACTTTGATGTGCCAATTTTGCTGCTCAAATTACTGGCATTACAACTCCTATGTTTATAATACCATGTCTTTGGAGGAAAATAACAATGCAAGTCACAGCAATGTCAGAAATTGTTCTATAATTGCCGTCAGAAATAGAAAAAAAGCATTATATTTCAATGATTTTAAACAATAAATTGTGCAGCAAGAGTAAGATTATGTGAGCTCATTAAGTGATTTGGAGCTAGCCAGGGTGGTGACAAACCTTTCATAAACCCAACCTTGAAAACAGTTTTATATGACATAATCTTTTAAGTATCTAAAGTGATTCAGCTGCCAAAGTATCAACAATGATTCAGCTCTTGAATTATTCCCCTTTATTCCCTCTCTTTGCTCTACATCTGTCATTGTATTAGCATGTGACCTCTGGAAAATCATTATGGCGTTGTCTTGCAGAGATTCTTACAGAGAAATGCTGGAGCCCACACACACTTCTGAGTACACTTTTGGATACAAGTGGATAATAAGATCTTTGGACAGTTTGAAATTGTGTCTACTCGGACGAGAGATTATCTTCTAATAGTACACAGCAAACCTATCTATAGAGAGTTTCTTTTGAGCGATGTGAATCCTTTGTGGTATTTTCTTTTGGTAAATCAAAACACAAAATGATTCTTTGAACCGGGATTCATTCTGGAAAGAAGGAAAAGGAAAAATGGTGCATTCCAGATTCTTGCAGAAACACCCAGACATTTCTATTCCTATTTGTAGTGGGCAAGCAAAAGCATTTTAAATATTTTGTTTTTACTGGGCAAGTCAATCTCGTAGTGATAATTTAAGTCTGTTCCACACTCTGACTCTGAGAAAATGTAAACTAAGCTATCAAAACTATATTTCTCAATCTATGACTACCTATATGTAGCAATACGTCCATCCTTAATATATATTGTTACATGAGGGTTTAGGTTGTTGTTGGAAAGATGTCTTATCCTGGGTATACGCCTTTATTAAATAAACCTCTTACATTACTGTAATTTATGGCGAGGACTTTTATGAGACAGCAGGAAGCCAACAAAAAAAACACAGATATCTTTGTGTTTGAGTTTCATATTTTCGCTAGTTCTGTGTCTAACGGATAAAGGATTGTGGCTCCTGAGCTGACCCGTGCATGACAGGAGCTAAACCATTCAGAAAAAACTGCTTGATGGTTTGGACCTTCCACTGGAAGTGTTCATTAAAGGCCACCCGCCCGCTTTCTTCCTGTCCCTTCAAACAAAGCCTTCAAGGTGCATGACTTCAGAGCCACTTCCTTACCTTGTCCTGAAGTTAGCCGGGTGTGGGTGCCCGTCATACAAAGATAAAAAGTCGTATTCCTCCTCCACGGCGAAAGATTTAAAAACTATATGGATCCTGCTGCCCTCTTCGGCAACAATGACCCAGGTGCAGTTCGCTCCATTCGGATATCCATATGGAAACCCGGGGCTTTCGATCGTCCCATTCCTGCCTTTTAAAGTGCCTCCGCAAGTATGGATGAAACCTGGAAAGAGAGGGAAACACACAGTCATTATCAAAAGCACAATATGACTGCATTAAGGCTCTAAAAATAAATCTCTTCAATACATGCAATAGGAAGCGGTAAATTGCAGAGATCCTTGCAGGCAACGCGCCTTACTTTGTCTCGTGCGTACATCAAAGCAGCAATAAATGAACCAAATCCGTTCCGTTTTAAGAAAATATATACATGTTGTTACAAACACTGTTGTCATTATGTAATTAAATGCATAGATGAGGGCTGACGTTTTTCAATGGCCTATATTGAACATAAAGCTATTGATTGCTGAGTGGGTCAGAAAGCCTCCAGAGACAAGCAACAAGCGAGGTCTTCCAATTTTGTACTCTCACTTTCACTGCCCACACAGTATCATGTATCTTTGCATCTTGCTGCTCTAACTTTGTGAAAATGAATACCCTTGACATATTAGGTTAAGCATTGTACTACCATTCTCAAACAGCAATAATCGGATTGCTTGGCTAACCTTTGTGTTGTAAAGCAGCAGATGTGCCACAGCAAAGTAACTGTGACTCAGACTCAAGCATAATCTGTCTCTCTTGTGAATACAATCCCCGTTTTCTCACATAATCACAGTTATTCTTTCACATTTCCACATCCACACTTAAACACAATGTATGAACTCGCCCCAGAACACCCTGTGTTTCGCTACTGAAAAAACAAGCAGAACTTTTTACATAAGGTTTTCTCGCACGTTGTCTAATGAATTAAGATGCCTGGTTTATCTCCCCACAATATACTCCTATGGTAATTACATTTTCACACTTGGTAAAGGTAAAGGATGTTTTGCATAGTGTTGGCCATTCACACCCACACAGTATGTGGAAAAACTGAAAATAAAAAGATCACTTGGCAGCTATGCAATTCAAATGGCTTCTAATTAAAAAAAAAAGAAGCATTTTTTCCTGATGGTATGTGTGCCTTTATAGCAACTGATGTGAGTAAACAAAATGTTTCACTTGGAGAAAAACTGACAATTAATTTCCCTCTTGTCAAGCGTTTTCATTATTTTTGGACAAAGCCTCCCAGCTGTTTATATTTTACCATAAACAACTCTGTTATCAAGAATATGATGAATCCTGCAGAACCTTTTTACGCAATGTATTGTGTGATTTTATTATCCTCACCCAGAGTCCACCTCCACCTATTGTCCAGATAATTCACCTGCCCCTGAGACCAATACACTCTGCCTATATCCAGTGATCTAGTGTCTTGCCATTCTTATGGATCCCGTTATGGATACCGTATATCTCATGACCATAGAGGTCTATTATGTTTTACGTCATAATGAGCTGCTGCTCTATAGGAGGTGTGGAGAAAAGCTTGCCATGGTCTGTAGCATATCTAAGTTGCCGTCACCGTTCAGCCATCCGTGTAATCAGAGAAAATTTGCAGAATTGATGTGTCGCCTGCAGGTGCAATATGATCCAACCTGTGACACGGTGGATTTATACTCCTTCTAAGTGCTCTAAGGAATATAGGATTTACCAGGACATTGCTCTTCATTGGTCCACCAAAGTCGTCAATATGACGATTTAAATTGTGCTTGTGAATGTGTGAAATGTGTAATTGCAGTTTTCCCAACAGCTGGCAATATTTGTCATTGATTGTTGGTTATTTATATATGGGTGTTGTCGCAAACTTGTATTTTCAATGATTATTTATCATAACCTGTCACGCATACTTGAGTTTAATGAACTGAACTAGAGGCCACTTGTTGTGCATGGGCCATGTTGCCTCTGTTTCTAGCTGCCACCAAAAGACATTTGAACACAGGGTGAATGGACATGACACAACGATGCAAAAAGGCCTTAAAAAAGAAATGTTACTAAAATATGTCTATTATATATAAATATATATATATATGACCACCTGCAGTTACTGCTGTATATGTAGCTCGGACTAAATCCTTATGAGGACAGAAATGTATAATAACACACTATTTGAATACTGATGCACGTCTCCAGTCTATTGTTTATCTTAGAAAGTCACATCTTCCATTTTCATGAGCATGATTATGAGAATGTTTTTCGAAGGCTATGGCCATGTGATGATGCAATTGCACTTTGCAAGTTCCACTGGCTGCAACAATGTCGTATTCAGTGAACTTTTACAAGGAATTGTACTCAGCAGCAAACGTTGTCTATGTCTCTGGAGGGAGCTGAAAAAAAGCTATAATGCCTCATGGGTTATCGCGGTTTGGCTTGAAGCTTACAGTCTAAATGTAAGTATGCATTTAGGAGGCAGATAGGCTCGAATGAAATATGCCATTCTGAGAAGTAAGATACGTTTTACTGAACCTTAATCCAGAGAGGCGACTTTAATCAAGAGATCTCTTTCTGTCTGTTGCTTAGATTTTGAGTTTCCTTATTTTATCGAAATGGAGGTATAAATTGTTGGATTACCCTTTAAAATGTTACAACAGAATGATTACTACCAACACTTTTCTGGATTTGATTATTGGAATGAGAGTGTTAAAGCCGCCACGGAACAAAATTCATGAGACATGCAGAGTGAGTCACTGCTGCAATAACCATGAATGCAAGTCAGGTAAACTGGGCTTGAGTTGTGATTAGGTTACCACATCAAAACCTAAACCTGGAGCAGTGCTTGTTATCGACGGACCACAGAGAGAAGCCCCTAAACCTTGTGTGGCGCTCAGAAGCTTGGATCAGAATCATTCTTTTTTGTCCCCTGCAGCAAATTAGCCCGCACACAGAAATAACATTTAACGGAAGGTATAAAAAAAAAAAACAGGAACATGACAACAACACAAGTCTATTAAACTGTTCAGGGCTAATTGAAGCAGTTATGACTGATGGCAAATAATAGTTCTTCCTTAGGAAGATAACCATATATGGTTATCTGTATCTGCAGCCACAGGGTAGTTGTAAGCTTGAGCTGACCTAGTGGCAAGTGTGGTCAGTGGTCTGCAAGCGGTGGCAGTGTCAGAGAGAGGTGGCAGATTGCGAGTGGAGAGGCCAATTATTTTAGAAGATACGTTTTATTTTAAGATAAGTTTTCAAGAGCTGGTTTCGACTGGTGAGGCTGAGCATGGCGAAATAGCAGGTGCCACTTATAGAGGCGGACTGGCTTCAATAATGCTTCAGTACAAAAGAAGCGAGAAGTGGGTTTTCGACTGAGGGAGCCTGAAGTTTGTGGAGTTGGCAGCATGCATGTCTGTGCTGTGGTGATCAAAGCTCAGTTTGTTGGCCAGGATCAAGGGGACGTACTTTAAGCTCTCCAGAATCTCCACTGGCTGGCCGTCGATGAAAGTTTGGCAAAAATTGGTGGAGAGTTGATTTTGGGTGTCAAAGATGAGCTCTCCGGCTCGCTGGCATTGAGGAGGTGACTCTCAGTGCACCGCTGGGCAAGTTCGGCTTGGTGTTTAAGGACATCGCAGCCGGGGGGGGTCCAGGCGAAGGAGGAGAACGCGAGGAGAGCATGCAGCAGCATCCTCTATCCCTCTCTCGTATGTGCCAGGGTGTGGAACCTCACCCACATTAGTCCCTGAAATATATCAGTGTTTGTCAAGCATTAGATAACTTCTGTTCAGAGTAATACTGTTTGTGTCGACTGCTTAGCGGTGTTTGTGAGGATGATTGTTCTGATGTCCTGGAGATGACAGAACAGATGCCCCTTGCCGAGATATTAATTTCCCGCTTTCAGCCCCTCTCTCCTTCCTCCTCCTTCTCAGATCTATGTGTTCCTTTCATCCCTCAGCATCACCCTCTCTTCATTTCACTCCATTTTCTTAATAGTTTCCTTCAAAGCCAAAATGTGACCCCCCCCTTGTTTTTTTTCTCCATAAGCTATCCATTATGAATTATAATGGAAGGCCGTTCACATGAGCATCTCCATGAGAACTACACAGAGAAATTGTTGTGATCATTAAAGATTGTTGTGATCATTCATCTTCAACAGAAAAATGACAACAACAAAAAAATAGAAGTTGAGCTTCACTGTCCAACATAGCCGACATGCATTAAATCCCTTTACTAATTGCAGCTTCAGCATGTCTTCTTTGAATTCCACTGCCATCTCTTGCCTGCCTGTCGACCTCTTTCATCACTTCAATAAAACGCACTCCCTTGGGTTTTCTGCGACCCCGCGTTAGCATCCTCCTGCTGCAACGAGCATAACTTGTGATGAGAAACCAAATTAAGAACATGCTGTGATTGCACAGTGGGGAAAATGAGGTTGAGAAATGTGAATCGGTATCACAACGCACAAGTCTGGAGGAAAGACGGGCCTCTGCAGGCAGCCAGGCGGGCGGACAGCCAGCTCAAGAACAGTCCCAGCTGTTGCTCAAATTGTTGCATTTACCCGTGGCCTCTAGGACACAAGATCCTCACCACACAGCCCTGCTGATGCTTACTACCGATTGATATGCTTGCAGAGCAAAACAGAGGCCGCGAAAGGGCCGTTGTCTCCCGCCCTGATGAGATTTCTGAAGGGATTTGTCTCTTTGTCAGTTTGAATCGAATGTGTGTGTGTGTGTTTGTGTGTGATTATATGCATACATATACAGTAGGTGTTCCTGGCCTAGTCGAGCTTTTCACTAATGCAAAGGGTGAAACAAGACCACTGAATGAAATGATCTCTTCCTTGCCCAAAAATACAGATTTTTCTGGGCAGCAGAGTGAAATGAAATGAACTACAGGGCTGTACACTTTATCGAAGGTAAACACGGTTGATCTTTGAAAATAAAATACACTATGCATCATATTGATAACATAATGTGTTGCAGGATAAAGATGTTATTTAAGGTTTATGAGCGACAACATTTTGGCTTTATAAGAAACAAGCACGTCTCGGAAAGCTCAAATGCCCCCTAGAGAAGTAAACAGCCAACACGTTGTCCTCCAACATTAATGTAGCTTTTTAGCTGGGCCATGACGAGGTATCATTATGTGCAGCACAGAGATGGCGAGGTGGAGTCATTTACTGCCATCCAAATTATTATG